CCCCAACCCCAACCCCAACCCCAACCCCAACCCCAACCCCAACCCCAACCCCAACCCCAACCCCAACCCCAACCCCAACCCCAACCCCAACCCCAACCCCAACCCCAACCCCAACCCCAACCCCAACCCCAACCCCAACCCCAACCCCAACCCCAACCCCAACCCCAACAGATAAAATATAACTATTATTCTTCTAATTTAAGTAATCTTTTTCATATAATTCTTCAAATTGTTAATAATTAAAGAAAATTTTTTGGAGTTTTTAGAATTTGATAATCTAAAATAGTCAAAAACAATATTTATTTATTGTCAATTTTAAAAATTCAATTTTATTGATTGATAACAATCAAATTATTTACTATGATATTAATTAAAAATTATTTCTTCACTTATTTAATTAGCAATATATAATTTGATTAGAGATATTTAATATAATAATTACAGAATGATTAAATTTTAAATACAAAAATCTTTTCACTAGAACAAAATTTAAAAATAATTTAAAGAAATTCTATGTATGCTTGTTAAAATATTTCTATATTTAAGAACGATTAAAATTAAACAAGAAATGATTATTGATTAAAATTTAATATTTAATACACTAAAAAATATAAATATTGATAAATATAAAGTTGTTTTGTTATTAGTTTGTAAAATTGATATTATTCAAACCTTTTAAACTAGATTGCTTAATCTCATTTATATTTTTTATTTTTCTTATCCTTTTATTCTGCTTCTAAATCTTCATTGTAGTCTTACTATGCTTAGTTGATATCCCAGTCTGCAGCTTCTAAATATATTCTAGCTACCCTTGTCTACTAGTCTTTTCCTTAGAGTATTTTATGTTTGAAGAAGAAAATTAGCTAATCTTCGCGAGCTTTAACTGGATCTATTTCTAAGTTGCTTAAGTTATTTGCTTTAGGATTTGGAATTTTTAATTCCTTCTTGTAGTAAATCTCATCAGAATGTAAATCATTTGCTACTTTAATGCGATGTTCAGAAACTTAGTATTATATAGAAATTCCTAATAAAGTATCTGTTGGTAAAATCTTGTGTATTATAAATTCCTAGTTATTTTAAGATTCAGTGTTTTATTGAGGTGCTATATTTATTTATCTTTGCTAGCCAAGCATATTTCCTTATTGTTAATTGCTATTGTTGCTATATGATATATTATTTTATTGATTTGCTAATAAAAACTATTAACTTTCATCATTTAGAGTATTTATAGTTTCTAAATCATAATTTGAATTCTATATTTAACCATGTTGCTACTATCTAACAGGTATTCCCATCACAATAGGCTGCTAGTAATTGATATTATGAAGCTCAATATTTTGCTATTAGTTCATATAATAATTATTCATTTTAGTTAGTTTAATTAAAGGAAGTGTGTAGTTTAAGATTATTGTTTTACAAATTTTTGCAGATTGTATTGTATTTATTATATTTTGTAAGTTCCTGATTAGATCAAATTTTGACATCAGACAAACTCAAGCTTCTTATAAGATTTAATAATAAATTTCTTATCTATCACAATTATTTTTTGAGAAAATAGTAGATATCAATAAGGAAATTCAAAAAAAAAATATATTCTTTTATATAAAGAGAATTTCAATACAAACTTAGTTGAAATTATAAAAAATAAAATATTAAATATTAAATTTCCAAAAAAATTTTTTGGGGAAATTTAAATCAAAGAATTTGTTTGAAGTGAGAACGAACTATAGTTTATATAATAAAATATTAGAAATAGTAGAAAAATAAATAAAAGAAATTAACAAAAGAAATAATTATATTAGCTAAATATTATTTTTAATTTAGTTTTTGTCAAAATTTTATTGATACTATAATTTCACTTCTGAAAATATTAACTTACATGAAAAAATTTAATTTAAAAATTTGCAAAAGAATACACACATCTAATCATATTTCACTCAAAAGTTAATTAGTTTTACAAAAAATACACTCTGATATTAAAATTTTCTATATAAATTTATGATCAGTCAATAGTCAATGAGGAGTTAATCAATAAATGAGATTATTTTCATGGTGGTTATTAATTATAATTTTTCAGAGCATAAAGAATTAATTGGTTTTTGAAATTAATTTACTTAGTTATACTATAAGATGGGAGGTAGAAATTTCAATTATTTTTAGCAATATCATTGCTTAATTCTTCTTTTCCTTGAATAATTTCATTTTTGTTCTCATTAATATCTTAATTTATTTGTTAATCATAATCTACTTTTCTGACAATTAAAATTTAACCATTATTTTTCTTTACTTCTAACAAAAAGTCATATAAATCATCATTTGACATTATTTAAGCTGCATTTTATTTAGAATCTAAGTTATAAATCTCATTATTTATTACTTTTATAGTGAGCCAATGATGAGTATTGCATCCTATTATTTTATCAAAAGTGTTTTTATACTAAACATTTAAAATTAAGCCAAAAATATCATTCTTTTATTCTAAAAGGTTTAATTCTTTCACATCTTTTCTCATATCAAACCACTAAATTGTATGACCATTATTTTAAAGTGCCTTATCTATAACATTGATATCATAATTTCCTAGCTTAAATATATTTCTATGAGGGTTGTAAATAAGATATTTAGTTTTTGTTAACTAATCGCAAATATCATCTAAATCTTTGCTTGTAAATTTTTTAGCTTAATAAAGGTTATTTAAGGCATGTTTAGCACAAAAAAGCATTTTTTGCTTTTCATGGTAAATTTTCCCCTCTTCCATCTTAATTTTACTTTCTATTTCAAGAGCCGAATTCTTTTCTTTACTTTTCTTACTTACTTTTTTCTTCTTTTATAAAAAATGATAAGATATATTATGTCAAATTTTATTTGCTTAAACTGATTAATCAAAGATCAAAAGGAAATTAGAATATATTAAATTAATGTAAAATTTGTTAACTTTTGTTACGAAGTCTGTTTGCTAATAACAATAAAACATCCTTTATGATAAATTTATATTTAAAAAATTTTTTAGTTATTTCTTATATGAAAATATCATTTCTCCAATCAGATTAAGATTAATAAACACCTGCAAAATTGAAAGTATATAGGAGTAAATTATATCATTCAATTTTTTCTAATTTTTTAAATATATTATTTTAATTTAAATTAATTAAAATTTTAGAATAAAATATTTAGATAAGGTAAATTTTTTTAAATCAGAAGCCTAACCTCTATCTAATCTGTATCACTTATTATTATTTTCTTAATTATGCCCCTATCAGATTATTATTTATTTTCTGATTGATAGTTAGGGTCTTCGAAATTCAGCTTAATAATAATTATTCTGATAAACTATGCTATATTTTTTTTTTTAACATATTTTGAAATATGAGATGATTAAACTTATATTTTTAATAGATAAAAGAAATTAATTATAAATTTAATAAGTTATTTTTAATCATTAAAAATAATTTACCAGAATATTGAAGTATCTTACCTTATTAAATTTTTATAAAAGGTAAAAAATTTTATTTTATCAAAGTGATAATTAAATTAAATATTAATTTAATAAAACTCCATTTTTTTTTATTTTTTATCAGGCTTAATTCCAAACCATCTTATCTTTCATTTGAGGAAATTCAATTATAGTAAATTAGATATGTTAAATAAGATATTATGAGATGTATGAAAATAATTGATTGCTTTTACAGAAAGTTGTAAAAATCTTAGAAGATAATTTTAAACTAAATTCAATAAATTTTTTTTATTATAAATTTAAATATTAAGAAAAAAATTAACATAATAGAAAAGTGTAACACTCTATAATGAAATTTTTAATACAACTTATAATTAATTATATTGCTTTTATTAAAGATTTTTTAAAAATTATATTTTGAATCAAGTATTCATAATTTCATAGTATTTATAAATAAATCTATTAATTTTGAAATAATTTAAATAAATAAATAATGAAATTTAGATAAATAAAATATTCTCTAAAATATATTAATTTCTTATTGTAAAAATTTTAAATATTATTGTAGAGGATTTTTGATATAAAAATCTGAGTAGGATATTTTAATATGGCTATTACATGACTTATTTAAATATGCTAGATGAATTATATAGATAGATATTCAATAAGACTTTAAACTGGTTATGCTCATATTTAAAAGTTTGGTAAAATTTAAATTGAATTTAAGAAATTAGAATGTATGGTTTAACACCTTAATTATCTTTTTAAGATTAATAGAAGAAAGAGTGGGTAAAAGAAAAAGAAAAAAAGAAAAATAAAATAAATAATCAAAAAATAAATAAAGATATTTTTAATAAAGTTAAAAAAAATTAAAATAGGATTCGTTCATAAATATAATAAATCATAATCAAATAATAGTGATGGAGCAAGATAAATAAGAAAATTAACCTACTGTTCCTGAAGAGGAAAAGAAACAAGTTTAAGAAGCCTAATAAGAAGTTCCTACTGAAAAGTAAAATAGAATTAATTGATTACAACTGATAAAATTTTATTCCAATAGAAAAATCTTAAACATTTTATTAATTAATTACTTATAGTAACACTTTATTGTAGACTAACTAATGGTAATTCTGGAATACTTAGCCAGTTCCCAAGATGGATGACCCTTTTCCTGAAAATGTACTACATTATGAATATTTTTTGAAGATTATAATAAATTATAGAAATAAAATGATAATATAATTAGGTTATTTAACTTTTTCAATTTTTAAATTTAAACAGTCTGGTCCTATCGACGTCATTAAAAAGCCTGAAGATGTCCAAAAAGAACCTTACAACCTTCCTGCTGGTTTTGAATGGTGCAATCTTAACTTGAAGAACAAAGATGACCTTGATTAGGTATAGATTATTATAATAAGATTAAAATAAATTGAAGTAGCACTAATAAAATTAGCTTTGCATTAAAATTTACATTTAAATAACTTAAAGAGAAAATGTTGTTTTTTATCTCAAATTAATTGAAATGGCTTTTTAAGTTTATAGCTTAAAGATGTGCGCCAATTCATTTTATGCCACTTAAATATAAAATTATATTTAATTATTGTATTAAGGATTATTTTTAATTATTTCAAAGCTTTACACATTATTAGTCGAAAACTATGTTGAAGATGACGACAATATGTTCAGATTTGACTACTCAAGAGAATTCTTAAGATGGGCTTTGTCTCCCCCTGGATAATACGAAGATTGGTTAGCTGGTGTTAGAGTTACAAAAACTAAGAAATTAGTAGGCTTTATTTCTGGTATCCCAGTCCATATGGTTGTAAGAAAAAATTTTTAAAATTAAAACAAATAGCAAGATATTCAATCAAAATTTTAAACTAAAATCTATAATAGTTGCAAAAGAAGGATAATATTAAAATGACTGAAATCAACTTTTTGTGCGTTAATAAGAAGTTGAGATCTAAGAGATTAGCTCCTGTTTTAATTAAGGAAATTACTCGTAGAGTCAACATCAAGAATATGTGGTAAGCTGTTTACACTGCTGGTGTTCTCATTCCTAAACCCATTTCAATTGCTTAATATTTCCATAGATCTTTGAACCCCAAGAAACTTATTGAAGTAATTAATTTAATTTATTTTATAATTTAAAATTTAATTTCTATTAAAATTCGAATAAGATTTTTAATAAATTTGTTAAATATTGTTTCTATTTTTAATTAATTGCGAACATTTTAAATAATAGATTAACTTCAGTAGCTTAGGTAAGAATTAAACTATGGCTAGAGTTCAAAAGCTCTACAAACTTCCTGAAGAGACCACTATTTAGGGATTAAGACCTTTCACTAAAAAAGATGCTGCTGCTGTTACACCTTTGCTTAACAAGTATTTGGAATAATTTGATTTATATCATTCATTCTCAGTTGAAGATGTCAAGCATTACTTTACCCCAGTTGAAAATGTTATTTATTCCTATGTTGTTGAAAGTTAAGATAAGTAGATTACTGACTTCTTCAGTTTCTATTGCTTACCTTCTACTATTATTAACCATCCTAAACATAACTAACTCAGAGCTGCTTATTCCTACTACCACTTCTCAACTGCTACTCCTCTCAAGGACCTTATTTATAATGCCTTGATCCTTGCTAAAAAGTATGACTTCGATGTCTTCAATGCTCTTAATTTAATGGAAAATACTTAATTCCTTGACGTAATATATTATTATTTAGAGTAATTATTTTTTTTTAAATTTTAATTAATTAATATATAGGAACTTTTGTTCAGCCCTGGTGATGGTAATTTACATTATTACTTATATAACTGGAGATTATCTGAATAATTCAAGCCCTCTCAACTCGGTATGGTTCTCGTTTGAAAAATCTAATAAAATTTAAATTTAAATAATTTAAAGTATAAATCAACTAAAATAATATTTAATTTAACATGTAAAATGTATTTTTGGTTTGCTTATTGTGTTATATAAATCTTTTTAGAAATTTATTAGTTTAAATTAAATCTTATTCATTTATTAAAAGCATTTTCAATCTTTATTCAAATATGTTTCAAATTGAGTTATAAATTTACTCAATAATTAATTTTTCTTTTTTTTGTTTTGTCCTGATTTATATCTTCATAAATATCTTAAATGAAAAATAAACTTTTTTTTTGAGTGAATATCAATAGTTTTTTAATAAGTTTAGTTATAAAATGAGTTAAATCAGACACTTGAAAAATAAAAATATTTTTAATTATTTAGAAATTTTATAGAAAGAAATAAAATGAATGAAAATATAAAATTTCTTATTGAATTATTTAAATTAATTAATATATTTAATACAAAGTTTATTTTAGTAAAAAAAAAACAAATAAGATGAATATTTTTTAAAGATAAAATCACTATTTATGCATTAAAGGTCAACAAAAATATATTTTTCTTTGGTTACTGAAGTCCAGAGATCAAAGATTATGTTAAAGTAAACTTTTTTTTTATTAATTTCCTATTAAATTTTTAAAAAATATGAAAAATTATTTAAGTCAAACAAATAATATAAAAAATATTAGAAACTATGTTAAATTATTCATATTAAGTAATCAAATGAATGAGAATAAATAAATAAATATTATATAAAAATGAACTATTTTAATTATTTCAACATCATGTACAAAGTTTTATTTGTATGTAAAAATAAAAAATTGAATTAAATAAATATATGAAAAATAAATTAAGACTGACATATAAAATTAAAAAAATAAGAAAATATTTAAAATAAATTTCTAATAAATTATATGAAATTGAAACAATAAAATAAAATGAATAAATTACATTTATTAATTAAAGAATTAATTTTCACATTTTATATACAATTTTATATGGGTAAGTAACATATATTTTAAATTAAATAAATCTATTCACAATTATTTTATTTATTTATTTATTTATTTTATATATATATTTATGTCATTTTTATTATAACTAATTATTAGTATTACATTATTCATTGAAAAGTTATAATTGATTATTAGATATTTTTCTAAACTCATTACAAGCTTCATATATTAGCAAATCAAATACCATTTGACTTAATTCGACCTATACTTCTGTTTATTCTTCATCATACAATATCCATTTTTCTTCATTTTCAATAACCTATTATTTAGAATTTTAAATTAAAATTCTTTATTTTAATTAAATTTATTTTATTTACCTCTGCTGATAGCATACGATTTAGTCTATCTTCTTTAATTTATTGAAGGTAATCTTCATCAAAATGAATTCCTGGTTAAAATTGTGAGTCTTCCTTATCTACTATTATACCACATAGACATGAAGACCACTCAATTACTTTTTCAGAAGCCTTTTGAAGAATTTTAGGAATATCTTATTATGAATGGGGTTTTTCAGATATTTTTTCATGTGTTATTTTCCATGGGAAAGGCTTACCTCTCAACCCATACATTCTTTAATAATCTAAAGCTTCATTAAAAGCTTCGAAAATTGCTTTATTATGTATACGCTCCAAGGTTTAAATCAAATTATCTCTTATCTTATCTTAGCTTGGCTAAATATTTCTTTTTCTTTCGATATCAGTGTACAATTTACCATCTAAAATAGGTTAAGTTGAATATGAAGATTCATCTGAAGTGTCTAATTAATCTTCTTATCCATCATACATATGAAGTAGCTTCAATAATTCTTCAGGCTATGGACCTAGCCAAGTATTTATGTGGGTTAAGAATTTTGTCTTGTAATCATTATCATCTAGTTTAAAATATTTATACTTTAGTTTAATTTACATAGCAAAAATATTTACTTGAAATATGAGTACTAACGGTGTGTATATATTCTTTGACAGTATTTAAATTAGTTTTAAACCCTTATCTTTAGATTACTATTTTTTAATAAAAATGTAAATTTAAATTATTAAACTGATAAAAATTATTTTACTTCTTTAATTCATTTAAGTTTATGGTTAGTTATTTTTATTTTCTCCATCTGCTTTCTATTAGCCTTATTATTAGCTAACTCTCTTTGATTGTATTGTTTATACTTCTTTATTAAAAATAATAAATATTATTTAAATTTTAAATTTAGGATAAAAAACTTTAAATTAGCTATTTAAATGTAAATAAATAGTCTATTGTTAGAATAAAGAAAAAACTTACCATCAAATGCTTCTTTTAAGAGATCATTCAAAATGATACTAACAACATTTTCAGCTTCTTTTTCTGGTGCCTTTTAATCTTCTTTTTAAATGCTTGATTGTTTAATTTTTTATTACTAGATATATTGATTTTGTTATTCATTTAAAGATTCATCTTGCAAATGTTTTTATTAAGCATGATTTAGAGAAGCGCTCTTTGAATTAATTCTATTTTCCTTTTAATTAAAATGGTCACTCTCATCATCATCGAACTCCTCTATTTGATTTTCTTCTTGATCAATTTCAAATTTATTTAAATAGTGAGACTTATTATTTACACCTTACTATTTAGGTTCGTTTTCATGCATTTGGTCTTCTATTTTCAAGCATTAGCTTTAAGTTTGAACTACTGGTATGTTTTCATTAGATTCAGTTTCACTTTGAGTTGGACTAACCTTTTAAAGTGGAGCATTTGATAGGCATTCACCTGGATTATATTAGTTAATTAAATTTGATAACTTAATAAACCCGCCATTAATTCCTTTTTATGCATCTGGTACTATGAAATCTCCTCCTGATATATTTGGGTTATTTACTTAGTTTGTAGAGTCAGAATCTAGTGGTTTAAGATTTTGATAATTGTTTTAATACAGCTAGCTTGCTGAATCATCTAATAGTTCCATTTCATGAATGTTCAAATCAGATGATTGGTTGTTATTATTATGAGCTTGAACCATATCATCAGATAATTCTTTGATTTCTTACAAGTGATGATTGTCTTTTTCTGCTGTAAGATAAATCTCGCTTACATTATCGATATCTTTACTTGTAGAATAAATTAAATCTGATCTATCACTTTTTGCATTTGAAAGTTTAAGGAAATTCTATGAGCCAGTTGCATAAGGTGCAGCAGATAACGAGCTCTAATTGTTATTAGGATTATAAATATTATTTGGAGCAGCACTTAGTGCACTATTATTATTGCTGACACTTTATACAGAGACAATTGAAGAATTTTATTATACTGAGTATTACTTGATTTATTTTTGATAGAAATTACCACTTTTGTGATCACCAAGAAAATCATTTTGTAAATCAAAGTTGTTATCATTCTAGTTTTCACCTTCTTTTTAATTATTTTTTTAAAGCATAACTCCAACTCTTTTAGGTTATGGCAAATCATCTTCCCACTCAATAGATTAATTTAAATCTTCATCTCCTGAAATGTCAACTTCATGGTCTTCGCTTTATTTGCTATTTGTTTTTTCGACAGATCTTTAATCAATGCTACCTTTTTCATTAGATTGTAACAATTTTTTCTTATCAGAACTTGGTCTACTTTAAATATTGACACTAGCTGCTGATAGTTAATTTGGGGTGTTGTTAATCTACTAATTATAATTATCAGCTTTATTAAAGGGTGGTAGATCGTGATCTTCAATCGTTTCTATTGATGATGTTTATTATGAAGGTTAATGAGAACCAGAACGGTTTAAGCTTCCTTTTCTTTGCTAAATAAGATCGCTATTATTATTGGCACCATTTAAAAAGTTCTTACTAGATTCATCAATATATTTTAGATCTTAACTATCCTAAGAGTTATATCTAACTTTAGAATTAGAATCAGTGTTTTTTATATTAATTTAAATGTTATTCATTCCAATTTGTGGATCTCTATTGTTATTTTCTTAATTATATTTTATTAGATTAGAGCGCAAAGAGTTTTAAGAACTCTATTATACTGATGAGGAGTGTAGACTTTCAAAGTCATCCTCTTAAAATCCCTCTGGAGAGCTATTAGGATTTCTCTTAGAGCTAAGACTGCTTTACCCACCTCTTTTCTTTTCAAATTAAAGATTCTTCTTTTCCTCATCTGTAAGAGGACGAGCTTCTACATCTTTAACGTTTTTACTGTTAAAAGACTTCTAGCTGGCTTGATTAGAGGCTTCATCTAAATTTTAAAGTTGATGTTAAGACTTATCTTTTGATAATTTTCTTAAAGATTGAGAAGAAGATATATTGTTGTTGTTATTGTTATTAGAGTTTATGTTAGGATTGCTTAAATTATTACGACTGCTACCACTGCTATTTGCTAAGCTTTAAGCAGCTCCAGTGTGAGTGAGTTAATTATTATTTGGTGTATTTTTTAAATTAGACTTATTTATTTTTTTTAAGTCTGCAAATATTTGCTGATTCGTTTAGTCATATGATGAGCTGCAATCAAAGTCATCTATGACTTTAATATTGCATGAAGATTCAGAATCTGGAGTACAAGCGGCTAATAAAATTTCATGTTATTGTTTCTTTTTATGATGTTTTTAAATATCTTTGTTTTGCTATTACTAAGCAGATGCTGGGATTTATTAAGGGTGAGGATGATGATGGTGGAGATAATATCTATGGGATGAAGAAGCTGAAGAATTCATATGGTCTTCTTCTTCGCTTAAAGAAACACGATATATATCAAAATCTGAATTAGGTAATAAATTTTTATACGAATTAGATGATAAAACAGCTTTTTTCTTCATTTGCTTTGAAAATTCAATGTCACGTTAGGTCTTTTTAATAGTTTCTTCAGTGCTAAGGATGGTCTTTTGCATACTTAGTTTTGTTTTTTCTATTTATTGCTATTCTTTGCTCACCCATTTTTCCAATTCTTACTGTTTACGATAGAATGATTTTGGAGATATTCTTTATTTGTCAAACATGTTTTAAAGCTTTTTATTTTTTGCTTCTCTTCTTACATTTAGAGCTTATTGAGCCACATCAAAAATATGGTCTATCTTATCCATTTACAGAAGTTCTTTTAATTTACGATCATCAAATTACTCGCCAAACGAGTTTTACTCAAAAATAGATTTTATTTAATGTTCACTAGATCCACGGACAGATTCTTCACCATCTGTAGAATGTGTATGAACTCTCATAAGGTGTTTTTAGACCATGGAATAAGAAACACTAGGACTTGTGCATGAACTGATAGATTATTCATCTCCTCCTATGTTTTATTTTTCACTATTTTCTTATTCATCATAAAAATTCATTCTTTAGCCAGACTATTATTTATCATTCATAGCTTTTTACTTAGATTGCATAGTATTTTGTGATTATTATTTTAGCTATTTTGTTTATTCACTTCCACTTGTTAAATTCTTTTAAGTATTAGTAGCATTACTACCACTGTTAATATTATTGTTGTTTAAAAAGTCATCTTCAAATCTATATTAATATAAAAAAATTTAATTAAATTTAAATTAATTTGTATTAATTACCTCATTTTATCCTCTGAAATGTTATTATTGTTTCTTGAAAGGTTGTTTAGATTACTGTTAGTAGTTAACTAGTTAGAATTGTTGGTATCCTATTGTTTAATTGTATTATTTTCACCTAATTCTTTAGATTTTCCTTCTTCTTATTCCTATTGAACAGTTTCATTTCTGAAATAGCTTTCTGTGATTTTATCAACATCAATTTTCAAGTCTTTTTTTCTTTATTATTTTTAACTTTTTTCACCAGATTATACATTTATTTTATTTTAATCTTCACTATTTCTACCAAACTAACCCTTTTCATTACCAATTACTTATTTTTCATAAGGTTGAGGTAAGTCAAATTTAAAAGGAGAGTCTTTCTTTTATTTAAAATTTTGTTGGTTTTCTTAATTTTTACCATTAAACTTTTAGGAGCTGTTACTATCTATTGAAACAAATTTTTCATCTGCTTCATCTACTGAAGAAATTTAATTTGAAAATTATTGTTATTTTTAAATAGGTTTCTTATTAGATTATTGCTAAATACTACTGTCAGCTAAGGATTCTTATTCTTAGTATAAGCTATTTTCCTTTTATTTAAAAATTAGATTTAATAAAATAATTAAAATAACAGTTTGTTTATTTACCTTAAGCTGTTAATTATATTCTAAGTATTTCCTATTTATTTCACTTAACAATTTCATTTGTTCTGCTGCTTCTTTAGGAATACTTCCTTAGTTTTGAAGGTCATTTAGTAGGGCTATCATTTAATTCCATTTTTGAGCTTCTTCTTCTTTTATTTTAGTTATTTCATTTTCATATTGCTGCATCATGCTTTTAGACATACTATTTACTGATGTGTTGTGACTCTTTTTTTATGAATTTTCTTAGTATGAAGATTAATTTTAGTTAAAGCTATTTTTATTATTTTAGCTAGAAGGCTATCTAGAATGTTAAACGCTAGAGTAATTGCTTTAATGCTCTGAATTTTCGCTCATAAAGGTATTACTGATTTCAGGAATAGCATCAATCCTATTAAGTTCATCATTCAATTTTTCTCTTAAAAATTCAGTGCTGCTTTTATCTCTTCTCTTTTTATTATTAGCACTACTGCTCTAAATATTCGAAGTCATGCCTTTAGTCATATCTAAGAAATCGCTTTTATCAAATTCTTTAACAGTTACAAGACTTCTTTGATGCTCATTAATTTCCTTAAATAATAAAGTATTATTCTACTACGGATCATTCAATCCAACTAAATCATTTACTCCTCCTCCCTAATTTTCATCTAAATCATCTTAATTAAGATACTTTTTATCTTCTGAGCTCATTTAATATCTTTGCTATCCTCCTGCTATTAAGTTATTTAATTTTTAAGTATCTAAAGCTCCTGATGTCATCAAGAAATTTTGGCGTTGATAATTGCTATTTTGAATAGTTTAATTCTCAAATATTTCGTTAGAGCTTCCTCCTAGAACTTACATATCAGTTTCCTTTTTTTATATTTATATTAATTTAAATAAAAATTAACAAATTTAGTAATTATTTATTACATATAAATTCTTCTAACTAGTTTTCTTGTGTTAGTTACTCCACTCTTCATTAATGCCTAGCTCGTTAATTAAAGTATCATCTACTTTTTATTTTTCTGCTTTTATTTATAATATAAATAAATTTTTTTAATGTAAAATAAATAATGAAACTTACATTTTTAGCTATGCTTTGAGTTGTTGTTTTTAGTATTAATTTATTCTATTTCTTATTCAACTTCAAAATTTTAATCATTACTTTTGATAGAAAGATTAAGTTAAGGCTTTTTTTTTATGTTTTTTGTTATTTAGGCTTCTTATTATCCTTATTTATTTGACTAAGCTTGACTATCAGTGCTTTGTTAAGGTTTTTTAAGCTACTATTTAGCTAATAATTCAATTAATTCTTCACTACTATTAGGCTTAGATAATTATTTGCTACTTTGTTTTGATATTTCAGCTTTATTATCTGATAGGGATTAATCTAAGTAATTATTTATCATCATATTTTAATGTGCTGAAGATTTATTTTTTGATGAATTTTATTACAAATTTTAATCTTAAAAGCCTTATGAATTTTAATTTTATTATCTATGAGAGCTTTAGAAGGAATTTTATCCACTTTAATCAAAATCGTCTTCATAATCTTAAATATTAATTTAATCTTCTTCACTAAAATCTTATTGTTGATAGTTTTAAATTCTACTTTTCATTGAATCTCTTTATAATTGTCTATAAATCATCTACTATTCCTAATCTAGCTCTTCATAATCCCTTTACTAAATACCACCCTTTATATCACTTTGATATTTATTTTTGTTAAGATGAGAAAATTCCTCTTCTTCCTCATCATTGATTTATTTTTTTTGACTTTCTTAATCATCTGTTTAATCCTGATTATTTCCTTAATATATATTTTAATTACTAATCTTTTTTGTTCTATTATTTTATTCATTGATATTATCTTCTTCAGTTTAATTTGTAATTATTATTTTCTCTATTTATTCAAATTTTGATCCTAATTTAGAATTTTATGGCTATTAAGCTATATTTTATTTGCCCTAAACGTTATTTTAACTATTCTTCATAGCTTGCTTATGAAGATCTTGTAATAATTAATCAAACTCAAATTCGTCTTAAATTTCAATTTCTTCTTCGTCTTCATTATAATTGTATTATTAAAGCTTTTCTGTTTGATTATAAGTAATCTATGGATTGGAATTAGATTTATTTGAAGTTTGTTATTAAGGATTTCTTCCTATTTTGGTATCATTACTTTCTTTCTATTTATTTTGAGTGGAATTACTTTCTTTGCTTGATTTTATAAAACCATATTTACTAAATGGGATTTCTTCTATTTACAATTCTTTGTTAGATGAGTCTTAAATTATATTTTGATTATTTTTATTGATACTATTAGCCATAGACGATTTATTTATAATTTCTTCTTCTTCATCTTGGTCAAGGCTATAGTCATCAATCGCTCTGTTTGCTTTTGAATAGATTCCATTAGAATTTCCAAGAAGCTCCTTATTAAAATTTTTATCTTCTTCATCATCAACATCCTAATAAATTTTTTTGTTAGCTAAAGTTGAAGTAATTTCTTTCATATTAGTTATATTTTCTGTATTGTTGTATGTTTAGTTATTAACACTTTTTGGAGTTTTCATTTATTCTTAAGGTTAATGCTTACTGCTTGTTTATAAATTGAGCATAATTAATCTTTCATCATTAGGATTTCTATTAGTATTAGAAGCTGATTCGTTTCTTTCTGTATAAATTTACATTCCTTCGTTCAGTTAATCAGAGTCATGAGCATGGTCATAATGATTTTGATATTCCTTTTACAATTAATCCTCAAGTATAAGATATCTTTTGAAAGCACGAGTTACAACTCTGCGAGTCTTTAATTCTTTTAAGCGTCTAATAATAACTCTAGCAGCTTATTTTTTAGCACTGGTGATAATCTCTTCTGGAATTTCTTTTTTATTTTACATTTGAGGTGGATTTTATTTTTTATAGTTTAAGCTACTGCTTAGGTTAATTTTATTCTTGAAAGTTGTTGATTTCTCTTAATTTGGTTATTTTTAAATATTTTCTTGGTATTCTTTTTCTATCCTTCTCATCTCCATAATATTTAACTCTTATTCTGAGCGCTAGCTGCTTTATTAACTTTTCTTATCTTCATTATTAATAGTAGATTGGAGTTATCCTTTTTCAGAAAAATTACTTGTATCTAACTCTTCAATTTCGAATGGTTCATCAACATTGTTATTAGCAACTTCTTCAGCCTTGTCAACCTATTCATTATCTTCTTGCAAATGCTCATGAGCATTACATCTGTCTTCGATTTCAAAGTCTTCTTATTCGTTTTAATCATAATTTTCTTACTCCTAATCATATACTTAAGGTTGAGGCATTCCGTAAATCTAATATGCCTACATTTAATGACCAATGAAGTCCTCTTAATCATCTTCTTCAGGAACAATATTATCTTCTTCACAATAATTTTCATATAATTATCTTACATGATTTTAACTTGTATTCAAATTATAATAATCATTAGGTACAGGATTATTTTACTACATCTAATAATAAGGCTATTAGTTTTCTTACTGATTTTCTTCATCTTCGTAATATTCTTCTTCTTCTTCCTAATAGACAGGATTGCTTGCTTCCAAGTTTTAAAATTTTTATAAAAATTCTTGTTAAATCATAAGCAACTCCTCTTGAGTTAAACTTGCTATTTACTCATCTGTTAATAACTGCTATAAATATTGAATTAATTCAGAATTAAAATTATTATTCAAAAAAATTAAATTAGGATCTTGTTATTGATGATGATTTTGTAATTTTTATTCTTTTTAAAAATTTTGATTATTATTTTAATTATTTATCTTTTTGTTCTTTTTACCACTCTAATTGTTTGTGTTTTGATTATTATTGTCTTTTGATTGAGATTTTTTATTTTTTTGTTTTTTATCACTTAATTTAGACTAAGGACGAGATAAGTTTAAGCCTGGAGAAGGAACTGAAACAATATGATTTGATTATCTACTGCTGCTTCCTTATCCAGTACCTCCAACAATGTCGCTATGACGTTGAGGAATATTATTTTTAGATGAGTCCTTAGCTCTTGGGATAGGTATGTGATTCGATTCGCTATATCTCTATTGTATTTGAGACGATGCAGGCCTATTATTTGTATTGCTATTATATTTGCTCGAATAATTAACTGAATTATTATTTTAGGAATTACTGCCCAAATTAAACGAAATACTGTGATCAGTAAATTTATCCATTTTATTTTTATGTTCTTTTTATTCATTTACAAAAGAAAAACTCTAATTATGAGCTGGTAGTTGCTTACCCTATCTCTTTTCATCTATTTGTTTTTTAACATTCTTAGATATTATTTGGGATTTTAGTTTAAGCTATCTCAGCTTTTCTTCAAGTTAACAAATAGTATTTTTTTAATCGTTTTAGGATATAGGGTTTTCATAATTTTCTTTAACTTTATTTGAAGCAGTAACACCACTCCCACGAGATTGTGACCTCTTTTATGGAGCTAATACTGAATTATTAAGATTGCTGTTGTTTCTCGAATGTCCCTTACTATTATTTGCAGTTTTAACTGAATTTTTATCAGGATTAGACATGGGATTGATGATAACATTGCTTTTTGTACTTTAAGAAGCATTATTTATTACAACATTATTTGGATTTACAAAAATATTTGTATTATTATAGCTATTTTAATTACTAAAAGACTTTTTGCTATCATAATTTTATTATTAACTTCTATTGTTTGAGTTTGTTGTAAAGTCAAAAGTAAAACTTTTTTCTGTTAAAGGTTAATTTTCTACTTCTTTTTACCATTACTTGTAATTATTCTAGATAATCTCAAATTTATAATCTTCAAAACCACTTTCATCATTTAGATTGTTGTCATGTTAAAATGAATTAAAATTATTATCAACATCCTTAGCAGCAAAAGAGTTATCCTTGTTCAAATTACTTTTAGGAATATTGATTACAGATTAGTTTACAGATTTATTAGATTGGTTAGGGCGTTATCTTTAAGAAGACTTTGATCTTTATTCTCTAACATGTTAATCTAAATTTTCTAAATTCTTTTTTACAATTTTTTTTCTTTATTTTTCAAGGTTTTCTTCAGATTGTTTCTATTTTTATTTTTTTTAAAGCTGCATATAAAAATGGATTTTTTATTATTCTTCTTAACTTAACTCCTTTTTATTTTCTTTGTTTTACAGCATCAATTAGTCGTACCATATTTTATGTTCTTTTTTTTAATTAACAAATAAATAATTTTGTATTTGATTGACTGATTTAATTGCGAATATAATATGTTAATTACTTAAAATTAATTTATCTATTTCTTCTTAGGAAAAATTATTTAAAAATTAGAGGCCCATTTCTTCTCTCCTTTCCTTTTCTGTCCTGCTTTTTGAAGGGGATATATCCTATAATAAGCAAAAAAATAAAATGAAGTAAAAAAATTTTATTTTTTAAATACTTTAATAGATCTTTCCCTGCTTCTATCTTTTTTTTATTTAAATTTTTACTGGTCAACTCCCCAAGCAAAACTTTAATCACTACTTCTTTTTACTACAGTAATCTTTTATGCATTCATTTATCTTATTTCTGAATTTTTTTGCTAATTTTCTTTTTTTTTCAAAGCCTTTTTTTGATTTTCTTCTTCTTCATTTTTTCTTTTTAGAAATTCTTCTTCTTTAAGTTAACATTTTAAAATAGTTTTTTATAAATGAGATTAAAAAAATTTGATTCTTACTTTATTTCTGCTTAATATTATTTAAAATCATCTATTAAACTTCCTTGCATTTTTCATCATTTATCAAATAATTTTTGTTTTGAGGACTGTTTTTTGGTTTATTAGCATTTTAGCTTGCACATCTCAAATTTAAAAAATCATTTCCAACTTCTATTTCATTTTTTAAATTTTAAATAAATAAAAAAATAATATTTTTTGAAATTTACTAATTTTTTTTAGCTCTTTCTGATTTTGAATATGGTTTTCAAATTTTCTTGAACTGTTGCTCCTTTCTTTAATTTTATGATTTCCTTGGCTACTTACAGCTCTTTAGCGACTTCTAGATCTTGATTTACTCCTGGATTATTGAAACTATTAACTTTATTTAAAAAATAGCTTTAATTATGACACAAGAGGCTTATTACCTTTTATTTTATTCATTATTTCTTGAACTTGATCTTTTCTTTTTCTTTTATCTACTAGATGGAGTTTAGGAATTTCTACCTTTTACTCTAAATGAAAAAGTAGTTTATCTTCCTGAATTTTTATTGTTAATTATATCTTCTTAATTAGTTATGTTTTACATCATTCTTACATATTCCTAATGCTACTAATTCTATGCTAATCCTCCTAACATATCTTCTCCTTATACATTGCTGTGGTAATCAATGGCTGCATTGCTATTATTTTCAAATCGATCTGAGAACTCCTTTTCACTATTAAATTCTTCAAGGAAGTTGTTGTTCATTTCTATTAAAACCAAAAATTGATTATATATTGAATCTCGAAAGCCAAATTTTAAATTGAGTAATCAAAATCTATTTTCAAATTTAAAAATAAAGCTGTTTTTACCGATTTAATCTTGAAACCCTTGCTCATTATGTATTGCATACGATGCATTCTATATTGCTTTGTTTTAAAAAAGAAATGAGCTATCCTATCCTTTTTCTTATTTCTAATCTTTCTTGGAGTGTGCATTCTTGTTCCCAGAATCTTTGTTTTATTTTTTCTTTTTAGGAGTTTTTGATTTTTTAACTACTTTTAACACTCCTCCTACTTTTTTAACTTTCTTAACTTATCCAAAGAAAGCAGTTGAATTATCGTTAGACCCTTGAGCTTAAACATGATTAGAATTATTAGTATTATTAGACTAAGGTGATAAAGATCTATTTTGGACATTCATAGTACCACTGCTAATAGCTTTCATTGATTTAGAAGCTGCTGTTTGGTTGTTTGAAGATTTACTATTAGCTTTTTACTAAGTAAGTATACTATTCATTTGTATTATCTCTTCGCCATCATCATACTCATTTAAAGAAATATTGTTTGCTCTCATGTTGGTTTGATAATATAATTATCTTTAGTTTTCTTTGTTGAAACTATTAGGTTGAGTTATGTAATTTTGTTCAGCTTATATAAGTTCAATATCTGGAATATCCAAAAAAACGCTATCATCTTAATTACTTAACTTACTAGCGCGACCACGACTATTACTTCTGTTTTTTTTCTTTGTTTTCATTAAATCTACAGGAATAGGGAATTTTCCTATTAGATAGTTAAAATAAAATATAATAAAAATCTTGATACTTTGCTTTTTTTCAATATTGATCTTGATTTTAGTAACTTATTGACTAACTATATTAATTAATTAACTTAATTAATTTTAATAAATGGATACTTATATTTTAATTCTAGGTTGTACTACTACCGCTGATTATAAGACTGTTTTAATTTTCTATCTTTCTTCCTATAATTAAACTGCTATCATTCTAATTACAATAACTTTCTCCTTCTATGTAGCTAATATTTATAAAAACAAAAGCTTTTTAATATAACTTTAATAGAAAAAATTGCTAATAACAAACCTTCTATTGAGTCCCTATTAATAATGCTTGATGTAAGTTTTTGGGACTCCTGAGGTATCTGGATGTCCGATATCTAATGAGAGATTAAAGTGATTGTTTGATTGCTGAATATAATTATTTTTCTAAATATTTGAGATGTCTATATGTAAGCGCTATTTAGTAATTTAGTTTGAGTTCATATTTTTGTTGCTATTCTAAACTGTTCTATCTATTCCTTCTTTTATGTTGCTAATACCTGTACTATTCATTTTATAAATCACTTTAGTTAGTCTTTTATTAATGTCTATTCTATTATAAATATTACCCTCAGTTGTTAGCTTATTTTGCTTCTGATTTTTAGTGAGGGTTTAAGAAAATTTAAGGCCTGTTTATTGAAAGTAAAATATTGTGAGCCTTATAAACCAATCTTAAGTTTGAATTTGATTTTTTGTTTTTTACAATAATAAATAAATAATAATGTTAATTATATTGCCAAAGGTTTTTTTCCGTGATTTAATTTTTCAATTTACTAATTTGCAATTTATAATTTGTTAATATGATTGATTATCTATGAATCTTGTTAAAACTAAATAACTCCTCTCCTTTAAATTACTTCCTTTTTTTGAATTGATTTTTAAATTTTCATAGATTATGTTATGTTGGCATATATCTCTATTCTCTTCATAAATGTATAGTATTTTAATCCCATTTATTTTTTAATCACATTTTCAAAAATAAGCATGTAATTTAATTTTATTCATCTTTCAATTTTAATTTTCCTGATATTTTTAATGAATATAAAGTATAAGTAAATATGCCATTCATTTAAATTGAATTTACTAATTCTAATTTGATAATGCTCATGCAAATAAATTTATATATTTTTTTTAATGAATCTTAAATTTATTTTCTTAAATTCTTACACAATTTATGAATATTAAAATAAATTAATTTATTTTATTTTTTTACAATTAAATATAATTTTATTTAAATTAAATGTACAAATATTAAATATATTTTATTTTAAAACATAAAGTATATAAAATTTTACTATTAAAATAGGATATTTATATATTTAAAATTTTATAAATGCAAATTTGATTAATTTAAATCTTGGTATTATCTTTTTAAGTAATTATTAATTCAAGATGGTTAAAAATAATAAATTATGTTTATTAAATATTTATTAATTGGTAAGACTTTTCAAATTAAATTAAAATACATACAATTAAGTCTTTTTATTTAAAAAAATAAATCAAAATTAATAATTAAGTTTACAAAAGCTGCATCTTAACTTTATATTTTAAGATTATTTTTACATTTTTCTCACATTTTTTAATATAATTATTAATTTAATTTTTATGTAATATCTTTTGCTAAATTATAAATTTATTATAAGCTTTTTTAGATTATAAAATGCATTAATATATTTTAATTTTATAAATAGATAATAAAAATATTTTATAGATAAAATTATTGATATAAAATGTATAATTAATTTAATTTTTAATCAATAAAAAGAAATAGATAAAACAAAATTAAAAATAAAATTTTTAAATTTAAATTAAACCATAATTATTTAAAAATAATTAATTAAAAATATAATTTTTAAATTATTTAAATTTTAAAATAATGTTTAATTTTGTTATTGTTAGGGCTAATCCTAATAAAATATTTTTAAAAGTTATTAAAATTTAATATTTATAATTTTAAAACTTCTTATTAAATAAGATTTTTTATTAAAATTTTATAAATTATTTATTATGATTCAAACCAATTTTATCTTTTTAAGCTTTGACATTTTTTTATTCATAAAATATAAATAAATATATTTATTTTATTAAAATATATTAATTTTATACATGATTTTTTAAATTAATAAAATTAAAAAATAAATAATTAGAGTTAGGAAAAGAAATCTTGTTATTAAATTAAATATTTATTAAATCAATTATTTAGAAAAATCTATTCTAAAAAAGTAAAAAATCACAGGAAATATTTAAAACTTTTAAAAGTAGATTTAGTATCTATAATAAATATACAATTTGTGGATATCAAGTTTTTTTTTTATGATTCTTTTAAAAACTTTTGAATTTTTTAAAGAGTTCCAGTCTTATTCTTAATTAATTATAGTCCAAACAACTAAAAAAAGATTTAATTATTTTAAAATTTTTAGTTTTCTTAATTAGTTATAAGATTCGATCATAAATTTTTTACTATAAACAAAGCTAAATTTTAATATAAAAATGTTTTAAAATGCTTATTAAGGAGGCACTCATGTAGAAATATATGATGCAAAAGGTATTAAAATATTTTCAATATTTTTGTTCCAATATAATAGATTTGTTTTAAAATCAGTCAACAAAGATAAAGAAAAAAGTTACGCAAATCTCTATAGAATGACAACTCCTTAAGGATATTCAAAAGTATTTGATAAGGATATTAAAGGTATTAATATAAAAGAGGCATTAAAACTTAAGCAATGTACTTTTTTATATAAAAAGGATATATTTATAGCATAGATGGACATAGTACTAAAATGAGATTTCCAAAAGAAGATAAAATTGATTTATGTATAGTTTAGCATTTTCTTGTATTTTAGATTTATCTACCGTTTGGTTCACCTTGGAATTTAGAAATTGGCATAGCAGATACCTAAAAGGTAACAAAATTAGTTGATGTAGGATTAAACAATTACAAATTTTATTCATTAGGTAAATAGGAGAATTAATTTAGTAAGTGCTTTAAATAAAATAGAAACTAAGTATTTTCACGTTAAAGTCCCTAACGATATTATTAGACGTGGAGAATGGTTAAACTTAAGTATAGACGTTAATAGTTTTATGGAAGCTTGGAAAGGTATTTGATAAATAGCATTAATTTTAGAACAATTATATCATATTAAATATCAGTTAGTAAGTATTCATTCTAAAATATTTTGTTAAAAATTCAAGGATCCACTTTTCGTTCTATTGATAGTATAACAATCGGATCAACCTGTAGAATTCGTAGAATTTTTAGTATGAAGAATCCTCTTTTTGAGTTCAGTTCAGAAGATAATGCAGAAGAGCAAATGTATTTGCAATCCTCTTTATATAATTAATAAAAACCGTAAGATTGTATTTAAATTTTGTAAACATATAATAATAATCACAAATCATATATTAGAGAAGATATACCTAAAAATTTTGCCTTTCCACCTGGCTTTTAATATTCCAATCAGCTAGTGAATTATCAAAGAATTTTAGATAATGTTGATCCAAAATATCTTGAAAGTATAAGTGATTCTGTTGATACATTAAAAATGAATAATCCTGCTTCATCTGTCCCAAAATCAATGTATAAAAACTCTTTAACTAACAATACCAACAATGTTAAAGCTATTGCTACAAAATCAATCAAATAAGGCATAGGCATTAATAATAGTGTATAAAAATCAATCCCAGATGTTACTCATGATTTTCATGAAAAATCAACTATGGGATAAAAGTAGATTGAAACATAGAAAAAATCATATGCTAGAATAGACAGAAGCCCTCCTTCTATCTAAAATACTTAATAGCAAAATTCTAAATATAATTCTTCAACTAAAAGAGAATCATCTATTTCAAGTAGTCATAATTTAGATGAAGAGCAAAAATATGATACTAACTTAACAAAGGCAAAACCTCGCTAAGCTTCAAGAGTGATTAATATTATAATTCTTATTTTATCTACTAATAGTTTATTCAATTTGTTTTATTGTTGTAAAATAGGAACCTGTAAGACAATCTTTGAAAACATAGAAACCCCCTTAACCACAAACCAATAATAATAACAATCTTTAGTAAGGGTAGCAGATATAAAAAAATATTCCTAAATCTCCAATAAGCTAGTCACTTAAATCACCAACTACATCACTTAAGGATATAAATTAACCACAAAATTCTTCATCGAGACAGCCAACAAAGAACTAATAAAGACAACCATCAACTTAAAAGAAAGAAACATCAGCTAATATATAAAAAAACAATCCTTGGTATGCAGGTGTGAATAAAGGTCCTAAAAAGTAATTTGATGATAAAGGTTAAGAAGATAATGAAGAAATAGAAGAAAATTTGGAAGCAGAATATTACGATAAATATGAAATAGATGAAGAATTACCATAAACAATAAAAAAGAAAGAATCTAAAACAAATACTTCATCACCCTAGATATCTCAAAAAATGACCTAATAAAATGATAAAAATTTAAATAATTAAAATAAAAATAATCTAGGATAAGTTAAGAGTTAATAATTAAAAGAAAAATCTTTAACTCAATAACTTGAATCTAAAAGAAATGTCAAAAGTGCAAATAATTTTGGAAAAAAGGCTTCATTAATTGACCCGAAAAAAACAAAGGAGGGAAATAAAAAAGACATCCAAAAAAAAGAAAACCAAAATGATAAAAATTAGAATTTAGGATATGAAAACTAAAATGCATTTAACAGCATGAACACAGATTTAGATGAAGAGAGTTATTTCTAACTAACTTAAAAATTTAATACAGTTAGCGATCCAAATCAATTTAAAGATCTCTTTGCAAATTCAAATCGTAAATAAAAATAATAAGCCGAAGATTCTTATGGCCAGGGCGAATATGATGATTTAGATTAAAGAGAAATAGAAGAAGACATTGTTACTGATTAAAATCATAATAATCCATCTATAAATAAAAATACAAGTCAAAATAAAACTACCACTAAAAATACTAATAATAATAATAATGCTAAGAGCTTCCTTAAACAAGATACTGTAGAGAGCAAAAAATATTAAACAAACCGCGATTTCTCTGGAGAAAAGAAGAATTAATAGTTTGAAGATAGCCTCGAAGGACCTTACATTGAAAGAAACTTAGAAAACGATGATGAAAATTATCAAGATGAGTTAAATGATAAGTATGCCTCCCCGGATAAGGATGATTAAGGAAATAACTACTCTAATCATAATATTTATGAAAATCATCTCAACAAATTTATTAATAATTCATAAAGACCCTTTACACCTCCTTTTTAAGCAGTTGTTCCTTTGCAAGGAAGTTCAATAGTAACTAAAAAAAATAATTAAACAGTAGTAATTCAAAATCAAGGCTATTATGAAGATGATGGAAATTACAAAAATGAATAAAATAAAAGCAATATTTCAAAAAAATCAAATAGAGTAGATAATAACGATTTTGAAGATTAAGAATAGCTAGAAGTTATTTACGATCCTGTTCTTAACTGTTATTATGATCCAAACAGCAAGCAATATTATGAGCTTAAATCTTGATTTAATAAATTATTCTTTGTAAAAATTAACATTTATTTACTTTTTATTCTTTTTAAAACTTAAAATTGTTTATAAAAATATTTAAAATAAAATAAATAATAAATTAAATAAATTTTGTTTTCCACAATATTTCATTTAATGTTCTAATTTTCATCAATCTGTTTAAAAATTATTTATATTTTTATTTTTATACATTTTTTATCTTTTTAAATTAGAATATTTATTGACATTTATCAATTAAAATCGTTTTGGATTTAAAAATAAAAATTGATTTAAATTCATTATATTTTAAATAAAAATTCATTTATTTTTATTATGTTTTAAATAAAAAATCATGTTATAAAAAATAAAAAATTATAATTTATCAGTATTTATGCAAATTTTGTAAAAAATTTTGTTTGGTTTAGTGATTTGATAGATTTGAAATTTTAATAAATTTAAAAATCTAAACAATTAAATTTTCAGGTTTTAATATTTAAGTTCAAAAAAAAAATATAAATAGCAAATATTGTTAGAAAGCAACCAAAAAAAATGAATATATTTGAAATATTTTAGCACGATGAATACATTAAATAGAATCCAGAGATTCTATAATTTATTTACGAGATGTAAAAGGAATGGATAGATTTTAAGGGAATTATAGACAAATTGTTTGTAGATTTAGAATACAATAGTAATTTATTTTTTACAACATTATCAAAAAGATTCATAATAGTTATCTGTGACTAAAGCAAAATAAAAATAATACTAAAATTTTGAGAAATTTAAACGTATATTCATTTTTTAATATATTAGAGCTTAAAGTTAGAGAGTAATGGAATGTTATAACCTAAAAGAGATAGCCTTTAGTTAGAATAATTAGAGAGTACTATTTTAGTAATTAGGATTTTATTTTAATGTAGCTTAAATAATAAAAATATTTTATTTATAGATAAATTTGAAAAGCATATGCTTAAAGAATACAAAGATGAATTCTATTCTATACTGAACTTAGATAGAACGGAAAGCGAGATAAATACTCAAAATTTTATTAAGGCACTACTTTCTCTTAATAAAAAATATGAAATTCATATGAACTTCTTGCAAGATCTTGATTTAGAGTGTGAAGAAATGCAAAAAAAATAAAATTTATCAGTTAATTTATCTTAGATATTTAGCTTGAACCTTATTGAGATAGCAAATTTAAATGAAAATATATATGCTTTCTACAGGTATAGCTGAATTTTTATAATTTCTTTAATTTTCTTTTTCTTTGAAAAGCAAAAAGTAGTTAAAAAATGTTAATTGATATAGCTTTTATTTATAATTAGAAAAGAGCTTATAAAATTTATGAAATTCGTATTAAAAGAACACTCAAGCCAAATAGATCAATCGCTTATTACTGAATCTAGAAGAACTCTTATAGAAAATGAACCTGAAAACTTTTAAGTTGATGTAAGTTTAAAAAAAAAATAAATTATCTAGAATTAAAATTTAAATTTACTTAATTATTAGATCTACTAAAACTTTTTTTAAATATCTATTGAACTTGGATTCTACACAAAATCCTTATAAATATTGAATGAAGTGCTTGTAAAAGACATTCAAGAGTATATAGAGAGCTAATAAGAGGCTCTATAAAATAATACTCCTATTTTAAAGAGGTGTATTTCATATTTTTCTAACTTTCACTTAAATTTTCTTCAAGTTATTGCTCAGAGTGTTAAAACAATATCGAGTAAAGAAATATAACTTGAATAACTATAAGGAGAGCTTAAAATTCTTTAAGATTAGCTTTTGAGTAAAATATATGAGATCTATGGTAAAATATGTATATAAAATATTTTCAGAATCGTGTTAGAGTTTCCAGAATCTTACGAACTTGTCTAAGAATTAAAAGAAATTGTTGAAAAGACAAATCTAGTAAATAAATAATAAAAAAATTTATAATTTTATCAAACTTAAAAAACTAATTTTCTTAAAAATTAGATATTTGACATGTGTGATTTTTTGTCTAGTTAAATTAGTTAAAGATTGCTAATACCTGGAGTTATAACAACAAACATTTTAAGCTAATACATAAATTGTCTTTAAATTCTTTAAATTATAGATCCAAAAGCTCTTATTTTGGGTAATTTAACATATCTATTTGTCATAACTAAATAACTAACTAAATAAACTTAAATTAATTTATAGAAAAAGTTACTTTTCCTATTAAAAATTATCTGCTTAAAAGAAATGATACATTGAGATGCATTATTGAGCATTTAACTGATGATAAAAATACAAATAAATTAGTTCAAGAAAGACTAAAAATTCCTTCTAAATTTTAAAGTTATGATTTATCCTCAGATGAAGATGAAAACGAGGCAGAGAAATGGGAAGTTTAATATTTAAACTAAAAAAAATCGGAAGCAATTAGTATTAAATATTTTGTTTAAAGCTTGTTTTTAATTATTTATTGGTAAAGAAATTAAGTATTAGGAGAGTGACTTACTTAGTATTTTGGTTAACTTGTATGGATCACAAGAATCTTTCATTAGCGAGTATCAAAATATGCTTGCAGAAAAAATGATGGGAACAAGAAATTTTGATATTGATGAAGAAATCAAAAATTTAGAACTTTTGAAATTAAGATGTGGAGACTACAGCCTACAAGTAATTGATTGTTGTCAGCTAAAAATTTTTTAATGATAAAAATAAAATATAAATTAGACTTGCAACATTATAGTTAAGGATGTTAAGGATTCAAAAAGAATTGACAACTTGATTCATTCATATAAAAAACCTATTAACCCTGAAGCATCTCTTAAGAATCCTCTACTTTCTATTGATTAACTTCACTGCATGTTTGTTTCTAAAGGATATTGGCCTATTAATTATGAAGTGGAAGGATTTCCTCTTCCTTCTTATTTAGAGCCACTCTTCTAAGAATATGCAAAGAGATTTGAAAGAAATAGAGCTATGCGTAAGCTAATCTGGCACACAAATCTTGGTCACGTTAATCTCACTCTTACATTTGATAATGGAGAATTTGAATTTAAGTGTCTCCCAATTCATGCAATCTTAATTGGTTATTTTGATGAAACAAGTATAAAAAAGTTAAAGTTGTATTTAGAGTAAAAATATTTTATTATAAAATAAATAGGATTTAATCCAGAAAAAGGAGTTTCATCTGATTTTTTGAGTCAAGAAACATAGTTATCATAAAACTAAGTAAAGTAGAAAATGGCTTTTTGGGTTCATAAAGGAGTTGTAAGAGAGTTTAAAAAGTAAGTGCCAAAAGCTTAATCAAGTAATTTCAAGAATTTCTAAGGATACAATGAAGAAGGTGCAGAGAACGCTGATAATGATGTTAATGTATACTTTCCTGTTAGGGTTTATGAGAAATTTAGGGATTCAGAAAGTAAAGTGAGAAAATCTTATTCTTTAATAACAGTATTTTATATTTAAAATAGATCTTATTTACTGTGAAGATGAAGAAAATGAAATGATTCTTAGAGATTAGTCTTACATAGGATTTGAAAATACTCAATTTATAAAAGTATTTATTAAATTATTTATTCTATTCATTTAATTTTAACCCTATTTTATTCTTTTTATTTTTTAGTATATCGAAAACTTGATAATTAGCATCTTAAATAAAACCGGTCCAAGATCAGCTTCATAACTACATTGCTTGCTAAAGACACTCTATAAAACTGATTTAGAATATCCTGTTTAAGAAGATTAGATTAAAGATGTGCTTAGAAATATGAGCCAAGTAATTCATTAAAAATTATTCAATTTTAAACTTTATAAATTTAAAATTTTTAACAATAAGAAACATAAATTGATATTCAATGGTGAAGACTACTCATTACCTATTAGTTAAGAAAAAGTTTAATGAAAATTAAGTGATAAAATGATATTAAATTTTAGCATTTGTAAATAAATATGTTTAGCAATTATTTTTAAAAATAGCAACATTTTTAAACCTTTCAAGCATAATTCTTTTATTGTTTTAATAATTTTCTTTAAAAATTCTTAATCTGTAAATTAATATAAATTTCATAAAAAATGTAAAAAAATTTTGTTAAAATCTTATCAACTATTTTTTATATTAACTTAGGTTAATTAATTTATGGATTAAAATATTTATTTTTTATATGATAAATATAATAATAGAATATTTGAATTGTTTTATATAAGTAAACAAGACAGAACTAATTTATTTCAAATATCCTATCCTATTTTTAGGAAAAAAAGATTTTATTTATATTTTTAAATTAATTTATTCTTCTCAAATTACTTTTTTTTGATAAAATTCATAGAATTTTTTGATTGTTCTATCTTATGTAAGCGTAGAAAAATGAAAAAATTACAATCACTCGTATTAATTTTAGGAAATAAGTATTAATTTATTGATTTAATCTGATTCTTTAAATAACTTTTTTTTGATAATTTCAAAGAAATTTGTATTGCTCTATGATATTCTTGAAAAACCTGATCAAAACAAACAATAATTTGATTAATTCGTTTAAATGCAGAAAATCAAAAAAAGTAGATTACTTAATAATATTTGATAAAAATGCATAGAAATTTATTTCTCACAATATAAAATAAAAAAATATTGCTTAATAGATTTTTTTACTAAAAACTATAGATACTTTATTATCAATTTATTTAAAATGTATTAATTAATCAATCAATCAATCAGTTTTATTACATTTATTTACTTTGAACTGTAATTGATTTTGCATGTAAATTTGATATTTGAGAGGACTCATTGTCTGAAATTTAAGATTTGTTAATATTTAAGGATTTTGTGTTACCTTCTTGGGTTAACTCCTCCAATTTAACTCTTTCCAACTTCTAAACAGGGGCACTAGATGGTTTTCTACCTCCTAAAAGAATTTATGCAAGATTCATAATTGGAATTTCAATAATTAAAGCAACTATTGCAGCAGCAATAAGGGTAAAGAAAAACTCAGAGAAGAACATTCCAATAAGATTTTCACTATCATAATAAACTGCATCCTTAGAGTACCACAAAGTGAAAAGAATAATAATGTAGTGAGTTAAGTAACCACCAAATGAAAGACGCTGTAAGAAAGCAAACAAAGTGTTGCTAAAGAACTTAGCTATTAAATCCTTTGATCCAAGCATACCAGGAATCATAAAACAAGTTGTTGCAATAACGTACCATGTTCTGCAAGTTCCAAACCAGAAGTGCTAGAAATCAGCATTCCAGTAATCGTTTCCATGTACTTGCATCTAATGAGGAGCAAATACGAGTCCCATCCAGAGACCAAAACCTAATGCGTAGAAAATATATTTTCCAAGTGAGTGTCCAGCAAACTTTTACATTTTTGTCAAAATTCCATTGCATTTATTTTTAGCCTTATCAAACTAATGTTCCTTGTAAAGTATACCAAAGAAAAGTCCAACAAAATATGGAGAAATACGAGCCCAGGGTTTAATGTAATAATCTTCATAATAGTGGTCTAAGCTTAAAGCTTAGATATTTGAAGGAACCATAAATTCATATTTGAATGATAAGTAAATAGAGACAGACTAGAAGACAGCGAAGCAAACACCAACAGAAATTTTTCCGATTAAACGATTATTTTAGTAAATGATTAAAAGAATCATACCAAAAATAAACATCTAGAAATCATTAGATAAATACCATCCCCAAGGAACGCATTTTTTACCTTAACCTGGGAATAAGTTGTCTATGAAAAGGAGATTTTACCACCAGCGTGTATCGCATAAAGCTGCTCCATGCATAAAGACATCCCAAGTGGGTGAAGAACCTACAAAGGGAGAAAGTCTCCAGTAAAACATCAAAACTAAAAAGTAACAAGGGAATATACGGAATACTCTGTTAATAATAGCAAACAAGAATGAAATTGCAGTCTTGACAGGTTTTTTCATTGAAAAATTACGCTATTATTTTTCATCAGCGACAACATAAGCCAAGAAGAAACCACCTAACCAGAAAAATACATCAACAGAGTAAAGACAAGAAAAGAGGAAAAGTACAAATGATCTATTTTAAATGATCATCAAGTCTTAAGGATTACTCATGTAGTTCATGTGAAGATAGAATTCATGGCCAAAAATAACTTACATAAAGCAAAGAGAACGGATACCATTAAAAACAAGTAAATCGTCATTATTACTTTTTAATGTAAACATTTTTTTCACATTATCAGGCAAGTTCCAGCATTGAACTACTCTCCACCAGAAGGGTTCTTTTTTGGGTCTTCCTGTTGCTGCTGCTACTTGACTAACAGTGTTGCCATTGGTCATACTAACAGATGGTTATGGTCCAGAGTAAGTATGAGATGGTCTAGAAATTTGAGAATTAGATTATGAAATCATACTTGTTGAAGTGGCTCCTTAAGTATAGTTAATTTGAGTTTAGTATCTAGTATTATCTTGTAAAATGGCTTTATCTTTCTTTCTTTGAAGCAATTTTAAGATAGGAGCTAAAATAGAGCATGTGCTTACTAAAACTATAGTAAATAGTGCTATAATATATCCAGCTGTAGCCTTTGATTAAGTATCTTCCTAATAAGGGACATATGTAATAACTGTTTAATTATCTCCTTCAGTTAAATTAACTTAAAATTCAGGAGGTTTAGGTATATCTTGCTAGTGAGGGAATATATCTTTAATTGTTTATAGAATCTTTAAAAGTTCGGCTGTTGCCAATTAAGAATTGCTATTCATGACTTCTGCATTACAAACTTCGTACATACAAAATCCTAAATAATATTCTAAGTTATTAGGCAAGGTTAAAGTTAATCTAACAAATGTCATTTAAGGAAGGCTGCGACATTTTTCAACATCTCCTTCGTCATTAAGCGTTCTTCCAGAATATAATAAAGTATTTCCGAAAGTAGGTGGCAAAGGTTTTTTATTAGCTATACTATTACTGATACTGTCTAAATAAGTTTGGCATAAAGTGAAATCAGTGCTTTAAGATAATCCTTATCCAAATATACTGAAAACTATTACCAATCCTATGAAAAATTTATAGGTAAATTTCATTTTTTGAAAACAAGTTTGAGTGAGCAGGGTTTTTACCTTTAATTTGCTTGCTTAATGAAATTTAATTTGATTTTTCTGATTTTGTGAATTATCTTTTTCTCTAAATATTAATTATTTACCAAAAAAAATACGAATTTCATATAAATATTCGTTTATGATTGATAAAAGCTTTAAAGGTAGTAAATATCTTTACTTTATGTAATATGATGCAATTCATCAAGTATACCACCTAATAAGATACCTAATTTATTAAATTAAATTTTTCAGATTCTGTCGCCGATTAGACTGTACTTTATATATCAATAAAAGAATTTACTACTATTTATTAAATCATTAGCATTTATTTATGTAATGTATAGTAATTCTTTTATTATATTCCTATCTGAATATAAAATATCTTCAAGCTTTAAACCATCTAAAATTTAATCAAAATTGAATACATTTAAATTTATTTTTCACCTCTTAAAATGAAAAATTGTAATTCATTTATTTAATAAGAATAAACAAAAGATTATTCACTTTAAATTAATATCATCAAATTAGCTTTTACATAATCAATTAAATAAATATTCGATAATTTTTCTTATGAGTGTAACTTATAAAAAAATAAAAAGAATTACTTAAATACTAATCACACATATTATTAAAAAATAATAAATTAAAGTTTATTAATTCCAAAATATATTTTGTTATATTTTACTAATTTTAGATAGTATAGACTTGCTTAGATTAAAAATAAAATGAAAAATACTTTTATAAATTAATAAAAAAATTTTTTTATGAGTAAATTGGTTTTAATCTACTAAAAATCAATATTTATTTAAAGATCTTTATATATTTAAATTAATTAACTTTATTACCATTTATTGATAATTTTTAAGATTATTTATAAAAGTTTCAAAAGATAAATTTATTTAATTTTTAAAATTGGATCTAAAAATTTTTAAATAAAGAATATTTTTGTTGTACTTTACTTTACATTTAAATAAAAACTTAAATATTAAGTACAGTTTTAACTTGCATATCTCAATAAAAGGAAAAATTATAAAAAGCAATTTATTCTCAAAAATTAATTAAAAAATTATTAGTATTTTTCTTTATAAATTTTAAATTAATTGATATTACAATTCAGAAAAAAATAAATTATTTTTAAGCTGAATTAACTACTTTATTATTTTGTGGTAGTATTCCTGATTTAAGAAATAAAAACTCAAATTTTTTATTTATTTAATCAATCAATTTTTTTCTTCTTTTTTTTAAATTACAGTTATTTTTTGATTTTTATGTTGAATATTTATAAAATTTGTATTATAAGAAATAAAAGATTTTCAAAAAGTAATAATTAAATGAGATAATCTTAAATATAAATATTAGAAAAATAATAAATTGTGTTTTTAGTATTTTTATAATTTAAGTATTTTTAATAATTATTTTTTCTATGTTACATGTATTTGTATCAAAATATTATTTTTTTTGAGACCATTTATCTAACTTGTAAATTCTATTTTGAGTATCTACTATAAAAAAATATAATTATGTGACAATTTGCATATTTTTAACTATTTATTGCAATATTTTTTACTTTTTTTATAAAGTTTAACGTTATTTATCTTTAAAAGTAAAAAACAACAAAACCAGTTAAATTTTTATTAAAAAAATAAATACTTAAAAAATTAATACTTTTAAACATCTAATCAATTAAAAAAATAAAATAGCTTTGAAATAATTTTAAGTAAAATAAAAGAAATGTGGAATGTGATATCAGGCAATGAATACTTAAAGCAGAAAAATACTACTCATGTAATTATCATTCTATTTTAACTTTTTCACATTTAGCGATTTATTAAGAATCAAAAAAGGCATTTAATTAATATAATCGGAGCAAGACCAGCAATAACTAATGACTTACCATGGTATCCTTCTCATTCCCTTTCTAAAAATACAAATAAGTTCTCTATATGTAATTAAATATAAAATTAACTTATAATTAATTGGTTTTTTAAGAAAGAAACATTAAGGTATTCAATGATAATTAAGTTCTACTTAAAAAAATGATGGAAATAGACTAAAAAGATGCATAACTAAGTTAAAAAAAGCTTAGTAAAAGTTTTTAAATGCACAAAATTAAAAGTTCTGCAGAATATGTTAGAAAATCCAATGAGAAATTTATTGGAATAGAGAACTAAGTAAAAATTAATAAATAATTAAAAAACCATTTTAAAAAATTTAAAAAACTTTAAATTTATTTGTAAATTTAGAAAATGTTGTAAAGAATAGTATCATAAAAATCAGTATACTAAAATAAAGACTTTAAGAAATAAAACCTTTAAGCTAATTTATATAAGTAAAATATAAGTAGATAGAATAAAAGTAAGTTTAATTTTCATTATATTATTTACAAAATTTATAAATATAAGAATATAACCTTGATTATACTATTCTTGCAAAAAAAGAGTTACTCTCTGATTCTGCATTCATAAGAAGATCCTCACTTTCTAGTAATAAATATATTAAGAATTCTATAATATTAATAAATTATTTTTATAAAAATAATAGCATAAGCTTATTCAAGCTTTTCAAAATCACCTATTCTTATGGCTTTGAATTCAAAGAAGAATGAAAATGCTAAAGATTTTATAGATTTCCCAATACTCTGAACTATAAATATAATTATTACATAAAGCGAATTTATTTATTATTAATTTTATGTTATATTTAAAAAAAATTTTAATATAATTTATGAGTCTTTATATATTGTTAGTTATATTCTTTTTTCTCAACATAATTTTTAATTCCTCTAGCACATTCGTTCAATATCATCTATTTAAATATATTATAAAAAACTACTTTAAAAAAACTAAATGTTATACTTTCAAAGCTTTTTTTTGGTAAAAACGATTTAGGATTTAGGCTTTAAATGTGATATTTTACTTCACCAATTATATAAATAAGGCTATATGTTTATTATTCATAACAATTAATTAAAATTAGATAAATAAAGAAATAAAATAGCATTACCAATATACTATTTTTTAGAATTAATCAAATTGTTTACTATTAATATAAATTTATAATTATTAATAAGAATATGCAATTTTTTAATCTTGAAAATAAAAATAACATGATTTTTATAAAAGATAATTGATAGTTAAAATGAATTGAATAAAGCTTTATAAAATTTTATGAATTACTCAAACTTAAATTTTATTAAAAATAAATAAAATTCTTATTAAGAGATAGTAATTAATTGCTTAAAGAGCTTTTGATAGTATAATTTATTTTTGGTGATTTAATTGTGATTATAAATTATAAGTTATATTTAATAAAGTATAATAGTCAATTAGAATAGTATCTAATTACTCCCTAGCTAGCTATTTAGTTAGTTTGCTCTGATTCTTGAATTTTATATACTTCAACATTTATTTTGTGGCTTATTTCATCTTTATAGGAAAATAGGGAGTGAGTTGCAGATGAAATAAATTTATTTTAATTAATAAGATTCATAAATAATTATATATAATTTTCACTATCAAATTCTTCAAGAATTTAAGACATCTTCCTGAGCATAAATATACTAATATTTATCTTAAGAAGCCATACTATTGCTTTAAGGCATGCTAGCATTCTTGATAGAAAGAATTTTGGTTCTATCATTCTTTTTTAATTATCTGTACCTATCTTTTAAGTCATTAATAGGATCTAAATTTACTTTGTAGGCTTTAGTAATTTCTTTAATTTTTGCATTTTCTTTGTCTAGGCTTCTTGCAGCATTTCCTACTATGCCCAGGCCTAGTACACCGCCACCTATCATATTATTAGTGCTTCCGCTATTCGAATTTCCTATTCTAGGTAGTTTTGAGCCATTTATGTTTGGAAGTCTGTTACCATTATTATTTTGGCTAATATTTTAAATTATGTTAATCATTTAAAAAATTGATAAGTTTAAAATATTTTTACTCTTCATAAATGATAGATTAGTCAATAGAATTATTTTTTCTCTGTTTGGAAAGCAGTGGCTTGGACTCTCCTTCAATATCTAATAGATTTATTCCTTAATTCTTTTTCTTTTTCAATGGAGAAAGCTCTTTTTTCTTTTTGATTGGAATGTAAGTTGGTTGAAGAGATTTGTCGTTATTTAATTCATATTGTTACTATATTTCATAATCATAAATTAAATATCAAAAAAATTTTAGATTATATTTACTTTAAGCTATAGTATGTCTATTGGTTTTGAGTGCTTTGTTGAATGTATATCACTCTTAACAGATTCAGGATAGTAATTTGGAGAAGCCAGACCATATTTATCATACTTTGATTGGATTTCATACTTGTTAATATGCTTTTTAGATAAGCTTCTGGGATGAACCTTATGAGCTAAAGAAACTTATGAGGACTAATCATCATATGCATTTTAATTTATTTCACTTCCTCTTTCATCGATTTCTTCTCTGTTGCTAGTTGTGCTTGGCACATTATTAATAATAGAACTTGGATTATTATTAGGTGGCACGTTCTCATTACTTTTGTTAGAATGATGATTCTTTCTTTGCTAAGGAATCTTAGGAAGTACCAATTACTTCATTTATTCTGGAGACGGAGAAGGAGATTCACGATCAGGTATATCGGTATACCCTGCTAAAGTTTGCAAAAATCTTCTTTTATCTATTCTCTTAGTTTTTAAAGGTTCATAATTTGGTTTAGGTAATCTATCAGTAAGATAATGCAAATTTTTAGGAATTTTTATGGTATTCAACAAGTTATTTTAAATTGCTTCGTCAACTTCAGTTAATAAAGAATCATTCATTCTTTTAATTACAGCTGGCATTTAAAGAATTTTATCTTTTGTTTTAAAAATAATAAAAACTCTAAAAAAATAATAATTATATTAAATGTAAGTTAAATTGATCATTTTCAATTACCACATGAGGGTCTTAATTGAGGGGATACTTATAAAAGGGATCTAATAATATTAGCTAGATCTTAAGAGAAATGAGGCGGGATTCTAGGATAGTATCCTCTAATAACTTTTTTATAAAGACCTTCCATATCTTCAGCCCTAAAAGGTGGTTTAAGAGTAGTCATTTCATATAAAACACATCCTAATGACCAAATGTCAGATTTACTGTCGTATGCTTAATCTTTCCACACTTCTGGACTAAATAAAAAATTAAAATGCTTATGAAGTTCAATCTAAATTAATTTCGATGTTAGAAAAATTATATCTCATATTTATATATTTGCATTTATTATTTTTTAATAGAGTAAGGTAAATTAAAAACTTTCTAAAAAATTAAGAAAAATTAAAAATAGAAAAAGAAATCTAATAAATGTTTAAAAGAGATATGAAATAATTTATATTTCTAAATGTTTTATTTTAGGGAGTAAGAGGAGTAAAATATATTCATTTATTTATTTTTACCTGGCGTAGTAAGGGGTACCCGTTTAAGTATATAATAATCCTTATTTAGCAACTTTTGAAACGTTCATATCTCCTAACTTAACAATACCTTCTTTAGTTAGAAACACATTTGCGCTCTTATTTTTATATAATATATATATATTAATTAAGAATTAATTTACTATTTTCTTTGTTTTTAAATGATTATTTATATATATATAATTTTTTTTTCTATTTAAGCAAAAAAAATTTAATGTTTTAGTTTTTTCCGTTTAAAGAAAAAATCAAATTAAATATTGATTGCCCAACTTAAAAATCATCAAATCAACTAATATATAATCTATCTATCAACCTTGAGATCTCTGTGAAATATTTATAAGCTATGAAGTGCTTTCAGGCCTTTGACAATCTAATTTTAGTAGATAAATTTAAGAGTTACTCTTAAAAATTATATTCTTGAGAAAATAAAAAATATAAAAATCTACTTAAATAAAAATATGCCATATCTCTTGTTCTGGAAAAAGTTATCCTTTTTTTTGAAATTCTACTATTTTTTAATAGAGATCTCCATTATCTGCATACTCCATTACAATACTTTAAAAAATAAAAATATTTTGTTTTAACAGGACTATATAAAATATTGAATTTTACCATAATGAGTTTGACATTTCATCGACAAAAGCTTCCTTATATCCAATTATGTTTGGCTATCTAATAGAAGCTAAAATTCTTACTTCGTTCAAAGCATTTTATTTTTCTTTGTCAGAAAGGTTCATGAGCTTAACTTTTTTAAGCGCATACTCATTATCATCGCTAATCCTCTTTACTTTATATACACTACTATATGCTCCTTCACCTATTCGTTAAATGAATTAATTTTAATACATTTTTAATATAAAATATATTTCGAATAATCTTCATCTTTTCTATATAAAATTATTTGGAAGAGGTATCTTTAAATTGATAAATCAAAAAATTATTATATCTGATTTTAATGGTTTCATAAGGATACTCTAAAATAATTTGATATGCTGATAAATTATTTCTAGCTTAATATGGTAATTTATTTCAAATAATTGCCTAGTTTTTGAATGATAGGAAATTCCTTTAGAGACATTCCTTTTTATAAAGAGAAGAAAGTGGAAAGAATTATTGATTGATCTATTAATACAAGCCTTTGAAACTTATTACTTTACTGTTTTTTAATGATAAAATTATATATATAAATTGTTTATTTCTTTCCTTGAATTTATTATTAATTAAAATAAATTAATTGATTGATTGATTTGATGATTTGATAAAAGACCAATCACTAAATTATCAAACATTCTTTTCATAATCAGCTTTCATAAAGACAATAAATATGAAATCATTTAAAAATTTCATATTTTTGATAGCATTTCTATTTGCGCATATTTGAATGTTAATTGACTTTCTTACAATTCTATCCTGAATTAATATTTTTATCAATTTTTAGTTAAACTAAAAAGCTTATTATTCTAGTAAGAGTTAAGAAAAGGCTATAAATTAACGTAGAATTTTTATAAATTATTTATTAACAGAATACCCTATTCAAGTTAATTTTAATATTTTTATTTTAAATAGTTTATAAAATCTTCATTTATAATCGTTAACTACTGCTTTTAAACAGATAAAAACTTTATTAAAACAAAAATTAATCTTACTTTTAAATAGAATAGTTATAAAAGATATAATTTAAACGTTAACAATATTATTATATCCTTTTAAATTGAAAAATAAGACTCTCATTTTAAAAGGAAAAAAACAATTTCACAATTTAAAATGTAATTTTTTAATTTGAATGAACTTTATTAAAATAATTTATAATTAAAATTAAGCTTAAATAATAAATACTTTATTATTGAAGTCAAATGAAAAATTTTATTTATTTATTTTATTTAAAATTAAGAAATGATTTTCAATTAATATTTTATTTTTCATATTTTGTAGTATTATTTTTAAACTATTATAAAATAAATATAAAAATAATTAGGATACAAATTTTCACATATTTGTCTAAAATAATCAAGATATTATTTATTATTTATAAAGTTTATAATTAATGGAAAATAAATAATGTTTTTAATTTGATGTTGATCAAAAATTTAATATAAAAAAAAAGAATATCTAAATATTTGAGCTTGTCTATAAAATTCAATTATTATAAAAAGTATTATACAATTATGTGACCGAAAACATTTAATTGCTAAAAGAATAAATAAATTACAATTAACATTAATATTTAATAGTAAATTATTCTATAAAAATCATAACCCAACAAATTTGAATAATAATAATAATTATAATAAAAATTTGTTATTAGTATTTTCAAGAGGTAAAAAGTTAATTAAATGTATTAAATTGGTGTAAACATGATTGAAAATAATAATCTTCCTCAAACTCAAATTCTATAACAGTCTTTAAATATTATTCAAGAAGATAAATAATAGAATTTATTTAATAGGATGCATTATGGAATTTAAAATAGAATAAGTATGTAAAATCAACAAGGTGAAATATTAAATACGCATTAAACTAAAAATGATTAATTCTACAAGAATTAGTTATAAAACTAGTTTTAATGTAGCAATAACTTCTCTGAGTAGAATGTAAATAATTAAGTTATCCATAAAAACAATATCAATAACAATCAAACTAATTAGGTAAACGATAAAATTATTTAAGGTACTTTAAATGATTTAGGATAAAACTCCTATGAAAAAAGCCTTCATAATTAATAATTTGGAAATGGATAAGAAAGAATATAAATCATCAATGGTGAATAAATGAAAGATCCCAAATTTTAAGAAAATTTTCACATCAGCAAACTAAAAATATAAATGTAATTAAAGCACATTGATACCGATTAAATTCAGACTTTAGGTAATTTGGTTGCTAATTAAGAAAATTAGTAATAAGTAGAACAGTAATCATTATCAAAACTAATTCAAAATAATTTAGGGAATAATATCATAGATCCATTAAATTTAAATAAATATGCCTCTTAGAATACTTAAGCAATAAGTGATATTTAGTTAAATAGCACTAATTAGATAAAAAACTTTTAAAATTATGGTAATAATTAAAGTTACTTATAATCTGTTTAAGGTAATAATGTAGAATGTTCAAAAGATTAGTATTGTTATCAACGTGATAGATCTTGTAGCAATTAAACAACTTTGTTAAATAGAAAATCATCAATAAAAGAAAATTAATTAAGTGGGTTTAGAAAAAATTCAAAAAACAACCCTCAAAAAAAAAATGAAGAAAATGAAGTAAAGGTTAATTAATATAATTAGGCTCAAATTTAAATCTTAAATGTCTAAGATTAGTAGTAAGCTTAAGAATTTCCATATAGAGTGAGCTTTTAATCAAATTATTCTTCAGAGTAATAACAAATTTCTCCAAGATCATCTAAAAGAGAAACTATATCGTTTGTAAATCATAAGAATTCTTCTTCATCTTCTTAGTCATCCAATAATTTATTTGAGGTAGAGTAATATGGACCATGTAATGAGTAGAATTGTATATTTTAAAAATAGACAATTGAGTAAATACATCACTAAATCTAAATCGATTATGGTAAAATATTTTGTAATTTAAAATAGTGCTTTCTTTTCAAAAATAAACTACAAAAAATAAAAATAAAACAAAAATTGAAGTAAAATATATAAATAAATAAAGTCTGTTAAGGGTAAAAATTCTACAATAAATGATTATTTTCAATATCAATTATAAAGAATAATTGATTGAATAAAAATTAAAAGGTATTTACTTTTCTTCGAATTTTCGATTTAAAGATTTTGATGTAAAATTTAAGGACTAAATTAAACTTTATCTGCTTAACCGCAGGTTATTTTTTTCCAGAATATTTTTTAATTCACTTAATTAAAATTCACATTTTTCATAAAATCAAAAAGAAAAAGGAAAATATATTTTTTTTGATTTAGATGCTTAGTAAATTTTATATTTTTTGAACTAAAGTAGTGGCAAATATATTTACCCTAAAAGATATCTGAAATAATTAGTTATATTTGAGAGCATATTGTTATTTTTTTTTCCCCTCTTCTTTTATTAATATAACCATTTCCTTCTTTACTATATTAAGAATAAAGAAATTTAAAGGAATTTCATTAGTCTGACTATTAAATTTAGTAAAAATCGCTACTTGCATAGTAGTCTAGCCTCAACCACTAGAACAATTATGAACTAAGAGAAGAGATGGTAAATTAAAAAATTTTTACTTTTAAATCTTAAAAACTATATACTGTACTAATAATAATATCAAAATTTTTTGTGTGAAATAAAATTGATAATATTTAAAATATTTCTAATAATCAAGATAATTTTTATTTTTAATTTATTCCACTAATCATAAAAATTATTTTGAAAGAAAAACATACTAATTATTTCCAAATAAACATATTTTCTTAATTGAAATTAAAAACATTAGAAATTTACTAAATAAAATTTGAGTATAAATCAACAATCGTGCATGCCAACATTATAGAATGAATAATTTAACATCTAATAAACGTAGCCTTAAATCATACAAAAAGAATTAGTGTCAACCTAATAGACTTAATTGCTTGCCTCCATACCATTGGGTTTAGAATATTAAGAAATCAATGGGCTTGAAAAAAAGTAATTTTGATATTTTAAATACTCATTATTATAACAATCCCCACTGACTTTTGGTTTAATGATATTCTTAATAATTTCAAAGAAAAAGAAAATTATAGGGAAAAAAAGAAAAGAATTTTTATATTGTTTATATCTCTTAAAAAAAAGTAGAGAAGTGAAAGAAAATAAATACAAAAAATTAAGCGAACCAAGTATTTTTTCATAAAAGCATAATTATTACTTTAAAAGCTAAAAAGTGTTTAATTATAAAGGTTTTAGCATTCAAGGAGTACGCCATTTTACTAAGGAGAATAAGAAGATAAAAGTTTTGATTAGCAGCCATAAAGAATGAGCATTTTAGCAAATGGAGCATAGCCACTAATAGCATTAACTCAATATGATTAAACAGCGATAAATACTTATACATAGTAATAATTATCATCTCCTTCAGTAGCAACAGTGATGCCACAGAATCAAAATTTAGGTGTATATGAAAATTAAAAATTAATAGATATTAGTAAATAGGATCTATTATATAATAATAATTAGGCTAAATAATAGCAAACAAATATTGGCTACTAAACTCAAATGTATTTTTTTTCTTCATTTTTTCGAAAAATAATGATATTAATACTTTTATTAAAAATAGGAATTATGAATAAAGCAAAATCTAAGAAGCAAATAATTAAAATTCAACTCATTTAGATCACTAAAAAAAAAGAGAAGAAAGTACTAAACAATATTCAGCAGATAAATATCGCCATAGTAGGAAAAAACGCTCTTCATCATCTTCTTAGCACTCTGCTAAAAGAAGTAGAAGTCGTTCAAAAGATAAGAAAAAATACAACAAAGACTCAGGAAAATAATCTTCTAAAAATTAAAATCATTAAAACTCTTCACATCATAAAACCTATCCTAAACCTCCAACTATAAATGAAGGTAACAATATTTTTATTTAAATTAAAACTCCTAATTGAATATTTATGCTAAATTTTAATCAATCAAACTAAAAAATATTTACTTTTTAATTTTTTTTATGTGATGTTTAAAGCAATAAACTTTAGTCTTTCTTTTATTTCGATGAAATATTGTATAAATAATACCTTTTTGATACGATAAAGACTTATTTAATAATTCAGTTTTGATTAAAAGGGATTAAGCTTGCAATTTAGAAAAAAGTGAACTAATAATTATTATAAAATGCTAGCAATATTTTTTTCTAATCAATCACTTATTTAATAATTTAGTATTATTATTAATTTTTAACCACATTAATTCATTTGTGTGTTTTCAAAAAATTTAGCAATTTATTATTACAATATTTTATTTTTAAAATTTTAAGATATAAAAGTTTAAGATATTTAGTTCTTTCTATTTAAAAAACGATTTTAAGAATTAAATTTCCTTTTATTTTATTTTTTCATCGATTTAATAATATTAAATTATTGTTTTTTAAAGAATTAGGTGATTGGAAATGCTTTGAGTGTGGAAATTGGAACTTTGCTAAAAGAGTAAATTGTAATATATGCTAGCATGCGAAAGCTGACAAAAAAAAGAATAGTAATTAGGGATCTTAATCTTCTAATCATTAAGGAAATAGTCATCACAGTAATAGTCATCACCATCATTAATCTTCACAGTCTCATATACAATAAAAAAACCACCAAATAAATAATCATCATTCTAGCTAAAAAGAAGATATCAAGCATTCTTCTCATAGTCATCATAATTCTCATCATCATTACCATCATGATAGTAAAAAGTCTAGAAGAAGCAGAGAACGCTCGCATGATAATCAAAGCTCTCATGATTTAAATAGAGGGCATCATCATCGTTCTTCATACACAGATTTAGCTTCTATTGATGATAATAAGCGCCATGATGTTGGGAATCATAAAAATTAAATGAAAACTAATTACTCTAATAAGCATGAGGATGATTATCACAAAAGAAATAATCACTAATCTCATCACTAAAACAGTAGTATGTATTAACACACAAATAATAATAATGTTCATTAAAATCATTACAACCATACTAATTCTAGCCATAATTTAAGTAATAATAACTCACATATGAGTAATCACCATCACCATCATAGCAGTAGTCATCATCATAGTAATAATAACCATCATCACCATAATACTAGCTATAATAATTATGGAACTAATTATCACAGTTAAAAAGGAGATAGATAAGATGATTATTAAAACGATTATGATAGAAAAAAAGATCATACCCATAGTAGCAGAGACAAAAAGTATGATCACTCTTCTAATTCATAAAATTAAAATAACAATCATAGTAATAATTATCATAATAGCCATAATAGTAATTATTAAAATAATGGACATTATAGATAATCATCTTAAGAAAGGCACCATAATTCAAATAGTCATAATTATTCTAATACTAATAATTAGCATTAAAGTGGAGGTAATTACCATTAGGGTGGTAATAATCATCACTAGAGTGGAAATTATCATCACTAAAGTGGAGGTCATCACCATTAAAGTGGAAATCACCATCATCAAACAGGAAATCATCACCATTCTAGTGGAAATCATCATCATTCCAGTGGAAATCATCATCATTCCAGTGGTAATCATCATCATTCCAGTGGAAATCATCATCATTCTAGCGGAAACCATCATTAGAGCTAAAGTCACCATCATTCAAGTAGTAATCATCACCATTCAAATGGAAGCCATCATCATTCCAGTGGACATCATCATAATTCAAGTGGACATCATCATAATTCAAGTGGAAATCATCATCATCATCATTCAAGCGGAAATCATCACCATTCAAGTGGAAGTAATCATTAAAATGGAAATTAATATCATTCAAGCAATAATCATCACCAAAACAGCAATAATTATCATAGTTAAAGTAGCAACCATCTTAATCATCATTCAAGTAATAACAGTCATCACTCTAGTAACCACAATCATTAAAATGATAGTCATCATCAATAAAATAATAATCAACACCACTAAAGTAGCCATCACCAAAACAATTAATTACAAAATTAGCAAAATAATAATTAAAATAATAATCCTAATTATTTAAATAACAATAATCACAATTTAAGTGTTAGTAGTCAGCAATAAAGTAGTAATAATCAGCTTAACAATAGTAATCATTAAAATTAAGCAATGCATCATAATTAGAATAGTAACTAAGGATAGAATATTGATCATTATGGAAATAATCATTTAAATACAAATTAGATAAGCAGTAACAGAAAAGATTATGAGGATTAGAGTTATAATCATTAATACAGCAACCAAAATAATGATAACTAAGCTTATACAAATAAAATTATTTCTTAATCTAATCAAAACTCTGTAAATAATGTTAATAGCAACAATTAATTTGAATATAATTAGCTTTAACAACAAAATTAATAAAATATACAATAGTATAACTAAGCAAATTCTGTTAGTAGCTATCAAATTAATTAAGGATATTAAGATTAATAACTGCAAAGTCCTTATCCGTAATAATAATAATAATAGTAATAATAATATTAGTAGACTAACTAAAATTTAGGTAATTAATCATAATACAACTAAAACTAACAGAATTTGAATCATAGTGGTTAAATTTAACAATAATATCAGTCTTCCTAGCAACAAAATTAATAATATATTATGAATAACTAATAAAACTAACAAAACAATCCTTAAGTATAGTAAAATAACTAAGTTCAATAACCTTAAAATTATCCTTATCAAAGTAATTAATAAATCTTAGAAAATAAAAATGAATTTTATAATAATAGCTATTAAGGATTTTAATAAAAAGTTAGTGAAAGTAGAGGACATAGCCAACATCATAATAGAAATTCTTCTCCCTCAATAATTTAATAACAATAGCAATAATAAAACTTCTAATAATTGTCAGGATTTTAACAAAATGTGTATGAATATGACAAACCATACTAATAATTAGAAAATAAATCTTAGTAAGAGTAATATTTATAATAAAAGACTTGCATTAATGAGCAAAATAATTAATAATTTGTAGATCAATAGTATATTAAACATTAAAAAGTTAGTGAAAATAGACAAGAAAACTACACATCTTCTTTTTCAAATAATAATTAAATTAATGAGAATATTTAACCTTAATAAAGATAAAATATATCATAAACACCTAGTAGTGTGTAAATTAAATAAAACAATTCAATATAGAACTCAACTGGCAATTAAGCAAATAGTAACATCTCAAATGATAGATCTTCATATTCTTAATCTAAAAAATCTCATAACCATAGTCATAAAAGCGAAAAAAAAGACAGCTCTGAAAATAGATCAAATCAAAAGAAACCATTTTAAAAAAAGGAAGGGGACTGGGTATATTTTTCGATACTTGCTAATTATTTTATAATTTTTTAAATTAACAATTTTAATTTAAATTACTAAATTAATGTAATAATTTATAATAAATAGGTTTGTCATAAATGCAAAAATATAAACTATGCTCGTAGAGATGAATGTAATCTTTGTAAGGAAAAGAAAAAATGATAATTTAATATATTTTTTAGGTAATAACAAAAGAAAAAAAAGATAAAGATAAATATATTTAATAGTATAAAAAGATTATATCTTTATTAATAATAATAAAATAGTATAAAACTTTGGATTAGGCTATGTTAAAAATATTATTTTTTAGAAATGATGATAACCTACCTAATTAAGAACCTTTTTAATTGAATATGTAACTTAAAAAACATATTTTGATACTAACTATTAATTTAGTAAAAAGTAATTAATACTATATAACTCAACTAAAATTAAATTCGAAATTATTTAAAAAATATAAAAAACAAACTACAAACAACAGTATTAAAACTAACCATTATAATATATTTACAGAAAATATTTTAAATTAAATTCTAATAATAATTGCTATTTTAATTTTATATATTCACTATATATTACAAGATAATGAAATAATTTTAATTAATTCCTAGTAAGCTGTTTTGGTATCAACTCTATATTTTTAAAATAATCAAATTTTTTGATGTTATAAATATTTAGATATTTATTAGTTATTCCTTAACTTTTGCTTTCTAAAATTATTCTCTTTTTTTTCTAATAGATATTATGTATTAAAGTATAGATATAATTTATTAACAAAAAATAATATAACTGAAGTTATAAACAATTTATTTTATTCAAGCTTTATGAATTTTTTTTTTTAATTTAAAACAATAAATAATTAATAATTAATTTAAAAAAACCATGAAAAATAAATAAACTCTGATAATATAAATGAAGAAAGTAAGTAATAAAAAACAAATTATTCTTGAAAGAAACATAAAAAATAAATATGTATGTAGTAAATACTATTTCTATATAAATGATTCATTTGCAACAATCGTTTAGTATTATCTTTATTAATTTTAATATAATAGAAAATAAGAATGGGTTTTTTATTTAGAAAATAAAGTAGGTATGTATTTATTGCCTTGATTATTAGATAAATTGTTGATTTTTGTTGTTGTTGTTGTTGAAGTTAATGTTAGTATAACTAATAAGAATTAAGAAATGTGATATTTTCTTTTAAAATATCAAAGTCTTTCAGAAATTATCAAAAGGATCGTTTCCATTCTTTGAAACATTTCTACCTTATTCATCCAAAACAGGTTCTATTTTAATAAAATATGAAATTTAGATATGTTGATAGTAAAAAAATTTTACTCATAGAAGTGAAATCTTTATCAAAGTTGTCTAACCATCTTTCATCTGATACATTAGGTTTAAAAGGAGGTTCTATTTGTTTATTCAAAAGAGCGTTCCAATCAATATCCTTGAACCAAGGGTGCTACATGATTTCTTACAAATCATTCTTTGCACCAAGTCTCAATCTTCTATCACGGTTTAAGCACTAATAGTTTTTTATAGTAAAATTAATAAATACTTGCGAGTTTATTTTATTATTAGTTTAAGATTCAATATCATTTCGCTTTTTATTTTCGCTAGTAAAGCTAATTTCTTTTTCTTAACTCTAATAATAATTCTATTAAATAGTTTTTTATAGTATTTACCTTTGAGATAAAATCTTTTGCTTCAGCAGAAACAACTGGCTTTTCAGGGAACTTTAATTCAGCTTCCTTAATCAACTTAAACATAGTGGCTTATTATTTATTATAGAAAGGAGGAAGGCCAAACATCATTTCATAGCTTTATTTAGAAAATAATTTTAAATTTAATTTAAATAGGATGAAAGATAAGTTTTACGTAAGAATACCAAGTGACCACCAATCGGTAGTTTGATCACAACCATGACCAAGGATAACTTCAGGAGATAAATATTCAGGAGTACCACAAAAAGTCATAGCCAACTCATTCTATTTAATCATTTTTGCCATACCGAAGTCAGAAACATAAACATTTCCAAAGTCATCCATTAAAATATTTTCTAACTTTAAATCTCTATATACAATATTCTTGGAGTGGAGATGACCTAAACCTAAAGAAAGTTAAGCGGCATAGAACTTTGCTCTCTTTTCTTCGAACCTACGAGCTATTCTCAAATGTTAGAAGAGCTCACCACCCTCTATTTAATATTTTTAAAAAGTTTTTTATTATTGATTATAAGTTTTAGTTGCTTAATTTATTTATTTGTTTGTTAATTAAAAGATAATTTAATTAGAAAAATTACTCATAAATTGCATAACAAAGAAGAGACGTGAGGGATCCTAAAAGGCATAGACAAGATTTACGAGGTAAGGGTGATTTACGTGTTCAAGAATCATTTTTTCAGTCTTGGTGTGCTCAAATTGTCCCTTTTCTAAAATGACATCCTTTTTAATAACTTTCATTGCAAACCATTCCCCTATTTATTTCATTAAAAAATTTATTAAAGCAAATAATACTGAATAAAGTTTGTAAGCCTATACCTTTTTATTTTTCTTCTACCAAAAGAACTGTACCGAAAGCTCCTGCACCGAGTACTTTCAAAACATTGAAGTCATCAAGCTTGACTTCTTTACCCTTTTCGCGAGACCATAAAGTTGAAGTTCTCTTCTTAATATCAATATACACATTAGCTTGTTAGTCCATCATTTATTTCAATGAATTTTCATCCATAAGCTAAAAAATAAATTAAATAATATTAAAAATACATTACAAAATCAAATAAATTTTTTACTTTTGCATCTTCGACTGGCATTCTGTTCATTTTTTTCTTTTTATCATGCTTAGTTGTTGCATAGTTAAAGAGACTTACATCATCCTAATATTTTAAGTTATTTTAAATTAATTTTCTTCTACTTACTAGCTTTTTATCTATTAATTTTCAAAAGTTTAGCTAATATATAAATTAATTTACCTTAAAGTAGCAAGGCATCTTAGTACCACATCTCAAATTATAAGCCTTTACAATACTCATGATAATACGATCCCATCTATTTTTATATATTTTATAAGTTATCATTTTTAAGTAAGGGCTTTTTATTATTCCTTTAAGTTTTGTTCAATTACAGTAAAAAAATTTATTCAAATGATCATTTGGGATGATAAACCATAATCATATTGTATTAAAGTTAGATTAATATAATGTGAAATTCATATATTTAAAGCTTAGCTTCATCATAAACTTTGAATTTCTAAATATGGATGGAGTTGTAATAGTTTGATTAAAGAAAGTTGTTGTTAATTACTTATCAGTAGAAGCATAACGATAATCATACTCATCAGGAACGTGGATAACAAACTCAGTACCAAGGGTGCTAACAGTCAAGGCCTTAATCTTGCTCATATCAATTTTTCTTTTGATGGCTTTTAAATAAATGTAAAATGTTTAAAATCCACATCAATATAAACAAATTAATATTCTTTAAAATTATTTAGAAAAAAGGGGTTAATTTACTAGATCCATTCAAATTGTAAATAGCATGAGTAGTAATCAGAAGGTTTCTTTCTTATCTTCTCTTATAGTCATTGAATTTATAGATGTTGCAACTCATGATGATTTTCTCTATTAAATATGAAAAAAGAAACATATAAAAGGGTTAGATTAGGCGAAACAAGATTAATCAATTAGAAAATATGAATGAAGCTGGTAAATAGCTTAAATCTTGATTTGTTTATAAAATGACCAAATAATTATATAAAAAATAAAAAAAAGCAGTCCAAAAAAAAGGAAAAGTATGTACCTCCTTCATTAAATTGCTTGCTGAGAGATTTTTCACAACCAAGATTTAATTCATCAAAGGTTTCAGCTAAATTATCCATTTGTTTTTATTTGTCTCTGTCTTTTTCTTTATATCAAAAATTATTAATACGCTCTTTTAAGCTTTTGTTTTCTTTCTTTTTTATTTTTCCTCTTTTTACTAAGTTTTGGAGTTGTTATTATTATTGATTTTAATTTAATAAATTTTTTATTTATTATAAATAACTTTTGCCTAATGTTCTCTCACATATAATTCATCAAAATTCGCTAAGTGATTAGACTGCAATATATTTTTGATAATCAAATTTTATTTATTTATTGACTCAATTTTATTTTGTTTTAATTTTATAAGTAAATTAAGCAAGTTATTTATCAAGGAAATAAAAAACCTGTTCTTTAAAAATTTATAATTAGGTAGAAAATCATATATAAAATATCACTTAGTTCTATGATTTTATAGGTTGATTTAAGACTTCTAACTCCTTTTTTCATCTGGTAAATAAAACTCAAAGCGAGTATGCTTTATTTTTATTTTTTTTTTAAACAATAAAAAATTAAGATAGAACTATCTTTATTTTTTTTCCAGCCATTAACTAAAATCTAATTACCATTAATTCTTTCTCACAGCAAGCCTTAAAATAAAAACTTTTATTATGACAATAAATAAAATTAATACATTGGTAAAATCTATATAATATGTTTAGATAGTCAAAAACATATTATAAACTTTATAATTACTGGTTATTATATATTATTGAAACCATTTAGGCTAAACCTTTCTATTTATAGCATATTTATTTTTATTTGCTAGAAGATTTTGTTAGTTTTTTTATTTAAAATTGTCACTGATTGATTTGTTTTTTGATTAATTCAGGAAAGAAAAAGTAAGAATTAGTTATATTAATATTTTTGCTAAAAATCTGTTATAATATTTGCTTAAAGCTTCAAAATGGTTAAAAAATAGTAAAATCATTTATATTTTTTAGAAGATTGTTTTAATCCATTTATTTTATGTGTTTTAATATGGAAGTAATAAGGTGAGCCTATTCAAGGATCGTAATTTATTTCAGTTTTATTGATTAAAAAAGAGAAGTGTACAAGTTTTTATTTTTTATAGAAGCTAAAAAGAAAACAAAACTATGAATAATTGAGCAAATAAAAAGTAACTTAGAGATTTTTAGTATTAGAAAATAAAAAATTTCATTCATACAAAAGTAAGTAAGTATTTTAAAGGACTACTGAATTTATAAATTGAATGCTAAACATGACAAATATTTATTTCTTAACGTTTCCAAAAACACTTTTTAATAAAATAAAAAAATCAATTGATTCGATTATTCAACCTTTTTAATTAGTGCTTATAATAAAACTAAAGTAGATCTAAAGCTATTTTTTTTTTCAACCAATATATTTTAAGAACTAAGATTTATATTAAATGTGCAATAATTAACCACAATTTTATCTGAAAAGTCATCAGTGAAATTTTTATAGACTAAAGTACATTAAATTTAACTTAAATCTTCAAATAACTATAGGTGATTTATGAAATTATATTGGTGGCCAAAGAAAACTTTTTTAATTCTATACTCTATCTTAATATCAATGTATTGATCCATAAAATATAAAAAATGTCTTGATTAATTGTTAAAATTTTATAAGCTTCTCAAAGAAAATTTTACTAAAATATAACAAATATATATTGTGCAATATTAAATAATCTAATAATTTTGATATCATTTAACATATTCACTCTACCCCTCCAAAATGTTATCTTAGTATTGGTTAAAATACATAATCAGAAATGTTTTACACACAAGAATTTCCTTCAGTCATTTAGCTGAGAATTTTTTCTGATAAATCATATGATGAATCTCTCATTTAAATGATCATTTTACGAAGATCTTATTAATCTAAATTTTATTGATTTAGCTAAAATAAACAATAATCAGTATGGTTTTCTACTATCCTGCAGAGCTATGCCGCAAGTTAATCACAGTTTTTCTAATCTAAAATAGAAGATATACCTCCAAAAATTATAAAACTAACACTAGTAAATGGAATTAAAGGAGGAGGAACTCTGTGAATAACAACCTGTTCATTTAACTAAGCTAAATGCTAATTGTGAAGGTCTCTCAAAATTCTAAGCTCTGAATCTGATTCAATGTTTTTAAAATAATGATAAGTTTCTAGAAGCTATATTAATGATTGCTTGTATGCAACATGACTGCTTATAATTTTTTAAACCAATTCTTATGCTTTATCAACTCTTTCTAATGGTATACTTTCTCTTGCAACGCTAAAATATTTAATATTTTTATAATTAAAATAATTATTAAATTTTGAATTATTCCTAAACAATCTGTATAACATCTTTTTTATGTTTTGTTTTAAATGAAAATATTATCTTAAGTGTGAATATTTATTTAATGTTTATAAATACATTTATAAATAATAAAATATACAATCTTATTTAAATTTGAATATATAAAATTATATTATTTTTGGTTATTTAATAATTAGATCAAAATATGAATATATATAAAATGCTTAATAATAAAATATTAAATAACGATATTAATATGATTGAATATAAAAAAGATACAAATTTAGCAAAAATAATAAAATAGCCATTTATTTTTAATATTTAAATATTTTTATTTGAATGAAAAAAATTATTGAAAACATGAATTTAAAAATAAAACAATTTAAAATTCACATTTATTAATTTATTTTTAATTAATTTGTTAATTTTTAATTTATAAATAAATTTAGATATATTAGTTATAATTTGCACGCTATTTTATTAAATGTAATAAGAATATTTAATTTTTTGTTTTGTTTACTAAAATAATTTATGCTATTGGTCAAAAATTTAATTTAAAGAATATAATTTATTTTAAAATTGGAGTGAAAAATTTATTTTAAATTTGAATTTAAAAATCAAAACTCTTAAGAAGACATTTTTTTAAATTATTTTTAAATTAGTAATTTGATTATCAATAAATTTAGAATTAATATAAATTATAGTTTTACATGCTATTTGTGCTAAAATATAATAAGAATGTTAATTTTTTGTTTTTTAATAAAATAATTTATGCTTTTTGGTAAAAAAAAATAATTCCTAACTTGTAACTTATTCTAATAATAAAAAATTTTAGAGAGTTTAAAAAGAATTAATAATATATGCAAATTAATTGGATTTCAATATAAAAATATATAATTTAAATATATATAGTATTTAATATGATATATACTTTGAGTAAAATAATTTAGATTTCACTGAAAAATAAAAAGAAAATTTTAAAAGATGTTATAATTTATATAAATTAAGGAGAGCTTTTTTTATACTTTGGAGACTAAATATGAATAATAAATAATAAATAAAGATACTTTGTTTATTCACTTTTTTAAATTGAAAATTATTTTTGGAGAAAAAAAAATTTTTAATTGATTTTGATAGTAGTTTATTGAATATAATACTTTCAATTTTATGTTGAAGCTTTATAAGAGAAAGTGATTGATATATTGTAAAATTAAAAAGTATCTAACAAAAGAAGTTGGATGACGTTGAGTATCTTAAAAAAAATAATTTAAGATTATTTTAAATTTTGAGAGAATTAGAAAGTAAAAGAATATGGATAATAAATGTTAAATTTTTCATCATCAGGTTTGAACTGGTAAACATTCACTTTATATTCTTCAATACAATTTTAAAGATAAGCAAGCCTATTCAATTAATTATCATAAAATGAAAATAAAAGCAACAAGTTTTGAATATAAAAGTTTTACTCTCCCGTAGCTAAGAATCTATTTGTACTTTAACTATTTCTTTTTTGATATTTTCTCTTAACTTTTGAAGGAAAGGTATCGATTTAATTGTGAGAAAAAGAAAAAATAATTAAAAAATCCAAATAATTTATCAAAAAAAATTAATAAAAAGGTATTTATATTCATATACTCTTAAGTTAAGATATTTTAGAATGATTAAAGATTACGACCATTTATTCAAGCTCGTCATTATCGGAAATAGCGGTGTTGGCAAATCTTCTTTATTGCTTAGATTTAGTGACGATCAATTTAACGAAAGCTATTTAACCACAATTGGTGTTGATTTTAGATTCCGTACTCTTCCTATTGATTAAAAGTAAGTTAAGCTTTAGATTTGGGATACTGCTGGTTAAGAACGTTTCAGAACAATTACTTCTGCATATTATAAGGGTGCTGATGGTATTGTTATGGTTTACGATGTCACATCTGAAAATTCTTTCTAAGATATTGATAAATTTTGGATTAGCGAAGTAGAAAGCTACGCTGAAAAGAATGTTGAATTACTTCTCATTGGTAATAAGAGCGACCTTGAAAAACAAGTTTCAACTCAAACAGCTTAAGAATACGCTAAATCAAAAAATATGGAATTCTTTGAATGTTCTGCTAAAACATCAGATTCTGTCTAGTAAGCTTTTCTTACCTTAGCTCGTAAGCTTATGAATAAAAAAGAATAATTAAATAAGCCTAAGTAATACGCTCCTTAAGGTGGATCTACTCAACCTCGTTAAAATCAAAGTCTCTCTAATAGAAACAATGTTTAGAAGCAAGATAAGGGTTGCTGTTGATTTCAAAAATAATATTTCATATTATATAGTAATCAAGCGCTTGATTAAATATATTGCTTTAAGCAAATGATAAATATCCTAAAAAATACTGATTAAAACATGAAATTTTACTAATTAGGATAATAATAAGTATTAGCAATAATATTAAAATCAATATCAAATTTATAAAAATATAAATTTTTTTTATTTGAAGAATCTTATAATTGTTTGTTATATGTAATCTGTCAGGTTGTATTCTTAAATATTAATTAATATATTTTCTTAGCACATTTAAAATTCAATTTTTTCATTAAAAAATATCAATTTTAAGAAAAAATATAATCCAAATCCAATAAATATTTAAGAAATCTAAAAATAATTTTCCCTTTTTATTAAAAAATAATTTATTTTTGTTAGTACTATTTTGAATTGCTGTATAATTTAACAAATCGACCAAGAAGTTAGAGAAATATTTTATAAAATGAGCAATAATCATAAAAAGTAAAGCGAGGTATGATATTACTTTTGATATTTTAAAATTTTGTAATAAATTTAATTTCAAAATTAATAATAAAAAACTAATAAATTATGTAAATTTGGCGGATTCATTATTTTTTTTTGAAATTTGAAAGCAATTTAATATTTCAAACAAATTTCAATATTCATATTTTATAAATATAATTAATTAAATAACTACCTTAGAATATTATTTGATAGCCCTTTTGTTAAAATGGAAATTGACAACACGATTCACTCCATATCAATTAATGAAAGAGCTTTTCCAGTATTCTTTTGTAAAGAGCACCCAAAATATGAATTAAATCTCGTTTGTAGAGAAAAAAAATGCATGCATATGGGCTTAATATGTGCTAAATGTTTGGAAGCATTCCATATTAATAAATTACATACCAAAAATAGCTTTTTGGGAATTGATGATGTAATTAACTTATGCTTAAAAGTTGCTAGTCCTGTTATTTTATCATAGAATACTCATCCAGCGCACTTTAAAGATGCCAATTATGATAGCTAATTTTACAGATTGGATATACTCTGCAAAAGTATAATAGAAAAACTTAAAGATTTTTAGTTAAAGATTAATTCTTTAGTCAAAAAACTCGAGTTAAATTTAAAAGAGAACATCATACAAATCAGAAAGAAAGCAGTAAATAATCTCGGAGATGTAGGAGAGCTTTTAAATTTAATTCATTAAAAAGTAGGGTATTCTGAAATTTAAGATAAAACTACAAGACTACGAGAATCTTAAAAAGAGCTATTGAAAGATATAACTTAGAATTAATTAAATTTTTGTAATTAAAATATAAACTAAAAACTAAACTAAGTTATTGATAAAGAAGGATAAAATAATTTCAGTAAAAGAAATTTATAAGAAGAAAATAAGTAAAGGTAATTTACTGATATTATTAATAGGATAACTTCAAAATTATCATTAGATGCAAAGATTATTTAAATTTAAGAAATAAATGAATATATTAATAATTACGAATAAGACTTATTAGAATATGAACATGATTTAAAAAGCGAAATTGATACAATTATAGATCAAACTTCACAATTTATAAAAAAATATTATAACCAAAAAGAAAATGCTGAAATCAAAGAAATCTTGTAATTCTAGCAAATTTAACAATTAAAAGAAAATAAAATTTATACTAACATAGCTTTAAATAAATAAAACCTATTATTTAAAAGCTTTTATAGTGGTCAAGTACCATGCTGGATTTAACTTGTAGATATATTAAAAGATGTCTCTTTAACTTAAAATATCATTGTCTTAATATCAAGAGGAGATATAATTACTAAATATTTAAAAACTGATGTGCAAACTTTCTTACAAAATGATTCTTTTCTAGACTCATTTACAAATCAAAATCTACTTGAATACCAAAATGATGAGCTATAATCCATGTAATTACCTTAGCTCTTCCTCTATACAATCTGAAAAAATTATAATAAAATAAGTCTTCGATTTAACAAACCTTATTCAAAATATTTATCACTAACATCAAAAAGCTTTTTAAAATTAATTATTACTTTCTCTTTTAACTTATCATACATACTACTCTATATATGAAAAATCCTACCTTTAAATATTGTTTAATAATTAAAATTCATTTTTTGTTATAAAAAACTAAACTCTGTTTGAAATAAAAAAATATTTTCTCTTAAAAGTAAAAAAGAAAAATTAAATAAAATTATTAATAAATTAGTTCATTAAATATATTCAATTTTAAATTGTATTTAATGTAAAAAATATTTAATCTTTTTGATAATCTAAATAAAATTATTGATTTAGATGCTCAATAAATAAATAATGAATTCTTTCTTTTCTCAGTAAAGAAATATATTTCTCATTTTAATAGAAAAGAGGGAAATGTTATCAGAAAATTATGGATTTCTTATAGATAAATATAAATGTGGATATATAAATAAAAAGGATATTAAGTTTTTCTTTAGAAAATAAGAAACTTAATTTGAGAATAAATAAATGTATAGAATAGGTAGGAAAACAAACAAAGCATTCTGACTTGAATATACAAATACCAGCTAGCAATATAAATAGAAAAAATATAATTCAAAATTCATATAAATAAATTAATTAATCATTAAGATTTTAGAATTTAAATATATACAATTTCTTCAGAGAAAGTGATAACTTAGGATTAAAAAAAGGAAGAAAAGAATTCATCTATCATATCTTCATTGCTCAAAAAAATCAAAACTGTATTTGGAATGGATAAGCAAACTTAAATAAGTTTAGGTACCTACAAGATTTGCTACGAGGAATCTAAAAATTAAAAAGACTACCAAAAAGCATTGAAATATATATTATAGGTGACAGGCCAAAAAGCTGAATATGAAAAATAATGGCATTCAGAAATTATAGAATGCCTTCTAGCTTTAAAGTTATACAATTAATGTGTAAAGAAAATTGATTCTGCTCTTAAAAGCATTTCGAAGTAAGATTATACTGCTCAGCTTGAAAACTATGAAGCATTAGTTGTATCTTATTTAGGCTTATACAACTTGCCTAAAGCTAATGAGTGTATCAAGCACATGGATTCGTTACTATCTAAACTTTCTTCAAGCTCTGAATAGAAATAAGGGTAAAAAGACTTTTCTCAGATAATTTAAGACCTTAAATTCAAAGTAATAAATTTATTTAGGTGAAAGACATATTACTAATATTTTTAAATTTTTAAACAGTTTTTTTCTTTAAACACGTTTATTAAATCCAATAAATCTGAATGTAAAAGATACAAATAACTAAAATTATTAAAATTAAAATAGGTAGATGGTTTCAACATAATTTCATAAGATTAAAGATTAAAATAAGCAGAAGAATATAGAAAATTAGAATTATCTGATGAGGATTCTTAGTTCTTCAAAAAGGCTGGATAGGAAGTTTACTTGATCCCCACTTAATGGCTAAATAAATGGAAAGAATTCTCATCTTACAAAGAAAAATTTGAATAAAGCGATAATATGGAGGATGAGGAAGATAGTAAAAAAACAATTGATTAAATTTATCCAGGCCCTATTGATGCATCTAATTTAGTGGAGACATATGTCAAAAATCATTTGATAGACGCAAACCAAGATTAATTTTTTGAGAATTATGTTTTAAAAAGTGACAAAGCTGAAAAGCATGACTTTGAAATAGTTTCAAAGCAAATAGGTGATTTTTTATATGAAAAATATGGAGGATTTAAAGTTAAGAGAATGACTATCCTTAACCCAATTACAAATGAAGTAAATGTAGAGCTTTTCTTTAAGAAGATAAACTTTATCCCTATACCTACTTTATCTCCTGATTAAAAAGAAGATAGTTATTACACCATTTACATCTCTAAATTTGCAAGCCTTAAGCAATTAAATGACAAAATCAAAAGATCTTTAGAATTTTTACCTTAAAAGAAAAACTAAATTTTGAATAGATAATATTTCAAGCTCTGGAAATTATCTACTGATCTCATGAAAAATTATCAAAATGTTTACAAAACTATGGCCTAAAAATATAGAGAACCTACAATTTAATTAGATGTCAAAGATATTGTTATAGGTGAAGATGAATGTATTGATGTAAATTTTTTTATTAAAATTCATGTAAAATAATAGTTTAAACAAAATTAAATATTTAATTAGGATATGTAACTAACTGATAGTGAGATAATCCTTTATGAATTATCAGAAACAAATAATTTTAAGATTGTTCCATGTCCTTAGAGAAAGTAGTCAAGCAAAAAAGAATCAGAAAATAAAGAAGATTATTAGTAGCAGTCTATAAATTAGAACAGTTAGAGCACTGAAATAATAGATGAAAGTGATGAAATAGAAGGTTTTCCTACAGGAAAAATAAAAATTAGAAGAATAGATGAAAGTCATGTTAGAAACATGATGCAAAAATATAGAATTTAAAATGGACAAAAGGGTTTTTCAGGAAAAAAAGGTTTGTGTGGATTATAGAATTTAGGTAATACATGCTTTATGAACTCTGCACTATAATGTTTGAGCAATGTTGAGGAATTAACAACTTTCATGGTTAATAATGAATACGTTAATGACCTTAATCCTGACAATCCTTTAGGAGCAAGTAAATATTTTTCATATATAACTTTTTTGTAATTTAATTTTTTTTAAAAACTTGAAAATTAATTTTTATAAAATAAAAAATACTAAATTTGTTTTTTCAATAAACAGATGGTCATTTAGCTGTTTCATATGCTGATTTGGTCAGAGATATATGGTAGGGAGGTGATTCTTCAGTCTCTCCTCATTATCTCAAGAAGGTTATCGGTAAATTTGCCCCATAAGTAATTATTTAAGATAGTTTTTATTCAATTTGTGTGGATATTTATTAATTTATTGATAAAAATGTTAATTAATTTTTGTTTCAATAAGTACTTCATTAATTTTTTTTTTGTTTAAAACAGTTTTATGGCTATAGCTAACAAGATTCTTAAGAATTATTAAGTTATCTTCTTGATGGTTTACATGAAGATTTAAATAGGATAAAGAAGAAACCAGTCGTTGAGGCTATTGATTATAGCGGAGGCAAGGATTAAGAAATGTCTCTTGAATTCTTTAAAAACTATAAAAAGAGAAATGACTCTGTGATCAGCGACCTCATGGTTGGCTAATTCAAGAGTACTTTAGTTTGTCCAGATAAAAACTGTGGAAAAATATCTATCACCTTTGACCCATTCCTAACTCTTTCAGTACCCATTCCAAGAGTAACTAAAGAAGATGTTTCCTTCTATATTATTTTCAAAGATCCTAGAAAGACCCCTTACAAAATTGAAACCTAAATTCGTTCTGATTCAAGTCTTGGAGAACTTAAAAAACAAATTAGTGACAATTTAAATATTCCATGCTAATCCTTAATTTTTGCTAATAATGCATAATCTAAAATTGAAGAATTCTTGAAAGATGATGAAAGAGGTGTCCATATTAAAGAAATTTCAGGTATTTGCTTCGTGTATGAAGTAGAAAAAGTGGGTACCAGCATTAAAGATATTAATCAAAAAAGCTAATAAGATATGGAAGAAGAGGAATAAGAGTAAGACAAAGAAGAATCTCCATAAAATAAAAAAACTTCTCCAATTACTTAAAACGATGGAGATTAAATCGATGTAGAAGAAGAAGAAGAGCAAAAAGTTTAAAACTCAAAGAAATCTGTCTCACATGATTTTGTGTATACCGAAATCGAGTTTTGCCAAATAATGGAATCAGATGTTAAGCTAAACTCAAATGTATCAAATACTGATATCCACAATGTTTCATATTCTCGTTTAGTTAGCTTAAAATATAATTCTAAAGTATAAGATTTATATTTGTAAATTTATAGAATTGTGAGAGTATATCTTCACACTTACCAATAAGCTAATGGTTAGCCAGAAGTTAAAATAGATATTGATATTGCTAATGATAGTAGAGAAAACTTGCTAAAAGAGTTATCAGACTTAGAAAATAATCCATAATAAAAATGCCTATTCAGAATTTTTAATAAAGATATGACTCCTATTGACTACAAGAGCTAAGAACCTTTAATTTCTTTAAGAGTCAAGACTTAAAATAGACTAAAAGTTAAAATGGTCTTAGATCATAAAATTGAAGTTAAATTAATGAGAACAAAGAGATGTGAATCATATAATTTTGAAAGTTAAAAGACATCTAAAGAGGTTTCTTCAGGCTCAGCTGATCTTTATGATTGCATCGATGCCTTTGTAAAGAAAGAGTAGCTAGAAAAAGGTAATGAGTGGTATTGCAGCAAGTGTAAAAGACATGTCCTTGCCACTAAACAAATGGAAATTTATAATACTCCTAAAATTCTTATTATCCATCTTAAAAGATTTAAGTCAGGTAATGTACGCAATTTTGGTAGATATTACTTTGAATCAGGAGGTAAAAAAATTAATGATCTCATAGATTTCCCTATTGAGAACTTAGATATGACAAAATATGTTTTAGGCTCAAATGGTAAGCCTCAAATTTACGACTTGTTTGCAGTTAGCCAACATTATGGTGGTATGGGAGGAGGTCACTATACTGCATGTGCTCAAAACTTCCTTAATAAGCGTTGGTATAATTTCAATGATTCTCATGTTAGCTAAAGCAGTGCTGAATAGGCTGTTTGTAGTGCTGCATATGTACTTTTCTACAGAAGAAGAGATTGATTTTTTTTTACAAATTAACTCAGTTTTAAATAAATAAAAATTTAAAAATATTATTTGGTACATAGTAAGAAATATTTTTGTTATGTAAACTCATTTCATAATTATTTTTTTAACTAAAAATAAAATAATAAAGCTTTTTTAAAAAATTTGTATTTGATGAGTTAATGAATTATTTGTTTTTATATTTATTACGAAAAATGTTTATGACCATTTTTATTTGAAATGAAGATTGATTACATTTTTTAGCTTTCATTTTTTTTTTCACAATTTTAAAAAATATTTTTGATTCCTAAATTTTATTCTACATAAAAATATTTGTTTTATGCAATTAAAATACTTTCTATTTTATTTACAGATTTTTAATAATCAATATTAAAAAAAATATCTTGTTTAATAGCAAAATTTTAACTGTTGAGTATTAAACTAAATGTAAAGGAGAATATTTTAAAGTTTAATAAAATAGAATTTATTCATAAAGAATAAGAGTGTTTAGGGAATATATAGATCTAAATTTTATAATTTGCAAGCTTAAAGCTTTTCAACATCATAAAAAGAAGATATAGATCTCAATTAGTTGACAAGTGAAATCGAATAGCTTAAAAAGAAAGTTGGAACAAACACTCAGCCAAAAAGCTCTATGTAAGATGGTAAAAATAAAAATAGGTCAAATATTGTTAAAAAAAGTAAACTAAAATAATCAAATTAGAGTAGCTAAGTGAATTGAGTTAGTTCGAAGCATTTTAATCAGCATCTAGATACGCATCATTAGAAAAATTTGAGTTGGCAGAATAAAAATTTTAAGAAGCTCTAAATATACTAAATGAATAACAACCAGACAGAATAGATTTATAGATTATATTAATGAAAAGGTGAATAAATTTAAATTAGATAATTTTTATTCCACAAGCGAGAAAATTCATTTTTTATGAAAATATAATTAACAGGTTGGCTTTAATGTATAAATTGCAAGACAAAAATTACTTATTAACACCTCTTCTAGAAGATATATATTTTAAGCATCTAGCTTTTTATTCTTACAAAAATGTTGATTATATTAAAATTTTAAAAAATCTACTGACTCATTACTGTATTTATGATTTAGAAAGGGTAAATAAATGCTTAAAAATTATACATTTTAGCTTTATATTTAATTTCTACTTTTAGTTTAATAATTAATTTTCACTTTTAATACAAATTTGTTTTAATAATTTATAGGGATCTATTTTTCTAGAAATGATTCTTGAATAACTTCAACATGAGGAAATTCCTAAAGTTATTGTTAGAGATATTTATTTATATGCTGGAGTAATTTTTAAATAAAATATTTATCCAATAAATTAATATTTATATTTAAGATAATCCATGCTCTTAAAGGTGATGATTTCAATCAATCAGAAAGATTCCTATAAGAATCTATTTAGGCAGGTTTATAACCAATTCAAAAAGGTATAGCAATTAACAATAGATTCATAATAATAAACTGAATTAAAACTATTAATGAAAAGGTATTGCTTATAACAATCTTGCTTGTGTAACTTATTGGAATTGTCTAAAGCTTCTTTTAGAGTTATCCCAAACAACAAAAGAAGAAGAAAAAAAGCAAAAGTAACTTCAAGAGGAGATATAAGAAAGAATTCAATTAGTTGCTCCATTAATAAAAAGAGCTTTTAATGCTTTTGAATGTTATTTAATTTTTTATTAAAATAAAAACTTAATAACTTATTTAAATATTTTTATAATAGTTGAAGAAAAAAATAGATAAAAAGATTAAATTAATGAATAATAATTTACGATACTTAAAAAGCTCTTTGATGAAGAATAAAAAGTTTTTGATCTTACTGGCTTAGTAATAAAATATTCATATATTAATTAATAAATTATTTAAAACTACAAAAAATTTTTAGAAACCTGAAGATGTTTTACTCAAAAATCCTATGAGTTCTGTATGTGCTATGAATATGGGAGAATTTTTATTTTATTCTGGAGATTTTAATGTAAAAATTATTTTTTTGAAATAGCTGCATAAATATTTTTTGTAAAACAAGGCAAGCTAATTTTGGTTATAAGTTAGCCAATATTCATCTACAAAGCTTGAGTCATTACATCGTGTGCTAAGAACTATAGTAATATCAGCTTTAGCTGCTAAAAAACAAAATAAAATAGAATTTGCTGAAAATTTGTTGATTGATTGCTTAGAATATTCTGAAAACTATACCACATTTAATAAAGTCTTTGCTCTTGAATCATATTCTTAAATTTTGAAGTAATAAGGAAGAAATTATGAAGCAAATAGCTATTAACAATAATCAGATAATCTTAGAAATGTCCTTTCTTTTTGGGATGAAAGAAAAGAAAACATACTCATACCAGACTATGATTTCAAATTTTGAGTTTTCTTTAAGAATACTTAAAAACTATTAATTTATATTCATTTTGAACTGTTATTTGTAAAATATACTGAACTTAATAAAACATTTTTTTGCTCAATTATTTTTATAAGGATTCCTAAGTTTAAACTAAATAAGAGATTATTTTTTCTAAAAATTGGTATTGATAACAAAAGTTATTCGAATTTCATATTTTTGTTAAAAAATAGACTAATTATTATTTTTGTTTAAAATAAAATTATTTATTAATTTTGTTCAAAATAAGATTATTTATTAATTTTGTTTAAGTTAGTAATAAGTTTAAATTAAAAAATTTTTAGGTCAGAATATTTTATAAAATTTAAAGTTTAATTACAATGTATTACAAATTAAAATATCTTATTTTATAATTAATATTTTCAACAATTATTTCTTTAACATTATTTTATATTCTATTAATGAATTTAGGATAAGTATTTTAAATAATTTAATTTTATACTCATTTATTCTAAGTGTTTTTCTATTTATTAAATTTTTTATTTTTTGTAGAATGAAACCATTAGTTCAGTATTTAGGGTATTCTCAATATTATTAATTCAATTTATTAATTTATCATCTGATTGTTTTATAATATTTTTTTTTTGTGTGATGGATATATATTCAGTCATTCAAATTCTGGCTATTCGAGTTGATTGGTTTTAGTCAGTTGAAAATGAAAAAAAACCTTACCTTCTATTTTTTTTTTCGATAATAACTATTAACAACTATTTAATCTGAATTATTAAAAAAATAGAAGAAATTAATTAAAAAGACTCTTCAAAATCCTGTAAACAAATTCTATTAAAAACATAAATATTAAGAGGATAATAGTCAGATCTCAAAAAGTAACAAAAATAATATTTTATTTTAAGAAAGCAAATATTAAATGGGTAATACATGCTGTTGTACCAACTAAGCATAAGATTAGTAGAATTAAATAGAAGGAATAACTTAACGCAAGCCTGAGCTTCCTGAAAATGCATTTGATGATGACTAAGAATAAAATACTACAACTAAAATAGGTAATTAGTTAAAATTTAACGAAAAGGATATTTAAATATAAAAAGACTATATCAATAGTTTAAGCTTTAATGAGCTATGCAAATTAAATAATACTAATATCAAACACTCTAAAAAAGCAACTCAGATTCATTTTTATATTATAGAAATAAATATAAAGTATTAATTTATAATTTTTACAGGAAAAACTACTAAAGTAAATGCAGCTCCTCATAATGATGATTAAACAAATGCAAATTCATTATAGAATGATAGAAAAGACTCAAGTAGAAGCATAACTAAAGATGTTTATGATGATAATTCAAAAAATGCAGTGACTTATTCTCATAATATAGATCCTGGTTAATAATTTCATCTTCCTCTTCCAGATATTGCAAAGCCTATAACTGTTATACCCGAATTTCTTAATGAAAATGCAAAAAATACTCTTCTTTCTTAAGGAGACTTTTTATATGATGAAGATGCTCCTGATGATAAGCAATTACCACATGCAGGTCCATATGAATTTGAAAACGGATCAGTTTATATTGGGTAATGGAAAAATGGCAATAGACATGGTCGTGGAAAATAATATTGGAATGATGGAAGCCTTTATGAAGGATACTGGAGAAATAGTAAATTTATTCTACTAAAAAATAATAAAGTTTTTTTGAAATTATTTAATCAATTTTTAGTTTAAAAAAATAAAACTTTAAAATAATATTTTTATAAATCAAGATATGGCAGAAGGAAAAGGTAGATTAGTCCACTCTGATGGTGACATATATATTGGTAGATGGCACAAAGATAAGGCTAATGGAATGGGAGTATATCTACACATAGATGGAGCTAAATACGAAGGTGAGTGGATTGATGATAAGCAAAATGGTATGGGTACAGAATCTTGGCCAGATGGAGCAGTGTACAAAGGATAATATGTAGATGGAAAAAAAGAAGGATATGGAAAGTTTATGTGGGCTGATGGCTCAGTATATGAAGGATAATTTATAAAAAATAATATACATGGCAAAGGTACCTATAGCTGGCCTGATGGAAGATAGTATATTGGTGATTGGGTAGATAACAGAATGGAAGGAAAGGGAGTATTTACTTGGAGTGATGGAAGAAAGTATGAAGGAGAATATTTGGATGATAAAAAGCATGGATATGGTGTTTTTGAATGGCCAGATGGTAAAAATAAAAATTTTTTTAATTAGTTTTAAATATTTTTTTTTAATAGGAAGAGTGTATAAGGGATATTGGGAAAATGGTAAATAACATGGTGTTGGTTATTTTACAGGACCTAATGCTATAGAGAAAAAGGGTGAGTGGAAGAATGGCAAAAGAGAAAGATGGTATAAAGATTATTAATTTTACTTTACTAAAAAACTTTAAATCACTTTAAAAAATATAGGATCTCTGAAGATGATGAAAATAAAGAAAAACAAAAATGATCAAAAACAAAAAATTTGTTGCATAAAAATTAAAATAAAAAAATTAAATTCATTTAAATTTAAAGAGAAGTAAAATTCTCTTTTAAGAGATTTCTTGAAGATGAAGTAAATATTTGTAAATATTCTAATTATAAATAAATAAAATAATAAATAAATACATTATAAATTGTATATCTATAAATCTAGTTTACTCGATTTTTCATTTGTTTGTTCTTATTTTTTAGGATATCTTCATGCAAATTATTTTTTTATGTTTTTTAAATGCAAATTTTAGTTGAATTTATTTTTCTCAAAATTAGTTTTTAAAATTAAATCTCCATTAAAATAAAAATATAAAAGTTAAAGATATTATTAAAAGCATTATACAATTACAGATAGTATGCAAGGTTTAATTATTTTAATTAATCATTAAAAAAAAATATTTTATTGATCATTTTAACATTAAAATTAATTAAATAAATAATTCTTAAATGTTAAAATTAATATTGTCTAATATTTTTATATAATTTTTCTAATTTGTTTTTTTAATAATATTTTTATTTTTTAGATAGAAAGTTAAAATAATAGTAAAATAATTTCAATTTTTTTTAAGATATAATTTCAATATAAATATTTAATTTTTGGTAAATTTATTTTAATTTGAATTATAAAGATAGATAAAGTTACTTTTAGTTTTAATAATACAACTTTTTTATTCAATATCAGAATGATAATTTTGAGTATACCAATTTTTTTAATTTTAAAAGCTTTTAAATTTATTTTTATTTTTGAATTCTATCAATCATGACTGTCCTTAAACTTAAATTTTTATGATTAACTAAATTTTTATTTTGAAAAAATAAATTACGAGTTCATTAATACTATATTTTAGAGATCTTTTTTATGATTCAAACACTACATAAGACTAGTTATGACTTCTTTTTAAGATGTACTAATAAAAAATATTTATTTAAAAGCTTTAATTAATACTTTACCTCAGAATTAAATAAATAGAAACCAAACTATTTAAGTGCAATAGTCCATCTTCCACACAATATAGAAACTTAGAGTCTTAAAAGCTAATTTGAAATAAAGTTTTATATTTATGAAAAATAAATAATGATAAAATATTACGATAAATCTAATTTTAAGTATTTTATTTTGTTGCAGCTTGATAACAAAATAGGAAGGTTCGTAAAATTAATATCAATAAGGTCATTTTCACTGTTTTTAAATTTTAATTAATAAATAATAATTTTATATTAAAACATACTATATTTTTATAGACAAGCTTGTTAGATTAATTAAGCCTTATAAAGTTATAAATAATTCTTAGGCTCCTTATTCTATCAAAGCACTGAATCTGTTTTAATGAAATTTTCATAAGATTAAGTTAATTATCAAATAAATTTTTACTGAATTTCCAAAATTAATTAACTCAAATTGATCAGTTTAGAAAGTTCTTATCCTAATAATTAGACAGATTCATTTGTAATTTAAAACTAATCATCTCTTTTAAAAATTAAAAAATAAATACTGAGTATAAGAAGTTTATTTATTACTTAATAGTAATGTCTAATTTATTTAATCGTTTTAAGCTAGATAATAAGAATTAGTCATCTTATTTTTCACACTCATCAAATTTATCTATGCTTTATAAGCTAAACATATCTTATGCTGTTAATATGCTAAATATTAAATCTTATTAATTTTAATCATCAAATTCAAAAAAATATGCTTTTATAGATTTATAATTACAATTAAAGATAATTCAAATTATTTGTTATTTGTAAATTGGAATTTTTAAACAAAGTTAAAATGATTTTCATGAAAAAGAAATATTATATTTTAGGAAAAATAAGTAAATAAATAAATAAAATTAAATCTGAAGGTATTTATATCAGTTTATACATAAAATCTAAGCTTAAGGATTCAAGGTTTTTGCATCTAGTAATTCCAGCACTAAGCCATTTAATACCATCTTAAGTATACTAATTTCCCCTATTTTTAAAAATTTTCTGAAATAAAGAACAATAAAAAATATTAAATACTATATCATTAGAGATAAATTAACTAATGAGTATAAATTTGATAAAGACTCTGCTATACTAATCAAACCCTGGTCATTAATTTAATTATTTCTTTTTTTATATTATATTATTCTATTTATTTGATTAAGATTTTATTTTACTATAAGTTTATATTCAAAATTTGAATATTTTAGTAGTTGGAAATTCCAAAAGCCAAAGAATGAGCTCCAATATTACTTATTTTGCTTGTTCTTAAAGAAAAACATAAAATATGATTTAATGACTGTCATTTTGAATTTTACTAAAGATATAAAATAAGAGATGATATTTTTAAACACTCTGCTAAATCATTTCCTAATTTTTCTAAACCTTAATCGCCAATAAGATTTCCTCTTAGTTATTTAATTATATTTTTAAAATTTCATTTATAAAATAAATTAATTCAAAATTTTACCTTAAATCTAATGTTAAACTGTTAAGATTTTCAAGTTTCTTAATATATTCACCTAAACTAGCTGCTCCTTACTACTCAATTTAATTTCCACTTCATAATATTTAGCAACTTAAAATTAATTTACTAAAAATATAAAATAATTTTACTATAAATCAAGTACTAAACTCTCTAAAGATTTACATCTCGATATTCCATATATAAGTCCTAATGCACCTTTTTATTCTATTGAGTTACCTCTAATTTAAAATAAAATTTAAAAACTTTATAATTTAAATAAGCATACGATAAATTAATATTGATTGAATTAAGTCCTTCACATTTTGAAATTCCTTAACCGAGCTCAAGAGCTATTTAACTATCTATTTAATTACTCCTATTTATTTATTTGATGAAATATTTCAAATGCTTATAAATAATTTTTTTAAACCTTAAATCAATAGTAAGAAATTTTAAGTTTGAGCATTTGCTAATTTATTAACTCAATTTTTAAGCACTGAATTCGATTTTCTAATTTCTTAAAAAACTTAAATTATTTGTTTTGAAATTTTTAAAATGATACTTAAAAACAAGATTTATTTCATTAATTTGTTTGAGATCAAAGTTTTCTAGCTTTTTAATCAAAAATATTAAATTATTTTTATTAAACCCTAAAATAATTTAATTTACCATATAAATATTTTGAATTTACATATTTTGAAATAACTTTTTTTTTTTACTTAACTCACTAATAATCTTTTTTATAAATTCAATTGTTATAATAAAATAATAATTTATTTGTTCAATTGTAGATTAATAATTTTTTCCCAATTTTAGTGAGAAATTTTAATTTAAAAAAGAACTAAATCTAGTTATTTTTTTTTTATGAATAATTTATTTTAATTTATTAGGAATCATTTTTAAGAACATATTTGATGCATCATTAAGTTAATAAAAATAAATAAAAATTTTTTAATTTTAATATTAAACTTAATCGAATTGAGAAATAGTTTAAATTTTATATATGGAATTTTATTTTAAGGTGCTATTCCCTTACTTACTTAATTAACATGGTTAATATCTTTTAATAAATATTGAAAAAGAAAAAAACGAATTTTAATAATTAAAATATCTCTATCTATAAAATTATAAATTTGATGATCAATGAAATATATAATAAAAAATACAATTAATATAAATTACTCATATGTTTATTTTTTAGATAATTTAAAGATTTTTTTTACTTTCAGTTTTTATTAAGGAAAATTTAGTAATTATATGAGTATATATGTATGTACCAAAGTTTAACTTGAATGTTATTATATTTTATTTTCAAATTTGAAGGTAATGATTACTAAATTTATCGAATTCATCAAAGTCCCTTTTAACTGCATATTAAGGACCAGGATTGTCATTTAGAGGTGCAGCGATATTTATTTTTTATCCGTAGCCAAAGGAAATATCTTTAAATCTTTTTTAAACAACAGGCTTTTCATTAATTTTATAAGTTGTGAGAGGTGGGACTTACTTATCACAATATTCATTGAACATTTTAAGTCTCTAATAGATACTGAATTTCCTCTTTTCATTGCCTATCTTCTCACTGACATTGTATGTGTTTGGAGGAGGATTACCTTCTTAGAAAAGAGGAGAATATATCATTCTATCAGCATATTTTAAATAATTTTTTCTGTAGTGTTCATAGCTTAGTCCGAAGCTTTTACCAGGTTCTACACCTTAAGTTATGCAATGAGTTTATGAAAGGGATCTTTTTTCTCTGCTTCTTTCTGTTTCGCAACCAGATTTACTGCAGCTTCTTTATTAAATATATGAAGTATTGTTTAATTCAGGAGATTCTGGGTATCTAATCTTATAGTGATTCTAATCTTCTAAGTAGCGCTTAACTTTATGCCCATTTGGAGCTGGTGTAGTTTAGGCTTTTTCTATATGCTTAGGAGGGAAAATATCTGTATTTTTGCCTAATCCAAAGCTTGTTGACCTTTTTTTAAGAGTATTGGGAATATTTATCTTGTTTTTGTATGTGCCTGGAAGTTTAGGATCTGGGAATCTTTGAGCTTGAGGGAATTTATGTGAAGGAGCTGAATTCCTCCATGTTGCAACAGATTGTCTCCATAAAGGAATTTCTTAATACACTCCATCTACAAATTTAGTAGGATCTAATTTGCTAAAGTCTATCGAGTTTTTCATAGTGTTTTAACCAGCCCCAGATGCTGTATAATAAGTTCCATTAAATGTTCTGTACATAGTTGAAGCAAGAGAATTGGCTTTTACTGATGTATATTCACTCTTTTAGACTGAATTAATTCTTTTGCGATTAGAATAAGCACTTGAAGGTTTATCGTAATGGGTCGGAGATTGTTAGTCATCTGAACCAAAATTTTTAACTTAATTTTCTTCAGTTCTATCTGGAGAATAGTAATTATCTCCTTGATATTTATTATTAGAATTTACATCTGTTTTTTAGGTATCATAATTGCTTCTTATCTATCTTCTTTGTGATGAATTAGTTTATGGTCTAGTTTTGCTAGAGGTTGTAGATGGTCTACTATTTCTATCTTGATTCATAATGATTCAACTTATATTCTTTTAATAATTAGATTTTTTTCTAATGAAAACTAATGGGAGTATGCGTATTATTTTTTGTGAGTTTTATTCTGTTATCAAGTTTGAGTTTAAAAACTTCTCAATTATAAATGTCAGAACTTTATTATAATTTGTTTATTGATTGTTTATATTATTATTTAATATGTATTAGTTTTGTTTGGCTATTAATTTTTATTATGCAAATCATTATTACAAGGTGAATATTAATCTTATTTTTGATTGATTTAAATTTCATAAATCTTTGTATTTGTGGTGTAATTAAATCAATTTTATTAATCTTTAGATCCCTTAAACACCATTATTTTTTATTTTAATCCTCAAATCTTATCTCAAAGCAATTACTTTTAATAATTAATAAAATTAATACTAAATATTCTTCTCTAAATGACTAAAGTTATTTGTATTGTATTTTATTAGTAAAAAAATTAATTATATTTGAAAAAATAATAAGAAAAAATGAATTTTAATAATCTCATAAAAAATAAAATAATTACATAAAGAATTAAAAATTTTTTATTTTAAACATTAATTAAATTGTTTTTATTATTTTAGTCTTAATTTTTTCTCACTTATTTAAACTTGAAAATTCTATTATTATTTTTTTATATATCACTTTAAAAAAAAGAAAATAAAAAGTTTTTTTAATATTAATTTTTTAAAAAAAATTATTTTACAAATTAATTAAAACATTATGTAAGATACATATTAATATTTTAAAAAACTAAAAATCCTTATTTGATAAGATTTTAATAATTTATTAAAAATTTTTTAATATGCTAAAATTATGGGATTGAAAAAAAAGTTTTGAATATTTCATTTTTGCAGAAATTAATGAAGATTAATAATATATTTATTTATTAGAAATAAAAGTTATTTAGGATTATAGTTGTATTTTTGAAGCTTGTATTTAGTAAGCCTAGTATTAAGCTTTTTAAAAATTACTATTGAAATTTAATTTTGCTATTAATTAAAATTTTATTTATTCAAACTTATTGAATTTTTGTAAATTTGAAGAGATAATGAGCAATGAAAAATAGTAGTGTATATAAAAATACTAGCATACTACTTAATACAAAACGAGCAACACTAGTTCCTTTTGTTTGCCATGATCCTTCAGTTTTGACCATTAAAAAGAAATTAATTGTCATTATTTCTGCATAAATTAAGCTAATTATAAATAAGCCAACAGATTTTAGTTTTTGATATGCTGATCTGCAAATTATAACAAAAGCAGAAGAACCACATAAGAAAGGGAATGCAAGGTTGAATACCATTAAAGCTAATGTAACGACTTCATTTAGGTTAGCTAAGAATCTAGTTACAGATTCATAATTGAAGCTTCCTAAACTAACTATATCCTAAATACCAAAGAAAGATATATTCATAAGTAGGATAAATTTGAATAATAAATAAAAATGGTATGGAACTATTTTATCTGTTTGGAAGAGAACTGATATTTCTTTTTCATGTTCAATCCATGCTTTAAGAAGGCATGCGAATATAATGTAAAACAAATTATCGTAGGAAATTCCAAATAAGAGTGAGAGATTGCACATTACTACGACTAATGAATATAGTCTTAGATTAGAATCTGAGTTTTTATGTAAATTTAAAAAGCATACACTTCCTATCAGAGAAAATAAAATAACCCAATTAATACCAAATACTAAATATGGTACAGTAGAAGATGAAACAGTTCTCAAATATAAAGATATACCTCCACAGTATAAAGTCAGAACAGTCATAACTTTTACACTTTTTTCTAATTCCTACTTAAAATAAAAAAATGAAAAGTAGAATACAGTGATCGATATTGCAGCAAAACCAATAGCATACCAAATATCATTTGCTATTGAAATTGGGGGAAGAATTGGGAATACTGATATCATAAGGCATAAGATACTCCATGCAATAGTTTTGTTTGATATTTTTCCAAAAGAATATTTAGCATGTATCAAGCTAAAAATAGAAACTGCAATAAAGTTGTAACCAATAAATTATCTCTCGTAAAAAGAATACATAAGGCATTGACCAGCTATAGCTATAAGAATATAGCAAGCAACTTATTTCAAAATACCGAAATCCCAACCTTGATTCAAGAATGATCTCTATTAATAGAATTAATACAAGAAATAAAGTGGTAAGCCAAAGTAAGCGTAATACACTAGTTTAGACTCAGTTAAATTTAAATAAATGAGGGAAAACAAACCAAACAGTATTACTAGTATTAAGCAAACATTCTTATAGAATGGAATTTTATTTTATGTGATAATCTTAGATTCAATCTCTTCAGATGTATTATTATATCTAAATACTGCTATTAAGCACAGCAACATAAAACTAGCATATCCTGTACCAACAACAGCTTAAAGGATTTATTTTTAATATAATTTTAAATAGACAATGCCATTTTTTATATTATCTAATTCATCATAAGTGTCAGAAATTATTTTTTTAAGCTCTTCCTTTTATTATTCAGATGTGAATTTGCCATTATCAGTAACTGTTTCTAACTTATCTACTTATTGCTTTAATTAAGTAAGACTATCAAAAACATATTAGGGAGAATATTTGTATTCAGTAAAAAACCACTTTTGCTTTGATTAAACTAGTTGCTATATTTTCTCATAAATTTTTTATAACTAGAAAGCGTTTTATATTAATGCATATGCCTTTTACAGATCGTTGATGTTTAATACATGCAAAGGTAGGACTCCTTCGTTATTAGTAGGAATAGGGATTCCTAATAAAACTGATATTAAGCTTGGTAGCTAGTTTTAATCAATATCAACTCTTTTTTTCATAGTAAGACCCCACTTTTTGGAAAATTCATCATGAGTCTCAGGGTTTTCAGGATCGAGCTCATTTTCAGCAGGTTTAATACTTGCTCCCCAGATAACAAATGGTGTAAAAGTATTTTAAGGATTACCATCACCATGGGCTCCATTGTCTGCCATGCCATGATCTGATAATAAAATAAATACAGTTTCTCCGTCGTCTTTGTAATAATTTCTAATTTTTTCTTCTACTTTTTCTATTAGCTTGCCAGTAGTAAGAATTGATTGATGATACTCTTTGTTAATAGGCTTGAATGCTGGTCCTATAGCATCAGATGAAATCCAATTCATATAGATTAATAATTATTCTGATTATAGCTTTTGCTAATCTTCTTTAAGAGTAACATATTCTTTAAGTAGTTTATGAGGAACTTCGCCTTTCTCCATAGTACCATTATTGAATAGTCTTGTAACTTTTTAATAAATTAGCTAATCAAATGTACTGGCCTATTTATGATCATTATAATTTACTGCTGAATCTGGATAAATGTCAGCTCTTACGCAAGAAGGGCACCTCGAGCTTTCAAAAATATTGTGCAAAAGCTCAGGACCAAAAAATAATCCAGCCTAGACATAGTTAAAAAGTTTATCATATTTTAAAGGACCAGGAGAAGTCCAACCACTTAAAATAGCTGTCATATCCTCTTAGTAACCTCCCATCATATTTTAAACACAAACTCTAGACTCTGTAGGAACTATTGCATGTTAAATACCAAAATTAGCTTTTCCTTCTTTAATACGGTTATGGATAAGAGGTACTCTTGGCTTGCCTATTTCTGGTTCGTAGGATTTGTTTTGTAGTCCATAAATTATGTCAGCACGGCCTCCATCGTATTAGAATATGACTACCCTTTTAGCAAAGCGGCTTTTATTTAATGATTCAATAGGCGTCATTCCTAAAGGTTTCCAAGCTTAAATGTAAACATCAAATACACTGAAAAGGAAAACTAAGTGAAAAACAGCTGAAAACCCAATAGTCAGCCATAAAAATGTGTTCTACTTTTTTTACCTTTTAATAACATCTTCAGCCTTAGCAACTAAATTTGATTCTATATCTAAGCTTTTAATTATATATGTCTAATTATCTTAACTTATTTCTTCTATTTATTCATGCTGTTATGAAATATCATGATATTCAGATTTTGCATACATTTTTTCTAGTTTTATTACAAATTAATTAATTTATGAAAATTATTAAATTATATCAAAATTTTATGTTGCGAGCAATATATTTATTACTAAAAAAATCGAAAGGATAGGTCTTGTTATATGTATTCTCTAATTATTTACAATAAAATTAATGGATGTAAATAAATTAATTAAATAATATTAAAAACACAGCTCAAACTGTTTTTCATAATAATATTAAAGAATTTGAATGTAATGCCATCTAATCCAATTCATAGTAAAAATGAATAGAAAATTATCATTCACAAATATTAATGAATAAAATACTACCTATCCCACCTGCCCAAAATTTTAATTGATAAAGTGATTTTAAAGCTCTTCTAATTTAGTTACTTTTATTTCAAAATTGGTAATTGTTTTTAAGTAACCTAATGAATCAATCAGATTGGTAATATTTTTCTTATTTTTTAATTTAATCTTCTAGTTTTAACTTTTTTCTAATTATGATTTGGTAAAAAAAATTAAAGATTAATTTTAGTATATCAATTATTTTTTAATGACTTTATGTAGATCATATTTACTAAATTTTGAACCCAAAAAAATACGAAGCGAAACCAATTCTTTTTTATTTATAAATTTCCCTTTTAATTAAAGTGTAATTAATTTATTAAGTCTATTAATTCTGACCTTCTTGAAAATTTAAGAAATAAAAACAAGACAATATAAAAAAATTAATTAAATACAAGAACAAGATATTGATCAAAAACTTATTATTTCTATAAAAATTGTTTGATTACAAGTTCTCTCATGATTTTTAATAGGTATTTATACATTTTACAAAATTAAATTTCATCACCCATGAGAAAATAAATAATTATTATTTACAATTAACATTAAATCATATAAAACTAAGATATATGAATGATAATTTTTTTTAATAATCTCATTAGTTAATAAAATTTAAATTTGCAAAGATTTTATTTAAATTACTAAAAGTTTAGTTTATATTAATAAAAAATACATTTAATTTCTAATAGGTTTATACAGATCATAGTATACTTAAAAGTTATGTATGTATTTTTTATTTTAAAATTCCATTTTATTTAAATTCCCTTATTAAAAAATTAATATAGAAAAGAATATAAAAGATTATTAAATAATAAAACAAGAGGTATTGATCAAAAAATCATTAAGTCTATAAAATTTTATTTAGATCTAGTTAATCACAATTTGTACTAATTTTCGATTGATTATTTGCAAAAAAATTAAATAAGTAAATCTATTTATATTTTGTATAAATTAAACTTAAAATATCAAAATATAAAACCAAAATTACTAAAATTAAATGAGATAAAACTAAAATATAAAATAATTTATTTTTTTAAACTCAGGATTTTACAAAAAATTAAAATTTTGAAAGCATTTTATTAAAATACAAACAAATAAAAAGTTGAATTTCATAAAGAAAATACTTATTTTAATTTTTCTGATCAATTTTTATATTTTTCATCAATTTTTGTTTTTTTGAATAATATGTGAGCTATGAAAAGGAGGAAGACATAGAGAAGAGTTAGCATGCTTGATATTACAAAACGAGCTACACTACTTCCCTTTTCTTACCAAGTTCCTTCTGTTCTTACAATAAAAAGAAATTAATAATCACTATTTCTGCAAAATATATTAATAATATGAATAAATTTAAATGCTGTATAAAAATGGGATGGAAGTATCTTTTACTTATCTTAAATAAGTACAGAAACTTCTTTTTCATGGTCAATCCATGCTTTTAAGAGGAATGAAATATTTTTATAATCTCATTAGTTAATAAAATTTAAATTTGGAAAGACTTTATTTAAAGTACTATAAGTTAGTTTATGAAATAAAAAATAAATTTAATTTTTAATAGGTTTACACTTTATAGCATGCTTATAATTTATAGTTGTATTTTTTTACATTAAAACTCCTTTTTATAGAAATTATCAGATTAAAAAACTAATAGAGAAATTATAATAAAAAATTATTAAAAAAACATTGATATTGATCAAATTTAAATTTGCAAAGACTTTATTTAAATTACTATAAGTTTAGTTTATGTAATAAAAAATTTATTTATTTTTTAATAGGTCTACTGATCATAGCTGGCTTAAAAGTTTTTGTTGTATTTTTTTACATTAAAACTCCATTTAAAAGAATTTATCAGATTAAAAAATTAAAATAGAAATTATAATAAAAAATTATTAAAAAAACATTGATATTAATCAAATTTAAATTTGCAGAGACTTTATTTATTTTTCTATAAGCTTAGTTTATGAAATAAAAAATTTATTTATTTTTTAATAGGTTTACTGATCATAGCTGGCTTAAAAGTTTTTGTTTTATTTTTTTACATTAAAACTCCATTTAAAAGAATTTATCAGATTAAAAAATTAAAATAGAAATTAAAATAAAAAATTATTAAATAATAAAAACATGGCAAAAACTCAATAATAAGTCTACAATATTTTATTAAGATCTAGTTAGTTATAATTTGTACTACTTTTTGATTAACTTTTTACTATCCATGTGATACGTAAATGCATTTAATATTTCCTAAACATTAGACACAAAATATAAAAATTTAAAGCCAAAGTTATTAAAAGATATAAAATTATTTTTTTTTAAACTCAGGAATTTACAAAAAATTAAAATTTTGAAAGCATTTTATTAAAATACAAACAAATAAAAAAGTTGAATTTCATAAAGAAAATACTTATTTTTATTTTTCTGATCAATTTTTATATTTTTCATCAATTTTTGTTTTTTTGAATAATATGTGAGCTATGAAAAAGAGGAAGACATAGAGAAGAGTTAGCATGCTTGATATTACAAAACGAGCTACACTACTTCCCTTTTCTTACCAAGTTCCTTCTGTTCTTACCATAAAAAAGAAATTAATAGTCATTATTTCTGCATATATTATACTGAGCATAAATAAACCAATTGGATTAATTTTTTTATAAGCTGATTTGCATACAACTATAAAAGCAGATGCTCCACATAAGAAAGGAATTGATAGTTTAAATAACATTAAAACTAATGTAAGAATTTCTCTAAGATTTACTAAAAATCTTGTAACAGATTCATAATTAAAGCTTCCCAAGCTAACCAAATCCTAAATACCAAAGAAAGATATATTCATAATAAGAATAAATTTAAATGCTGTATAAAAATGGATTGGAAATATCTTTTATTTATCTTAAATTAGTACGGAAACTTCTTTTTCATGATCAATCCATGCTTTTAAGAGGAATGAGAATATCAATATAAACAAAGCATCATATGATATTGCAAATAAGAGTTAAAGATTGATCATTATCACTACCAAAGAATAGAGTCTTAGTTAAGGATCTGAATTTTTGTGTAAATTTAAGAAAATAATGCTTCCAACAAGAGAAATAAGAACTGTCCAGTTAATTCCATAAATAAAACCTGGCACTAATGATGAATTAGGAAAAGTTCTTAAATATAGAGATATACCTCCACAGTATAAAATCAGTAAAGTCATAACTTTTACACTTGTTTCTAATTCATTTTTAAAGTAATAAAAAGAAAAATAGAAGGTTGCAATAGTAACGCTAGCAAAACTAACAACATAATTGAAATCGTTTACACCTATTATAGGAGGGAGAAGAGGGAATATTGAAATTAGAGCACAAGCTAAGCTCCATCTTGCACCAGTACCTGTAATTTTTCCAAAAGAGCATCTGTTATGTATTAGACTGAATACAGAAATAATTAAGAAATTATAAGAAATAAAGTTCCTATCAAAGAAAGAATACATCAAGCACTAGCCTGCTAAACCTATCAGAGCATAAGAGCCTATCAATTTTAAGATATTTCCCCCCCAACCTTGATTCATAAACTGTCTGTGCTTATAGAACTGGTATGTAAAGTAAATTGGGAAGCCAAAATATGCATAGTAAACAGGCTTAGATTTAGTAACATTAAGATATAATAGAATAAATCCACTGAAGCAAAGAGTAATAATTAGGCTAATATTTTTTAGAAAGGGGGAATTGTTTTAATCTACTATTTTATCTTCAGTGTCTTTATTTGTATTTATGTACCTAAAGACGACAGCAAAGCATAGAAGCATAAAACTAATATATCCCAAAGCTACAGCAACTTGAAGGAATGTTTTTTGGTATAACTTTAGATAAGAAACTCCTTATTTTATGTTTTGAATTTCAACATATGTTTGAGATATTATTTTCTTCAACTCTTCGTTTTATTCTTTTGATGCGTTATTACCATCGTCTGATTCTTATGCAATTTTATCAACTTATTTTTTTAGCTCACTGAGAGAGTTAAGGATCTTTGCTGGAGAATGTTCATGTTCAGTGAAGAACCACTTTTATTTTTCTTGAACTAGTTGCTGAATCTTAGTATAGGAAGTTTGGAGTTAGTATGCATTTTATAATAGGATATTGGCTTTATAAACTTCTGTTGCATTAAGAAATTCGAGTGGTAATACTCCTTCGTTATTCATAGGAATAGGTAAACCTATTAGACTAGAAATTAGACTTGGTAACTGGCTCTAATCAATATCAAATCTCTTTTTCATAGTTAAGCCCCATTATTTTGAGAAATCGTCATGTGTTTCTGGATTTTCTGGATCTTTTTCATCATCTGCTGGCTTAATACCTTTACCCCAAATGATAAAAGGGGTCCATGTATTTTAAGGATTACCATCACCGTGAGCACCAATATCAGAAATACCATGATCAGAAAGTAATATAAATACTGTTTCTCCATCATTACCATAGTAATTATTTATATCTTGCTCTAATTCTTCAATAAACTTACCTGTAGTCCTAATTGATTTACGATATTCCCAGTTAGTAGGTTTAAAACCTGTTCCTATAGCATCACATGAAACCCAATTCATATAAACTACTAATTTGTCTTCGCTTAATTTTTCTTTATCGCCTGGTTCCTTATCATAAAGAGTTTTATTTTATCTATCTTCGATTAATGTACCATTAAAGAGTCTTTTAAGCTTATCATAATTATTCTTATCAAATGTGCTCGCCTATACATGATCATAGTAGTTAATTTCAGAATCTGGGAAAAAGTCGACCCTAACACAGGAAGGGCAGTTCTAACTTTCAAAAATACTACTAATAACACTAGGACCAAAAAAGAATCCAGCTTTTACATAGTTATAGATCCTATCATATTCGAGACCATGATGTGAAGCCCAGCCACTTAAAATGGCTGTCATATCTTCTTAGTATCCTCCCATCATATTTTAAACACAAACTCTAGATTCGGTAGGTACAGCTGCATATTAAATACCAAATGCAGCTTTTCCTTCTTTAACACGCTTGTGGATCAATGGAATTCTAGGTTTACCTTTTTCTGGCTCATCAGGTTCGCTTTGAAAGCCATACATGATATCAGAGCGACCGCCATCAAATTAAAATAGCATTAATCTCTTAGCTAAAGGCTTTTGATTGAAAGGCTATACAGGTGTCATTCCCAAAGGTCTCCAAGACTAGATATACACATCAAAAATACTAAAGATGAATAATAAGTGAAGTAGGAGTCCTAACCCAATCATTTTCCACAAGTTTTTATTTGAGTTTCTCTCTCTCTTTGTGGCATCTTCAGGAGGTTTTATAAAATTAGACTCTACGTCAAAACTCTTAAAACTATCTTAGCCTGTGCTTGAGCTCTTTTTCCTTATCTATTCTTCAGATTAATCAATCTGTAAATACTAATGATCTTATATCATATCTCCTTTTTTAATTTAAATTATTAAATAACTTTGAAATTATATTTGCTTTATCAATATTTAATTTAAAAAAAATGAGTTTTTAAAAATAATTTGATGATATCATATGATTAATTTAGCATTACCAATTTTTCATTTCCTAATAAAATTTTAACATTTACATTGGAAGATAGTATTAATTAAGTATCATAGAAAAACTAACAAGTAGTTTTAAGACAAAAAAATATCAACTTTCTTTAAAAATTTGTTCATAATGAAAGGATAGATTTATGAAATAAAGTAAGTTTAAATAAATTCTGGCCAAAAGAGTTAACAGCGATCAAAAATAAATTATATGTATTTAGATAAAAGCCAGATATTTTTCTATTTATAAAGTTAATTGTTGATATTAAGTACCCTATTAGTATTTTTTCAAAGCAATCAATATTTTTAAATTAAATATACTGTAAATCCAAAAATGTTAAACGAAATTAATACATAAAAAAACTTTTAATTTTTACAAGTAAAACTGGAAATTAAGATTTAAAGATGGGGGGGAGGGATAGTCTTATATATGAAGATTACAGTATTTTGAAGCTGCTACGAAATAGCAGATAACAATATTACATAAAATTTAATTGGAATATATTTATTTCAAATAAAATTAATGATTTGTTAGAACAGTGAAAAAAGAAAAAGAAATTAATGTGTAATACTAACTCTTTAACAAAATTTTTAAATATTTGTAATTTGTAAAGATAATTTAATCTCAAAAATATACCAATATTTGATTAAGAAAAATTTAATTAAATATATAATACTATTAATGATATCTTTAAGAATACAATAGAGGATATTGATTTATAATACAAATTTATACATACGCATATTTAATTATCTACTTCTCACTTTCTACTTCCTGTAAAATTTATAATTTTATAGATTTCTCGATAATCAATCTAATTCTTCATTGCTTCTATTGATATTTTTAAATTTAAATTTATACTTAGCACATTTCTCTGCATTTGACAAATCTTCTAAAAGCCTTATTACATTAGTTTCAAGCAACCCAAATCTTTCAGTACCAGAGATAGTTACCTTTTCTTTCTTGACATCTTGCAGCTCATTTACTCTTTAACAAATATGAACCCAACAACCTGTGGAGCTTTCCTTAACGATTGGGTTATCTGGATCTTCTGCTGAAGTTACTCTGTAAAGAGGTTTACCTTCTGGTCCCTCTAATATTTCGTTAGTATATTCACATCTTACCCCTTTGTTAAAAATAGAGGCATGAACTCTAACACTCTTGAACCCAACTGGGAATAAGTTGTGTTCTGAATGATAGGTAGGAAGCAAATTGATTTCGCCTGTAGCTAATAGTTTCAAACTCGTATTAATCTAAATGGGGAAGATGATTTTACCATTTTCGTCTCTATTTATTTCAAATTTAGGCTTTTTTGTCAACTAATCCTTAAAAGTTATCTGCTTATCAGCCTTTCTCTTTTTATTTTCTTAAAAAAACTGATTGTTAACAATTTAAAAAAATAGTAAAATTAATCAAAAAGTAAAGGAGTTATTTAAATATGCATAATAAGTTACAAGTTTTATCTTTTATATCTTTAAAACACTCGCAAAGCCATTCAAGTCTTTCATAAAGCTTTTAGTCATCTAAATTGAACTGCTTTAATTAGTAGTTCTCAAAGTTTTCTAAATTTTGCAAAGAGCTAAAGCCATTATTAGACACTAAAAACATTAAATTTCTATTTTTTAAAAAGTTTACTTTAATTAATACATTTTTTTAAGTTATTTTAAAAATTACAGATCATGTACTTTAGGAATATAATCAGGATTATCAATAAATCCTTAGTCGTCTATAGTTAGAGACTCGTGTCTCTTTTAAAGCTCTTCCATGTTACTATTAAAGAGCTGTTAGTTATTAGAAAGAACAGTTTTTCTTATGAAATGAAGCATGTTTGTTTTTTGGTTAAATTTCCTAGCGTTTTCTAAAGTAATTGTAAATCCATCTTCATCTTTGTCTTCCTCAACAATTGAAATGTTTTATTCTTCTTCACCCTTCTCAGTCTAGCATTAAACAATTAATTCTTAGCATTTAACTCTTATCCTTTAGACCATCTTTTCAATTTAAGAAATACTCTTATCAAACTCTTTAGATTATGTCTTTTTTGGAGCAGTTTCTTCTTGTTTCACATCCTTAGATTCTTCTTCTTTTTTTTCTTCAATTTACATTTATTCACTGCCTTCCTTTTATACTATTTCTTGTTTACTGCTCTCTATAACCATTTCTTCTTTAACTTGGTCATTCTACTTTTCCTCTTTTTATTTATTAGTAGACTCTCCATTTTAAATTTCCTCTTCTTTTATTGCATTTTCTTCTTTAACCTCATTCTAGTTTGTTGGTCTGTTTTTTTAGTTTTCATTGTATGCAAGCTTCATTTTTTCTCTAATCTCAACCCAGTTAGATCTTCCATCATTATTTAAAGGAACTCCGCTATCCATTAAATAATTGAATAGAATTTCTTTTTCATCTACTGACCATCCTTTCTCTTCGTCATCACTGCTAGCAGACATGTCAAAATCAATTTTACCTTTATCTTCTTCGCTTTTTAATATTGTCTGAATCAATTTTTTGAGTCTCCTTGTTAAAGCGTCAGAAGTAGGAAAGTTTTAGTAGACATTAGCAACTTTTTGGTTTAAAAATCAATAATTTAAAATAATGAGAGAGTTAATTAATGTATCTATCTTACTTTTCTCTAATTCTGAAAAACAATATTCTTTTGCATGTCTTATTGTAGGGTAGTTAGCATAACCATATTTATAAACTCCTCGCAAAAGATCTGTATCATGTTTTTTAGTCCACCACACCGAAGGTCTTTATCCATAGAGCAAAGAATTAGGTAAAAAGTTTAATAAGCCTTCCCAGTTGATTTTGTCTTTATCTTTATCAGGTATGCTTCTAAGTTAGTCATCTTTATATTTTTTTATGAGAACTCTAATACGATAGAGAAGTTAAAGACGCTTAGTAAAAGGTATAGCTCTTTAGTTTAATGTCAAAGTATCCCAATCCTCTGATTATTATGATATGAAGTTAAATATAGATTGTGATAGAATATATCATAAAGATAAGGTATTAAAAGGTGTAAAAGAAAATAAAATTAATAGAGAAATCGTTATATCAATAAGGAGGTTATGTTATAAAATATATAAATAAATATTTAAATTTAATTTTACTGTCACAAGGTGTAATATATGAATCATCAGGGTATTCGTCTATCATATTGTAAAGGAATTGTTTTAGTTCAGCATTTTAAGAAGTTAACTATTCTGCTAAAGATCTAATGAATGCATTAGCAAAAGCTCTAATTTCTGATTTGGGTCTTTCTGCTAATTTTCCTCCAATAGATGTAGAGGATCTTTAAATTTACTTCCATCTTCCATAACCATAGTTGATAATACACTTTTTAAGCTATTCTCTATCGTCAGCAGACCATTTTTAATAAAGAGTTTTATCGTGCTACTTATTGTTTGGATTTGCTTTTTAAGTGATGAAAAATTAAAAGGTAAATTTCAATAAAATAAATTTTAATAATTTACATTAATTTTATGCATGAGAAAATACTGATGAAGCTTTCAAATTTAAAGACTCATTTTTTTGAACTTCTGAAGCAGGTAAAACCAAGACATATAAGTGAGGAACTTCACATTTATCACATCCAATATAAATTTGTGAAAAATTGTTTAAGTATATAGTGTATTCCTCTTTTAATAGTAAAAAAAAAAAATTAAGAAGATATAGATAAACGTATTTAAATAAAAATATAATAATAAATAATTTATTAGGTTTTTTTACAAACAATTTAAATGATAAAATATTTTTGGTTGATTAATAACTTAATATTTAAGATTTTATATTTTTCTAAATTAGCAGCAAATCTGCAATAAGATATTTAAAAATTAATTTTAGTTTTTATTGTAATAAAAATACCATATTTATCGAAGAAATCTAGGTTATTTGCTCTTTTTAACTCATTTAATAAAGATTAAACATCTTTAAAAACATTAGCTTACTAGTTATCCACACTTAACTAATCAAATGCTATCATAGAAAAACATTTCTTTTTGAGGCTATAAAATAATATTGCGTGCTATTCTTTTCTATTATATAATATTTTTTCTTTAATGATGAATCTAAATTTATTAAAATTAATGTTTGCCGCCCTTTAAATCCGCTCAAATTATAATTTTCTTTTATTTAAGGAGCACAATTCATTTTAATTAATTTAGCAAACTTGAAAGAAAGAGTTACATTTCAGCACAATTTCCAATAGCAAGCGTAGCAGGGTATTCCTTTATAGCAATTCCTGGCTTTTAAATTTCTTTTAAAGACTTTCTTCTTAAAATAAGTGGAATCTATATTAGTTGTAATAATTAATATTTAATTGCTTGAATGTAAAATGGATTATCAAAAAGGAAACTGTTTGCAATGAAATCTATTAAATTAAAATCTTATTGCGATAATATTTTATTATTCAATAAAAAAGTTTACTTATCTTATAAAAAACTCTTCCTAATTCAAACTTTATAACTTGGCAAACGCATATTCGTTTTCCATTTTCACTAATCACTTAATAACTATAAATTAACAAATAAAGATTTAGAATTATTAATAAAAATAATTAAATTAATAAACTTCTATTAATTGATTAAATATTTCTTTTAGACTCACTATAAGATGATATCAAATGGATATTTTATTAGAACTTAAATATTTAAGCAACTATATCAATTTTTTAAAATAAAATAAAATATTTTTAATAATAAAAGTAAATTAAAACAAATAAAAGACTATTTTAGTTTTTAACAAATTGGATTTAAAAAATGCATAAATTAAAATAAATTTATAAACAAAAATAAATAATCAGACAAAGTTAGTTAATTAAATAATTCTAAAAAAAAAAATAAACAAATAAAAATTTGCTAATTAATTCAAAAAATTAGTTTAATTAATTTAAAAAAATTGCAGAGTGTAGCTACCTTTTTATAGGTTTTTTTAAATTATTTTTTTTTATTTTTATTTATTTTTTGTTTTATTTCATTTTATTTTCTTTATTTTTTTGTTTTTATTATTTTCTTAGTTTAAGTTTTTTATTGCTTTTATTTTATTATTTTTATTGCTCTTTATTTGTTGTTCTCTTTATCTCTTATTTATTCTCATTTTTTATTTTCTTTTTATTTTTATTTTTTAATTTAATTCTTTTATTATTTATTTTTTTCTCTCTCTCTCTTATCTTAATTAAAAATAATTAAAGAGGACAATTTGCTCCATGGTACAAAAAGTCTGAAACTCTTTGGTCAGGCATTTTATAAGGCATATGATTAATAAAGGCTAATGTTTAAGGCATTTTAAAAAAATAATTGGATGGTATCTATTTTTTATTTAATATATATATTGAATTGGAGATAAGAATTATTTCCGTGGGGCTTAAAAAACTTTCAAAACTATTGCAAAAGTTTAGAAGAAACTTTGTGGTTTCATCTAATTTTTGACAATTTTTTGAGTGTTTGGCAATCAAACAATGAGTGTCGTGCTACAATAAATCATAGCGTCGCACATGATAAGAGTTCTTCTCCTAAGAGACTTGCTAGTAATCTATAAAGTAACTTCTCTTAAGAATTTACTGTTTATCTTTTAAATGATTCAAGTTAAGAATAATTCATTGGAGTTAAGTTTTTTATGATTTAAGTTTAAATCATAGATGAATCATTTCTGTAACTTTAAAGAATTCATTTATCTGGATTAAAAACTAAGGTTCTTTCAAAAACATATAGATTACTGAAAAATGTCATTCCTTGGTGGAGGAAGTCTATTTTTATACAAGTACATCTCAGGCAAAACCCAAATCAGAGCTTAAAGCTATTTCTCATAATTTTTTTTCCTTTTTAGGATATTTAATTTTTGTAAAATTAAATTTTTTTACTTTTGAAATTAATTATATTTTTCCTCTCTAATCAAATTGTAAATAATTTGAATTTTGAGAATAAATCAAAATAAATTCCAAATCTAAAAAACAAAGATAATTTATTTATTCTTCATATTTTTGTAAAGATAAACATTTTTTTTAGATATTTTATGAAATTATTTTTTTTATCAGCGAAAATAAAAATTATTTATTCTTAATTAAAAGCATCATTAAAATTTAAGCACAACAAACTTTAATATAAATAATAATAAAAATAATTATATTTGTTGATTTTAGTGATAAAAAAAAATAAAATAAGTCATAATTAATCTTAAGTTAGTTAAAAATTTAATTCAAAGAGTTTTTAATATTCTATTTTTTATAATTTTAATTTAATACAGTTAAATCTTTGGACCTGCAGTATTTAAAATTTTAGCAAAAATATACAGTTGTTGCCCAGTTTATAGATGAACTTAATAATGAAAAGTATTAATATTATGATAAAAATTTTTGTCAATTTTTAAAGAGTGGTCAATTTAAAAGGGTGCCAAATGACATGTTTTAGTTTATTTGTTAAATAATCAAATAAATTAATATCTAAAATAAAAAATGTTTGCTTACATAATGATAATTCTATTTTGAATTATTAATGCAAATAGAAATAGATGCTTAAAACTTAAAAAATTTAAATTTAATATAATCTTTTTTAAGAATTGAATTAAAAAATGCAAATAATTTTATTTTTTATTTTTTTTATTGATTTTGATTTATAAAATAAGTTAAATTGTCTTTTTATTTGAAATATCATATTTTTATATTAATCTTATTTTTAAAGATATTTTTGAATCAATAATTTAAAGTTTTTTTGTTATGATTTTGAAGGATTTTAGTAAAACTTATTTTAAAATGTTTTTATTGTAAAATAAAGTGGATTTAACTCAAAATAAATATAATAAGATATTGTGAGTATTTATTTTTATTAAATATCTTTGGTCTTTTTATGCTTGTTTAAAATATCTGATTCAATCTTTTAAAGTAAACTAACAATTTAATTGCTAACAAAACAATTCCCAAAAATTATCTGTTATTTAACAATATTCCTATTCTTGGTTTTAATAATTTGTAAAATATTTCTTATTGAAAACATATTATTGTATCAAAGGATTAAGAAATGAACAATACGAAAATGATTGCATGCATGCTTTAGATTACAGCTAATTACATAAATATATTCATAACTGCAAGAGATATTTCATGATATAATTATTTATTTTAGCTTCCTAAATCTAATAAATTTAAAACTTTAATATTCACTCTTATTCCTAATATCCCAAAGAGTATTTATATACTCTAAAAGAAGGCTTTCATTCTTGAAGTTTAATTTTTGTTCTCAAGAATCATATTATTGCCTATTTCAAACTAAATCAATTGTGTTAGTAAATCTTGTAATATTATCTACCTTGAGTGCTAAATATTATAAAATATAATTTAATTATTGCTAGGAATATATCTATTTTGCTTGATGCGCTAGAAAAATTTTAAAACTTTAAAGAAATATTTAAAAATATAATTTATGAATTACACAGCATGATGATTAAGAGAAGGTTTGAAGTTGTTATCATCATCTAAGAAGAAGTATAACTTTGAGAGTTCAGGGACTTCCCATTTCTTCAAATAAACGGGGGCTCCGTTAGCTAATTTGGCTACTTAATTTTCATTACCACTTTTCCAGAAGACTAATGAGCTTACAAGACCACCCAAAAGAGTGCTAGTTGCAACAATACCAGCTCTATAATAGATAGGTAACTTAGCTACAGATTAAACACGATTAACTGCTTCCATAGATAACCAGAAACCCAAGAATCTACCACCATTTGTCCATTAAGGAACCTTGTCGTAAATAGCTTAGATTTATTCTTGCTTAGATTCTTCAATCAAAGAGGTGTGAGTATAAACGGTCTTATCACCGTCTTATAATTCTAAGAAGATATTGCTCATTTCTATTTATGTACCTTAAAAATCCTTAATCTTATTTTATTGAAATTTAATTTATTTATTTATCTTTTTCTTTTTTGGGTATTTTTTTCTTCTTCTTCTTTATTCTTATCAATACCTATTTTTTTTCCCTGCCTTAATTCCCTTCTTTTCCTTTCCATTTTCTTGATTGAATGTCTGAATTCATTTTTTTTACAAGCAATCTATCTTTTTATAAGTTTTGTTCCATGTTATTATCATCCTTTGTTTTGATTTTCATTTATTATTTTTTTATTATGTGCTATGAATAAATATCATTCGAATATTTTATATCTAAAAAACCAATTACAATTCACTAAAATAATTAATTTCTTATGAAATGGATTATCTTTGTTATTGATTTCAGTGTAATTAAATTATTATCAAAAAAATAAAAAATGCTAAATATTTTTTTTTTCTTCAAATATTAATAAATAAGTTTACTTAGATAATAAGAAAAAACATTTTAATAAATTAATAATTATTTTATTTGTTGTAAAATTTTTAAAACTCTTTTTAAGTGATTTACAAAAATATTGATTTTAATCAAATAATTATTTATTATATAGCATTTTTAAATGCAAGATGAGTTATTAGACCAATCTAACTATATCTTTTTATCTTTTGATCCAAAAAAAATATTGATTGACTGGTTATTTAATTTTAAAATAATTATAATTTAATTTTAATATTTGCTAAAAGATGTTAAAAGTGGGAATACAATTTATTACATAAAATATATTAGTATATCTAAAATTATCTTAATTGCTCTTATTAATTTCAAAAAACGAGCATAAGAAACGATTTTTAATTTTGAAAGCTCTTACTTTATAATTTTTTATTTTATTAATTTATCTATTTTCATCAGCCAATACGGACACCCTTTCCTTAGAAATAAGAAGTTCCTCCTTGATTTGATGTACTTGCATCTAAAATTATTTTAAATTTATATTAAATATGTTATATTGATAGCATAAATATTGATAATCAATTATATTTCTTTTTTTAGAACCTATTTATAATATACAACAAATTTTTTCTTTTTTATCTTATTTACTAAAATTAGCATAAAACTAAAAATTTTAAACAATTTACTTTAGTTGCGGTTATTTTCGATTGTGTTAGAAGAAGGAGGAGGATAGTATGCCTCATTATCTCCACTTCCTGATCCACCATAGTTATAGTTTGTTCCATAATTTTAATTATTTCTTTAACTGCTTCCAGAATATGAAGCTCCTCCAACTGCTTAGCCTTGACCAGCTCCTTGTAAACCCATCATTCCATATTATCCTTATTCGTATTAGCATGCTTTAAATTCTTTATAAGCCTAGAATGTAAAATAGGCAGCAGCTATGTAAAATATCAAAAATATGATGCAAAAAACTACAATTGCATGGTCTCTACCTGTATTTCCAAAAAATGGCTAATTATTTTATATAGGAGTTAGTAAGCCTACAGCATATGAAATACTTCCTAAAACACAAATATAAACGATGTAAAATAAGCAAAAGCAGTAAGAGAGTTATGCCCAGCTCATCCATAAAATAAAGCAACTTAATAACTCATAAATACCTGAAACAATATCTTTGAATAGAATCATTTTGAGCAGAGAAATTACTAATTCACACAATGCTAAAAGTTTTAATATATTTACACATTATTTAGCTTTCTATGTAGATGGTTATATATTTTCAAAAGGAAGACACATTTATGAATTCTAATTATTAGTACTTCTTACTTAATAAATACACTCTTATGGTTTTTTTTATTTTTTCAAAAAAAATGTATTTTTTTAATTTATAATGATTACTTTTTTTGATACCTATTTTTTCTTGTTATTAAAAAATTTGATTAAAAATTTTATAGTATTACATTCTGATTAATCATAAAATAATAATCTTTGAAATTAATATATAAAAATTGTAGTCTATTCTTAGTTCAGTTCCCTAATGATGAATAGCATCACCAAAAATAAAAAATCTTGCTATCTATTAAAAACTAAATTTACTTTAAATGTTTATAAAATAATTATGTATTGAGATTAATTTTATTTTATAAATTAAATAAAATCATTTGAGAATTAAATTAATTTATTTATTTATTTTACAAAATTAATCAATAAGAAAGACTATTGGAAAACAAAAACAAGAAAAATTTCTTTTTAAAAATACAATAACATTAAAATACATTCAAAATATTTCAATTAAATATATTATCAACTTATTTGTTTATATTCAAATTAATTTCATCATCAACCTCTTTATTTTATTTTACTCATTAATTCAATTTTATAAATAAAATAAAATCATTTTAGAATAAAATAAATTAATTTATTTTATCAAATTAATAGGTACGAAAGACTGTTGATAAAGAAAAACAAGAAAATAAATTATTAATTATACATAATAGCATTAAACCATTTTCAAAAAATTTCAATTAAATATTAAATATTTAAAATTTAAAATAAATAATTAATTAATTAATTTGTTTATAATCAAATTTCATCATCAACCTCTGCATTTTATTTTACTACTATTTTCTTTTATTCTAGCTATTAGATTTATTAAGGATTTAATTATTAGATATCATCATTTTCATCTTTTATCTTTTGGAGTTACTGTTTTCTAAATTCTTTAAAAGAGAGAGCCACTTTTTGATTTTTATCCTAAGCTATTTGTTTCTTTTCAAAGTCATCTTTTTATTGTAGCTGCTTTATTTTCTTTTTTTCTGCTATTATTTCATCTGATTAAAATTTAGATTTTTCTAAAAAATCGTACTTTTAATAGCTTTAGTCTATCTTTTTTAAAATAGTATTTCTTGCTTTTTCGTTAATAATAAGCTATTCTGCCATACTTACCACGTATTTTTGATCTTTAGCTTTTTGAACTTTTGCCAAAAAATTTATGAAGACAGTTTTAGCTTATGGATCTTTTACTTCTGAAATATTTTAAATTAAGTATTTTACTATTGATTATAATGTATCATCATCAATTTTGTCTGCTATGTTTATTAAAAATGTACAAACTTTTTCTTCTTAGTATCTTTAAAAGAAAAAATCTAGTATTAATTTGCTAATATTTTGAAATCCTATTCTCTAGAAAATCTTCTACAATGTTGTTTAGGTATATTCGTTGTTCTTTAAAGCGAATAAAATTTCAAAAAGCTTTAAATTATCCTATAAATTAAAGCTTTCACAAACCATTCCTATCAAAAAGGTTGAATTTTTTATTATGATATCTGAGTAGTTTTATAAAAGTTGTTAAAATACAAAAACAAAATCTACTCTTTATTCAATAGGAACTTCCTGCTGTTTCTTTATTTAAAAGCTTAATTTTGATATTAAATCCTCCTCGTTTTGTATTTTCACCATGCATAATTACAGTTTCAGGTGATTTAATACACTTTCATTTGTTTGAATTTAATTTAGTTAGACTTCTTGTTTTTACTCTTCATTCTATTCCTCTTAATTTTCATTTTCAATGTCCATGCCTTCTTAATTAAATATGTGCTTTGTTTATTGCTAGAATTTTGTTGCTTGAAATTTATTAAGGGTACTTGTATATTTATGAATGGCTAAACCTATTATAGCTGCAGTTTCAACTAAGGCATCTAAAGCATTCTTACGTAGATGTGCTGAATACGAAGAAGTGAGTTCAGCTATTTGACTCAAAATTAAATCAATTTTTGGTAATGAAAGCATATACTAAGAAACAATAAGCTACCTAAAAATATTTATAGATGAGTTTTATACTGAATCACTCTTATTAAGCATTGCATCATAAAAGCTAGTCATAATTTCATGGTTAAATATCCCTAATTCTAATAAATATTTAACAAGGTTTAGTAAGTTTTGTGAAGTAGAATATTGATTTCCGCAGAGGGTTTTTATTATTTAAATGATGATTCCCTAAATTTAAGATTTCAAGATTTTAATCATTTAAGTTTTTGTTTCTTCTTTTTCTAACATCTTTTTAATATATATCATTAATATATCTGCAAGCTATTTCTTTATTAATGGATTCTCAAATGTAAAATATTTCTCAAAATTCCATCTTTAAACAAGTTGATTTTCATCTACTTACTCAGGGTGGTTCATAAATATATCATGAATCTCTCTGATTACATGAACTTTTACTTTTCCTTTGGCATATTTGATTTTATCAACAAAAAGTGGAATTTCTTTAATATTTTTGATATTCTAATCTAAAATAATCTTATCTTTTTCATGCTTGGCTAGATGAATAAACTTTGCTAGCTCACTCTGTCTTTCTTTCTAACAATTAATAACACTGTCTTTTAATTTTAGATACACTTCTTTGTTTTTTTCATATATCTTCATTTATTCTTGCTTTTAACATTCTACTTTTTAAATTTCTTCATCTGCAATTCCTTATTCTTTCAATCGTTTAGCTATTAATATTCTTTAAGATTCTTTCAATAGGGGAATTTTATCTTTTATAAATTCATAGCCCAAATCTTGTCCTAATTTAACTATTAAATCTAATGCTGCTTATCTGACCATGTTTGTTGCAAAGTTAGAAGCAATGTCAATAATCAAATCCATTTATTCAGTTAAAAATTATATTTTTTTTTCATCATTTTTAATTATAAGCAATTAAAAAAATCTTAGAAGTTCCATTATAGATTTTGGTTCTTTGAATTAGAATGTATCTATAATACCAGAAACAAATTCTTTGTTGTAATATTCAAAAAATCCTAATAGCAGCTAAATAGCTTTATCTCTATAATCTTTTTTAACTAAAATTGACATACATAAAGCACAGATTAAGCTATTCACTTTTAATTTGAGCTAAGTTTAGCTGTTTAGTTATAAATTCACCATTTCAAGCCCTAAAACAAAAATTTTTGGATTTGCATGCCTAATTAAGTCAACATAAAAGGGTTCAATAATCTAAAAAGTATTTTTTTTAACTTCCTCATCTTCATTTTCACATTACTACTTTAAGCGCTGTAAGATTTATACTTTATTCTGTAGATCACAACTGATCCAAATCTTTTAGAAGTCTTCGTATGCTTCTTTGAGTAGATTTTCAAAATCTTCTGCCATACTGATTGAATAATTTTATTTTTAAATTATCGAGATCTTAATATTATTTTTATTATTATTATTCTTAAATTTTTTCTCAGAGTGTTTTTGAGTTTTTAAAAATTTAATTTTGTATAGAAAAGAGATACCCAATAAAAACTGAGCATAATAATATCGTAAACTATGATATTTTTGATTTGCTTACAAATTAAAATTTATTTTGAGCCATACAAAATTTAACTAAAAACTAATTATTAATTAAGCCTGTTTTACATTTTATATTTTTATCTTTACTTAAATTGAAAATCATTTTAAAAACAATTCAAATAATTGTTAATTTTATAAATAACTTCAAAATAAAATATTGATGTATGTGTAATAAATTGTAGCTATTTAATAACAAGATATCATAATAATATAAAGTATTATATTAGTATACAAATTTTTTAAATATTTTTTATTTATTTATTTGTGGAAAATTAATTTAATTTAATTTAGTTATCTTAATAGCTTTAATATAATTATTTCAATTTTTTTTTTCTTAAATAATTTTTATGTTTAAATTATAGTTTTAGGATCAGTATTTTAGGAATAAATAAAGAGAGTTTTCAATTATGGTCGTCAAGATGGTTATATTAAGATAAACTAGATTAAGGATTTTATTCGTTACTGCTTAAATTATTTAAATTATTAACTGTTGATACTTCTTTTATTGGAATATTATAGTCATAATCTTTGAACAATACTATTGAAAAATTATTTTAAATGTTAGTATTTATAATAAAAAACGAATAAGCTTACATTAATACTCATTTTTACTTAACAAATCTTTATTTTTTCTATCCTCGTCACATGTTTCTGTTTCAATTCTAGGTTTTCTGCTATAATTTGTACCCTTTTTATAAATTTTGCTTAATTGACTTTTGATTTAAATTTATTACTTCTTTTGGTGTGAAAAACACATCTTTTGATGTTTTGTTTCTTAAAGATTCCCAATCATATCCTTCAAACCAAGGGTGTTTAAATATTTCCTCAATACCATTACAGCCGATTCGTTTAAATGGTTTTATTTTTATTAACTTTTATAGGTTTTTAAATGATATAATTAGTATAAACAAAAAGAATTATTTTCATTTTTTATGAATTTTGTTAGTTGATTTATATTGTTTTTTAGCAAACACTCTAGCTATATAATTTAAGTTAATATTTTTTGATGTAAAAAATCTTTTAACTTTCTATTTAAATTCATTTATTTTAAAAATTATATTAAATATAATAGTTTACTTTATTTATCAAGTCAATACAGTTTGCAGAAACTTCCCCATGATCATGTGAAGGATCAAGTTAAATTTCTTTCTCAAAAATTTTATCTCTCATTTCCTTTCTTGATCTAACATTATATGGCCTCTATTAAAATAAAGCAATTTAAATTTATAAATTCACGAATATTTATTTACATATCCTTTTATTAATTCGAATAATACAACTCCAAGCCCAAAAAAATCTGATTCTTTTCCATGATTTAGTCTCATTAAAGTTTCAGGAGCTATAAATTTTAAAAAAATATTAATATAACATGTTTAAAACATCAAAAAAAAAAACCTAAATATCCAGGAGTTCCACTTGTTTCGTTTGAATTATCAGTTTTGGTATATCTTGAAATTCCGAAATCTGTCAATCTCAAATAACCTATAGATTAAGTATTTTAATTAATTAAAATGAATATTTGAGTGGTAATTAAATAAATTAGGTAAATAAATGTAAAAAGTAATCAATATCCTAATCATTTAACCCAATATTACAAAAAAAATAATATAATCAAAAATTTTGGAGTTCCTTATAATTTACATTTCACATTTATAAATTTAATTCATAGAATTAAAGCAAAATTGGATGGTTAAATAGCTTACCTTAAGAATCAAAAACTAAGTTTTCAGGCTTTATATCCCTATGAATAATATTTTTAGAGTGGACGTACTCTAACGCAACTAGCGTACATGCCATCATAAATTCTTTTTATATTATATAAAATATTTGAATAAGTAAGCAAAAAATTAAAGCTAATCAAATCTAAAAAAAGATTTCTATAACTAACTATCTCTTTATTTTTATTCATATTTATTACTTGCATTTTATTCAGAAAATATCTTTGTTTACTTAATGTGATATCTAAGATCTCCACCAGGTAAGTAGTCCATAATCAAGTATAAATTATATTTATCTTAGAATGCACTATACATATTGATGATAAACCTATATTTTTTCAAAATGGATACAATATCTTTCATAATGTGTAACTCGCTTGATAATTTCAATCACTTTTTATATTTTATTCATAAAAATTTACGGATGATCTAAATTTTCAAGTATTTATCTTTCATTTAATATTGCCTCAACACTATTTTTAGACATAATTCTATATTTAACCATTTATTTTAGTGCTCTAAATGAAGTTTATCCATCTTTTTGAACTTTCCATACCTTTTATAATTAATTCATGCTCATTTTTTGATAACATAACTAATAATTTTACTTTGCTAAATCCTCCAGTACCAACTAATTCAAAGAATTTGTAACCTATGTTTCCTAAAATATAAAAATTATTTATTTATGTGAATAAAATCACTCCAATATCAAAAATGCTAGTTAGTACTTCTTCCTGAATCGTCACATGCTAAAGAACATTTTGCTCCCATTTGTAAAATTTATAATAATATATATAATTGTTATCTTGAAATTAATTTGTTTACTAAGATCTAATAAATAAATAAATTAATATATTTTCAATGGTTAATTTATTATAAATGTTGGATAAAATAGAATATAAATTAATTAATTAATAGATTTGTTAAGTAATAAGAGAAAATTATTTATTATATCAACAAATTTGAAAGATTTAATTTGATTGTTATTAAAAAAATTATACTCAGTTAAGATTTTAAAATATCTTTCATATTAATCAAAATATAATAGTAGTTGTTTATCTTACATTTATTAATTTAAATGAGAAATTTCGTAAATAATTTCACCATTTTTTTAGTTATTTTGTACATGATAACAATTTTACAAAATATAAAAGTTTAGATTTTAATTCTATCTATTCCAAATTAAATGAAATTTGATTTTACATCCATATATTTTATTAAATTATTTAACCACATTATTTATTTTTTTTTTTTGAAGTTTAAACTTGATTTAAATAATAATGAAATATTGATTCCTATTCAAAATTACTAAATTTAAATATTATAGTCATATAAAAATTTTTATTAGCAGTTAAAATTATATGTACAAAACTTAATTTAATAATCTTTCTTTCATATTAAATTATCATATTTAGATATTATCATTACTAAGATGATCAAATTCTATTTAGCATATGAGAAATTTATTTAGCATCTTACTGAATATTATTTTTTGAACAATTATAAAATTATTAAGAATTGATTTAAAAATTGTAATCAATATTTGAAAATCACTTTAATTAGCTTTGATTTTTATGAAAAATCTTTTTAAGTTATGGTTTAATCTGAAAATGGTGGTTTGTTGTAAAATAAAGAAATTATATTTGTTTTTGTTTAAAGTATTTATTTTGTTTTGAAAAAAAATAAAAAGGATTTAATTAAAACTAATAAGAATTAAATTTAAAAAATTAAATACTAATATATAAATTTAACAAAAAATATGAATTACATCAAAAAAATCACAATATTGTTGTAAATAATTTTACAAATTTAGTAAACAATTTTTTGTTTTGTTCTTAATTTAACTCAAATTTAATTTACCATTTCAAATCTTCTAGCTTCTTTTTTATATGAAGATTTATCCTTAAAGAAGGGAACCCAAAAGATAAATAGGAATCCGATGCAAACAAAAAATTAAAACAAAAATAGTAGAACTGACTCCTGAATAGTTGAAATATATTCTTCCATAATGTCTTTAACTTATCTGATGATATCGTGGCAATACTCTATCTAAAAATGATCAAATATTAAATTTTCTTCAAATATTTCTTCATATATAATGTTGTTAAGAGAATTAACTTTAGTTGGAGACTAATATCTTAAATTTAATTTTTCTTCATGATTATTTTTAGAATATTTTTCACATAGTGAAAATGATATTTCATTTTCAGATATTATTTAATCACTGCACTTTACATTATATAAATATTTTTAATGCAGCTCTTTTAAATAAGGAAATTTAATTTTCAATTAGCCCGAGTTTTGGAGATATTTAATTGAATCAGTAAAGCTAGATTTATTTGTTGTAATATTCGTTGGCTTTTATCCATCCGTGGTATTAAATACATGAATTAAATCTTCTGACTGTAAAGCACGCAAAGAAAAATAATATTTTTTAGTATATTTCAGCAAATCAAATGAGTTTCTTCCAGTTTTATCATAGAAATCATTAACAGTATTGTAAAACAGTATAATAAATACGATTATAATTATATTAGTTATGACGTGTAAGATCAAGTGAATATAAAACGTTTCTTTACTCATACGAGCTTCTTTTCTTCTTGATTTTTTGTTTCTGTCTCTGTAAACATCATAAGTAATGGGGACAAAAGCACATTAGAAAATTAGCAAGAATAACACTGAAAATACAAGCACTACTACAATCCATTATTAGTAAGATTTACTTTCAATTTCATAAGTAAAAATATCAAAGGCTTTTTCATCAGCAGAACTCAAAGCAACTGCTGTTTAATTAGAAAACTAAAATAACTTTTGAGCTATTTTTTATTCTGTGGCATTTTTAGTAGAGTTGAAATCATAATTTAAAGTGTTAAACAAGTCATTTATCTTATCAGTATCTAATTCAAGAATCACAGTTCTAAATCTATCGCATTTAAAAAATTAATCACTATCTTATTCATTAATGCTATTTTTAATCTTTAAAAATAATTTTAATTTTTTAAAACGATTCTAACAAAAATAAAAAAATATCTATATATATTAAATTAATTTTTAGTCCTCTTATTTAATAAATAAATTTATTAATAAGTACAAACTTTTATTCTTTTATCCATTTTATAAAAGTTGATGATTAATAAACAAACAATTTTTACTTTTTCTACATAATAGTCTGTAATTTTTGGTCTTGTAATATTAGAATTTTCAAGCTACTTATCTATACTCTCAAAGTTATTTTAACTTTTGATTAAATAAAATAATTGAAAATGATTCGCAAAAAATAAAATGATTAATTACTCTGTGAAAATAAAGTATCCATGTAAAAAATAATTTAAATCATTTGCATCTCGAACAAACTTATTAAACTTGATGTAATCCTCAAACGGCTCCATTATATTATACTTTTATTAGTTTAGAAGAAAGCTTCCTACAAACAAAAGAGCAATAACGAAAAGTGATACAACTAGCGAGCAAATTTTCCCCATAGTGTTCAATCTACTAGATTCTTTTTATTTTTAAATTTTCTTTGGTTTGTTTGCTATTAATAAAATCTAAGAATAAAAACAATAAATAAGATAGATATCAATTTTGTTATTTTCTGTGAAATTATATTTAAATAAACATTTCAAACAAATATGCAAAATAAGAAGCTGTTAAAAGCAAATTAGTAATTAAGTACCAAAAATATTTTATAATATTTCAGCTATATTATATAATTTTTATGTTTGTATTCATTCACATAAACAAAACAAATATAATTACAGAAATAATTTTATTATTAATATTTGAATGAATCAAATTAATTTATTTTATAGTTCCAAATTTAAAATGAACTAATTAATTAAGCTTTTATTAAAATTGATTTATTATTTTTTTCAAATGTCTTTTCTTGTTGGGTTCTGAAAGGACTAGATTCTAGGTATATTTTATTAAATCTTCTTTTATTTAAACTCATTTTCTTCATCCTCTATTTCTTTCAAGCAACCTTAAGGATTTTATTATATTCCTTATTGTTGATAATATAATTATTTTATATTTTAATAATTTTCTTCAATAACCCTTTCAAATTTTGTCAAAATTTCTATATGAGGAATTTTTCCATAAGTCATTCTTGCTCCAGCTGCAGTATAAGGCTCTATAAATTCCTATGAAGTTGGATTTTTTAGTAGATTTAGATAATCTGTTAATTTAGGAATTGGCCATACAGTAATATCACCTTCGTAATTCTAGTCCATCACTCTTACAGCAGTCACCAAGCTCAAAGGTAAAATTCTTAATATTTTAATGAAAATAATTATAAAAGTCAATAAATAATTATTTAGAAAATAAGCAAATTTATTAAATAAACTCAAACTTTAAAATATTTTCATAAATTCAAGGTATATGAGTTATTTATTTTATTAAATAAAATTAATATTGTATAATCATGGTAATCTAAAATTTATTACCCTAAGCTATTAAGTTGTTTAAACCTCAGCCTAACTTCTTAAGATATTAACATTTTGATGAATTCTAAAATTTTCAGAATCTTAACAATTAATTTATTTTTGTATCTTATTTTTTCTGTATGATTAAGAAGAGGAACTACATGGGGATTAACCTAACTAACTATGGTTGTGCTAACATTAAATTATTCAGAGAGTTAATTGTGAGGAATATCAAATGCTATTGAACCGTCAATAAACTTTGAATCTTCTATATATTTTATAAGCTGACCGTTCCTATTCTTAAAGTAAAGATCTGATGGAGGAAAAACGAATGGCAGACTACAGGAACAACAAACTGCTGACCATATGACTACATTTGGTGCCGTTAAATAGTTTAATACTCTGTCTTAGGTATGTCTACCAGCTCCAGTTACAGTAATATTTAAAATAAATCCTGTATCGTCAAAAGCTTCTTAAAATGTTTTATCACCTATAAATAATTAAAAAATATTTCAAAAACCATAAATAAATAACTCTTTATCTGTATTTAATATACCTAAATTGTCTCTCAAAAATTTCTTGTAAATATTCATATCCATAAAATAGCCTTCTTTTAAAAATCTGATTATTTTTCTAAAAGCACTATTTCTTGGATCTCTTTGTAAAAAGGCACTGTAATTTATTTTCCTTTATTCTCTGTCAAAGTAATTTCCTAAATCTTCATACTTTGTGGTTCCTATAAATGCAGCAGTGATACTTCCTGCAGAAGAACCTGCTAATATACGAGGGAGTAAATTCTACTCAAATAATGACTTTGCTACTCCTGCATGATATCTAATTATTAATTAAGAATTATTATAATGCTTTCTTTCCCAACTTAAAAAAATTAAAAATTTAATTATTGGATTTGATTAATTTACAAAATTGACCATTTTGTAATACTTTTTTAATGTAAATACTTTAATATAATTTAAATCCACAAAGAGGTAATAAAATAATTCTTAAATATTTATTTATATTCCTAAAAATATTTTATGCAAAATATTTACAATCCTAAAAATGCACCACCTGAGAAAATCATAGCAGTTCTACCAAGAGCATGTCTTACTTCTGCGAAGAATTCTAGCTTCTCTGAAAGATCAAGGTGTTGAGACTAAGCTATATACTTGATGCTTAAATCTAATTCATTTATAAAATCGTGTATAACTTATTTAGTTCCAAAATAACATTGCTAATATAAGGATGGATTAAGAATATTTGCTATGTTTTTGAAAGGATGAGATCTTATCAAATCTACTAAATCTAATACATTCTGCTGTGAATTTGAGCCATGGCGTTTACTTCTTAGCTTATTTTTTAAATTTATTATATATTTGTAATCATAGTCTTTAGAAACTGCCTTTTCTTTCCATTGCTTAATTCTTTTGAGGTTATCTAACTGTTGAGCATAAATTTTCCACTCTTCATAGCTTTAAACGTTTTTTATTTTCTTTTTCAACTTATTTTGCTGCTTTTTATCAGTATACATTTACTTAGTTTGCTCAGCATGATAAAATAAAATTTCTTTCAGCATAAAAAGATCTTCTTCTATTTCATTTTTAATTACTCTATATAAATATCCTAGTACCATTGCTTATGCTTTTAATTATATTCCAAATTGCTAATTTGCTAACTAAATATTTATAAACTGGGCTTTTTCAAAAGCTTTAATTGGTATAAGTTTTTGATAAATTGATAAAGTAATATTAATAATTAAGATCAAAAAAGCTATTTATTTTGATTTACAAATCTTAGGTATTTTATTTTAATATACGTCATATTCGTAATCTACCATGATAATTATAAAATAATTTAAATAAATAATTAAACATGACATAAAAAGATAGATAGATAATCTTCAAATTTTACTAAAGTAAACTTAAATATTTTTTTTTGGCTTACATTGTATAAATTTAAAACACCTTTTTGTTTGTAATATTTAAGGTAATGAATGATATTTTATTAAATTGAAAGTTTACCAATTAAATATATTTGTATAATTTATGTTAATATAATAATTTATTTAATTTGAATTTAATTTTTTCATAAATTACTTTATAATTAATTAATAATTAAATTTACATAAATATCAAAATTAACAACTAATTATAAACAAGAGAGTAAAAATTTATCAATTACTTTTTACAATTCAAAATAAAATTATGTATCATTTTAGCAATCCAGTAGCTATTTCTTTTTGATTGAAACGGAATGGATATCCTCCTACATTAATATCTATTGTGCAAGGAAAATTAGTGCAGACAAATGGATAAATTGCTTCATAATCTTCTTAAGATTTTTCTTATTTATCTAATTTAAGCTTTTATAATAAAGTAAAATTTAATATTTAATTTCTTTATTAAATTTAAACTACCTTAAGCACTCTTTCTTTCCTCAAACGTTCTTCTTCAACTATCATTTTTATATAATAAGTTTTAATAAATGTTTATTATAATTATAAAAAGTGATTCTATACTTTCTTCATGATCGTCTTCTTTAGGTCTATAAGACTCTTCTTCTTCATCTTTTTTGCTTGAGCTCTTTTTTTTTTATTCCTACAATTTCTTTATTTCCTCAAAAGGTGGAGGATTTAAAAATTCTCCGTTTCTAGTAATCCATATTCTTTGATCTTTTTTAGTATAACCAATTCCTTTACAAATAAAAAATAACTTAGTTTATTATATATCTTGATTTGTTGAAGATGAAAATACCCATAGTATCACCATAAGTAATTTATTCAATATTCAGGTCTACTTCCTATTCTCCAATCATTATTAATCCATTTGAAGAATAAAGCACAGATTTTTGTCCTGAGAGCAACAACTGAAAATTGTCAGGCTATGTTTTACATTTATCTAATTAAGATTTTGATATAAATCCTATTGATAATTACTAATCAAAATTATTTGAATTTATTTTTTCTAGCTCAACCTCAAAGTAGCAACAATCCATCTTTTAATCACATGGATAGTTACAAATAATCAATCTTTACCCATTTTGTTATTTAAATGTAGCTTATAAATATTCTCCCAACACAACTTTGTTTGCTTCCTCTTTTTATGATTGATTTAAAAACAAATTTAAAAAATATTTAAAAATAAATTTATAATATAAAAGTTGTTTGAAATTTCAATATAAATCTTTTACCAATTTAATGTTTTACTTCCACGTCTTACTAATAGTATGGAGCTGAAAATTCATCACTCTTACTATTAAATGTAAGAAGATTTAATAACAATTTTTGATTTGAATTTAAATTTTGTTTCTTAATGCCTAATTCTGCCTTCATGGTACCTTCTGTTTTTATTATGTGTTCCTCATACATGTTATACAAATAAGCAATTCCTACAATAACAAGAATTACAATCACAATAGCGAAAAATATTCCCCATCCGTTACCTCCTACAATTAAAATTTTATTTATATTAACAATTTTTAGATAGTAAACTTCTAAAATACCTTATTCTTCAATTGGCTATGTGGGTTAATTTGGTTAATTTGGCTAATCAGGTTTATTTGGTTGGTTTGGTTAATCTGGTTTATTTGGCTGATTTGGTTAATCAGGCTTATTTGGCTGCGGATCAGTTGGAATAGGAGGATTTTATGGAGTTCCTTCTGTTTATTTGCTAGCTAAAAAACCTTAATTTGGCTAGTAGTGCTTATGCTTAGTAAAACTGTATATCAAAGGCTTTCCTAAATCATCTAATCCACAAGAAATAGCCAAAATACATGCTAAAAATAATAGCTTAAAATTTTATTTCATTTTTTGAATAGATTTTTAATTTTAAAGTAAAAAAAATAACAAGTTCAGCTATTTGTTACAAATTTTAATAAATAAACCTATAATTGAATTATTTTAATAAAATTAATGAATCTTATTAATATTTGTTTTAGTCCATTAACAATTATGAAAAACGATATCCCGATATATCTTTATTGATTTATTTAATAATTATTTTTTTCATCAAATATTTTTCAAAAATAAACTATAAATTTTTTAATTTTGGAAATTTATACAAAAAAACTCATTTCTATTTTATTTTACAAATATTTTGCATTTTTTATTAGAATTTTCTTGATTGATCAATAAGATTTTCTCTTAAACAAAACAAAAAAAATAATAAATAACAAAAAAAGATATTTATGTGGTTATTAAAATATTCATTTATTAATTTTTTGAAAAAAAATATGTACAAAAAATTTGCAATAGTAGGATTAGCAGTAGGTGGTTTAACAGCCTATTATCTAGTTAAATAAAAATAAAAATCTAATAAATACAATAAGTAGATTTAACAATTAGAAGCTCAAGTTTTGAAAGAGTAGCAAGAAGGTACTTAATTGTACTCTAAAGAAACATTAATTAGTACAAAATAGCTGATTATGGAAATGAGTTAAGAGGATTATTAAAAAATAACTGAAAAAAATAGAAAAAGTAAAATTCCTTTTTTTAAAAATATTTTTTTTGGTTGGAACAATTTATCTAGGATGAGATAACAATCAAAAATATATGATTATACAAAGACTTTTCAAAGTTTTAATTATTTTTATATTATATTCAGATAGGAGACAATACCAGAAAAAAGATGTCTAAACTTACCTTAACTATGTTATTTAATATGCTGCAGATTACTTTAATCTAATTGAAGAGAATGAGAAATTGTTTAAAAAATCAAAAATCTTAAATATAAATATTTACAAATAATCTATTTAAGAATTAGAAAAAAATAAAAGTAATAAGCTTGCTTTTCATTCTTCGTTGTCTTAAAATTACATTGCACTTAGATCTTCAATTCCTAGTAATTTTGATGAATTTACCGAAGATTTTGCAATTGGCACTTTGAATTACATGATTGGAGTTATAAAAGGAAGCTATTTTAATTTTAGTGAAATGCTGGCTACTTTAGTGAAAAGAAAAGAAATATCATATTCTAATATTTTTGGAATAATAACTATTATTTTATATGATTATGTTAATTAATCTGAATAATTCTAGGGTGTAGAAGAGGAAGATATATTGAGGTTTGTTTATTCAAAATAAGAAGCAAAAAATGAAGCAAAAGAATAGTTAAATATATTCTATTAATCTGTTTATTAAATTATTGAGTATGTTATGGAAATGAAATCTTGAAAAATAGATTTAATATTAATTATGGTATGATTTTAAAATAATTACCTATCTAAAAGAACTCATAAAATAGCAATAATAATAAAAAAACAAATAAATACCAATAATTCATAAACTATTGACTAAAAGATAGATTAGCTTAAATTTGTTAATTTACAATTAAGATAATTAAAAATTTAAAAAAATAATTTAAGCTATTTTGAAAATTATTTGTTCACAATATATTCTAATATGTTTAAATTCTTAAACTATATAATTTATTATTTTTTATAACCTATAATTCATTCAAAGCCATTAAAACATTAAACATTTAGAAATTTATTTTTTTATAAGATTTTAAATTTAAAATAATTAAAATATAAATTTTTTATTTTTTGTATTGTTGATTTAAAACAATTTTTATTTTTTTTTTAATAAATTTAATTTTAAAATACATTGATAAAAAAGATTACTTGAAAGATTATTTTATATATTAAAGTATTTTATCACTTTTAAATTTACTCATTGCTATTTCCCATTTTCCCAAAATTCTTGGCTTTGATTTTAAATAATTTAAACTATTTTGAAAATTATTTGTTCACAAAATATTCTAATATGTTTAAATTCTAAAACTAAATAATTTATTTTTTTTATAACCTAAAATTCATTCAAAGTCATTTAAACATGAAACATTTAGGAATTTATTTTTTTATAAGATTTAAAATTTAAAATAAAATATTAATTTGCATTTAAATTTTAATTTTTTTACTTTTAAATTTGTTGATTTAAAACAATTTAATTTTAATTTGTTTTTTAATAAATTTAATTTTAAAATACATTTATAAAAAAGATTGCTTCAAAGATTATTTAATATTTTAAAGTATTTTATCATTTTTATATTTACTCATTGCTATTTGCCATTTTCCCAAAATTCTTGGCTTTGCTTTTATCTCATTTTTTCTTTTAAGACAACGTTGTCTTTGTATTTTTTATATTCTTTTATAAATTTTTCTTCGTCTTCTGAACTAGAGCTTAATTCTATTTCATTTTTGTTCTTCTTTTACTTTGACCTCATTAAAAATTCTTTTGATACAGGGCTATAGTTAGCAGAACGTGAGTCTTTTTTTGATTTCTTACTGTTACTATCTTGGGTCTACAAGAATTTCTTTTAATTACTTTCTATTTTTTGATTTTAAAGATTTGTCATAAATAAAGGTTTTTTCAAATCAAAATTTACTTTGCAATTGTTGAATATCTAACTTTAATTTTTCCAGTTTAGACTATGCATATGAAGGAGATTTTGTAAAAAATATGTTATCTATAAACTCATCATTATCTTACATTTTTGATATTCTAGTCTGGTCAAAAACATTATTAAACCTGTTTATAACTTCACTATTGTGATTGGGAGATGTGTATGTCTTTGAGATATTTAATTAGTGATTATTTCTTAAATGGGAAGTGGATAGAGAGTTCTCTAATTAATTTTAATTTACTCTTTAACTACTATTCAAATTTTAAATATTCTACTTTATATTAATATAGTCAGATTTATATGGAGTATTTTGAGAACTAGTGTATAATTTATCAAGTTTAGAGGGCGTTAATTTATAGTGATGAGAATTATCTGCTTTGTTAAAGACAGAATTTTTCTCTAAAAGAGCTATTTTAGTTTTAATATTATTTTTGTAAGCCAACTCTTCGCCTTCTATATTATCTTTCAATTATTACTAAAGCATTGTCAATTATATTTCATATTACTTTCTTGCTTCTTCTAAACGTTTTTCATAATTTTTATAGTGGACTTCTATTCTTCTTAGCTTTAAGTTGTTTTCTTCCTTTTTTATTTTTTCTGCTTCAACTACTAGTTTACGAAATTCTTCATTTGCTTCATGAATTTCTTTTTACTTTTCTCTGACAAAATTTTCTTTAGCATCAATCAATGTATAGATTGCATTATCAGCTTCTCGGTTTGAAGATCTTCCAATAATTTGTTAAGTAGTCTTTGATTTTGGTGTTACACATTCTTCTACTTAAGTATTTGAATAATCTTATCCACTAATATTATGAGAAATACCATATGCAGGAGTAGTTGGAAAACGATGTACTATTCCTTTAGCTTAAGATTTATTAGCATGGAATTGAAATGCTTTTTTGTTGAATGGGGCTTTAATATTCTTTTCTAACTTTATGATTTCTTATTTCAAATCTTTTAAATTTTCTTAAAGCGTTTTGCTGTTAGGAATAGAATATGTTTTATTGTGACTCGACATACATGTGCTAGGACGTATATTTATTGCATCACTTTTTTAAAGAGTTAGGTTTGGATTCTCAAAAAAGTCAGTCATTCTGCTTAAATGAATGTTATTTATTTTATTTTTAAAATGTTGATTTTACTTGAATGAATGAAATATCTTTTATATTTCAAGGTTTCAAATTTTTTATTTAAATAATATATTTAATTTTTATTACTGCAGTAAAGTGAATGAATATTGCTTAAATAAATATTGAAATATCATTAAATTTCAACATAGATACAATAGCTTTGATTCATTTAATAAATCATGAATTATCATATTAGTTTTTAAAGATTACTAAATATTTATTTTTTATGCTGTTATTATGAGTGAATCAAAAAAATTTAAATAGATTTTTTTTCTTTTTTAAATTTTATCCAGTCAAAAATAATTATTTTTTTAACAAAAATTGTAGGTAATTAAAAATGCTCATAAAATTTAATTCTGCAATGTTCTTCGTTCTATATAAAAATGCTATTAAAAGATTTACAAGATATTATAATTATTAAATTCAATCATTAAAATCAAAATAGATCCAGCAACTAATTACACACTACTCAACTAAATATTATTAAGAAAAAAGATTATTTTGCTTCAAAAATAATTATATTTAAAATAAAACAATCTTTTTGTTATATAAATAATAAAGTCCAATCGAACATAAATTGATTAGTTTAATCAATCAATTATAAAATATATAATTTCAAAACAAATAAATAAGTAAATCTATTCAAAGCAACTTAAAAAACAAAATACTTCTATCCAAGTTTTATTAGTAATTTAGCAAATAAAAAATATTTAAAATGGTTAGCGCTTGGTCCTTCGGTACTTCTCTAAGAGGTAATATCAATAAACATAGAATTTTAGTTATATTGTTTTCTTAATTCAAAAATTTTATTAAAGATAGGGGCAGATCAAATGACACACCTGTAAATATAGAAACTTATAATTTATTCAGTTTTATTCAAGTTTTAAATAATTATGAAAGGGTCCTGGTTCATATTCTGCTTAAAAGTAGCCTAAGCAAATACCTCCTTAATGGAAGTAAGAAAAATACATTCTTTTAAATTTATCAAAAAGTAGTTTAATTTTGCTAAATTAACTTTACTTATACAACATTAGAATGGGCTCATCTGGAAGAAGTGGTCTCCTTCTCAATACCTCTCCTGGTCCCGGATCGTAATACAAAATCTATATTTATTTCTTAAATATTTAATACCATATTGTCTTCATAAATATAAACTATTTATCTTTTCACTTTTCACATAACATTAATCGTATTTTTTAAATAAATTTATAGATACTAACTCAAGCCAAAGTTTGTAATAAAAATAGAAGTTCAATTAGCATAAATTAAAAAAAAAATATATATTAAAATTAGGGTAATGAAGGTAGTAAGTATACCATCGTTGGTAAGCCATAGTCTAGACCCCTCACAGCAGGATCTTGTAACTTATTATTATATTTGCTAATTTTTAAAAATCTCTTACTCTTGCATTGAGAATGTAATTAAGTCTTTTTATTGTTTTTAAATTAGAACCTGGTCCTGGCGCCTACAATCCCAATGCCTCTGTATCATTAAGAACACTACCAAAATATACGTAAAATTAAATTTTTAAAAAATTCGAGTATCTGAATATTTGATATATTATCAAAAGTTTCTCCTCAAAAGCTGGTGTTCCAGGTGAAAGAGTAAAAACTCCTGGACCAGGATAATACTCACATTCTTCAACTGTTCTGAATAGACCTTCTATGATGTAAAATATATATTTTATTTTTAAAAAATATCTTAATTGTTTTTATATTAAAGCTTTCCAAGATCTACTAGAAATGAGTTATATTACACTGGAAATACTCCTGGTCCAGGAAGTAAATTAATAATTAAAAAATAATAAGCTTTTTTAAGATATTATTATTAAAAATTAAAGGTTATTCTAGAATGTTAATGAATTCAGCATAAGGTCCTAAATTTGGGTTTGGTACAAGCACAAGAGATGATTTTAATCACACATCATTTAGGCAATCTCCTGGGCGTAATCTCATTTCATTTAAACTCTAAATAATTTTTAAATAATTATATTAACAAAATAGCTGGAAATTATAACCTCAATAGCAGTTTTAACTCTTCAAAAGGATTTAGTATGAGTTTCCGTCAAAAACTACCTGGCGATTAAGAAAAAGTACCTGGACCTGGAAGGTAAACAATATATTTTTAAATATAATGAATATAAAAAAGAATATTTAAAATTCTAGTTATAACCCAAGCTTAATTATGAAAAAGTCATCACCAGCATTTAAGTAAATAATTAAAACAATCTTATATATTTTAGACAATATATAATTTATAAAACAGAATTGGAACTTCATTAAGAGGAAAAGATTACTTTGATTAGTCATAGCCAGGACCTGGAGCGTAAATAATACTTTTAATGAATTAAATGATTTTAAGATTTATTATTTTTACAGATATTAGCCACGTATGTATAATAGACCAACAACACCTTCTGTAAAAATGGGCCACGATTAAAGAAAGCCATTAAGTTGTACTGAATTAACTCCTGGACCTGGATAGTATAGCTTACCAGGAACAAACACTGGTCCTAAGGTATATATTTTATAAGTTACAGAATTTTACTAATTAAATATTATAGTTAACAATTAAAGGGTCTACTTCTACCGATCCAGTTACTCTTGAAAAATCTAGAATCCCTGGTCCTGGTTAATATTAACCTAGCGAGAGCTTTTCTAGTTTAAAGTAAAGACCTGCATCAGCAAGGTATTCAAACGCAAATTAATAAGAAATTTTTAAACAAAAACATATTTTAAATTAAAAAGAATTGGAAGTGGACAAAGATCTAATTTCTTAGCCACCACTGCTGTCCCTGGGCCGGGAAATTATTAGATTGGAGGAGATATCTAAGGTAGTTATTGAACATATCAAATATTTTTATTTACAAACATTTAATAAAATTATAGGCCCTAAATGGGGATTTGGAACCAGTTAATAGCGTATTAACGATTAAGCTAAGGCCCATATAAACTAACCTGGTATATTATTTATTTTAGTCTCTTATTTTTATAAAAAATTGTTTTAAAAAATGATTAGGTCCAGGTGCATATAATCTTAAACCTTTCTTTGCAGATGTTCCTTCTTACTTAATGCCTCATAAACCTCCTTAATGAGATTTAAACGAATTTTATTATATTTTTAAAGATACTATATATATAATACATATATTTACAATTTATATCTAATAGTTTATATTTTTATAATATTTTTGTAGAATCTAAGTATAAATAATCCTTATGCTTTAACTTAACTAAATTTACTGAACAATTTTGTTTATTAATCAAATCAATTATTAATACAAATTTATTTATATTTATTTATTTTGAAAACAAATATTTTTTTTATCTTTTACATCCTAAAAATTAATTTTAATTTTTAAATTTATTTTACAAAAATCTTAAATATAATTAAAAATTTTTTCATGAATTAAAATTTTTTTATATTTTTTAAATTTATTTCTAATTAATTTCCTTCATTTTATATAAACTGAGGAAATGAAAAGTCATTTTATTCAATTAAAATGTTATTTATTTTTAAAAAAGGGAAAAAAATATCTTAAGGAGCTTTATAAAAAAGTATTTATTTAATTATGTTTCTTACATTAAATAAAGATGAATTATTTAATTTTGAAGAGAAATATGAAGGTTCTAAAAAATGATATCATGTTATAAATTTAATAAGTAGCTAAAATAATATAAGTCAATTAACTAAATAGACATTAAAAATCAAAATAAATTTAATTTAAAATATTAAAAAAACTTATTATTTTAAATATGCTTTTACTTATGAATTGTTATTTTTATAATTATTTTGAATGGTAGTTTTTGAATGTTAAAAAATATTTTGATGGATAACAAATAATAATAAATTGTATGGAAGGCGTGAAGAGTAATTAATTAGCATATAATTTTTTAATTTAATCATTAACTATCTAAATATAAATAATTAGTAAATTATAATTGGTGAAAACTTTTTTCTTGTCAAATTACTTTTAATACTTAAAAATTACACAAATTATTATTATTAAAAATACTTACTGCTTAAAACAAAAAGTATATTTATTTTTTTCAATTAATTAGCTCCAATGGCTGCTGCTTTGACTGTAAATCAAAAACATATTAACTAGATAGTAAGCAATGATTATGTTACCAGCTCTAACTTACATACATTAGATTCAAATTATTCTTCACAGTTGGCAAAGTTAATTTAGTATAAAGCTATACCATATCCTCATAAAATTCAAGTCAATAAAACTAATCAACTAAATGTATTAGCTAAATTACAACATAAAAAAAAATAAAATTTATCTTCAAACAGTGGAAGTTTTTAAACAAACTAAAATTATTCCACAAATAGGAGCCAGGCTGCTTCGTATTTAGAAAGTGAAGGTAATAGTAGATCTTAGATTAAAAAAAATAAATATACAAATTTAATATCTAAAAGTAAAAATGAATCCTTCTACGAAGTATAATAAGAAAATAACTAAAAGAGAGCTTGTACATCTTAAAAACGCTACCTTTTAACCAATAGCTCTGATTTTGAAAATCATTCAATTTAAGGTTAAGAAATGAATAACTCAACAGATTAACTTATGAATAGAAATAATCAAATAAATAGCTAAAGTACAATTAAGAAATTCAAGAATTAATTATCGTTTAGAGATAATCTCTAAAATTCATATGTTTCTATTTAAAGTAGAGAAGATATAGCTTTAGCTAAAAAATTAGAACTAATTATGGGACATAGAAATTAATCTCATCGTTCTACAAAAGAAACTAATAAATTTTTGAATAACTCACAAATAATTGTAGTCAATAATGACAGGAGTAGAACTATTAATAACAATATAAGTTTAGAAACTGAGTAATAAATAAAAGTAAGTGAATAGTCCTAATATGATTAATAAATTAATTTTAAAACTTTTAATCCTCTTAACTCTTCGATATATAAGCAAAATTCTTATAATTTCGATTTAGATTTAAATCAAAATGTAAATAAAAAAGAAGTTTTTAATTATCTAAAAAATAAAATATTTTAGAAGTAATCAAGCTAATAAGATAAATAATATAATAATCAATTTAGGATATCAAAATATTCTAACAAATTAGATATCAGCTCTACTATTAAAAAGGATTCTGTTAATAATTCTCAGTACTAATTCAAACCTACTCCTCCTCCTCCTTAAACTGCTGATCTAATTGAAAGGGAAAAAAGAGTAAGACTAACCTAATCATAAGGGAAAAAAGATAAAAAAAGATTGAATTTTTATGAGAGATTTAGTGAAAAGCTGAAGCAAAGTATTATGATGACTGAGTTATAGTAAAACTACAATTTACAATAGATTGAATAAGGAATGTAATAATAACTTGATTTATACTAAAACTAACCTATAATACATGAAAAAAATGAATAGACATATTTGCAAATGAAATTTAATCCAATTTAAAGAGGAAAAAAAATGTTTTCTTCTTTAGAAAATTAATAAGATTTAAATAAATGTGAAGTTCTTGTTGCTAAATATGTGAATAAATATATATTTGGAGATAATCATTAAAATAACAATTTAAAAAAATATGAGAATTTGAATATAGAAAAAAATATTACTTAAGTATAAAGTGCAGGTCCAAGTAACATAGATGAATAATAAGATACATAGTTATCATAAATTTAGCAACAATAAATTAATAACTATTAAGATTAATTACCGATTTAAAATATTTTTTACCAAGGCTAATAATTAAAAACTAATAGTTCAAAAAAATTACACTTAATCTCACTCAGTAAAAACTCAACTAAAAAGTTACTTTAAGAAACACATAGTAATAGTTAGAATTCATAGTTTGATTTAAAATTAAATCTAGAATAAGAAGATTAAATTCTTTAAATATAAAAACAAAATTATATCAATTTCTAAAATAAAGCATCATTTGATTAAGATGATCCAGATTTGAGGGAATACTTAAGTGAGAATAAAATATCAACTTAAAATTTAGAAATATTAGGTAGTGACTATAACTGAAATAAATTTAAATACTTTAAAGATTTCAATATTTATTAATAAAATAAAACCAATAACCTATTTATTATGTAAATTATATACCAACTTTTCATTTGACATAAAATTTTTTACTTTAAATTTCACAAATAAATTCTAAATATAGGTTTTAAATAATGTAAATCCTCCTTAATTAATAATAAATTTAATTGAAACCCTTTTAAAAAATGTTATATGCATGTTTGTTTTAAAATTATAAGTGTAAAGTAGAAATAATTAAAAAAAATATTAGTGTTTATGGTTAATATAATAATTGAAATAAATTTGGAAAAAAGAATGAGCTTTTAAAATCTGAAGAAAAGAACAAATAGATGTTTTGTATTTATTTTAAAGACTTGTTATTTAATAGTATAGTACTTACTTATAATTTATATAGTTACAAAATTTAAACGTATGAAATATATTTATTTATTTATATAATTAAATTTGTTAATATGATTAAATAAGGTTAGAGTAATTTGAAAATTGAATAGAAGGATAAGATCTTTTATTTAGTATTATAAATAGAGAGTTTTCAAATGAGAAATTTGTAATATAAGCTCTTTGAGTTGTTGTTTGTTTTTTCGTTGAATTTTTAAATGTTTTTTTCTATTTTTCATCATCTTAAATCAGAAAATTTAAGAGTTGATTCAGGTCCTTTAAAAGAAGGGGCATCCGGGAAGGCGTCCCAAAAACGAAGAGTCTCATCACTAGCTCCAGTGACTATTTATTTTTGATCAGGGCTCAAAGCCATGTAAATAACTCTTTATTAGTGGCCTTGGAATATTTTTACTTTTTGAGGGTTAGGATATTTCCAAACATATATTTCATTGTCTGCATAACCATGAGTAGAAACAAATTGATTAGTGTTCTTAGTAAAGGCTAAACTGCAAACTTAACTGCTTGTTTCAATACAATCAACTTCTTTTCCTGTATGAATATTCCAAAAACGAATAGTTTTATCACGACTGCCACCTCCTGAAACAAGCAAACCATGTTAATGAGGGCTCCAGGTAATGGCCTTTACAGCAGCTTTATGCTGTGAGAATTTATACTAATGCTGATTGTATCCTATATTCCAAACAAATAATTTGTCATCGTTTCCTCCACTAGCTAATGTTTATTAATCGCATGACCATTCTAGACCACAAACTTCATTACGATGTCCTTGATATTTGCGGACTATATTCTTATCACGTATATCATGACAATAAATATTTCTATCTTTTGAACCACTTGCTAAAATTTCGTCATTTATCCAAGAAAGACTAGCTACTCTATCTTCATGGTTTTAAAAGAAAGCTACTTCTCTACGAGTCTCAGCATCTATAATTTATACACCTCCAAGTGAGTCTCCGATTGCCAGCAGCTTGCCAGACTTGCTAAATTTAACAGATGTAAATTTATATATGTTATTTTTATCAGGTTTTTGCATACTAAAAATTTTTTTATTACTATAATTGTAGCCAAATACTTCATTCTTAAGTACAATAGAGATGACATTTTATGCACTCCAATGAAGTAAATTCAAGTAGTAGTCATCTTCTAAACCAGGTGCATCTAAGATTTTTGTACTATCTGTGATAACTAAAGATTACTTTTTTTTAAAGCTTAAGGAGCTTTAACTTGGTAGTTATCCATTACTCCTAAAGAAATCTTCATCATTAATATTTTCTTATTCCATAATAGACTACTATGAATATAACCCTGATTTTTGTTAGGACATAAATGCAGAGTTAGTGTTTTACTGTCTGTTTCCATTAAAAGAGAGAATCTTGGAGTTATCTGAAGTATCTAAGATATGCTTTTAATAAAGAGATGCAATTGAGAAAGATTCATTGCTATTTTGGGAATAGCATGCAGTTTAGGGGTCATTTTTTATTTAAGAAGATTTCTTTGTCATATCAGAAGAGTCTTTATTTTAAAAATTAATAAACATCTTATTATTTTTTCTAGTTGGAATGAATCTTTCATAGCCTAAACTTGAATCCTAAGAATGAGCTGAAAATGTTGCATTATTCTATTTTTTAGTATTTCGAGAAAAGGGAGTGCTTATGGCTGATGAAAAGGAGTTTTAATTAGAGAGACTTAATTCAGTATTTGCATTAGTTGTGGTAGCAAATCCGTAAGACAATTGGTTTTTACAGTCGTCAGACTCATATTTTCTAAGCTTTTGTATGCAATTATCAAAGTTCTAGGAGGAGTTTTATTTTTTATCAAGATTAAAAGAAGACTACTTACGGAAACTGGGATTTGATTCTTTTTTTAAACTAAAAACGTTGCTGCTAGTATTGGTGCAAGAAGAATGGTTGTCATTTGCATCATCACTAAACATTATTTATTCTAAATTATGATAAAAATTATTGCTGAAATTAATAGGAGGACATTGAGATTAGCTGCTTTAGTTCTTGTCACTAGTATTATCCTACTAAGAAATAGATTAAAAATAGAGACTAGCTTAAGAATTCTGCTTTTTGTAAAGCTCCTATTCAATATTTTGTGAACAGAAGGATGAGTTTAGTTCATTTTCATTTAATCCTATATTAAAGCAAAAGGGTTATTCTTCAATTTATATCTCACTCATAGAGTTAATTATTAAATAGGAATGTTATTAAGAAATAATAAAAGTTGATTTTCGGAGTCTGAAAGGATTTATTGAAGAGCTGAGGAGAGGCTAGCAATAAAAAATAAGAAATTGTATATGCTTTAAAAGATGAGGATATTCAAAACTGTTAAGCTGTATTAGTTGTGTTAGAAACCACTGGTAAATAGGTTGCGCTTTATCTTGTCTTTATGTTTAATTTGCTTGAATTTTAATGATTTAAATAATTTATATTGAAGATAGATAGCCGATCAATTTGCGGGAATTTATATTATGATTAATTTATTTAAGATTTTGTTCAGCAATTGTAATATTTTTTATTTGCATAAATATCTTTTAATTATTGACAAATAAAATTAAAGGCTTGACAGAAATCCTTTTTTATTATTATTTATTAGTATTAATTAAAAATAAAACACTCCAAACCATTTGCAAATATTAAATTTATTGATGTTTTTTAAAAAGAATCATTCTGTACCGCTAAATAAATCAAATTGTAAAATATATTGACAGACAAACAAATTATTGATATTATCTTTATTTGATTTATTAAGATACTACATTAATATATTTATTGGCTGTACCTTTTGCTCTAAATTTTTATTTTTATTATCTCTCAATTTTAAATTAAATTCTACTTTCCTATTTTTTCTAAATTTAAAATGCTATTTTATTTTATAAAAAATTTTAAAATTCTTTTTTATTTTTCATCATTTTTTATGGTCAATTTAAATTTTTATTTTTTAGGCATTTTCATTAAGTTTTTTTTATTGCGCAAAAACAAATATTTAAACTAAATAAATTTTTACAATTAAAAATTAATTATTTATTTTGTTTGCAAATGATGATCGCCTTTAAATTTAAATTACGACTAATTATTATGTGTCTAAATTAATAAATAAAATTTATATTGAAGCAAGTAGCTAAATAATTTATTTATAAAATCTAAACCATAATAGAATTTCAAAATACAAAATTATCAAGCCAAAAATAATTTTATACTAATAAATTTACATTAATATTAATTTTATAAGAATTCATTAAGATAATCACATAAAATATAAAGAAAATATTATTTTATAATTTATTTAAATAACCATAATTATTATACTATTTTATATCATAAAACACTATTAAATTTAATTAAAAAAAATTAATTATTTTTCTATTTTATTTATTTTTAAAATAAAATATTTATTAAAATAAATTATTCTAATCTTATAAATTAATGTTATTTTTTCAGTTAAATAATTTATTGTTAATAGGTTTTATGCTATCTTCATTTATCAAATTAGGATTTCTCATTTATTGTCAAAAATTCAAAATAAAGACTTAATCATAAAAAAATAAAGATAGTAAAGTCATGACTAATTTTTTAAATTACCAAACAAATATATTAGCTTTGATTAGAAGACATCAAAAAAGAAAATAAAAGATTAAATATGCTTGTTATTAATAATTATTAAGATATTGGTTTTTTGTATAGGTTTTCTGCTAGCTTAAATTGTTAATTTAATAGTTCTCATCGGTCGTAAATAATTATAAATTAAAAGTTAATCAATAATAAATCATAAAAATAAATAATCATCTTAGGTATTATTTAGATTTAGTATTTAAATAATTTATTTTTTAAAAAGCTAATTAATAAGGATAAATAAATAAATAATTATATAAAAACTTAATGAATAATAATCAAATTCAGCTAAAAAATTTGCAGATATACATGTAAATAATTAAAGGTTAACTATATATATTCATATCTACAATACAATATTTTGATAAAAAAAATTAAGCTAAGTTTTTAAAATAACTTAAACAAAATAATTTTTTGTTAGAAAATTATCTATAAAATGAGTTGATCTATTTGGTATTCATAGATTGTTGTAAATATAAGATTATATTGATCACATAAATTGGAATTCTATTTAAATTATTATTAGATCATTGAATTTTTTTGTTTGGAATTTATTTTTGTTACATATTTAATTTTTATAATCTATAATAATTAATTAATATTATTTACCTACCTATCATTTAGCAATATTGAAATATTAGATTATTAATTTTGTTTTCTCAAAATGAGTCGCTTAACTAAAATTTTATGTAAAATTTAGTAAATTGACTAGTTTAATAAATAAATAAGTTAATAAATTGTAAAAAGAGAACAATAAAGGAGAAGTAGACTTAAATTTTCAAATAAAAGCCTATAAAATACATAAAAGGTCTTTTGCAAATAAACATTTTTAAAGGTTTTATAAAGAAAAAAGGAAATAAAAATGAATAAGTTTACTCTTAGTTTTGAAGATTTAGCTTTAGAGAAGGAGTTCTTTTGGTGGTCATACAATCGCGACTATTTTATAATAAAAGTGTTACTAGGAAGCATAGCATTACTTGTTTAGTTCCCTTCTATTATTATTTCTATTAACAGAGGAGATAATTTAGTGGCCATGGGCTGGGGAGTTTTAATGGTTATTTCTTTAGTAGCTCTTGTTTCAATTAAATACAAACCTTTGTCATACAATATGTTCCTCTCTTTATATCATCTGCTGATAATGTTTGTTAATATTTATTATTTATACATTTTGAACAGTGATATTTCTAATAAATATGGAGCTCATATTCTTTTTGTATATGCACGTAAATTTTAATTCATATTTATAGTAATATTTTAATAGCTCGCCTAGATTGTTTTCTCAAAAAAGACCTTTATGAGGTCAATTTTTTTGGTCAAAATTAAGTCTTTTCGAATAATACAATATTCTTTAAAAAACTAGCTTGCCATAAGTTTTGATGGCTTTTTTTTATAGAAGTAATGAAACTCAATTCTGAATTTAAAGACAATTACAAATGAGAAAATTATAAAATAAAAAAGTCTAAAGAATTAAGCTTATTTAATATTATATATTTTGAATAGTTGCACATGGGACAAGCCACAGTACAGTAGTTATGCTTGGAACAAATTTTTTATTAAACTCAATGTGTATGGTTACTGCTTACTTAGTATACGCAATTACATTTCTAGACTATGGATTTACAACATTTCACCTATTTTTGATTGTTATTTCTTTATTTACTATTTTTGGAAAGTATATGAGAGATCGCTCATAAAGAGAGATGTTCCTAATGAGAGAGAGAGAAACTAAGTGGCTGAATATTATGAAAAAAGCCTTACCTTCAAGCATAATCTTAGTATAATATAATGAAAAATTAGACAAAATCGATTTAGATTTAGTTAACCAAAATGCGAAAAATTGCTTCTAGTTTAACAACAACGAAAGTTTTAGTGAATTTTCAAGGAAGATGCAACTTGAAAAATACATAAATTTTGATTTAACGCTATCAAATAGCAATATTGAGAAATTTATAAATGTAGATTTAGTTAATTAATAAATAAATAATTCTAGTCTATAGTAATATATCAGTTCAAAATTTAGGGAGATTTCAAAAGATAAAAAGATCAATCAAGGCAAGTCGCCTATTCTAATTTAGAATCTTAAGTAGATAAAAAGCAAGTCAAATAATGAAGGATAAGAAAAAGTGGATCAGTCAAATTCTCTTAGCAATTTTTCTAAATAACTGACATAGAATTAATAAAATTTTATTAACCAACCTTCTAATTTTTTTTAAACCAACGATCAACGTGAATTATATATGAAAACACCTCAAAAAATATCAAATTCCTTTAAGAAAACTAATTCTGAACAAGAAAAGCAGAGCGCTAAAGGAAAATCATAAAATTCAACTTTTGGGGTTCTAAATAAAAAGAAAAAAAATGCAAACAGTAACAATTTTAGTTCTGATAAAGAAAGCATTTTGATAGAAACATTCGTAGGACTTTACAAGTAATGGATTATTAAAGCTATTTATTTATTTTTATTAAGCAAACATATTTGGTAAAAAATAAGTGTCAACTTATGTAATCTAAATTTTTAATTAATTATTTTTGCTGCATTATTTATTTTTCATTTATATATTTTAAAATTTAATACAAATTAATTTATATATAGATCAAGCGATGATTAACAACTCAGAAGATATAAAGTTAAAGTTATTCACTATAATGTTGGATAGTACTTTTGCTTAATAGTAATTGAAGATGAATCTGATGAAGAGAAAATATAATTTTTGAAAAAGTAAAATAGAGGAGCAGAGTAGATCGTTTAGAAATTTATCGATAATACAGGAAAAAATATGTATAAAATTACAGAGTAGCTAAGAGACAATTAATTGAAGGAAATTATTTTCAAAAAAAATCCTATTTTTTTGAAGACTTTAAAGTATGAGTCTTCAATTCTCTACAACAGCATTTACAATATAAGAAGTCACTTCCTATGGGCTAAGTAAAAGGTTAGAACGAAATGTCAGTAGTTTTCTATTTAGGCAGTTTTAGATGAAATATATGATACTTTTTCAGGAAACCCTAAAGCATTAGAGAAAAAAATTAAATTTTTTATAAGCAAAGACAATTTATCAAAAGATAACTAAAATCAATTGAATTTTTTGCATTCCGATTTAACTTTAATTAAATAACTTTTTTACAGCCTAATATAAAATTCATTTGAAAATACAGATAAAGGCTACATTGTTTTGAAATTAACTGAAATACCTGGAGAAAATGAGCTCTCTACCATTATCAAAGTAGAAGTAACAGACTCTGGAAGAGGCTTTGAAAATATACTTGAATAAATAAACTAACTTCTTAATGTACAAAATCCTCAATTTAGTGAATAATATTATGGGTAAAATTTTTTAGCAGCTAATAAATAATTAAAAATTAAAAAAAATATATTTTGATGAGAAACAAAATTTTAAACAAACTTTAAATTAAAATAAAAAGATTAAAAAACTCCTTAGATATTCTGACAAAAATAAAAAAATTTTCAAAATTATTAAATAAATAAATAAATAAATAAATACAACTTTAATTCTGTTTTAATTTAATTTATAAGGTCTATCTGTTTTGGACTTAAAAATAGTCAAAGGATTGTCAGAGTATTAGGACCTTATTCAAAGCTCTTTATCTTCACAAGAAATGGAAAGGGCAGCAAAATATGCTTCTATATTTACTAGAACATGAGTGTTTTTTCATAAAGCAATAATCACATTTAATTCTAAAATTAGTTATTTTAGCAGGACTTAGATACTTTAAAAAATTAATATAAAAATGAATAGAAAATGATATTAAATAAAGAATAATAAGATGAAGAAAGTTCATTTTTGGGATTTGAAAATGTAACTCAAATCAATATAAAAGAACTGGAAGAAGACAGAGATAACTTGAGATAAAATGAGATTAAATAAATTACTAAAGAAGAATTTGAATATAATAATATTAGTGATATTAGGATTGAGGAAAACCATAAATCTAGTTTTGGAAACATTGTTAACTAATCAAAATTATAAATAATTCAGTCTCCAACAAAAAAATTTTTGCAAAATCTTTCAAGTAACTTAAATCAGCAGGATTAAGAAGAGTCCTATTTTCCTTTTATTAATCAAATCTTTTAAAATAGCTTAAAAAATTCTAATAACACAAATTACAGTACAAGCAACACATAAATTAACATTAAAAATTAAAAAGAAATCGAAGATAGAAAAAGGCACTACTCTCTGTAGGAAGATAATATTTTCTAATAAAACAAAGAAAGATCTTCTTCAATTTTTAAAAAATTAAACAATGAGTCAAATTTTGGTATTATTATTTAAAATGACTCAAATAACTAGAATTAAAACAGTTTTAACCCTTATTTGAATAATTCAGGCTTAGATTATGTTAAATTTTCAATTAAAAACTAGGATGATTAAAAAGCATATCATTTTAATAGTCCTACTCAAAGCAAATAATTTATTAATATAGCCAAGGAATGTAAATTTTAACCAAGTTAATCACCAAATTAATTTAAGACAACTAAAACCTTTGGAAGTGAAAAAAGTTTGAACTAAAAATGAGATTTTATGTAAAATTAATCTAAATTCAACCAAAGATTTATAAGAAATAAGATATATATATTGATTTAATATTACTAATCCCATAAATAATGTGCAATATTTTTAACAAAAAATTAAAAATAATCTTTTAAGAACTTAAATTTAAAAGAACTATAATTATTTTATAGTTCAACAATCTAATTAAAGAAAGTAGATTTTTTTAGAATTAATAATAAATTTTGTACTTGGTAGAAGTCCAGCAATTATAAAATAACGATCTCATAATTTCATTCATGTAAATATTTGTTGTTTGTAATACTATAATAAAAAAATATAACTTCTTAGTGAGAGAGTTACATTAAATTTTATTTAAATATTTAGATTCATTAAATTTTTAAATTTTATTTGACTAAATAAAACCTAATAAAAATATTTAGATTTAAAATTTATTTTTACAATAAAACTTAATGTTAAGCTTATAGTTTATAATTTAGATTAAAATTAGCCTTTTCTGGCGTTTAAAACTATAATATGATATTAAAATAATTAGCTTTTCTAATTTAGAGTAAATTTTAATTCATTTTATTGTTTAACCACTGTTTTTATTAATTCATTTAAAATTTACATTTAATTTTTAGAACCAGTAATTATTAATAAAATTTCTAGAATAACCAAATCAAATCTACAATCATAAATAAAAAATGTTAATTATTCCAGATTGAATGAGTTTTGCTTATTAAAAATAGACAATATCAATCCATTATTTTTTAAAAATATAAACAAATTCTATAAAATCCTTTTTTTAATATATCAAAAATGTTGCAAATAATAGAAAAAACTCTAAATATGTAATTTAACTAAGCTTAATCAGAAAGAAAAATAATATCAACTATATTAAAAATTACTTTTTATATGTATTACTTTATTAAATATTTAAAATATCCAAAAAGAACTTATGATTGATGTGTCGAAAAAGTTAATTAAATTTAAAGATGTTTTTATTACCATCTAAATAGATGTTATTAAGTAAAAAAATTAAGCATCGTATAAAAGAAAATAGAAGTAGTAATATAATTATTAATAAATTGATCTATAAAAATAATAATGGTATATTGATTGATTGGAAGCAAAAAGAGAAAAATAAGTAATTCAAGTTATTGTAAATTTAAAGATTTCAAATATAATATTTGTTAACAAACTAATTAATAAATTGAGTAGTCCGCTTTTTTTCTGGCTACTTACTTAATATCAATAAAAGATGGAATAATTAAATTCATAAATTAACTAAGTAATTAGCAAGCATAAGTAAGAAACAAACAAGATAAATTATAAATCTAATCTTCCAATAAATAAAAAGCAAAAAGTATAAATACAAAATATATTAATTAATTATAATTTAATAAAAGCCTATATAATTCATTAATTTATTTATTCAGCTAGAATCAATAGTTTTCATTTTTCAAAATAGATAGCATTTTATATTTTAGCTCACCAATTTCTAAAGATTAAAAATGATGAATTAGAATCTTTTGTACCCAAATGGTTCTCCTTCTTCCTACTACGATAGCTTATCTATTAGCAATAGCAATACCCCATAAAACCTTAAGCCATCAGCAATTATTGGGAAGGATTACTCTAGTACATTGCAACAGTCTCCATCAACATAGCACAGTAAAAAAATTTACATTAAAATCATTTTCATTTCTCTTAAAATCAAATTTTCATCACTTTTAAAATTCCTTAAGAATGAGCTTAAAATACATCAATCAATTCTATTTGTGCAAACTTAAAATTTATAACTTGTTAATAGCAATTTAATTTGCTCTTATTAATCATAAAAATGTATTTTTCATTAAAAATATGAGCGCGTATTAATATGATTGCAATGATATATTTATTATTGAGCTTTGATTTATTAATTATTTATGCATTAAATATTTCCTAAGTATGATATGGTTTTATATTATTATTTTTATTTTTAAAAGCATACTCGAGCCTTGATGCAAATAGCGGTGGCAAAATTAATAATAACAATAGCTTAAATACAATAGGTTTAGCTGGATAAAACGAAAATAACTATAGAATAACAACTTAATTGGTAGATTCGATTATTCCAGGAAATTATTAAGCATATAACTCAAATTTGTAACTCAATTAGTACTCCTCATAAGCTTAAATAAATAGCAACAGCACAAATTATACAAGCAATCTATCTGGATCAGCAACCAATCCAATTTAAAAAAATACTTTACTAAGTATAGCAAATACTAATGTAGGGGCAAGTATAAGTACAAATGGAGATAGCCCTCACCCAGAAGCAAATAAAAACACTAAATCTTTTATTGGTATTAATTTATCTACTTAGAATGCAGATAATAAAGCAATAAGTAGCATTAATGCAAGTAGTGTTCCTTAATCTACTTTAACATAGTTCATTAAAAATTAAGGATTTTCATTCAGCACAGTAACTTCACCCTCTTCTAATTAGCAACCGCTTTAATCTCTTTCATTTCATCATCAATCTTCCTTTCAAGGGACTTCTGTCACGGGCTTAAACAATAAAATGCCAATAAATTTAGGAGCAAATGCTAATAAAACTGATCTTTTAGGTAACTACACTAAAGAGAATAATTTAGGAATCCCTACTTCAACTATATCTCTGCAACAATAGAATTCAAGTTTGCCATATTCAATAAATATCATTAATGACAGTACTACAAAAAATTAAAATAGTTATAGTCACCAAGATTTGGCTGCATAGTAACTTTAGGAAGTTCAAAAAGTGTAATAATAGCTAGCAAATAATGGAACAAGCAGTTATCAATAGCAATAGTATCATGTAGGAAATAGCTATTCATACTTAGATAAGTATAAAGATACGCTTTCTACTCCTAAAAGAGATGTTTATGCTAGTGGCATGAGCTAAAGTATGCTAGAATAGGGTAACACACCTTAAAACAATTTAGCTCCAGTTTCAAAAATGACTATAAATCACTAAAACTCTGTAGGATAGATTGATGATAAATAAAAGTAGTAAGACACAGTATCTAAAAAAAATAATACCTTAACAGCAGATGAACTAATAAATAAATATTGTTTGCTTAAATAAGCAAATCAATTACCAAGCAAGACTAATACTATTAATGATTAAAATACATCTGGACAGTAATCCTTTACTGAAAATAAATAGATATACTAACAGCCTTAATAAACCAACAATTTTATTAGTTCTCATTACTAATCTATGCCTTCTCTTGTGTAAGTATAGTAGCAGCAAATAGGAACATAACCTTAAGCACCAAACTCGTCATTTTTGTAGTAATCTGGAGTACCATAAATATCAATTACTAACACATCAGATTCACCTATTTCTAAAAAATATGAAAGCAACAACCCTATAAATAATGTCTCTACTCCTTTGAGAAAAGAAAGTGCCCCATAAATAGAATCATATGGTTTAACTAGTTTGAATAAAAATTAAAATGAGTAGAATATCACTAATGTGACTTCTCCTCATTCTGGTAGGTAGAATAATCTAAAATACTAATCTATGGATTAGAACTCGATTTAAAAAGCTCTTAATAGTAACTAACTTAATTAATAAAGCTCCTCTAGCCTTCAACAAAACAAAGAAATATAAGGTATTAGTAGTTATACAGCTCTTACTTCAAACATATAGAGCAATTAATCAAGCAAATCTCAACTAGGATCAGCTGCCTAGGGTTATTTAAATCAAATACTTAATCCAACAAATGGTGTACCGTCTTACAAGTAATCTATTAGCGAAGATTTACCTTTCTAAAGTACCTCACCTCATATAGTGAATAATATTACAACAATATAAAACCCATATTCTTTAGGAGTAAATCACGCATAAAATAATAGTTTAAGCAGTGGTGGAATAAATTCAAATAGATAAAGTGAAACTGATCTTATGACAAGCTTTAATGATTCAATTTTGCAAGGAAGTAGTAGTGTATAAAAAATACCAAATTTGCCAATTCAGAGCAATGATTTATCTAACTAATAGAGAAGTACTTAAGCATAATATTTAGAAGAAAAGAACAATTAAAACTAATAATAATCTTAATATAATCCTCACTAATCATCAAATAAGTAGAAGGAAGTTTTCTAGCTTTACTAAAATATTATAGGTGCAAATTAAACTCCTTAAAAAATAATAAACAACTCTTCATATCCATCTCCTAGTCAAGGATTTTAATTATAGAATTTAAAGGAGCCTGCTGCTGAACCTCAGCAACCTTAAAGTGCAAGAGGAGCCTCCTAAATTTCATCTACAAATACTTTTATTCAAGGTCAACCTTAAAGCGCCTAAAAGAATTCTAACTAGTAATAAATTTTCTATAAGATTACTCCTCCTACCATTCCATAGCCATAGTAATCACAAGCTTAAACATCTTAATCTTAAGTTATTCAAATTTAAGCGCCATAAAGTTAAACAACATAAAACTTTTAATCAAATTCTTAAAATCCAAGCATCTAACCTTAACAAATTGGCACTTAAATTAAATCTCCATACCAAATTGTGAATGGTAACAAACAACAGGTTATATTCAATCCTAAAGCTTAGCAATAAAGCGGATAAAAATAATTATTTGAAAGTGGTTTGTAAATTAGCTAAATTGGAAATCGTCCCAAAGGAAATTTTACAGTAATAGATTCTGTAAGTCATCCTTATTTAACATACAAAAATCCTAAATAAGCAAATAATTATAAATAAAAAATATGGTAAAATATTTTAAACTAGCGTAAAAATAAGCAGAATAGCTTTCATTCTCCTGTCAGAGAAAAACAGTTTTATTCTAATAATCTTAATGCAAGTGCTGATGATTTTGCTGGTGGATCACTTCCACAGTTCTCGCCTCAAAAAAAACCTGGACAATAAGAATTTTTCCCTAATCCTCCCTAAAATGTTAATCCAAAATAATAATACTATTAATTAGGGTACAATTAGTATGGCTAACCAATAAATTCTATTTAAAATAGTAAATTTGGGAAGCTTCAAAATTCTGATTAGCATCAGTATTAATACGTCACTTATATTAATGCACAAGGCTAAAAGGTTGAATAAAGAATTCTCATTAAATCTCCAAATTAATAGTCTTACAACATGAATAATGCAACATTTCCTAATCCTACTTTTGGATAAGATTAGAGGTAAATATTTTATGAATAGAATTCGAATAATCGCTAAGGTGAAGAAAATCCCCCTAAAATTAATTTAGAAATAGTGAATAACCACTCAACTCCAAACGAAAATATATTTTATGGAGATTAAAAAGCTATGACATTTTCTAAAGTATCAGGAAATTCTACTAATTCTTAAAACTCTGGATAAAATTCTCCTGCTTTTATAAACAACTAAACGTAAAGATCATATTCTCCATCAGGTAAGAAAATACCACCATCAAGCTAATTTGCTAATTACCATGATTAGCAAGAATTAGCTAAAAAAACTCCAAAAGGTGAAGAAAAAGCACATTAAGATCATTTGACTATTCCACAAGATTAGAAAATTAATGGAGCAATCAAAGAAAATTTAAATAAAGCTATGAGAATGAGTTTTGGTGGTGAATCTTCCAACGATAACAAGAATATTCAAATTTGAATATAAAAAAATAATGATCAAATACTCTGTTTTTGTACGAACATCTCTTATTAAGAAATACCAAGAAAAAAAATTATTTATTGAAAATGATAAAATTATATTATTCAAAAATTGTTCAAGCTTAACTTCAATACTTTATCATATAAATTAATTGAGAATACTCACAGAACAATAACCATTTATTAACAAATTAATTTATCCATTAATCCATCCATCCATCTATTTTAAAATTATCTTATTCATATATTAACGACTCCTCTCTATATTTTCTTTATATTCTTATAATTATAACGTAAGGTTTGTTTTCAATAGATTTATTTTAATATAAGTAAAACTTATTTTTTAAAGAAGTAAAATGAAAATATTCTAATCTAATTAACCTTTTCAGTATTGTTCTTCCTAAAAAAATTTATTTTATTTTATTATTTATTTTTCTAAAATTGTTTTTAGAAAATAATTATTTTGTGATCTTTTTTAATTTTTTAATTTAAGATATAACTAATTATGTAATATAAATTTATAATTTTGATTTATAAAAACTTTTCTTTAAATATATTTTAATTATAAATCAGTTTTTTATTTTAACACTCTAATTGAATAACATATTGAAATAATAAAATAGGATTAAAATCTTTTTATTTAAAAATTTTTTAAGATATAAAAACAAACAGCTTGCATGATGAGTATATTTCATAAATATAAATTGTTGTTGGAATCTTTTTTTAAATGAAATAAAAACACTTAATAAGTATCGAAATTGAAAACTATATTTGTAGATTATCAAATTAGCCAATCAAATATTTATTGTCTAATTAGATTATTAATATTTTACCACAATCTAGATAATAAATATCAAATTTTAATATAAAAGATACAAAAAGAATTGAATAATGTAGTAAGACTATTTATAAGTAATCATTTTACTTCAGTTTTTATTTGTTAGAATAAAATTCCTTTACCTAGTAATAAATAGACGTTCTTAACAAAGATCCTGCTTTGAGGTTGCCTAAGGATGTTAATATATTAATGAAAGGGACCAAGGATATTACATTTTTTAAGAATTATATAAACAATGGTGAAAAAAGAGTACATATCCTTTGTTGTACTTACATGAAACATTAAGCAAATAATATTGGGGAAGAAGTGGTAAAAATAGGTAAAATTATTATTTTGCTAAATGAAGGAAAGGAAATATTTGTTTTAAATCTATTAGGCGAAATTAATGATAAACTATTTATTCTCCTCAAAGGGGAGGCAGGTTTAATGGTTTTATAGCCAAAAATTACAAAGCAGTAGCAAGATGAATTTGAAACTGTATTAAAAGATTAAGAAAATAAGGAAGGTGATAATAAAAGACTAGATTAAAATAAAGAGGCTCAAGGAAATGAGGAAGTTGAACAGAGATCTAAATAAATTACTATGAATGAAATATAAGAAAAAAGGGCAAGAAATACCTCATAAGTAGCAAATGAAGAAGCATAAAATTAAAAGAAAGAAAGTAATTAAATAAATAAATTAGAAAATGATATAAAATTTTTTATAATAGAAAATAATTTAGAGTCTAGAAACAGCATTACAACTTAAGAAAATAATTTAAAGTTTAGGTCCTTAGAAGGTAAAAAGTAATAGCTAAATGTATAAGATGCTAATAAATTAAATAGTCTTTAAGTAACCAAGAGTTAAATTTAAATTACTTCTGATTAAAATAACATAGTATTTTAAGAACCTGTTATGGAATTAGTCCAAGTTAAGTTGTTAGAAAAAGGTGATATATTTGGGGAAGTATCTCTTGTTTAAAATAGACCTTCTATTTTTTCTGTATGCTGCTTGACAGAGTGTCAATTTGCCATTTTAGAAAAAAAAGAATTTGATTTTATTTTAGGTTAATTAGAAGAGTAAAGAATATACAGAGAAATGAGATTTTTAGGGGGTCTTGATTATTTCATGCATTGGTCAGCTAATTAAATCAAATATTTATATGTTGCATCTAAAACAGTTTCTTTTTAGAGGAATCAATTTGTATTTTAAGAAGACGATCCTGCAGATTATATCTATATAGTAAAGTCTGGCATGTTTGAAGTAAGAATATTTCAATCAAATTTATTTATTTATTTAATTAAATTATATTTTTATAAAAGAAAGTAAAGAATCTTAATTTTGAAATGGAAAAAGATATATGCTTTTTAGATCTTCAGGGTGCTTCAGAGCAGCTTATAGAGAAGATAAATCTAAAGTATAGGTTGTTTTACATGTAAAATGATAAAAGAAAGCTAAGGGTAAAATATTTTGAAAATATAAAGCAATCAAATATATTTATTTATTTAACATCTTAGTTAAGCACTATTGAAGAAAAAGAATTGTTTGGAGAAGAAGATATACTTAATAAATAGAATAAACGAAGTTTTTCTGTTATTTGTGTTTCTTAGTAAGGAGATGTTGTTATGATTAAGAAAAGAGATTTTTATTAGAAAGTTCTTGATTCAGATCAAACTAAGAGGATGGTTAAATACAGAAATAAATAAAAGAAAATCGTAATGGAAGAAAACACTAAAAAATATAACTCTCTTATTTAGGAATATAAACAATACCTGATGGATAATTGCTAATAAAATTTAAAGCAAGTAAATCTACAAGAATACCTTCAAACAAGTAACTAGGAAATTAAATAGTCTGGTATATCCGAGTTGCTTCCTTTAAATTTAAATACAAACTTAATACACAGATACAAGACGGGTCAAGAATCTTAGTCTTTAGTATAATAATATCTCAACAACACTAGATATTAAAGAATTAATTTAAAAAGAAGAATATATGAGAAGGTTAATTCAGTAACAAATGTAAATGAGCAGTCTAATCTATTAATGGAATATGTAAATAATTATTAATATGCAGAACCCTATGGGGTAGTTCAAATTGAATTTAATAGGCAAAAACCTTAACCTAGAAAGGAATTTTAAGATAGAATTAAAGAGTTATAGGGTAAGTAAGAAAAGCTTAGAGTTGTTTTAAGAAAGTTGCAAAGAAATGAGTCCCTTAATTTTATAGAGTAGAATAAAAGCAAAACTCGTTCTATTTCAAGTTCTAGCTCAATTAACTCGAAGATAATACATACACCAATATCAGAAATAAGGAAGCAAAATTCAACTTTACATCTAAATCCTAATTAAGATTAATTCTCAAAAAACAAATAAAATTAAATTGCTTCAAAGGAAATTTAGAAATCCAGTAAACTCTAAAGAAGTCTTTCATATAATGATAGTAAAGTAAATCAAAAACAATAAAGGATGTCAGAAGAAATAAATATTTTCAAACCATAAAGTTATTAGTGCAAAATAAGGAATTATAGTAGTATAATTTAAAGTAATAACTTCGAATCTGATGAAGATATCAGCCCTAAAAAGACCTTAGCCTCCGAAAGAGATTCTATAAGGTCTAGTGATATAGATAAATCGTTGAGAAATACGATATCGAATTTAAAAAAATAAGACTCAAAAGATAGTTTGGCTAATTAAAATGAAGTTCCATCAGATTTCAAATAATGTCTTCATAATATAATTAAAGTTTCAAATAATTATGAAAAAATTGCAACACATATGAAAGGATTTCCTATAAGAATAAAAACTTCTCATAATTAAAGAGATTAAGTGTACTATAAAAAATTGAACTCAAGTATTTCAAACAGCTATAAAATTTAAAATAACTTTAAACTCGATAAAAATAATGTTCCATTAATTAAAGATTTTAATAAGATAAATTCTTGTTTAGGAATTCAAGATAATTGAGCTAATTATTGAAAATAAAAAAAATTTAGCTTTCTAAATTTCAATGTTTATTAATGCAAGCAAGTTAAGCAGCTATTCTGTTTCAAACTCACTAATTTATAATAAATATTTTTAAATATATAAAAGAAATAAAAATAAAATGAAAATTTTTACTATTTATAAGTGAATAATGTTTTATGTTTCAAATTAAGTAATATAAATTTATATAAAAATAATAAAATAATCTAATTAATTTAAAAAGGAATGAATTATTGCTAATCAATTTTACAGCTTGTTCGTTATAAGTTGAGGTTATTGCTTAATAAATAATAATATTAAATTAAATTAATTTGTCAAAAAAATAATCTTAAGAATTTAGAAGATATGTAGAAACACATATATATTTTTTTACATAAAAATTAATTAGGTTTCTGATTTATATTATTATCACTAATTTAATCTATTTTGTTTAACCATCAAGTTTGTTTGCAATCTTTTAACTGATACTTTTTCAAATCAAAATCATAATAGGAAATAAAAAAAAATTAAAAGGCAACTCAAATACCATTTATTAGATATATTTAGAGACAGTCTATATATTATAGTAAACATTTTTAAGATTAACTTTTATTAAAATTTATAACTATCTTCCAATCATAATATTATGAATCTGGGTTTATTTGATCATAATTTAGTATATAATCGCATATTTTAAATTAACTATTATAAAATTATTAAGAGAATTAAATGAGCTAGGAGTAGCTTTAGTAGATATGTTTATAAGAAAAAAAAGAATTTGATTCTGAAAAATAACATGAGTATTCTTCTCCTACTTATAGAGCTAGGTCACTTTCAAGAAATAAAGCTATAAATGGAAATGTCTAGGAAATGAACCACGAAAAGGCCATTTAAAGTGTATGCTCATTAGGATTAAATTATTTCATAAGTATGTCATGTGACAGATAGATAAAAATATGGAATTACTCAAATTTGTAAGCTATATTTTAATATTAAAGTGAGTATTCCTGCTGCAATAACTTATTAAAAATTGGATTTTGTCATTTTTTATAAATATCTGGTGATCATGGATAGTAAGTACAATTAATAGAATGGAATGAAATGAAAATTATTTAATCTCTTAATTTGGAGGAAAAAATTGTTTATGCCTAATCTTCTCCTTATCTAGCATCTGATCACGTAATTATTTGCGGTGATAACAAAGGTTCTTTATATATCCTGAATATAGATATGAATATAATATCATCATAATAAATGAAAAACAACCATTAAATTTAGCCTCTAAAGCTTTTAAAAAAAATAAAAAATAGAGATAATAGCATATAAATGTAAAGCGTTACTTCAATATGCTTTTTGTAAGATTTGAATAAATTAGCAGTTGGAGGAGAGAAAGGAAGTATTTACTTTTATAACATTCAGAAGTCTAAAATATACAAACATATACCTAAGGCACATATAAATGGAAGGAAAGTTTCTTTCATATCATAATTTTCAAAAAATGACAAGCAGTATATTGTTTCTGCAGGTTGTGATTAATACATAAGGCTATTTGATGAAGAAAGTTTAGCTGTTTTAAAATAAGTTTCTTTAAATAATCCAATTGTTTGTGGAGTATAATTAGATAATTAATTTGCTGCTTTTGGTGAAGGAAGGCATGTTTTGCTTTTAAATCTTAATGATTTATCAGTATTTAGCTTAGCTTTACATAAAGCAAGAGTTAATGTTATTGATATCGATAGAGATAAATAAAATTTAATTATAGGTGATATTAATGGCTTTTTAAAAGTTTGGCAACTGAAGTAAGATCTCAAATAGCTTGCAAATGAAAATTCCTAGTAATTATCCTCTTTTCGGTAATCAAGGTAATTAGAATACCCAACGGAAGTTAGAAAATCTGTTAAACAAGAAGAAAATTTTTGTAATGGAAGCTACTCTTCAAGGAATGAATTCAATAATTTTTCTAACAGTAATAGATATGAATCTAATTCTTAAAAATTTATTAAGAATGTCTTAAAATCTTCTAGCAACAAAAAGCAATTAATTTAAACTAAAGTAAGTTCAAGGGAGAATAGTGTTAGTAAAAGTTAAAGCAAATTTAAAATTCAATATAGCTAAGAAAAGAAAAATAAAAACTTTTAGTTTGATAGCTAATTTAGCGATTATAATGGATTTAGCACTGATAAAAAGACACCTCCAATTGACTAGAACCCAAGCACAGTTTCAAGTTAATCATACGCTGCTTCGAGTAACTATTTAAAGAATAGTAACTTGTTAAGAAGTAGCTCAGGTTAAAAGATTCCCCACTTTATTATTCCTTTGTAGACTTAAAATCAGAATAAACTAGAATCTAGATCTTTACAAAGTTCTTAAAAGTTGAAAAATGGCTAATCCTCACCTCAAAATAATATTTATAAAATAGTCATTAATGGAGACTAAAAAACTAACTTTGAGAGCTTGGTAAATGTTCAGTCAGCAGATTAAATAGAAAAATTAGGTTAGATAGGTAGCAAGTAAAATTCTATCAAGAATGAGTAAAATATTATTTAAACATCTCACTTAGAGGATATTTAAAATATAGATTCCTAAAGCATTTCATCATTTTAATTAAAATTGCTTTTTAATACAAATCAAATAAACTCAGAAGATTTTAGAAATCAAAGCAACATACCTGAGAACTTTACACAAAAAAATGGAGAAAATATTAATTCATAGAATAATTTTGTAGATACAATAAATTAGAAAGAAGAACACGCTAGTGAAGATAATTTTTATTATTAAATAATTAAATAAAAAATTAATTAAAATTATTAAGAAATGAGCTACTTAAAACCTTAAACACCAAGCCAAACTATCAATTAATATCAATCGAATGCAGAAAATTTAATATTTTAAAATAACTATGGATAATAAATAAATTTATAAATGAAGGAATAAACGATGAATACTTAATTTTAAGTTCCTAGTTAAAATTAATAAATTACATGCGAGCCTTATGATATTTAAGATTAAGAGTTAAAAGAGAAACTTGAAATTGAAGAAAGAGATCTTAGGACATAAATAAAATAATAATAAGAAGAATTTAGAAATTCTATTTTAAAAATTTAAAGCTAAAGAAGCTTATCATCAAGTATGCAAGAAAAAAGCTCAATAATGTTAGATCAAGCAGGTATTCCAGTTACATACTCTGTTGCAAGTCATCATTTCTCTACAGATAATAATAAAGATAATAACTTATAAGAAAATTAGTAATCCCCTAATTTGTAAAATACATAAGTTATTTAACAATAGATGTTAAACAATACTGGTGAAAATGCTGTAACTTAGTAGTAATTCAAGGAGTTACTCAATTAAATAAATATGGAATAAGAATAGGATACTCTAATTTAAGAGCTAAATCAATAGGAATAGGAACAAAATGCCCAATTAAATTTTTAAAATTTAACTATACCTTAGCAAGTATAAAGATATAATCATTTTTAGATGAATCAAAACAAAAATGATTAAAACTATAGTGAATTTAATAAAAGAATTGTACTTTTAGAAGAGCAATAAATGTATAACCATAAACAAATTATTGAAATTAGAGAAATGTCTCATTAAAACTTTGACGAAAATCAAAAAATAAAAAATGAATTGTTTGAAATATAACAGAGGTTATAAAGTTTAAGCTAATCAAAACGCTCAAAAAATGCTTCTTCTTTGTCTTCAAGAAAGTAGTCTTTAAGAGATTTTAAAGTAAATAAATAATCTTAGATGTCAAGCTAATTTCTGTCACCTTGTAGGATAAAGGGGAGACTTGTTAACAGCTTTTAAGAATCAGAAAAAAGAAATAGCTCAAATGAAATAAAGAATTTATAAGAAAATTATATTGGAAACGAAGAAAATTAAATGAAAAAAAGTTTAAGATAATAAATTAATGAAACCATTTAGAGCTATAAGTAATCTTAACAACAAAGTCTGAGAAACTCCTAAAAATTGATGACTTAAAAGTTTTAATCTCCTTGTAAAATATAATCTATTGATATCAATTCTCCTCCTAAAAATTATATTCAAATTAATAAAACTTATATATCTCCTCTTAAAATAAATTGGAATTATGTTAATAACGATCCATAGCTTATTGAATAAATTAAATTATCTTAACATAATAACAAAATGAGATCCTTAAGCACTGATTTTTTGGGTTTAAGGAAGCTTAAAGAAAATTTTAAGGCAACTGAAGAGTAAAATCAACAATAAAAAAAGCTAAATTTCGACTACTCATCTAAATTAAGATAAAAATCAGCAAATATGAATTTATAGATCAGTGTGGAATAGAATAAGTAAATTGATATCCTTCATAATACTAGCTAAACAAATATTTCTGCTCTTGATGCGTATAATAATTATAATTAAATTAAGGAAGAAGAGATTCATAAGCATTTTTAAAATATTAGTGCGATTGAAGAAAAGTAGTAAAAAAATAATATGTTTTTCACTTCCGTAAATTCTTAAAATAATTTACAATAAAACTAAGAACAATAATTGTGTAATGACAAATAAGCAAATAATTTAAGTAGTATTTAAGTATCTCATAATTTAATTTAAAATAAATAAAGTAATTATTAAGAGTAAAAGTAAGAGTAAAATTAAAATGACTATAAAAGAAATAACTTTAAATAGTTATTAAATATTACTTAAGGATTAAATTCTGCTTGCTAAGATAAAAAATTAATTTAAGGAGCTCAAACAAGTCATTAAAATGCATATAACTTTGATATTAACCAAAACTCCAAAGAATTATAAATTGATGATTAAGTTTCATAAGGTAAATTCTTTTAGCAGCAATAGCTCTACCAATAAAATTAAAATAGTATGCAGGATCCCTATTTGATTTCAGCATATGGACTGAAAAATAAAAAGCAACCTATTTTAAATAATATATTAAAAATAAATGAAGAAAAAGATGAAAATAATGATACTTTATAGAATATATCTTTATCTCTAAACCAACCTCTGAGTAGTTTTTTGACAAATGTCCAAACAAATCAAACAAAGCAGAATTTTTCTTCTTCTTAATAAATAACTGAATATCCATAACATTTCATTCCTGTAGGAAATTAGAAAGATTTAAAGAGTAATGGAGTTAATGAGGAAGATTAAGTTAAATCAATATAATCTGTTTAGTAACAATAAAAGCCTATAGTTGAGTAAGATCAATAAGTATTTGATTAATAGAAGGAAAAAGATATTATGATTATTTAAAATTCTTAAAATCTTTCTTTGAAGGTTTAAAAAGAATTTGAAGAGTGTGTCTAAGGAATGAAAGAAACACTCGCTTAAAACAAAAATGATCTTGAAATTTTAAAATAAGAAATGAGAAATATGGACAATAGAAGAAAAAAGAGTTTAGGTAAAATACCAGATCACTACAGTTCAGCTTTAAATTTTATATAAGAATAAAATTAAATAGAATGGGAAAACTCATAGAGAAGCTATAGCTCAAGAAAAAAATGAATTAAATTTGTATATATCTTGTTAAAATAAATACTTTTCATCAAAGTAAACTAAAAAATTAGTAAAATATAATTTAAAACCTTTGTATAAAATAAATTTATTTATCATTTTTATAATTAAATGAAAAAATTAAATATAATTTTATAAAATAAAAAATTTATAATTTTGCAAAATGAAATTAAAATTTTAGAATAAAAATATTTTAAAATTAATTTAACCTAATAAATCAATTAAAAAATTTCAATAACACTAAAATTTATAATTTTAAAAAGAGTTTATTTAAGATAAATTATTAATTAATTAATATTAAATTTTATTTTTTATGATTGTTAATTTAATATATTTTTATCTATTTAATTATAATTAATAATATTTAAAAAATAAAGCAAGTTTTTAAACACAAAAATTGCGCTAAAATGAGAATTATTAGGATTAAATTTTTTTGAATTTGAAAATAAACAAAATATCTTAGAATAATATAGAATATGGATGTATAATGGTACAATATTTATATTATAAATCTTATGTATCTTAATTAAAAAATTTAGCTTGGCTAATCTTTTATAGAATGATTGTTTTAATATTTTACTTAAAAAAATTAGCGCAAAAAATCCTTAAAAATAAACGAAATCATTGAATTTAGATTAAATTTAAAATTTTAAAAACTTTAGAAAATAATAAACTGCTGTAAAAGTATCATTTAAAGCAATCTTTTAATAAATTAGCATATTAAAATGAGCAAGCAGGAAAAATCAGTAGAAGAAAGATATTAAAAAAAATCCCAAATTGAGCATATTCTTCTTCGTCCTGACTCTTATGTTGGGTCTATAGAAAATGAATAAAAGGTAAACTATAATTTGTTTATTTATTGAATACAACTTAGATAGCTTATATTAAATTTAATATAAAATAGTCATTATGGATTCTAAACAAGGAGGGAACAGCATTAGAAGAAAAAGAAATAGATTTCGTTCCAGCATTTTATAAAATATTTGATGAAATTATAGTCAATGCTGCAGATAACTTTTAAAGAAATTAAGATGGAGCTCCTATGGATACAATAAAAGTTATGATTGATCAATAAAATCAAATGATCTCAGTTTGGAATAATGGACAAGGAATCCCTATATAAATTCATAAAGAGCATAATATTTATATTCCAGAAATGATTTTTGGTCATCTATTAACAAGCTCTAATTACGATGATAAAGAAGAGAAAGTAGTAGGCGGTCGTAATGGATTTGGTGCTAAATTAACAAATATTTTTTCTAAAAAATTCATTGTTGAATGCAATGATGACAAGCGTAAAAAGTAAAATTTAACTAAAATCTATAATTTCTTATCCATTTAAATTTAACTTTAGATATTACAAGTAAGAATGGCGTAAAAATATGTCTGAAAGAACAGAGCCTTTGATTACAGAAAATAAAAAAGGTGGTAATTTCACATGTGTAACATTCTATCCTGACCTTTCTAAATTCAAGATGCAAAATATTTCTGATGATATGGCAAATTTACTAAGAAAAAGAGTTTATGATATGGCTGGTATTTTTAACAATAAGGTCAAAGTTTATTTGAATAATGAACAAATAAAAATAAAATCCTTTAGTTAATATGTTAACTTGTTTATACCTGACATTGAAGGTAGCTATTTCTTTTTTATTTAAGAAAATGAATTTGCAATGATGATAAAATCTAAATGACAGAAAAATACATACTTATAATGGTAATATATGGTAAAACCATATATTGCTAGTATGTACTTTCATTGTATGATGGCTTACACTTGATTTTGAGCAAATTCATTTTTTTAAAATTATTTTTAATTAATTAAATTACTTTTTAAATCAAGAAAATTAAAAATTATTTTTTTAGAACAATACAAATGCTATGATCCAACTATGACTTCTGACAGATGGGAGATTTTAGTTACTTTTTCAGATGGTTAATTTAAGTAAGTATCGTTTGTAAATGGTATTTGCACATCTAGAGGTGGTAAGCATGTAGATTTTGTCATTGATAAAATTGTTGAGAGAATGCAAGAATAAATCTTGAAAAAGAATAAAGATCTTGATATCAAGCCTCATTAAATCAAACAAAATTTATTCATATTTATGAATTGCCTTATTGTTAACCCTTCGTTTGATTCTCAAACCAAAGACACTCTTACAACAAAAGCCTCAGCTTTTGGATCAAAACCTGAATTATCAGAAAAATTTATCAAAAAAATATTGGGTACTGGTATCATTGAGTAAATTGTTTCCTAAGCTAAAGCTCGTCAGAATGCTAAATTAGCAAAAACTTTAAAGGGTGGGAAAAAAGGAAGAATTACAGGTATCCCAAAACTTGATGATGCTAATGATGCAGGTATTATTTTATAATTTATGAATAATATCATAAAAATACTGATTTAAAATATAGGAACAGCAAGAAGTGAAAACTGTACATTAATCTTAACCGAAGGAGATTCAGCTAAAGCATTAGCAATGGCTGGTATAGAAGTTGTAGGTAGGGATAATTATGGTGTATTCCCATTAAAGGGTAAGCTACTTAATGTTAGAGAAGCAAATAAGAAATAGATCATCGAAAACCAAGAAATATAAAATATATGCAAAATCATAGGGCTAGATCCTGCTGTTTAAAACTATGAAAATGTATTTATTTTTTATTATTAAATATTATGCATTTAACTTAACATATATTTTAACAGACAAAGCAATTAAGGTACGGATCTTTAATGATCATGGCTGATTAGGATAGTGATGGTTCCCATATTAAAGGTTTGGTCATAAACTTTATTCATCACTTCTGGCCTTCTCTGTTTAAAATGAAAGGGTTTTTAAAAGAATTTATTACTCCCATCCTTAAAGTTACAAAAGGAGATGAAGTTCATTCATTCTTTACAATATAAGATTTCAAAAATTTTGCTGCTTAAAAAGGAGACCGCCTTAAGTAATACAAAGTTAAGTACTACAAAGGTCTTGGTACTTCGACTGACAAAGAAGCTAAAGAATATTTCTCCAATTTCTATAAGCATCAAATTAATTTTTAATATTTAGATGAAAACGATATGGAAGCTATTGAATTAGGTTTTTCAGGTAAAAAAATAAAAGAACGTAAGGACTGGCTAGCTAATTATGATCCTAATTCATTTGTTGATTATAATATAAAATAATTAAGATACAAGGATTTTATTGATAGAGAGCTTATTCACTTCTCAAATGCTGATAATTTAAGATCTATCCCATCGTTATGTGATGGCCTAAAGCCTGGTCAAAGAAAAATTCTATTTTCTTGTTTTAAAAGAAATTTAAAATCAGAAATCAAAGTAACCAGAATAAAAAAATAAATTACTTATTAATTTTTCACTTTAATTAAAAAGGTAGCTTAATTAATTGGTTATGTTGCTGAGCACTCTGCATATCACCACGGTGAATAATCACTCGCTTCAACTATCATCGGAATGGCATAAAATTTTGTAGGTTCTAATAATATAAATCTTATGATGCCTATTGGTTAGTTTGGTACACGTAATCAAGGTGGAAAAGAGCATGCCTCTGCAAGATACATTTTTACAAGTCTGAGCAAAATTACTAGAATACTTTTTCCAGAGCATGATGATCATGTACTGAAGTATTTAGAAGACGATAATCAAGTAGTAGAACCAGAATGGTATTCATTGAATTTTAACTAACTTTAGAATTAATTTATTTTTAAAAATATAAAGGTACATGCCAATTATTCCTATGTGTTTAGTAAATGGTAGTAGTGGTATTGGTACTGGTTGGTCAACTGATATTCCTAACTATAATCACAAGGAAATTGTTGAATAAATTAGAGGGAAGCTGGAAGGAAAGCCATTTACTGAATTACATCCTTGGTACAAAGGATTTTAAGGTTAAATAGAAATTAATCCTAAAGGTGGGTATATAGTCAAAGGGTAATACGAAATCGATGAAGTTGAAGAAACAATAAAAATTACTGAATTACCTGTTGGTAAATGGACAAGAGACTATAAGGTAGTTTTAATTTGTTAATTTATTAATGGAGTAAATATAATTAAATTTTTATAAAAGAATTATTTAGAAGAGCTACTATCACCACCAAAAGGAGAACCTGAAATTGAAGACATTCGTGAATATCATACAAATAATAGAGTTCATTTTGAAGTACAAGCAATACCAGGGAGAATATAATAATGGGGTGACATTGAGAAAAAGCTTAAATTAAGCACAACAATGCAAACAACTAATATAGTTATGTTTAATGATAAATATAAATTAAAAAGATATCAAAGTACTGTAGAAATAATGGAAGAATTTTATGCTTTACGTCTCAAATGCTACTAAAAAAGAAAAGATTATTTAGTCAGCAAAATTCAAAGAGATGTTGATATTTTATAAAATAAGATGAAATTTATTACATTAGTTGTCAATGGTACTTTGGAAATTAGAAATGCCAGAAAGAAAGGAGTTCTGAATAAACTTAAGGAGTTAGGTCTGACTCCAATGTCAAAAATAACCAGAATCAATTCGACAAAAATCTAGGTAAATAAAATTTAAATTTGAAAAAATATTAAAATAAATTTTACAAAAAAACAAAGGCATTTGAAGAAAAAAAGAAAGAAAGTTAAGCTGAAAAAAATGAAGATAATGAAGATGAAGAAGTTTAATAAGACGAAGAGGAAGAAGAAGAATAAGTTTAAGAAGGAGAAATTCCTTTATCTGAATACAACTACCTTCTCTCTATGCCTATCTTTTCTTTGACAGAAGAAAAGGTAATATTCTTTTTTATTAAATTAAAAAAATCAAGTTAAAAATTAATATAGGTATTATAACTCAAAAAATAAGTAGAAGAAAAGGAAAGTGAACTTTTGATCTTATAAAAGAAAGAAATAAAAGATATGTGGACAGAAGATTTAGATAAATTCATAGAAGTAATACAATTTTAGAATTAATTTTAGATAAAGATTTTTAATAAATAATTTATAGGTTATTGAATAAGTAGAAGAAAAAGAAGAAAAAGAGAGACTTACAGGTAAAGGGTTTACATAGAATGGCAAAGCCCGTGCTAAAAAGAAAAATAACAATAAAGAAAAAGAATAAAAAAAATAATAAAATAACTCTTCAGATGACGAAAGCGAAAAGAAAACTGTTGTAAAAAATAAAAATCCATAAAAATCTGATAATGAAAAATAAAAGCCAAAAGAAAATAATGATAAATAAAAGAAAATAGATGAAAGTTTTCTTGTGAAGAAAAAAATGGATGCAGAACAATAAAAAACAGAAGAAAAGGTATAAAAGAAAGAATAGAAGAAAGAGCCAATGAAGTAGCTCTCACTGATTGAAAGAATATCTTAAAAATATAGTAATCAGGCGGAATAATAAGTAACGGCAGATATACTTGACACAAATAAACGTAAAAAAGATCCATCTTCAACTTCTACCTCTGTTTATTCAATGGATATGCCATAATAAAACCTAAAGGTAATTTAATTTAAATTTTTTATTTTTTTTGACATATTTCTTTTTTCTAGCGAAAGAAAAATAATAAATTGAAAGAAGATGATGATGATTTTGACCTTGATTTAGATTTCTTAGAACCTAGTTAGATAATTATGAATCCTAGCTAAGATCCTAATAAAAGAACCTTAAGGTCAAATGGGAAGAAGCCAAGAACGATTTATAAACTAGATTCGGATTCTGATAATGATGAATTCAATCAGTAAAATGATGAATCTGATGAAGAAGAGGAAGAGGAATTTGTTATGATGCCTTCTAAGAGCAATAAGAAAAAATTATTTGATGAGGATGAGGATGATTGAATTTATTGCTGATTTTATTAAATAATAAATATTTTTATATAGAAAATGAAGTTTAATTTTTATAGTTGAGTATATATTTTATTTATTTAGGGTAGAGTTTTAATTAATTGTATTAAATTAATCAATTTTATATTAAAAACTAATAAATTCAAATTATATAATCTCAATTGTAATCAATAATCATTTTATTTAATATTTCTTATTTATTAAAAGTATTTATTTTCATTGATATATACAGTGATGTCAGAATGTTAAATCATTCTAAAATTTTAAATACAGTAAATCCTCATTAATTAGCATGTAAAGTAAAATTTTAATTTTTAGTGTTAATAAAAACTTAAAAATTTAATAAAAATCATAAATTATACAAATTCTATAATATTATAGTTTGCTTATTTTATAATATTTATGCATATTATTAACTATCTTTAGAATTAAATATTTTATAATATTATTTAATAAAAAATTTATTTAAATTGAGTTATTTCTTAATATTTGGTTGTGTGTTTTATTTTTTAATAGCATACCTTTCATAGTAAAGTCTTACTAATAGTTTAAAGTCTAATTAGATTTACAATTATAAATAAATATGATATTTTCTTAAAATAAATTTAATGTGTGGTTAAAATTGATGGTATATTTAATTCTGGTATAAAATAATTATTTTGCCTAATAAGTTTATATTTAAGCTTTTAGTTTTTGAAAATATTTTATATTTATTTTTTTTGCTTAAGTTTTAGACAATACTTTGTTTGAATGATGATTTTTTTTAATTAAATTTTTTAGAATATAATTTTTAAGCTTATAAAAATTCATCTATCTTGTTTCTTATCATAGGCAAATTTAAGGTTGTTAAGATCCTCCATTAAATTTTGTACATCCTATTTATATTTTTTTTCTAAATGCTCGTACTTTTGTTAGAGTTATAAAATAACTAATCTATACTAATCTTATGAAAAACAAGTAGGGCATGTGTTATTTGCTGTTGAGTTTTAAATATATTCATCTCCGAGCTACTAAATGTGATTAGCTAATATGTCATAATCAGTCTTTAGTTGATTATAAAACAACTTGTACTCTGATTATTCTAGAATTATTGATTTTTAGTGTTTAATATGATTATTTAATTTTTAATTTTCATCTAATAAGTTTTGTTTTTCTAATTTTAACAAATTAACCTCTTAATTTTCTGCCTTTAAGTAATTTAGCAGAGCTAACTGTTATTAAAATCTAAATATCATTTCTCTTTACTCTTTGTTTTCATTTACTAGAGAATGATTTGCTTGTAAAAATTTTCTATACTCTTCATTTCTCTTCTCAGAATAATCTATGACTTTTTAATCTCTCTAAATTAGCATACTTTATAGATGTTGGATTTCAAGACATTTTTCATTTATTATTTTAAAAAACTAATTATTTTATTAAGTCAGTTACTCCTTTTCTAGTTTCATTTCTTCTAAGCACTATTTGAGCTTTATACATTGAGAAAATATGTCACTTTCATTGCAAAGTAAATCATTTTACTCATCAAACATATACAAGGATTTTTCTTCTGGATAAATCTATTTTTAAAACTCTTTTAGAAGTTGCTAAGCATCTTTTTCTATTTATTCAATTTCTTTAATATAGTTGTTATTATTGTTATTAATTTGATTATCCGAAAATTGAGTTTAGTCCTTATTAGAATTATAGATCAACTGATAAGTATTTTCGTTCTACTTTGAATCTGAGCTGCACTCTACTTTTTTAGATTCTCTATTAGGAGAAGGTTGTTAATTAAAGCTATTTTACTCTTTTGTATTCATATTAAGAGTATAGCAAGAACCTACTTCAGTGCTTTCTTGGCCGTTGAATCTACTATAATACTCTTTACCTTCATCATTTAATTTTCCATTAAAAATCTTTTTGTTTTCATTTTAGTAAAAGGAATGCTAATAACTTTTCTATTCAGATGTATCTTATTTTATAGCTAAATGCTACTAGTCAACTGAATTATTTTTAGATTCTTCTTTATCATCACATAATAGATTCTAGCTAATTTCTAACTATTTAATATCAATTTATTTTTGTAAAAGATTTTGAGATAAATCTTCACACATCCTCATCCATTAAGCAAGAACTTAATCTTTTTAAACAATAATTTATTTTAGATCTTATATTTCTTTCATTAATTTCTCTTTTTCTTTACTATCATTCAAACATTCTTGTTAAAAATCTAATTTTTAATTTTCTTTAATATTCATTTAACTAACTTAAGCAACTAAATCTTCAGCGTTTAAAAGTAAATGTCTGATAAAAAATATATTTTTTTATCTATCTCTAAATTAATTTAATTGTAATAAAACAATCTTAATTAAAATTTAAAAATTTAATAAATTCTCTGTGTCGAAAAGTTTAATCAAATGAAGTAAATCAAAATATTTATTTTATAATTTTGAAAAAGAACCACTAAAAATCTCATCTAAATATAAACAAATAAATTAATTTTAAATTTGAACAGAAAACATAAAAAGAACTAAAGAAATTTTCTTTTTATTATTTAATAAAAAATCTAACTTGATATAAATTTTTATTCTTCATTTAAAGACCTTATTTTTTAAGCTCTCAGATCCAGATCTGTATGTTTGCTATTTAATAAAATTTTAGCTAACTTACTAAATTTGCTTTTTTTCAGGTTAATCTCTTTTGTCTAAAATATTATTTAGCTTTCCAATTTCTTTTGACAAATTTTATATTTTGCTATCTATTCTTTCTTTGTAAGGAATTATAGATTGGGTGGAAGTAGGAGGAGAATTAAACTGTGAATTTTATTTGTAAGTTTTGTAGTAGTTTATGCTTGAAGATAAACTACTTATTTTATCATCATGACTTAGGTTATTATTAGAAGATGGCTATTTACGATCAGACTATATTATAGCTCCAACATGATAATTTGCACTTTGAATTTATCTGCTTATAGTTGGAGTTATAGAATTTTTATGGTTAACTTCATATTCATTTACAGACACAGTAGTTTAAGTTAAATCTTAAAAAAAAAAAATTTTAATATTTACATTTAATACTTTAAAATATTTTACTCATTTAATTAGCTTTATTTCCTGATGAAGTAGAAGGAGGTGATTTAAATCTACTTGAGAGTGGCTAAGTAAGATAGTCATTTTTTTTATAAATATCTATTCTATCTATAGCAGATATTTTCTTTATATGGCTAGCACTTTTAACAGAATCAAGCTTTTAATTAATTCCTTAACCTTTTTATTTATTTTATTTATATATTGTCAGATTTAATTTTTAATAAAAATTTTAATGTCTACCTTCACTTCCAAGTCTTTCTCTGTTTAAGTAATTATGGTGATTTTGTGTTTACTAAACTACATTTCCATAGTTATTGAAAAGTTTTTAAGCATTTATGGAATTAGGCATGGTGTTAAATTAAGAAAAATTGGGCTGAGTACTTTGAATTTAAGAGGACAGTGGAATAAAACTAGAAGGAAAAACTTATTACAATTGTTATTAATACTAAAAGTTATTGTGTTAAGGATTTAATATTTATTATATTTATTCTTTTACATTTTGTTCTTTTAATTGCTATTATTGTTAAAGTTATAATTGCACTTATTATTACTACTACTGCTCTTTAAACTGTGGTGATTATATTTGTTAAGATTGCTACTAAATTTGTTGCTGCTACTCTTACAAGATGGACTTTTCAAACTTTCGCTTAAGTTCCTCAATTTCTTAATTCTTTTATTGTATTTCTGAATTCATTCTTTTAATTTCTGACTCAAATTAGCTATATTTTAAAAACAGAGAAGAATATTGTTCTTTTTATTAATTAGCTTCTAGGTGCTTTGAATCTATTATAAGTTTATTTTCATTTTTTATAGACTCTATTTTAGCATTTTGCTCATTGATTATTTTATTTTATCTTATTATTTCTGCCTTAAGCCCATCCATTGTTTTATCTTCTAAATTAGAAATAGATTATATTGAACCGAGTTCATCATCTTTAGCTGCAATTACTGAATTTAACCTTTCATTCTCCTTAACTAACATATCAATTTAAGCTTGTAACTCTATAATTGTTTCCCCATTCTCTGCAATTTTAGAAGAATTTTTTTGGTAAAGTGCTTTTTTTTTAAAGGATAAATAAATAAATATCATATCTACCACTTAAAGAAAATACTTTACTTTCAATTTCCTTATTTTTATATTCTAAAGCTTTATTCACTCTTTCTAATTCAAACTAAAATATTTTTATTTATGGGTCTTCTTCTTCTTGATTTTTTGATGGCATCTTTTTCAAATCTTCTTCTGCTCTTTACAATTTTATTTTAAGCTGTTTGATATAATAAATATATGTTTATTTAATATTAAATAAGTAATAATGCTTTACAATATCAATTTCATCTTGTTTAGCATTTAATGAGAAGTTAAGCCTATCATTTTCATTCATCAGAAGCAAAATCTTTTTTAAAATTTAACATAAATACAATTAATTTAATACACTAAATTTATATACTTTCTTATCTGCTTCAAACATTTCTAATGACTATCTTCTTGAACCAGAAGCTCTCTTTTAGTCATTAAATTGATTAGACTCTATCCTAAAAGCATCCTTGAAAAGTTTCTCTTTATCAATTGACTAAAAAGGAAATCAAAAGAAAGAAATAAATAAATAAATAAAAATATAATTCTATAATGATTTTTAAAAACAAATTCATTTATTTACCCCTAATGGAGATTCTTTTATCTCACTAAGTAAACGGTGTGCTTACAAAGGAAGAATAATATTATAATCGAATTAGTGGTTATTCTAATTAAATATATCTATCAACTTTTCAAAATCTTTAAATAACTCATAAGCAATATTAGAATCATTGTCACTGTCTATTGTTTAATTAAGTTTATTTTTCAAAGAAATTTCATTTGTTTCATCATTGAATTCTATCTCATTTGCAAAATGTATAAGTTGCTAAATAAGAGCCTAATCACTATTTGAATTTTCGCTGACACATTTTTAAAAGTTTTCATAAATCTAATTAGTTTTCTTAATGCAATTTTCGTCTACGATTGAGCTCTCTAAACAATCAATAAAATCTCTTATTTACTTAAATTTAGATTGTGTTTTATCATTTTCTTATTTTATGCGAAGAAGCTCCTTAATTATTTCTTACATTACATTCTAAAAAGGCTTTTAAACATGATTTTATTTTTGATGTATATTCTCTTGAACGCACTTGTCACACATCAAACTTAAATATTAATTTTCTACACCAATACATTCTTTGTCAACACATAACATATTTTACAAATTTCCACTATGACTGACACTCCTTTCACAATTATTAAAACTTATTTTACTAATTCTTTGTTAGCAATCCTCCATATTTACTGATACTTTTTTATAATTAAATTTAATACAACTTTGCAGCTTAATATTAATTTTTAAAAGACTCTCAAATTTAGTGGCAAATTAAAAAAATCACAATTTTCAGTATATAAGATTCATGTAATTATTTATTAATATCTTGAGATTAATAACTAATCTACCTAAATTACTTTATTATAAAAATTATTACTCTGAAATAAAAATTAATTTAAAAATTTAACAAAACAATTCAGAAATGTTCAATGAATATTAATTTTTACTGGTATATCTATAAAAATTAATTTTTTTTATTGATTCAAATTATATTAAATCCTTATAAACAAAATAACTTTTCATTTTTGACTCTAAGTAAAAAACCTTTGAATAGAAACAAAATATAACTATTGTTTATTCAAAAAAAAACTAATAGGACCTTAAAATATTTCTTAAAATTTTTTAATATAATAAGATAATAATGATAATGAAATGATTCATATTATTAAGTTTATCAGGGTATAATTTTATTAAATATTCCTCTCAAATTTTTTAGTTTAGTATATATTTTTATATTATCTAGATATGATAGCTAATATTATTTAACTTGTTGATCCTCCTATGTCCATACAATATTTATTTAATAATATACAAACTATTTTTGAAAAATTTTAAAACAAAAAATCTTTTGCTGATACATCATAAATAAATTATTTAATTTAATTTTTAAATAATTAAAATTTTAAATTTGGATGGATTTACTAAAAATAAATAAAATGTTAATGTAAAATAAAAAAAGCTAATTAATAAATTGATTTTGTATTTTTTGAATAGTTTTAAATATTAAATTTATACACTTCAATTATATTTTAACTCAATTTAAGATCTTAATTAAATATTCAATTAGTTTGCATTTTCTTTTACATTACTTATATTTTAGATTATGAATGAATAAATATTATATTCTGTAGTTATAACTTTGAAATCATTTAAAATTAATCTTAAAATATCAATTTTACATACAAAAATTTTAATTTAGTTAAAATTTCAAACTTTTATATTAGTAAAGAGTATAAAAGTAGATGTGTCTCTATTTCAAAAATAAAAGAAAAGTAAAAAATTTAGTTAGAATTTGTTACTAAATATAATAGATAAAATAATCAAAAAGCATACAAATAAACAAACATGTTCTTATAAATAAGTAAAATTTAGCATTTTAGTTTAAAATTATCTAATAAAATTTTTTATTAAAATTTGTTAATTATGTGTGTGTTATTTATATCACATACTTATTTTATTTTATCTATCTGAAATACTCTTTTTCAGTAAAACTCCTTTAAATATTTTTCTCCAAAATCCCATAAGCTCTTTTTTAAGATTTTCTGCTTACTGAGCTTTCATAATTTCATAGTTATCTTAATAAATTTATCTTATTCTTTCTTCATCTTTCTTGTGGGCTAGTATACCATTTTTAACCACATGAGATCTACCAGATGCTGTCGATTCAAATCCGCAAACTGCTTCTACATACTCTATGTTATGTTTTTTTAGCAACTTAGGTAATCCTTAGATTTCAATCAAAACTGTTCCTTCAGGTGGATCACCAGCAAACGTCTAAATAAGAATTTGATTTTAAAGAGAGAGTTTAATTAAATTAAATTTTATTTTTATTTAATTTAAATCAAACAAACAAATTATAATAATTTTAATTAAAATTACCTCCCAGTTACCATATTCATTTCTTGGGAGAGTTCCATCATCTCTGATTTTGTATACTAACTCTTCAGTTTACCAGAATCCAAACAAATCTACCATTTTTTTGTTACCTAAAATCGATTGAACCTATTTAACAGGCTTCTCATCAGGCTTAACTGATCTTTAGTAGGATCTCCATCTAGTTTTTGCATGCAAATCAACGACATATTCTTTAAAATATACCTTTTTTTTATTAATTTATTATAATAAATGTTAATAGCATAGTTGCTTACGTCTTCGTCTTTAAATGTAAGATTTGTCTTTTATGCATTTGGATGTAAACCTTAATACTTTTAAAGCATTGACTTAGTAATATAAATTTCACTTGCTTTAAACTCAGGATATGATTAAGGGATTTAAGATTTTTACATTTATATTTTTGTTTCTCTTTCACTAATTACTTAGGGTTTCTATTTTTTATATAATAAATAATATAATTTATTATAAATAACATTTTACATATTCGTCTTATAGTAATTCTGGATTTCCAAGAAATGAAACATGTTAAAGAAGATTTTTCCACCAATAATCGAAATTCAACTCTCTTCTACTTACCTAAATTTTCGGATACCTATCACAGTGTATATCAGTAATATCAAATAAAAACAAATTTTTCATAGATCTTTTGTTATGAACATATTCTTTTAATTTTTCATTTTTAAATTCTAATTTATTATATCCAACTATGAATAAAACAGGTATACTATTTTATTTTAACAAAATTTAGAATCTTTCTAAAATTTCATTCTAAACAGCATCAAAACAAATCCATTGCTAACTCTTTTCATCATAAACTTCAAGCCAATACTTTATTTCAGAACTTTGATAGAAATCACTTTTTAATAACTTTTATTGTTATTAATTTTAGTCATTTTCCAAAAGCTTTGAATCCTATTCTGTTTAATTTGTCTACTAAGTCTATATTAAGTCTTAAAAAAATGACATAATTAATTAAAATTAAAATAATTAAAAATCTACCCTGTTAAGTCTTTTTAAATTTTTTTTTAGAAAAAGCAAAATTAAATGGATTTAAAGTTTCCTCTTCTTTTTCAACTTCGCTTTCGCATTTTTCTACTATTAAATTTAATTATTAAAATAAATTTAATGTTATCTAATTTTAATTTACCATCAGATAAACTATCTAACTTCTTCAAATTACTTAATTTTTTATTAACTAATTTAATTTCTTCTTCTTCTTATTTTTATGTTTAGTTATCTATTTTCAATAAGGAGCTTTTATCATCATCTTGCTTTTTTCCTTTATTTAAATACTTTCTAAAATCAAATTTTTTAGGATCAGTCTAAAAGGTAGATGAGGCAGTTGAAACAATTGAATCTTCTTCTTGTTAATTTTTTTTTTAATTACTAAAACTAATCATTGATGAATTGTTAGTGCTTTTTTTATCAAACTTAAAATTTGACAGCATTTGGTCAAATAAATCATTGCTTTCTTTTTATTATTATTTTTTATCATTTTTTTTTGTTTAATAATCTTCATCATCACTGTCACTTTAATCACTATCTATTTAATCTTCTATCATTTAAGTCTATAAAAATTAAATAAATATTCCTTTTTTTAATATTTAACTAATTATTATACCTAATTCATTATTTTAGCAGTAATTCTAGAAGCCATATCTGAAAAACGTGCAGCTCTCTTATTTTAAACAACACTACTTACTATAGATTCTCTAGTACGCTTTTAATTGCTATGTGTGGATTCTTAAGACTAATTTGAACTTCTTTTACTTTCTTTGATCCTTGAATTGTGTTTTTTGTCAAGGTTGAGGTATCTCATGTCTACAATTTTGGAAAATCTAACTTTCATACCAATAAATTCAAATAAGATCAAGGCAATTAATGTCATTTAAGAGTAGCCTACCTCTATTCCTTCATCTAAATTTTTATGAAATTCAATTTATTCTTTCTTCCATTTATAAGTAAAGTATTGCTATATGTGATAATTAACAGTTTTTATAATACTTCTAGTTGAGTATTTTTCAGGATAGTTTTTCATGGAAAGTAAAAAATTTAAATCTTTTAAAGAAAATTAAGATATTATCTTAGCTTTTAAATACTCATCTTCCAAATGAGACTATAGAAAGTAGAAAGTAGAAGAAATTTCGCATAATACAAAACACTTAATAAAATTCCTGTATTCTTCTGGATTTTAGCGAATCTTTCTAGTTTTTTTTAGAAATTCAAGCTTTTCTTTTTCATACATAATTTCATCATATCTTTTTTGTTTTGCAAGCATTTTCTCAAGAATCATTTATTCTTTAATAATATGAGGATTCTCTCTCCCTCCTTCAGTTCTACCTAATTGTTGTCTTTCTTACATTAATTTCTGAATTGTATCATCATCTCCTGCAGTTTTAATCAAACTTAAAAAGTCTTCTCTCATGTTTTTTTAACCTTCTTCATCTTTATTACAAATGGCATTTAAAAAATCGATATCTTAATTTTCATCTTCATTAATCATTCTATCATCTTCATAGCTGTCTTCCAATTTATTTTTTTATTTTTTATTATTTTTGATTTTATTATCAAAATAGAGATTATCTTCTGAATCTGATTACTTCTACTAATTATTTTCGTCATCAGATCCAAAGCTTATCCTATCTTCATTTTATTTTTCATCTACTTCTTCAAATTCATCATTGAAATCAAGATCTTCATTTGAATCCATTGTGAAATTTATAAATAATAAACTATATTGTAAAAATTTTTGCTTAAGAATAAATATTATATTTGTTATTATACTTTTTTATTACTTAAATCACACTAAATCCTAAAATATATAAAATATCTTTACTTTAAGTAAGCTCATATAGATCGGTCTTTATAAGCTTAATCTTAATAACAAATTTTGTAGTTTTAGGCGGAAATTTTATCAAAGTTGTTCTTAAAAATTATGTAAGTGAAACTAATAAATATTCCACACATAAAAATAAATATTATTGATTTCGGCGGAAATTACTACATAATTTTAAATTAAAAGCAAATATTAAATATAAAAGTAAAATAGAAAAATCTACATCTCAGTTTTTTTTCTAAACAAATTATTTTACTTAAATAATCAATTATTTTTAAAAATTTTGATGAAAATACGAAAAACATAATATATATTTCAAAGATAATCTAAATTATCACCAACTTTCAACAAAATGTGTTTTAAAAAATTTATTTTATTATTTGATTAAACTAAGATGATTATTTTATGTATTCAAAAAATCAAGCAAATAAAATAAATCATCAAATTTTAAAGAGTATTTAAATATTTAAAGAAAGTATAATGATTTTTAATTTATATTTAAGTTAATTCTTACTAAACAAACTTAGAAGTTTTAACACAAAAATGAAAATGATTTACTCTAAATATATTATAAATAGATAGATAGATATATTAAATAAAAAATAATGAATTTATAAGTTATTTACAAAATTATATATAATTTTAATTAGTAAATTAATCAAAAAGTGAATGATTGATTTAATCAGTGAGTGAGTCGTTTTTTTTGTTTTAAATAAGTAAAATTAATTTTTTTTTGTTTGTGTAACTTACCTTATTTTATTATTATTATTATTTTATTATTAAATAATCTATTGTAACTAACCTTGTACTTAAATTCCAGTTTCAGCTTGTTTAGGCTTGTAATGAATCTTCTTTTTCAGTGTTATTAGCAACAAAAGACCAACCTTAGATATATTTTTCACGACTGATGTCGATATTATTTCCAATTAGTGTCTCAATGAATTATTCAGAGTTATAATTGTTTAGCTAAAGCTGGAGTAATTAAACTTCTGGTGCTTTAATTTTTCTTTCATAAACCATATCCCAATCTATGCTTTTAAAGAATGGGTGATTTTTTATTTCGTTAGCATCGTTTCTTCCACATCCTAGTCTCATTTCAGGATTACGCTCCAAAAGCTATTTTTTTTATTTTGTGAAATAGATTGTCAAATAATTAAAATTTAGAAAAGTGTCTATGTTAAATATATAAATTAATTTAATTAATTGAAATGGTTATTACAGCTGTAAGAAGAGATTTGGCTTCTTAGGATAAATAACTAGGGAGTGCTAAAGGTGCATTTTGAATATTATTGAATAGATCCTCTCTTTATTAATATAAATTGTTTTAAATTCAATAAAAGAATATCAACTTGTTTTTATATTTTACTTAGTATTTGCATAATAAGGAGGATTTCCTGTAAGCATCTCATACATAACTACACCAAATAAATACCAATCTACTGCTTTACCATGTCCTCTTCTTTTTAGCATTTCAGGTGCTAAATATGCTATTGATCTAAATAAATTTATAAAAGATTTTAGATAATATAAATTAAAAAATAATACATACCCACAAAATGATTTAGCTCCTTCAGTGTAGTCAAGTACTCCTTCTTTTGATAAACCAAAATCAGTTAGTAATGCATGTCCTTCTGAATCAATTACTATGTTATCTATATTAAAATTTAATAAAAATTCTATAAACTGCTTGTAATTTTACCTGGTTTTAAATCTCTAAAGATAATATCTTTTTTATGAAGATACTCTAAAGAAAGTAGAATTTCTGATAAGTATATTCTAGCATCATTTTCGCTTAAGACCTTTACTTTTTATAACAATTTCCCCATATCACCGCCAGCAGCAAAGTCAAGTATTAGAAACAATTTTTCTTCAGTTTAAAATGAATAATTTAATTTAACAATAAATGGATGATTAGAAAGTGATAAGACATTTCTTTCAGTAAGTGCGTATTTTATAACATTACTTTCTATTAAATTTATTAAAAATAAAATAAATTTATCAAAATTTTTTAAGAAAAATTTATTTATTTATTTATTAATTACTCATCATTTTACTTTTTTAGAGAACCTTCATAGCATAATACTGTAAATTATCTTTCTTTTAAACAAGATAGACATCACCAAAAGAGCCTTTACCAAGCATGGAATGAATTATAAAAGAGTGTATTGTAACTTTTGATTAAATATTTTAGGATGTTGTTTTAACTTAATTTTAAATAGATTCCATTGATTATATTGAGTTGCTTTTGCTACTACCACTTCCACATTAAGATATATTAGATATAGTATTAGCAACTGTCGTGTTAGCTGTTGTAATCACTTCGCTTAAAACAGGTATATTCTGAAGAGATTTTGGATTATTTGTGCTCATCGGACGAGATTGCTGTTTTGTTCTCTTTAAGAAAGTATTTTTATTTGGGGCATTTTCTTTGCCTTGAGCGAAATATCCTTTTTTATGAAAGAAGCTTTCATTTTTTGAATGTTCCCTTGATCTAGGAGTTCCATTCTTAGAAACTTACTATTAAAATTTATTGATTGTAATTTGAGAAGGAGTTTTTTGATTTGAGATATTTTTAATTTTCTTTTCTTGCAGAGGCTTAGGAGCTGGTGAGAGAAAATCTGTATTGCCAATATTTTACTAAGTAGATAATCTCTTATTTTAATTACAAGTAATTGTTTCAATAGATATATTTTATTTACTTTGTGATTTAGAAGGAATACTATTTTCAGATTTTATATTATTTCTTTATAATTGTTATTGTAATTGCTAATTTTAGGCAAAAATGTTTTCATTTAATTATGCAGAATTTGAGGAAATATTATTTTATTACTAAATTTATTCTAATTATATTTGATTTTATTTTTATTATGATTATTTTTCAACAAATTGAATAGGTTTTTCTTATACAATTTTAAATAAAGAATTCAATTTAGCGTTTTCTGCCTCTTAAGCACTAAGCTAATTTTAATTTTTGTTTATTTAAAAATTTGTTTAAATGATATTGATCCTATTAGAGGAGTTTGTTTTGTGCACAGGGGAAGTAATTTTGGTCATATAATCATCAAAATATTTTTTAGATTAATCATGTTTTATATAATCAAAGCATCTCTTACCACTTTTATTTTTTATACTAATATCAGGCTTAAATCTATTTAAAAAGATATCTATAATAGCAGATTTACTAAGCATGCAAGCAATATGAAGTGCTGTATTCCCATTCTCATCCTACATATCTATTTCAGCTCCTATATGATTTAAATTAAAACTTATTTCCAAATTATATTTAACTTTTATACCAAATTTAAATTTTAAAACATATATTTTTATTGATTTTTATTAAATAATAAATGTATTTACCAGCTTTTAATAATAGAATGACAATTTCTTCTGATCCTTATTCAGCAGCTATCATCAAAGGAGTCACTTAATTATTTGTCTCCTAATTTATGTTTGCTTCGTTCACTATTAACTTATTTACAAGCTATATATTGCAGTTTAAGCATGCAAAGTGAATTGGAGCCCATCCTGTTTGCAAATCACAAAAATTAGGTTCAGCTTTAAGATCTCCTTTTGAATCATGTAAATATTATGAGCACTTCAAAAAGTCATTCTGCTATGAAGCTAAAAGCAAATCCATATTATTTTACTTTTTTTATTTCCACCATTCTTCCCATGGCAATTTATTTTTCTTTAAATGCTCTGCCTTAACTGTATTTTCCACAAGTTGTTAAGTGCTTTCAGGATTTCTTAAATCATAAATCTCTCCTTTTATTTAAAAAATTAATTTTAAAATTATTTATTGAGAAATGCTAGGTAGAATCTTTCTTAAAAAATACTGAATGAACTCTCAGTATTTAATAAAGTGAGTAGATTTATTTAATTAATTTAGCATAACTCCACTTGAATTTTATTTTAAAGAAAATCTGAACTAAAATATTAATTAGATTTCTTTTATTTATGTGTTTAATTCTATTTAACAGAAAACTCAAATCAAATAGTTAAAAAATTCAAATTTTCCTTTACCTGTGTCTCTATTGATAACAAGAAATTGCTAGTTTATTTTTTAATTTCTTGTAGCTGCTGGGCTTTGAAGTTTAGAGGCCTGCATTTACATTTTAGGTGGAATCTTTCTAGCTTGTTCTAAATTATCAGAGAATTCACAAACAGATCCCATTAATGAATCTTATCTTCTATGATGGGCTTTTCTTTCAAAATCTCTACATTTTTTAGATTGGTCTATTTCGATATTTTACTTAGTTTAAGTTTTCACTTATTAAGGTGCTCCTTAAGATAAATTAGGAGGAGATCTTTGTCCATTTTAATCAATCTCACATTAATTCTTATTTTTTATATGATTATTTTGATTTGTGTTTGAATTTATTTACAATTATGAATAAAGCATTTTATGTTGTGTTTTTTAATTTGTTAATTATTATGTTGTGGCTGATTTAGGAAAATAATTCTGTTATTAATGTGAAATAGGAGAATGATTTGAATTCTCTTTAGCGTCAAAGAACGATATCTTTTTAGATAATCGAGTCGGAGTTAACGAAGCTTCTCTTTAAATATGATTTGCTGAGTTAGGTAATTAATTACCCTGAGTTTATACCCTATTTTATTTATAAGGTGTTTAATCCAAATTTTTAATTTTTAAATGTTAGGCAAACATAAGATTCAGTTAATATTATAAATGAATTAAATATTTTTTGGCAATCAATTAAGATTTTGATTTAGCTACGATAATTATAGTATTTATTTTTTTCTTGCAATTTGATTCAGCAAAACTTTAATAAAATGACTTCTTAAATAAACAACAATTAAGCCTTTCAATTAAATTGATTAATATTTTGAAATAATTTGTTTTTAACAATTATTTTTACATAAATTTCATGCATATATCAAAAATTAAGAAAATTTTTTGAAAGATATTTGATCGATGGCATTCATTTTATAAAGATTAGAAAGAGTTTTTTATATTTCTAATTGAAAATTCTTATTTCAATGAATACTTTTCATTCAAGTGATTGACAAACATATTCATCAAAATTATTTATTTTTGCTATTTTTTTATATTTTTATTTTAACTGAAAGTCTTAAAGTGCTATTTTTACTTAAAATTATTTCAATTTAAATCTAGAAAATATTAAGTTTTTTTAAAATTATTTTTTTTATATATTTTATTTATTAAATTTAAATTATTTTATATTTTATCATTTACTATTAAATATAAAAAAAAGATTAATATAATAATAATTATTATTATATTATTTGTTATATTTGTTATATTTGAATGCAAGAAATATTAAAAAAACTCATTTAAATTATAGAGCAATTTTTTTATCATAAAAATTTTTAAGTGATTCAAAATGTGTAATAAATAATAATATCATTCATATCTTGATCTAAGTATATATTTGTGTAATCAGTAAATATTGTTTATCAGTATTTATATATGTTAAATAAAAAAAGACTGGTTAACTAAGTTTTTTAAAATGATTGAATTAATTAAAAAAACGAATATAAAATTAATAAATTATATTTTTTACTATTTTTTCAATAAGAAAATTATCTATCAAAATCATATTTTTCTTAATGAAATTATTTTGATATTAAATCATATATCTTCTAAATCAAGGAATTACTTAATTTAAATAAATAGCTAATATTTATGTTATATTTCTTATCCTAATTTTTTTATAAAAATGAAAATTCAATTTAAGGAAAATAGAAACTTTGAACAAATTTAAGGTGAATTCAATAAAAAATCAAGAAAAAATTGAAAGAGAGATCAATGATTTGAAATTGAAAGAACATGAATTCTAAAAGCAACTTTTGGAGGTTAAATAAAGAGCTGAATAAGGTATAGCTTTAGCAAATAGCTAAAATTTAACTAATAAAAATAACTAACTCTTAAATCTTAATTATTATTGCCTGTTAAATTAAAATATAATTCTTCTTATATTAGAAGAAAAAAATAGAATATATTTGTTAAATTTAATTAATTTTTAAAAAAATTTCATTCTTTTAAGTGATCAATACTAAGCAAAAAAATAATTTTGCTTTAAAAAAATTTTTGTAATAAAATTTAAATATTTTATAGAAAATAAATTTAATATCTTTAAAAAATAAATATCAATTATTTAAATAATTCTAAAATAAAATTAAAGGATTTTTTTAAAGTAAAATAAATTTTGTAAGCAATAAATCAAATTAATTCAATTAAAATTGCTTACAATTAATTAAAGTAATTTAAATTTATGATTTGAAGTGTAATTTATTTATATTTAAAAACAATTTTTTCCGTAATTTACAAATAAATACTTTAAATAAATAAATTTTAAAATTTACTAAAATTTAATTATGAATTAAGACATAAAAGCTTTTTTTCAATTTACAAAATTTATTCTTATATTAATAATTATCTATTTGCCATTTAATTTCAATAAATATCAATTAATTAAAAAATAATTTTCTGCTCTTTAACATAATTTTTAAAAACATTATTTTACTTATAAATTAATTAATTTATAGTTTAAAAAAAAGCTTTGATATAATTCTGTAAATTTTTTTACTAATATAATATATTTAATGATATTTTAAATTAATTTTGAAATATATGTAAGCGAAATAATTTGGTTTATTAATCAGTATGCATTAGGAAGTAATTTTAATTCTAAATTGCTTATTATAATTTTTAGGAGAGTAATAATTAACAAAATATTACGTACTATACAATTTATTACACAATAAAGATATAAATCAAATTCATACTTCTAAATTTTACTAAATACTTATTTTACTTGTAGATAAGAAACTTATATAGATAAATTAAAATTTAATGAGTAGTATTTTTAAATTAAGTAAGATTCAAGCTTGGAAAATCAATCAAAAGAAATCGTCTTTAATTTAAAGGATTGTGCAGTAGAGACCATAAATACCAAAACCAATTGCAATAATCATTATTGTAAAGTTTAATATGGTTTTATACTTGGGGAGATTTTTGTCTTGGTAATAAATAACAAACACTGGAATAATATAGCACAAATATATTCCACAAATATTTCCTGTTAAAGAAAGGAAATCAGATATTTTATCAAAAATAATACCTATAACATATGTAAGAAAAACGAAGAAGAGACGTGTCAAAGATGAAAAAATTAAAAAATTCTTATCTTATTATTTTTTAATTACTGGATCAATTAGAGGCTAAGCTTCTTAAACAGAAGAAATATATGAATTATCAGAATTATTTTCTTGAGGTCTTTCCTTATCAAAGTTTTGTGGTGCTTTAACATATATTATCTTTTTTAATTTAGATTCTACTACATTAACACAAGGAAAAATCTAAATAGGAAAACTGAATATGAGGGAAATGCAGTATGCAAATTTTATTATTTGCATAGGAATGTTAGATTATTCAAAGCTAAATAGGATAATGTCATTTACTCCGCTACCAAATGTTAGATAACCAATTAAGCCAACTGAGCAATAAAGAGTAACAGCTACAGAGATTGAATAATTTAGAACTTTGTAAAAATGAGATGGTTGTTTCATAGAGTGTCTGATGTTGAAATAAACTCCAATACCTTCGAAAGTAAATATAAAAACACCTATCGATTTTCCTATAGTGCTCCAATTAACAGCCTAAATATTACCCACTCCGTCAGTTCCCAAATAATAAAAACTATAAATCATTACTGTAACAAGAGAAACCATTACCACAACATTACCAAGCATGCTCCAAATTTTTAGCTTATTTATGTCACGGATAAAGACTAGTGGAATCAAACAACTAAGAGAAATTATTACAGAAATTACCTTAGAGCTACAAGGGTAAATACTGCCGTCGATATTGCAAAAGGACTCTTAAATGTATTATAAGAAAAATATGACATATGAAATACATATACCAGTTTAGAATGTAAAAAGGCAAGCATTGACAGCAATTACATGCCCTCTATTGGCAGTTTATTTTACAAATTCAACTACATTTTTAGCTTTACTCTACTTTTCTTCAGCTATTCTAATAATTTCATGACTCAAATAGAGCATTGCAATAGCACAAAGAGGCATTAATATTAGTCCAGCAACCCACCCACTTTGACTGAAAGCCTATGGGAGAGCAAGAACTCCTATTCCTACCAAACTCTTAAAAAGATTTAATGATGCTCCAAATACTGAGGCTTCTGATTTTCCTGTACCACCATGATGATCTATTTCTTCTTCTTCCTCTTCAATAGGCTATACTTTATCAAACTTTCTAATTAAAGCTTCCTAAGCGCTATCATCAGCAGTTGAGTTGAAGTCTTTTTCGATATTCTAATTCATATCAATTACAATGAAATTAATTATTATTTTTAAAAACTTCAAATTGTATTTTATTTTTTTTATCAAATTTTTATTATGATTGTTACTAATTTTGAAAAAGTCATAAATAAGCATCAGCTAGCTTGACGACAAATTTATAGAACAAAAATAATTAAATATTTAACAATTAGATCTAATTCTAAATTAAATGTAAACTGATAAAAATTGTAAACTATTTTTTTCAATTTTATTTCATTTATTTAAATAAATTAAATTACTTTCTCTGTGTAACTTTATCTTTATTAGATCATTTCTTGATAAAAAATTTGTAGGATAAACATTTTTAATTTAATTTTGGCTGCTTACTATAGTAAAATATTTAAATGAACTTTCTTGAGTTTTTTAGAATTAATAATTAGACGCCTAACTATTTTAAAATGGAAAAGTATTTAATTTTTGTTTAAAAATATAACTTTGAATTTTAAGAGCTGGTTAAATAAAATTCTGAATATCTAAATTTACAATTGATAAGATCATTTTTCTTAAATAATATATTTTAGTCCATAAATTGATTAAATTAATTTTCTATCCTTTTTAATATAATATATATTTGTTTAATCTATGATTTTACTAGTAGAAATGAAATGAGATAAAAATAGTATTTAGTTAGTTTTTGATAATTTTCCAAACATTTTTTTATAAATCTATTAAAGGTAAAAAAGAAATATATGTCTATTAAATTCAAGAAACTTAAAAATAGGTAAGATAACAATTTATCTATTAAAATACCTTTACTTACTTAATAGTAAATACAAATATAAGCTTAAATATTGTTATTAAAATAAATCTTATCACTTAGTAACTTAAAATTATACTAGATATAAATATTTCAAATTTATGTAAATATTAAACAATAAGATTTTTATATAATAATTATAAATTATATTTATCAAACATCTAAAAATAGACTATAGATGGAAAAGATAAAAATTAATTTTTATCTAGATTATTTTTATTAAGATATTTCACATTTTATTCTTCCTCATAAATATTTTAAATAAATTCAAGATATAGAGGAATTGTATTTAATTTTACAATTTTTTAATTATTTTTTTTAACTAAAGAAGATATCGTAAAAATAGTGACACATTCATTATTTCCTAAAAGTGTATAATACTTCAAAAATATTACTTTACACATTTTAAAAAAATAAAAATAGTTAGTAAAAATTAGGAAAAAATAAAATAAACTAAACTATTTAAAATGATATTTTTAATAATTCTTAAGCTTAAAACAATTTTTTTTTGTATAAATAATCTATATTTTTATTATCAAAATTATTATGAAAAAGTTTTTGTTTCTTCTCAATTACAGATTTTAAAAATTTATAATTTTTTATAATATTTTTTTTATTTAAAAATCAAATAATAAAATCCATAAATTAAAGCTAGTAAAATAATCAAGATAAAATAATTAGCATTTATATTGATTGTTATTTATAAAGTACTAAAAATATCTTAAAACGAGTGACGCATTATTTCAAAAACTTCATATTAAAAAAATAAAAATATGAAGAAATAAACTAAACTATTTAAAATAAATAATATAGATAGTGCTTCTTAAGCCATAAAAATTTCTATATGTGAAAATAATTTTTTTTTATTAATAAAATTATAATAAAAAAGCTATTCATTTACATATTTTATAAATTTATTTTCCTATGTCATCTTCTTTTTTAATTTAAAGACTTAGATAAAAAACTCTCTAAGTCATAAGTCATTAGCTTAAGAAATATACTTTTTATAGATCTAATTTTATGTAAATTTAGATTTGTTATATAATAAATCATAAACTAACTTTGCAATAATATTTTTGATGAAATTTAAATATATTTTATTTTTTCTATTATTTAAATTTAAAAATTAATTCTTACAAAAAATAGATTATTTTTTATTTTTCTACTATTTAATATTAAATAATAATAAAAAAATTTTGTGATTATAGATTATTTAAAATCTAAAATAATCAAAATTTCAAAATTAAATTTTAAAAATTTCAAAATCAACACAGATTAAATAAATACTAAAGTTAATGGCGCAATCTTTTAGATTTATAGACTAAGAAACATAAGATTTTTTAATGGAGTTTTCTGATCTTTAAAATAATGAAGTAGTGTAAAAATTATAAAAAGATCAGATGAAACTTCTTCAGTTAAAAAATAATTTAAATAATATTGCTAATTGTGCATCTATTAATCCAACAAAAAAATCTTAAGAAGTTATTTATTAAAATGCTTAATAAACAAATAATTTTTAGTAAGATTAGCAAAGTTTTAATGATAAAAATGCTAATTTTTAAGGAAATAATTTTAATGGAAATTTATATTTTTAGTAGAATTACAAGAATGGTAATTAAGAATAATAAAGCATAAATGATTCGTATATTATTGATAAAAAATAAAATAGTATTCGTGCTGAATAAGGAGAATAAAAAAGGGAAAAAGAAAACGAAATAGTAAAATATTAATTCAAAGAACTAAAAAAAAAAATGATTTAAAGAAGCTAAGACTAGATAATAGATGAAATATACAAGCATTAAAAGTAATTGATTTTGAAAGAAGCAACAGATAGGCTTGATAAAGAAGATCCTTCATAAAAAAGTGAGCAAAATTGTTAACAAACAATTCAATAAAATAATAGCCTTGAAGATTAAGATAAATTTAATTATTCAGTTAATAATGGATAGGCTATGAATCATTAAAGATAATAAAAATAAGATATTTTAAGAATGTTGAATCCTCCTAATTATTTAAAATAAAAATGGAATATAATATAAAAAGGCATTGAAGATCGTTTAATAACTCACAATGAAGATGGACTTCCTAAAAATTTAAATCCTATAGAAAAGAGTATTTTAAAAGAAAAAGAAAATGGCTACAAGCTGCTCAAACCTGAAGGTGAAATAGGAGAACTTGAATAGCAAGAAGAAGAAGAAGATGAAGAAAATATGAGCAACGAAGTCTTAATAACAAGAAAAATTGTTAAAATACTTGAAGAATTCAAAGAAGTTTAAAAAAGAGATTAAGATTCAATATTTCATATTGCTTTGAAATAGTATTGTGAGAAATTTCATAAAAACTATGATTGTGTCTTTACAGAGGAGAAGGATTCGAAGTTAAAAGGTTTTATTTGTGAAGTTATTGTTGATGGTATTAGATTAGGTCCTTAATTAGCTAAATCTAAAAAAGATGCTAAGACATAGGCTTGTATGTGTGCTATGGCTAGAATTATGCAATAATCTCCAAATATGAAACCTATCGAGTATTTTTAAAAATTCTTAGAATAGTCGAAAAATAAATACATAAGATTAAATGAGAATATAGCTGAAGCTATTTCATAGCATCATTAGTAAGGAGGAGTTCCTTTATCTGCAGATAATCCATTAAGTGATCTTGCCATTGCTTAAGAGATTCCTGAAAATTCTAATTATAGAGAGGAATTGTCAATCTTTGCTCATAAAAATTTACATAAATAAATAATTTGGGAGACTTTATTTGATCCTAAAGAAAAGTTATGGCTGGCCATAGTAGCTGTTGGTAATTTGTCAGAAAGAGGATTTGGTAGAAGTAAAAAATACGCTAAAAATGTTGCATCATATAAGTTATTGCAAAGATGCAAGCAGTTAAAAATGAAAGATGATATTTTTAAAAATCCAAGAAAAGTTAAAACTTAATTGCAGTTTGCTTTAAATTTAGAATAAAACGAAGATGAAGAAAATATCAAACAACAAAACAGCCTTATAAAAATTAAGTAAAGTGGAAAATAAAATGAATAAATTAATTCTAAAAGATTAAGGTCATAAGTAGAAGATTTAGAAAATGATTTAGATTAAGAAGATGAAGAGTAAGAATAAGAACCAGATTTAAAAAAATAACAGCAATAATAATAATAAATATAATAATAGCAGCAATAGCCAAACACAAAGAGTGTAGCACAAATAAAAATGAAAGAATTAATTATATCTTTAGAAGAAAAATATATTGATTATTACAAGTTAGAACTATCCTCTAACTTAAATTAATCTAAAATAAATAATGCCTCGAATACAGATGTCTTTAAGTAACTTTTAAAATACGATTCAGAGATTTAAGCAACAAAAGCCTAGTATTAATCTTTGCAAAATATGTTTAACGAAGTATAGAAAAAGCTTTTGATTGATCAATAATCTTAATATATCAAAAAATTGATTCCTATAGGGTCTTATGTAAGTAATTGTATGAATAAATATTCAACAGTTATGGATGTTGTAGCCTTATTGATGCCTTCATAAGAATAGGGAGAAGTAACATTTTTATTAATTTAAAAAAATAATTTTAAAAAAATTTATTTATTATTTCTATTTAGAATTTTGAACCTAATCGCTTTTGTGATATACTTTACAGTGAAGTTTAGTCTACTATCTTAAACAGTAACATTGGATACTTTTTTAAAATGGAATTGAACAAAGGTTGTGTTTTACTAGTATTTACTCACAATTCTTAATATAAAATCAGACTTATACCTAATTTAGTATTAGAAGAAAATATTTTGAATAAAAGAAAATATTTATAGTAAACTGAAAATCCTTTAAATGACTCAATTAAAACCATAATAGATCCAAATGAAAGTTAATTTTATAGTGATGGTTTATTGCATTACATTTGGCTAAGCTAATTCAAATCATAAATCCATTAGTATGAGAGCTTATTTAGAATTTTAAGAAGAGTCTTTAAATATTAAGGATTCAGAGTACCTATAGATTTAATAGATGTTGTAGTCGGACACGTCAGCCATCAATTTAGTTCTGCATCATTTTAAGAAAATATAGTGGGATTTGTAAAATTTATGGCATAAAATGGCTTAGATGATATTACACATGATAATCTATAAATGGTCTCTATTACTTAGCTTCATGTTAATTAAATTAAAAGTTGTTCTGAATTTGAACTTAAAAAAATAACAGAATACTTTAACAGCATTTATACAAAAAAAGCTTATGATAACTTAATAATTATTTGAAATGGTAAAAAACGAATGATAAACGAATGAAAATATTTAAATTTATGTTGTGTTTAAAAAGAAGGTGTGTGTTATGATATTTTCTTAAAAATATTTATAATTTATTATTTTAATACATAACGAGAGCTTATTTTAACAAAGAACAATACCTTGATAATCATTTTAATTTTTATAAAGTAAATATTAGTAAATATAGAAGAAGAATATGATTTACCAAAAAGAAAAACTCACTCTCTTTGGATTTTTATATTTAAAATTATTTAATTACTTTGTTTCTATTTTTATTTCCTTTACTTTATTTTTTGTTTAAGCAAAAAAGAATAAATAAATTCTACTATTTTATTAGATTGAAAAATGAGTTCATTCAAAAATTTGATAATATTTATTTCTTAATCAAAATTAATGGATTATTTATTAATTGGTGTGTATTTTTCTTTTATAAATATTTTTATGATAAAAAGTAACAAAAATACAAATTATAATTTATATTTTATAGATTTTTAGTTATTCTAAAGTCAATCACAATTTTTATTAATATTTTACAATTTATAATTTTTAATGCAAGAGTTAGTTTTCAAGATTGGTTTTTATGGTGTTAAATATATATTAATTTTAAAAATTTAACTAATTCATTAAATTAATATTAAATTTATTAACAGCACTAATATCTATCTATCTCTCATTCATAAATTAAAAATAAACTAATATTTATCAAAAAAAAAAAGTTAAAACCATTATTGATAAAGTAGTTTACTGAAGCAAAAAGCTAAAATATTAGGAAAAGCAAAGCAAACTTCATTTCTGCATTTGATAAAATGGAATTATTTTTTTCTGAATCTGATATAAGTGAATCGGATATTAATCAAATTATTCGTCCAAAGCGCCTCATGTATGGATAACATGATTTAGGTAATTTACATAAGCTTTTTAATTTGTAGGAATAACAAGCAAAATTCAATTTTTTATAAATTTAAGGACCAAACGTAAAGAATATTAAAGGCACTATGGTAATGAGAAAAGATTTTTAAGTAGTAAATTCTAGGTAGGAAAAACTTTAGTGCTCTTTGTTCTTCCCAAAAAATGAGTAGCAATCTAATTTATTAGTAATTTATTTGCATGGAAATTCCGGTTGCAGGTTAGAAGCTAATCCAGTAGTTGCTAATTTGGCCCCTCTTGGATATCATGTTTGCTCATATGATTCTTCTGGGTGCGGTTTAAGTGAAGGAAAATATGTTACTTTAGGAATAAATGAAAAAGATGATTTGCATGCGATAATAAACAAAATGAAGTAATAGTTTGGTTACACTCATTTTATTCTTTGGGGGCGCAGTATGGGAGCAGTAACAAGCTTAATGTATTGTTTAAGTATTTAAGATCAATATGTAGTCGCAGGAGGGTAATTAAATAATTTAAATGGAGTAGTTGGTTTAGTCATAGATAGCGCATTCTCTAATTTTGCTAATTTAACTAAGGAAATAGCTTCAAAGAAAATATCTTCTCTTTTAGTTAGTATAGGCATTAAGCATTTAAGAAACAAATTAAAAAAAGCACTTAATGGTATGGATTTATTTGAAATAGATTTGAGTTATGATATCAAGAAATTAAAACTACCAGCTATATTCGCTTATTCAGAAAATGATACAGTTATCTTACCAAAACACACTCATATTTTATATGATAATTATGGAGGCCCAAAACAAAAAGCTTAATTTTAAGGTGATCATAATTGCATGAGAGATTCAAATTATTTCAATTCAATCATAAGCTTCATAAACAATTATTTAAAGCACTACAAATGTTCAGAAAATCATTTTCATAGTATAGAAAATTAAGCTGCATTTAGTTAAACTAATCCATCTTTAAGATTAAACACCCTTAACTCAAGCTTAAAACTTAATTCAACTGGATTGTACAACTCTAACTAATTTTTAATAAATAATACTTTGAATACACCATTAAAGATAGACTTGTAAACTCCAAGAGAGAATCTAGTTTCTAATGCTAAATCTCACACAATAAGTGATTTCTACAAAAAAAAATCTTCTTAATAAGAAAAAAATACAAATTAAAAGCAGTTATTTTAATAATATGTGAATCAATAGAGCTAAAAACCAGACTAAAGGCTAAATCTTGGGATACCTAATAATTTGGTATCCCAATCAGTCGATTCTTCAATTTATTTCCCTATTACAAATAAATCAAATCAAAAATATGTAATTTAAAATCCTTAAAATTTAAATACTATTTCAGATAATAACGAAAACTACTTTTCATTATAATAATAACAATTACAACAACAACAATAATAACAACCCTCTTAGATAAATGTGATGAATCCATAGGCAAATCAAGATTTAAGATTACTATAAGTAAATAATTACATTAATCCGAGTATTTCATAAAATACAACATACCTCCAAAAAGGTTATTAGCAAAATCAAGTTTTTGTGAATCCTCAGTATGTCTAAGCTACACCGAGTTAAACTTAACCATAACCTTAGCCTTTGCTGCTTTCAAATATGAACTTACCAAATTACAATTAAAGTAGAGATTCTTATCACAAGGTGTAATATTAGTAAGTCAGATAAAGTTAGATGACTTCTCCTTCTAATAATTTTGCAAATACAGTTAGCTAATTAAAGATCACCAACAACTAAAACTTAAATAATAATCAAATAAAAAGAAGCTAATCCAGTTCTTCGATTTCTTTTCCAGTGTAAAAAATAGACAACAACTATCTTAACAATTTAAAAAGAATGTCTTTTATAACTGCAAACAATAGTTAAAATAACACTGTAATAAACTCTATTTATTCTTAGCCAGCTAATTTTAAATCTTCATTTAATGTATAATATTCAAATCATATTAAGCTTAAATGAAGATAGTAAGTAGCATACACATATAATCTATATTTTATTTTTTTGTTGAGTAAATTTTTATTTGTATAAAATCTTTTCATAAAAATCTAAAAAGAATCTTTTAACTTATGAACTAATAAGAGAAAATATATCATTGAGCTCTATTTAATAGCTCTTTTATATAAAAGTAATTGGTAATTTTTTGATATTTTATTTGCTATTCAAAATTTAAATAAATAATCTTTATAGTAATGGAAAAGTAATTATTTTTAGAATTACTCTATTTAAAGAGGAAGGATAGTGATTCTATCATATCGAGAAATGACTCATATAACAAACTGAGCACTTTGATTTCTCCAAGAAATGCTCATCAAATAATTGATAAAGAGGATGAAAGGATAATAACAAGACACTCCTCTTTTATTTATGATAGTAAAGATGATAAAAGCAAGAAAGTGAATGCTGATAATTCATTTACTAGTGAATAATCAGATTATTTTACACTTAAATCATAATAATATTTCGACTAAAAGATGAAAGAAGACATCCAAAAGAGCATAGGAAGAAAAGTAAAATAATACTAGGATAAAAATGGTAACAAAGATTAAATTGTGTCAAAAATAATCTTACATATGCAGAGTAGCTAGAAAAAATGCTAATTAGAAAAGTAAAAAGTGAAATATGAACTAAGAAAAATAATATAATAGTAACAAGAAGATAATTAAAGCAAACTCAATTTAAAATCTTATAACAGTTTCAATAAAATGTCTTAAAATAACCTGAGTAATGCATTTTTAAAATTTAACTCTCGTTCTGATAATAGGCCAAATAATAAAATTTTAACACAAAATAAAAGTTCTACTTCTTAAATACATTAATCTGATTTTTAAACAATAAACTAAACTAAATAGCATAATTAAGTTAATAACCAAAACTTTTTTCTTAAAGATAAATTTTAAAACAAAAATGATTAATAGATCTAAAAAAATTTTTTTAAATTGAAATAAACAAGCTAACATTAAACCATTTTAAATAGTTTTAGTGATTATGAGTAATAAAATTACACTGAATATGATAATTAGCTTTAATAGAAATAAAACAGTTCTTAAGAAGATCAAAATAATTAATCTAAATCTTAAAATACTACTAAAATATTGAAACTAAAAAGTTAATTCCACAAAATGTATTCCAAAAGAGGAACTCTGGAAGGACTCACCTTGCTTGATAATTTAGATGAGACACCTATAAATTAAAAATAAGCAATGACAGGTAAAAACACAATAAATACAAAAAAATCTTCTGATAGAATAAATGTTAGTAAATAATAATAACAGTAATAAAAAAACTAATCATAAGATTCATCTTTTAGTGAGTTAAATTAATTTTATAACACTAACAATAGTGATAAGTCAGATAACAATTCTTATATTTTGGAGCAAAAAGAAAAAACAAAGGTATTATCAAGGAAATCTACTAACATATTATTATAAGACTAAATAAATTTTCCAACAAGCCAACTAGACACCTCCTTTAAAAAATAATAAACTCAATGCCAAAGTTAAAGAATTGAATACTTTTCGTAATTCAATTAAATTCTAGATAATGTAGAAGGTGTTTGTTGTGATTTAATTGACGATGCTGAACTATATTTAGATTCTACTTTTATTAAAAGCAACTTAAGTCAATTTACTTAAAAACTTTAAGAAAACAAACAAGTTTGGTTAGAAGATCCTAAATATATTCATGTAAGAGAAAAACTGAGATAAATTGAGTAAATATTGAATTTATTTGAAATGAAATTTTATAATTTTAGAATAATGAAAGATTGTGAACAATTTATTTTTTATTCAATTTATTTATTTATTTATTTTTTCAGTTTTTTGAAAAAAGAATTTGATTAAGCCTTTTTTTATAATAGATCTTAAAAAAAAGAATAAGAATCTGATAATAATAAATAACAATTTCATCCTTACTTTTAGTTTTTAGGTTATGATAAAGTGGAAAAAATTCCAAAAAAAAGAAGTAATGAAGAAATAATAGAACAAAGATATGCCTATTTCCTCCATAAAAAAGGTGTTAATCTTAATTAACACAAATTAAAAGATACGTTAAATAAAGATGATAGTACTGATAAAGAATAAAAATAATAAAAGGAATAACAAGAAAAAAAGAAATAAATGATGAATAAGTATTTAACCGTTTTAAAGCAATGCAAACTAAAGTAAAAATAGTATTTTAGAGAAATAAATTAAAAATAAAATAAAGAAGAAAAAAATTTGACTATACCTTTAAAAAATAACAATTTAGTAAAAAATTAAAGTAATAGCTCTTTTATTCCTCTTTCATCTCCAAGATAAGGTCACAGAAAATACTCCTATTAAGGTCAAGAATAAAGCAAATCTTTTAATTCTTCTAAGAGATAATCCTTTTTTATGAATCTGGTTTAAAGTCCTAGATAATTTTTGAATTAATCCTACAAAATTTAAACTGAAGATTTAAGTAAATAAAAAAGTCAAACTTCTGAAGAGTTTTTAAAAGAAGTAGAATCAAATGAAAACCTAGTCTCTTCAGAAAATATAAATATGAATTGTAATGAAAAAATAGGAGACTATGAAGAAGTACCAATAGTCAGATAAATTCTATCAAGGTATGGAAGAATTAATGGTAATGAAGGAGATAAAGTATTAAATTAAATTAAATTTTGGAGAAAAACAGAAGAATAATAATTTTTAACAAACAAAGAATTTTTTTTAACCAAACTCCAAGAATAAAAAAACAAGATAGGTGTTCATTTAGAAAAAGCACAGGCCACTTCTTCAATCAAAAAATTACAAACGATTGAGAAAATTAAAAAAAAGTTTTAAAGTAAATAAAAAGCAAATATTGAAAAGCTTTATAAATCTGAAAAACAAATTGAAAAAAACTTAGAAGACTTGAAGATTGCTACTCAAAACATAGATTCAGTTATTAAAACTACACGTGATGGAATATGTAATTTTAAAGCATAAAATTTCAGTGATTTATCAATCTCGGTAGGAGGTTAAACAAAACTGATAAGCTCTTATGCTGGATAAAAAGTAGATTATAAAAAAAGCTAGCCTGATGCATATAGCTAAGCTATAAAATCTTTTAAAACTCCTCGAAACTATAATTGAAAAAAAAAACAAGGATTTACTTAATTAAATTAAAAAATTCTAAAATTTCATCTAAATAAAATAAAATAAAATATTTTTATTGTAAAACCTTGCTTAAAAAATGATTTATTTTTTAATTTATTGCCATTAATTCCCAATTATGAAAAGATACATAAAAATGTATAAGTTCTTAAAATTAATTAAAGAATATTTATATAAAGTATTTTTGTATGGTTACTTTCATTTAATTCTATATACAATAAATAATTTAAGAAATATATACATGAATAGAGTTAATTTTAACTTTCATAAATAAATCATTCTTTCTTGTAAAGGAAGTCATAGAGTTTAATTTTGTTTTAATGAGCTATTGATAAAATAAATTATTCGTCTAAAGTAGATATGTATTAAGCTTTAGCTAAAGAAGCTTCGCTTGAATCTAATGTAATATATTTCATTTCTATTAATGATGCTATTTAAGAATAAAAGTCAACTGACTAATCATACAAATTCAATTCACTCTATCTATTCAAGCTATAGTTCTTTATAAACTCACTTTAACTGATAAGACATTAAGCTAAAGCTATCATACGGTCAATTTTTATAGGTTTTAAAAACTATAATGTACCTTCTTACTTTCCTTTATACTATCTACCTTTATAATCTTTAAAAAGCTTTTTATCAGTACTTTCAGGATTTCTATTTCCAATCCAGCACGCTAATAGAATCATAGAGGAGTAAAATGGTAGTTTGGCTATTTAGATAGGGCTTTATAATAAATAGATAATTTTATATTAAGAATAAAATAAATAAAAATATAAAATGGATTACCTGATTAATGAAAATGACTCAGACCTAATAGATTTATTATTGGTTATTTTTTCTATGAATTCTTTGGTATCTCCTTCATTTAGGTATGGATCTTAAAGTATTAGTTTTCTAGCATACACGAAATTATCTTCTTTAATAAGGTGAACAAAATCTTTTATCTAAGGATTTTCTTTTCTATCATAACTATTGATAAGAAATTTGAAAAGTTTAAGGCAGATACTGCACATTGTTGTAGCGTTTTTTATAATAATATTAAAGTTTTATACCATATCATTAATAAATTTATCACCAAAGACTTCAAAACATTTTTTTTCTTAGTCTAAAAGCTTATTTTGTAGGTTTATTTTAATTACATTCTTCAAATTTTTAATGTCGATTGGCTATAGAGTAATAGCAGGCAGTAAATCTATTTCGCTATTTTCGAGGATTGCTTGATCTTAGAAAGTAATTCCAGAAAATATAATACAAAAATTTATCTTTAAAATGTTTTTTATACTGATTAATTATGAAAAGAATTTAGGTGTTATTGACAACTTTTCAATATTATCCAGCCATAAGTAGAAATGATGATCTTCAAAAGAAAAATACTGTTATGAATTCTCATCTAGCTCTTATTATTTAGTGAATTCATGAAGCTGGTTTATTCTATGAATTAATTAGCTTGTTTTTGTAGTTTGTTTTAACTTATAATTAAATTTAGCTTCTAAAGAAGATATTAATGCTTAAATTACAGTTTTCTTAGTTTAGCATTAAATACAATTTATTTTTACATAATTGATCTACTTTTCTTAAAGTAAATCACGAATAAGAGTAGTTTTTCCAGATCCTGAAATACCATAAATAATCATATCACTATCACTATCTAGTAAATTTGATATCAAAGACACTTATGGTTATCTCTGAACGCAGGACTTTTAAAAGTCATCAGATAACCCACTCATTATTTTTGCTTTAAATGAGTCTTACTATTAAAGTAGATTGTTTAAATTTGATATTTTGATTGACAATTAAAGTTATTTATATTATCAAAGTAATTAAAGCAAGAATCAATTAAATATCTTTTTTTAGATTAAGACATAAATTATTTATTCAGCTCTTTTTTTCAAATTAAAAATTGGTTGCATCAGATGGAGGGATGGATGAAAAAATAAATAAATAATAGCTAGAATTTAATTTTAATGTGTCTTGAAAAAATCCAATTTTAAAAAAATATAAATATTTTATATATTTGTAATTTGAAAAATCTATTAAGTAAAAGAAATTTTGTAGGCTTAAAATTTATTCTATTTTATTATAAATAAATAAGCTGATATTAAGCTTTAAAAAATTAGTCTTTTTTATTTGCGAATGTTAAAAAATAAAAGATATTTTTAATACGCATCAAGTTAATTTTTGATATATTTTGGTTATCCAATAATTACTAAATTTAACAATTGATATTATTAAAGAAATTTCATCAAAATTATCATTTTAAAAATCTTTAAACTAAAATGGAAACTCATACTCATCTAGTTTTTTCAGACTGCGAGAGTCTTTAGAAAATATACATTGCTCTCCTTGACTCTTTTATTGAGCTTGCTGACCTTCTTAGATTCCATGCCTGTATTTCTCTTTAATTATTTAGATTTCTTAAGCTAATGATATACATATATATATATATATATTACATAAAGGTGGAAGAAAGGAAGCTGGCTCATAAAACGCATTTGGAGATATTTAACTCGAATGTGATACAAAAAGCGATGAAATTATTTTCAATCATTTGAAAAAAACTGGAGAAGTTGCATATGGTTTAAGCGAGGAACAACCAAAGGTATGTTTTAAATTTTATAATAGTAAACTTCAACATATCGCATAAAATATTTAGCTTGTAGAATTAGGAGGAAATAAATATATTGTTACATTTGATCCATTAGATGGAAGCTCAATTATTGGTTGCAATTGGACAGTAGGAACAATTTTTGGTATATGGAAAAATGATGAGAAGTAAATTTATATTCAAAGATATTGCTTATTATCTTAAAATTTATTTACAACTTAGGGTTTTGATAGGTCACAAGACAAAAGATTTAATTGCATCTGGATGTTGCATGTATGGTCCTAGAACTACAGCTGTGATATATAACGAAAAAACTAAAACAGTGAATGAATATTCTTTAACATGTAATTAAAAAAAATTTTCTAAATAGACTTACATAAGTAATCAAATTAAATTTAATTAAGTGAATAAATAAAAGCAAGTTGAATGGATTTTATCATTGCCTAACATTGTTATTAAACCTTAAGGAAAGTTATTTGCTCCAGGAAATTTAAGGGCTGCAAGTGAAAATCCTAACTATAGATAATGCATTAATAACTGGATTGATTAAGGATATACTTTAAGATATACAGGCGGTATGGTTCCTGATGTATATTTTACAAATGATAACTAATTTAAAAGAAAATTAACAAGTTTTTTATAAATAGATTTATTAGATTTTCATTAAAGGCTCTGGTATTTTTACTACTATTTCCTCAAAAAGCCACGCTGTCAAATTAAGGTATTATTTTTTTTATCTTACTTTATTTAATAATAAATACTTTTTTTAATCTCAAAAATACATTAAAGTTATTGTTTTAATTAATAATTTTGAATAAATTTTAGTTATAGAAAGTACATTTTACAAATATTTTGTGTAAGTATTTCTTACAATCTTTCTAATTATTATAATTCAATAACGTCTTTTTAATTTTCTATCTGTCTGTTATAATTATTTAGAATTCAATAGCTAATTTAAGTTTTTATCTGTTATTTTTTTCTTATTTTAAATGTTATTTCTTAAAGAGTATTATATGAAGTTGCTCCATTGGCACATCTTGTTGAAATGGCAAAAGGTAAAAGCAGTGATGGAAAAAATTCACTAATGGAATTGGAAGTTACATCTTACGATCAACGCTCAGGAATTATTGTTGGAAGTACAGAAGAAGTTGATAAAATTTTATCAACCTTAAATTCTTGAAAATAAATAAAATAAATTATCTTAAAATATTAATTATCTGCATTATTTCAAATAATGTCAACCATAAATGTTAGATATTTTTTTACATTTTTATTTTTTTACTGATAATTTAATTGTATTTTTAACAAGTTTTTTATTCATAATATTATTTGGTTTTATGGTTATATATTTTCATTAGATTAAGAAAACTTAATAATTTATCATTTATTTCAACACCTTATATGTAAAATAATAAGTATTGCTCTGTAATTAATAGATATAAATAGAGAATAAAATAAGATAAAAATATTATCAAATGCATCATATAAATTTATTGAATTTTGTTCTAATCTAGTAGTAATTAATATTTGCGTTTAGAATAAGAATATTATTAGCTAACATTAAAAGTAATGTTCACCAAAAAAAAAAGAAAGCTCTATGATTATATTTTTTTATAGTACTTCGAAATTAGTAATTTGATCAATTAATAAACTTGTATTTTAAACGCATCTGTTTGAATCAGCTAAAAAAATTATTTAAATATCATAATAACCAAAAAAAAATCATTCATTCAATTAATAAATCAATTAATTAATTTAATTAATTTTTAGAGTAAAAATACCCTAACCTACCTTTATTACTCTAAAAAAATTCTTAACAAGCTAGCCAGCATCAAGTTAGATTTACCTATCATTTATAAATTAAAATATTTAATAACAAAGAAGCTGTTGTTTTAAACTTAAATTGTTAAGAATAGAAGCTATTTTAAAGTAGTTTACCACAATCTAACGTATCCAATAATTAGAGAACAGCCTTTCAAAAGTTAGGGAGATTTTTGTAAAGAAACCTATAAAAATATTTTAGAATTTCTTTTAATGAGGTTAAATCATCAATAAATATCTACAAACATTAAAGAGAATTTAAAATTAAACATGTTTGATACAAATTTAAATCAAGAAAGTAGGAGTAAAGACGTTTAATCATTTAAAATACCTCCGAGAAAATAAAGAAAAGCTTTATCTTGCAATAGTAAATAATGGAATAATTTTTTTGAAGCGATGCGTAACATGCATGAGGAACAAAAAAAAATTAGACTATCATCGCAGCCTTAGCTTAGATATTAAAATATTTAGAAAATAATGGAGTCTAATTTACATTACAAGAAGCTGTAAAGACAATTGCAATAGCAAGCACCTGAAATAGATTTAGAAAAAAATAACTTAAATTAAATAGTTTCTAATATTAACAATAAGGGAATTGTTGTTGCTACAACCACGATCAAAAATGTAGATCACTCAATAATGAGCAAATCCAATAGGAGATTTAAGTCTTTGGAATCTATATTAAATACTATAGCTAGCAGAGAAAATGGGTAAGATTAGATACAAAATAACCAAGCAAAGCTTTAACTTTAAAACAGTAGTAACTATTCCTTCTCTCCAGATAATAATAGATTTAATTCTCCAACTCTGCTTCTGTAAATTAATTAAATTTAAAAGAATACAAACAGTAGTATTGACTAATAATAAGAATTGATAACAAAAAATAACCATAAAATAAATAATATTCCTTAATCACTAGTTGATATTTAATCTGTAAATCAATCTTTAATTATAACTTAGGCAAATTCTCAGCCTCAACTGAATAATTATTCCTTATAAAATATAATTAGTGATAATTAAAACAATAGTCCTATATTATCAAATAGGCAAGAAGGCAAAATTCACTTAAAAAGTAAAATGAGTAACAACAATTCTTCTAACAAAGAAATGCAATTTACAAATTAATAAACTGAAGGACTTATTTCAAATTAGTAAAAAAATTTGTCAAATAAAGTAAATTTTTAAAAGTATTAAGTTTTTTAGTCAATAAAATTGCAAAATACATTCGAAAATGAATAGAATAATAAAAAATCTTTAAGACTAAAAATGGTCAATCATAACAAATCAAATAGCTTAGCAAATTTGACATCTATTTAGTAGAATACAAAACAACAATTATAAGAAGATAGCGCTTTCAATTAAAATAGCTAATTTTAGCTTAATTAATCAAAGTAAACTGAAACTCTTTAGTTGAACAATGATACAAGTACTTCTACATACGCTTAGTAATCTGTTTAAACATTTAGAAACTAAAGTAAATTAAGTATGCGTGGCAAATATCAGCCTATCAGCAAGCCATATCAAAGTAGTTAATCAGAAATTTTTGGGAATATTATAAAAAAAATGGATCTCTAAAAGAAATAACAAGAGAAATAAAAAGAAGATTCTAAATTGATAAAAGTTATGTAAAAAATGGAGAGTAATGAAAGCCCTTTAAATTTTTAATAAGCTCATGCAATTTCTTCTTTTCTTCTTGGTTCTAACAATTAATCATCTCCTTCAATATAATAATTTACCGAATAGATAGATCAGCATTTTTCTTCAACTTCACCATCATCTGTCATTGCAATGTAAAAATATTCTAAAATTCTAGGAGATATTGACTCAAAGAAATAAAATTTGTAAGATTCTCTTGTTGAATAGATAGAATAAAAATAAACACAGCACAATAACATAAAAATTAATTAAGATAAAGTGATAGAGGCATAACAAGAAGCATAAAGAATGCAATTCAAGCGTAAAATATAAAGATCTAATACTTAAGAAAATATGATAAACTTGTAAAACAGATATTCAAAGGTTTCAATAAATTAAATGTTTGAATAGTCTCATGATTTTGATACTTCGTTTGGTTTCAACTCTAGAAAAAATTAGTAATAGCTCTAAGAAAATATAAAGTAATACTAAATTGTAAGCGAAAAGAATATAAAACCAGCTTAAAGAGAAGAAACAACAAAGTTGATTTGGTAAAAAAGAAAAAGATCCTTAAATACTTTTTCAGATATGCTGATTAACTAAACTTAATTATCATAGATACAGTTAGTGAATCAAAGTTAATTTTAACAATAGCTTTTATAGAATTAAGCTTCATCTCGCTATAATTATTTAGATGTAAAAGCAGAAACTGAAAGCATTAAACACTCACTTTAACTTAAAAAGTAGAAAAATTTACAAGCAGCTTCTTTGAATAAAAGAAAGGAGTTTATTGACAAAATCGTTACTACAAAAAGCAACTTTCATGTTTCACCAACACTCAATTAGAACTGTATGACAATTTAAACTATGAAAGAGGATGAAGTAATAAACATGGATAAAAATGTTATTACAAAATTATAAAAATTATTTTAGAAGCAAAAGCCAAGTACTACTGATTCTCCTTCAAGATCCCCAATTAAGATGTGCTCTCCTCAAAATATTATTTTTTAAAAAGAGAGCAATGGTGATTTTGATTTGATAATCAACAAGCCTGAAACAGGTAAAAACTTAAATTCTTCTTTAAGAGAATAAACGGAAGAAAATGACACAACCAATCTAACCAAATAAATAAAACCATTAGGAGCTAAGAGTTATTCTTTTTCAAACAGATTTTCTTATAAACCATAAATAAATTAAACAAATGGATTCAATCCTTAAGAAAGATGTTAAAATTAAATTGATATGATTGATCAAAAGCAAAGAAGTCTATCTAAGCTTCTACACAAAAAAGTTATAACAGAAACATGTATGCCATTAAGATTAAATCGAAACGGAATATCTTTAACATGCAGAAATCATATTCATACATTAAAAAATAAATAAATACCTTAAAATGAAAATAATTACAATTAAAAGTATTAAATTTTTAAAGGAATGTCTAGTCTTTAAACTATTCCACATGACCTGAATGCAAATACAGATCTCTCCATTCAATTATAGAAATAATAATAGTAAGGAAGCCTAACTTTCAATAACTAAAACGACACAGACATCATATAAATAGAAAACTTAACAAATTCAAACTAGTGAAATAATAAAAAGAAAAAACATTTATTATTTTTTAAAAGAAAGATATTTTATTTTATTTTTTCAAAAAAAGGATGAGAATAATAAATAAGATTGGAATTTAGCTTAAAATAATTGAATTAGTAGTATATTGTTCTGCTTTAACAATGAAAAAAATAATTACAAGTCTAAGTATCCATGAACTAATTAAATTTTTATTTTTTAAAAATGTATATTTTGATCAAAAAAATAATTAAATCTAATATAATTAATATTATAAATAAATAATTTGATACATTATAGCTTTTAATATATAAATATTGTAGATAAACTAAAATTAAAACTAATTTTATATTAATCTGTAAGTAATCTTATAAATCTTTATCAAAAAAATTAATTATATTTTTAGATATCTTTTTTATAAACAGATAAATTTGTTTTTATCTCATCAATTAATTAAATATAAAACCCAATAAAATATGTGCTTTAATTTTTTTATCAAATATATTTTATTTTATTTTATGAAAAAAATTGCTAAACTAAATTAAAATTAATAAAAATTTTAGAATTTTTTAGCAACTAGATTTATTGATAAAACTTTTGGAAACATATATAAAATAATAAAATAAATAAAAACTTCGTAATTAGCGTTTTAAGTAAGGATGGCTTAAAAGAATATCAAAAATTATATCTAGAATACATTAATAATAGTTTTTGGCTCTACTGAAATGAAATTTAAAATTCACCAAAGGTGGGAGATTTTCACTTTTTAAACAAGAAATTTGTATTAATATTTATTTGATCAATCAGTTTATCTAAATCAATGCATTTATTTTGTGAGAATAGAAAACCTAAAAAATATCTTCAGAATTTTATTAATCAGTCTTAATAAAAAGAAAAAACTCATAAATATATATATATATATATTAATTATAATTAAAATACTAATTTTTTATAGACTAACATTTATAAATAAACAGGGAGTTATAAAGATTATTTAAAAGAAGCAAATTAGAGGATCTATATCAAAATGACAGAAAAGAGAAAGCGTGGAAATTTATCTACAAGAGGTAGTATTGATGCAGCTGATAAAGAATTTGAATGTGAAGCATGCGGTAAAAAATATGCTAGATATCCTTCCCTATATACACACATTAAGCTTAAACATGAGCGTAAAGTTGGTTTAAAAACAGTAGTTCCTGAGTTAAAACCAAAGTTGAATAGAAATCGTGAAATAGCATCAGATGTGCCAATTGTCGATATAAATCCTGATACCCTTAACTTATTTTGTTAGGTTTAATTCCTTGATTTGTTTAAAGAAATAAAGGAACTAGCAGCAACCAATGATAGTATTTGGCAATTTATAAGAAGTGAAAAGGAAGATATAACTTAAGTAAACGAAGAATTTTTGGAAAGAGGATCTACAGAAAATCTATCGTATATTTGGATAAGCTGGCAAGCATACTAGAACGTTTGGCCACCAAAAATGGATTTATAAGAATTGAGAAATTCAGGTTAAGATATTGATGAAATTTTTAATGAATCTTCAAAAAAGCACTATAGAGACTTCTTTATTATCATTAAAGAGCTTTTAAAACCAATCAGTTAAGACTTTTCAATGGAGATGTGTTATCTATTTGATAAGATAATTTAATTATCATAAACTCATGCTAATCGCTCAACATTTAAAGACGACATTGAATAAAATATTAGTTTATATTACAAAGATAATGCAAATTTACTTTTCAGACAGCTTAAATCTATTCCTGAAGGAACACGTGAATAGTTCTTCTAAAAGCTCTCTAAAAATATAGCAGGATTATTCAAATGATGAGATACATAAACTGCTATTTGAATATTTTTTATATAATGAATACTCAAAGTAATAATATTTATCTTGTAGATTTGTAATATATGGTAGGCATTCGTTCATTCTTTCATTAAGGTTTTTTGAAAATAATTAGGTGTAGCTATTCAATTATTCCACATAAAATATTTTATTGTAATAGATTATTTTCATATTTTAAAATTATAAAAAAAATATCATTCAATTGTTTTATATTTTTATTTTTCTTGCACTTTTCCTATTATATTTTGCATTATTTTTGTTTAAATTAAATTTCATCAATTTTAAATCATTAAATAAATCATCAAGTATTTATTACAAAACTCAATCCTCTTAAAGACTAAAATAAAATATTTCTCAATATAAAAAAAATTAAAGTTGATAAAATAATAATATTTTTAAAATTAACTTTAAATTTATCAAATAAACAAATAAACGAATTAACAAATAAATAATGAAAAATTTTTATAATTCAAATGAATTTATTTTTTAAAACAAATTTTACTTAAAAACATTAAAAATGTATTTTAAATTTCAAGAAAATCAATTAAATTTTTTATTTAAGAAATAAATCAGATTTGTTAAAAATATATTTTTTGATAAAAAATATTAAAATTAAAAAAATTTAACACTACAAAATAACAAGCAAGCATTTAAAATATACTCTCTTAAATATAATTAATTTAAAAAAATTAAATGTTTTCAATTTAATAAAACTTGGTTAAATTATTCATATTGAGTGTTTTTGTAAAGAAGAGAAAATTATAATGAAATTAATTCTATGATCTTTTAGGAAATTTTGTATGGAATTTTCATATTATTAAGAGCAAATTCTATAGCAATTTTCCATTAAATAGGTATCGTTATGCTTACATTAAAAGCTTAAAGTGCAGAGTGCAAATCTTAGATACTATATATATCAAATTCAGATAGTAAGGTCAATAAGAAGAAATTCAAAGCCCTTAAACCACTTTGTAGTTAAGTTGTGTCTGCAATAGTTAGACTGATTTTATCTTCTGGGAATTTTTAAATAAAACTTTCAAAACACTCATCTTTGTGCATTATTGAATTTATTTCTTATATGAGATCCTCCAAGAAATTGATATTATTGGTCTCCTATTTAATTAGAGTTATAGGAGATTTATCCAAATCTAGCTTATAAGACATTTTCAAGAACTTTATTTTAATATCGTTTATAAAGTGTTAAGATAATCCTCTGTAATCAACAATCCCAGTTAGGAATGAAGCCAGCTTACTGAGGTGAGAACTCGTTAAATGTGGTAATTTGGACAACAAAAAGTAAAGATCAAACCTTCCATGAAGTGAGTAGATAAATTCAAGAATTACAGAATGGCAGAAAAATTAAATAACTTCTTTATTATTCTCAAATGCTTAACACATCTAATTATCCTGTTGAATCTTCCATATATAATCTTAAACGAGCTGATCGTATACTTGTTTATCTTTAAGAAGATTACTCATAGTAAGTGTAGAGGAGATTTTGTAGCGAGCTTTTTCGAATTATTCAAGGAATCTAAAAATAGTTTATTGTCTATAACCTCTTTACTTTAATGATGTATAAAATGTGAGTTTAAGGCAATAAAATTCTTTTTACCCAAAATCTTTAAAGTAATGTAAATATGGCTACATTTCAATATCAAAATTACTCTTTTAGTCTATGGAATTTATATAATTATTAGCATTGATATTAAATAACCTTTCTTGGTTGCATATAATTGTGACAACTCTAGTTAAAGTTGCTGTTTTTTCCTCTGCACTTAACTATGATGAAAAATTATAAGGCAATTTTTAATTTAATTCTTCCAGAGACTCAACAATTGTTTTAAGAATTCCAGATGAGCCACCTATTTCATTAACTAAAAGACCTTCTGTTATGTACTTTTTTTGATATTCAAGACGCTCAATAATTTATTCTATTGCATGAGTGTTGTAGTTTAGGGATTTAAGGGTTTCTATCAGAATAATTTACAGCTACTCAAATACCTAATAGTGTATCTTAAAACTAGCAAATGTATCTGGATTAAATACCTTTGAGTCATCTATAAGAACAAATTTCAAGAAAACAGAATAATAATGCTACAGATTTTGCATTTTTATATTATAAAATTCTAATAAAGAACTTAATTTCTCTGATAAAGTTAAGTTTTGTAAGATATGAGAATTCATAATTTCATTTAATTCAATGTATATTGTTGCAAGTCCTTTCTATTTTGAAGGTTAATCTGTTTGGTTTATTTAAGGACGAACACGATTGGATTAGCTTTTAGGTGAATTTACAAAGCTTGACCTTGATTCAAAGCTTTAGTATCTCTAAATAGATCCAAGCCTTTTTATTTACATTTCTTAATTTTGTACTTTATTAGGGCTATTTTGCTAAAAACCAGATTATTATTGATAATTTGGAAAATTTAGGCTTACATGACTACCATTATTATAGTTATTGTTTAAATCTCTAATGGAAGATGTGGAATTTTTATCTTCTTCTTAATCTAATTTTTCATAGTAATTCTTTAAAATATCTTCAAAGCCTATATTTAAGAGAGCTTGTTAATTATTTTTATTACTGATTGGGGTAGAGATCTTTTATATCGTATTTAAACTATTTTACTCAGTTTTTTATGTTTCGCTACTTTACTTCACAGATACTGACTTATTATTTTAATCTATGTTATTTAAACTATTTTTACGACTACTCGATTAGCTATCAACACTTTCTTCTGTATTATTTGACTATTGTTTCGAAAGGCATGATTTTTTGTAATTTTCGTTTATGTTTGTGGGACTATTAGTTTGGCTGTTATTATCGTTGTTATTACTGATTCCTAACTTTAAGTCAGAATCAATTACAACTATTTTAGATTACCTTCTATTCATATGCATTAATGGGTTGTGCATCTTCGAAAACATTGATATTGACTGCTTTTAAGTACTTTTTTGTAGAGTAGGACTGTTAGTAGAGCTTTATCCGCTTTCATTGACTTATGATTAAAATTTATTTAAATCATTATTGACTTTCGAGTTTCTTTTCTAATTTTATGGGGTTTATTCAGAATCAAAATTTTTATTTTGAATCTGTATTTTTAGTTCAGGAAACGGATTGTTTAAGGATTATAATTAATCAGTAGAAGCTGAAGTAAAATTCAAGTTTGAAAATTGTGATCTTCTCATACTAAGTTCATTATTTTATTTAGTTATATCTGTAATTGCTTAGTTTTTAAATTAGGAATGATTATCAAAATCTTAATCTCCTTCTTATGAGCTTTGTTATGTATTTTAATTTTGTTTATTTAGTTGCATCGATGATCTCCTAACTTAAAAAAAAACATCTTCTAAGTTACTTAATTTAGGAGTTTAACTACCTTTTGGAGACCCTTTATTCAACTAAGGTGAATGTGATAAATCTATATTTTTATTCGTAGTTTGATTATTACTCTAATTTTTTTTGAGCTACTGTATTTCCTAAAGCAAGGGAAATTGTTTGTTGTTTTAATTTTTTTAAGAATCTCCTAAATTCATATTTGTCTTGAAACTTATTTGATGCTCTTGACGTTTTCTTTCAAATATCTTTGTTTCAAGGCTAGCATAATTCTCTTGGTACATAAATACTTATTCCTCTAAAATGGCTCTGACAAAAGCTGATTTTATTTCTTCAATTTCATTTTTTATTTTATTGCTTTATGTTTCTTTTTCTTGGCTTCTAAAAATTGTGTTGGTCTTTATATCTTTTTCATTTACTTCATCACAGGAAATTATACTTTTAAAAAAATGAAAAAATGTAAATATAGAGTTATGGTTTATGTTATTTTTTAAAATAATTTTACCTTAAGCTTTCTTATTATTTAGAAAATTAACTTTTATTTTTAGATAAAGTTGGTGAATTCTAAAAAAATTATTGAGCTAGAACCTAATTGGGGTTTTCCATAGATTTTTTATTATCTGAAGGAGTCACAGGAGATTTCTTGCCAGTAGTTTGCTTAATTTAACTTGGAGAGGTTGCTGGACTAGTATTATTTTTTTATAAGTTTTTTAAGTAAACTTTATTTTTTTTGTAAGTATAGGGTTTATGCAAGACAAACTTAGATTCATTTATCTTTACTTATCTTTGTTCCTAATTTTGATTATCAACATTTATTGTCTCTTATTAAGATGCTTTATTGCTTTCCAATAGATTATTCTTTTGAATATTTTTTGTTGATTAAGGATTATCTTAGCTAATATCCACTTCACTACTTTTATTAAATTCGCAGGAATTCTAATTTGATAATTTGTTTATTTAAATTGTTAAATTTTTTTTGTTTTGTGAAAACAATTTATTTTCAGTTTTTATCCTATCTTGTTCACCATCTTATTAATTGAAGAAATTATTTTAAGTTACACTAAACTTCTAAATATTTTAAATTGTTTCTGAGTTAGCTTTAGATATTGAACTATTTAACTTTTCGCTGAAATTTTAGATTAATGGAGACTAAACTCTTTGAATTTGAGAATTTTTTTACAGATTGTTTTTTGTTACTTAACTTTATGAAGTTGATTAGTTTAAGTTGAACTAATTTTTTTGGAGGTGACTAATTTTATTTAAAAATATCATATTACTTTAATTTTAAAACAATTAATTTTTATTTTACTTTTAAAATTCCTTTGATTAATTTTTATCTGATAAAAGCTAGTTATTTTATGAAGAATTCTTGTATTAACTTGCAAAAAAATATTCATGTAGTTTTTCGGAATTTAAGCTATGTTCTTTAATATTACTATTAGGATCGATCTACTTGTCATTTTCTTCTTTCAAATTTATTGAGTCTATTTAGTTTCTAGAAGTAAAGCTGTGTATATTTTAAGACATTTTATTAAACGCTTTTTATTCTATTTTTGTCTTAGAGCTACTTAATTAAATGCTTGTTAAGTTATTTTAAATATCTCTATCACTTATTTTTGAAAAATTTTGAGAAAAATTCTGCTTTTCGTTAGGATTAATAAACTGTTATTACCAATCCTTAAAATCTTTTCTAAATTACAAATCTTTTATTTCATTTAATTGATTATTGTCTACTTATTTAAATATGTTTGGAAATTGTGTGTTCTGTTAAGACTACCTTTATTATCTTAAAAAGAGTTTATTTGTATTGAAATTGTTTTTGTTTATACAACTTCTTAGTTCTACATTCTATGTCTTTATTAAATTTCTACTATGTTAATATGATCCTTAGAAGCTAGGTTAAGTAAGCACAGAAGTTGCCTTCTTTATCTTAACTGTATTGTGTTCTTCTCTTATAGGGATATTCTCTTCTTTGATGGAATCTATGTTATTTTGGTCTAGTCTTTGAATTAAACTTAAACTTCTACTACTATTAGACTTCTAATCTTAAAGAAAGCTGCTTGTTGGAGAATTAGATAGGGACGATTAAGGTGAAAATCCAAATTTATTATTTGAATGGAAATGTCTATTATCTAAAGTCTGATTCATTTTATTACTGCCGCTATTTTGCTATAAACTTTTTATGATTAAAATTAGAAAAAAGTTAAACATAAATATAATTTTAGAAATATGTATAAAATATAATTAATGGTTAAGATTTTTTTTACCTGTGTTTTGTCTGATAGAATTAAACAGAGCTTTGAGACATTTCTTGTATTGGTTTTGATGCTTCTTAATGCAATTTCTTTAGATCAATAGATTAAATCTTGTATATCTAATTAATAAAGCTAATTGGTACTTTTTTAAAGTCTCTATCACTCATTGCCTCGTACTTAGATATAATGAAATTCTAAAAGGGTTTTTTTATTGGGTTTTTAGAATTACTTTAGGCTGTATTAATTTAGTTTTACTCTTAAAAGATATTTTAAAACTGAATACCTACATCTGCTTTCTAAGTCTCTTAGTCCTTCTGAGTTTATATAGGTTAGTTTATAGATACTCGCATAAGTCTACTTATTATTAAGATTTTTCTTTTACTTGTTTTTTACAGTGTATTATTTTAGAGAAAATAAGCTTATATATAATATATGCTGATTTATGATTTAGCAAAATAAATATATTAATAGTTAACAAATAAATAAACAGATAATATGTATATGAATTAATGAATCTAAATTTTAATTAATTAATTTAACACATTAAAAATCCACAAAAATCTCAAATTAACATTAAAATTTAGGTTTATAAACAAATAAAATATCACCTATGTTAAAAATTTAGAGTTTCTACTTAACAATATACGTATCTATATTCTTATTTATAATATTTTTTATGAAATGTCTTAAACTCTGGTTAAAAACTAGTTGATTTTTATAATAAACATTTTGAGTAGGAAAAGAATAAAACACTATTTTTTCAACGTATAACTATATTAAATTTTCACTTTAAATAGATATACTTTTCATTCTAAATTTAGAAAAAAAATTTCTTTTGAAAAAAAAGAGAATGGTTTAATTATAAATCTAATTATTATTCAATTAAACATTGAATCTAAAATATTATTTTTTTATAAAGATGATAAATTTTTAAAAATTTAAAAATTAAATATTTAAAGAAAATCTATTTAAACTGCTTGCTTTAAAATAATGCAAATTATTTCTAAGACATTTTAAAAATATTTTAAAATTTTTAAAGTATTGCTTTTACGTTTTTTAATTTCTAGAAATGGGTAATAATTATTAATGGTCTCTTTAATAAATAAAAAATAACATTATGCATAAATTTTAGCATTTTCATAAAATACTCATAGCATCAAGAACTTTTTCTAAGAATTCACTTACTTTATCTCCTATTTTACTAGTCTAAATGACATTTATTATTTAAATTTATTTGATAATACGGGGATCTAAGTCTCTTAAGTGAAGATCCTTCTCAATTTTCAACTACCTCATATATAAATTTATAAGATTCTCTTAGCTTTCATTTTAATCGCCGTTATCTGCATCTTCTTTTCTTTCCCCTTTTTTAAATGGATTCTCTTCATCTACTACAAGCACTCCCAGAGAAACTCCTCTTAGATATTCCTCACATGTATATTATTTTAAAAAAGTTTTAAATTCTTAAATCATATGTTCATCTTGCTCAAACAAGCATATTACTAGACCAGAGATTTTTATTGTTTTTATTAGCACATTAATAGTGCTAGTAAAATTTAAATCATTATATCTAAGAAGCCAAACTGCGCATTCATTTTCATTTTTTCTTTAAATCATTGTGATTTTAATGTTATCAACATTACCTATTGACTCTATTTTATAGTTATAGTTGTTGAAAAATTTGTCTAACAAATATTTATCTTCTAAGCAGTCGCTTCCAACAAATAATATATTTCTTTTGTCAAACACTTAAATATTTTAATTTCCCATGTTTTCACTTCTAAAATATTTTATATTCTTCTGAAAACGCTTTTTTTACTTTATTTGATTTAATCAAACAAAAATATTTAGAAACTATATTTTTAAATAAATCAATTAATCAATTAACCAATTAGTTTTTCTATAAGTTTTGAAAAGCTTAATATTGCTTTAAATTGTAGAAATTTTGATTAAATAGAATTCAAATTTTTTATTTTAAAAAATTTAAACATGAATAAATAAATTTATTTTATTTAAAAATTTTATTTTATTTTCTAAGCTTCTGTGATTATTTTTTTAATTATTTTAAAATTAATTTAAAAATATTCTTAATTTTTGATGTAATACAGAAAATTCGTGAAGAGCAACTATTCGTTATTAAAATTCAAGAAGATTTTATCAAAAATAAAATCAGAAATAAAATAAATTAAAAATTTTGATTTAGTCATGCAAAATTCATAAAAATCTTTAGCAATAGTTGGTATGGGAATGGCGGGTCTAGGCTGTGCCTGGAACCTCACAAAAAATAAGACAAACATCAACCTGATGCTCCTCGAAAAGTCTTAGAAAGTTGGCGGAAGAGCTACTTCAAATTCGCGTCATGGATATACCTATGATCATGGAGCAAACTATTTTACTTTTGAAGGACTATCTTAATCTTAAAGAGTGATAGATATAATTAAAAAGCAGCTTCCTGCAGAGGATTTAATTTAGATAACAAAAGAGCTTTACCTTTTTGACAAGGATTCTAAAATTTATCAAACAAAAGATACTCAACAAACAGAAAAGTTAACTTACAGAAAAGGTTTAATCTAACTTGCAGAGCTAATTTAGAAGGATTAAGATCTGAATGTTAAGTTTGAATATTTTGTTGATAATTTAAAATATTGTCAAGATACCAAAAAATGGACAATAACTTATTCAGATAAAGCAAATAATAGCAACAAATAAGATGTTATAAGCACAGACTATATTTTATTAACTCCACCAGCCCCATAAATTGTTGATTTATTTAAAAAGAGTGAGTATCATAAAAAAGATGAAATTATGCAAATATTTGAGAAATGCAAATATAAAAAGTAGTTATGTCTTGTCATTGCTTTTGAAAAAAAAATCTAGGACATCCCATATTTTGCTTTATTAAATGAAGATAGGTAGCATTCGATAGTCTGGATTACTGTAGAAGATTAAAAGGAAGGACATGTTCCAGAAAATAAATCACTAATTATATGCCAAATGAGTGAGTAATTTTCTGATGAAAACTATGCAGCAAGCGATGAAGTTGTTATTTAAAAAGCAAAAGAAAGCTTAGTTAAATTGATGCCACAATTAGAATAGTAAAAAATGTTTGATAGTTAGAAGTTTTGTTGGGTTAAAAGGTGGAGATATGCTCTTCCTAATAATAACAAAGTTTCTGAGGAATCTCTATAAGAATTTTAATAAGATGGTTTATTTTTTGCAGGTGATTTTTTGATTGGAAGAGGAAGAGTTTTATAAGCTTTTGAAAAAGGATTAATTGCATCTGATCAGATTTAAGCTAAACTATGAGAGTTTTACTTACTTTTTAAAAAATATTATTTTAATTTAAATATTGTAAATAGATAAATTAATTTAATTTTTTTTATTTATTTTATTATCAAATATAATTGTTAATATTATTTTATTTTATATAGTTGATTTTTAGATAATCTTTCAGTAAAATATATTTTTTATTATTTGCAAAATAAATTAATCTTTGAGTCATTTGAAAGTATAAAAAGAAATTTAATTTTAAACAAATATAAATATTAATTTAAGAATTTTGATTTCAGAAATTTATTTTATATTTATTTTTTTAATTCAAAATAAAAATTGATTGCTTTTTTCTACTATCTTTGATTATTGTCAATTTTAATTTATAGCTCTTAATTGATTTTCAAATTTCTTCAAAAATAAAAAAGAAATACAATTAGAAGCTAATAATAATTATCATTTAAGAATTTGAGATTTTTTTTTAAATATTAAAATAAATTTCTTTTTCTATCTTTGATTGATTATTGTCAAATTTAAATTTTTAGTTCCTTACAAATAACTTATTAGCAAAACAAACTAATTTTTGAATCTATTTAAAATATAAAAGTAAATACATTTTAAAGCAGATTATAATATTTAACTTAGAAATTTTAATTTGAGAAATTTATTTATGTTTGTTTAATTTTTTTACTTTTAAAATTAAAATAAATTGTTTTTTATTTCAATTGTTGATTTTTTTTTTGTCAATTTTGATTTTATAGATCCAAATATGATTATAATTGAAAATACAATAAGCTGATTTTTAATAAGTCTCTTGAAAACATAAACACGTACATATACAACAAAAATAAATACCCATGAATTTCGAATCGATTTTTTAATTTAAATAGTTTATAAAAATAATCTATTAGGTCAATTTTATTTATAATATTCTTAATACTACATTTAGTAGCCAAAACAACTAACTGTAAATAAAGCAATAATTTCTGTTTGAGGTACTGCAACAAGCGAAATATTGGGAACTCTTTGAGGTTTCTTAAATTTTAAACCTGTATACTGCTAAAAATGCATATCTATAGAATATGTACTATTGGAAATATTCTGAATATAAAAGTATCCATAGCCTTACTTGTGATCAATATGTTTGCAAAACATGACTTATCCTTTTAATTTTAAGTTACTGTTTTTTCTAGCATGAGTTTTGAAGCATTCTTCCAAAAATTAATTAGGAATTTATTTCTTTTAAGTAGGTTATATTTCAGTTGTGTCAATACCGTAAGAGCTAACTACATATGATGTGAATGTAGGTAATTCCCATTTTACTTTAGCTTATATTAAATATGATCCAGGTTCTAGATTACATTCAATAAAAATTTCTCTACTTTTCTTTTATTATGAACCAATATATTTTATATTAGATGCTCCCTCTTGATCTAGTAATTACATAACAAAAATTCTTGAAATTCCTGTTTCATAGTAAATGTCTTTATCAAAGTTTCTTTTTGATGGCTATACAATAGAAATGTAATATGTTCCTTTTGTTTTAACTTATAGTGTAAAGTATTGTGAATGCTTTCCATCTGACTCTAAAACTTTAATGCTTGAGTATTTAAAAAAATCATGGTAATAGCAAATTGTAATTTAGTTAAAATATTTATAGAAATCTTCTAAACTCATATAAAATATTCCATCCTATTTTTTTGTAACTCTCAATTTTTCTCTAAGCTCTGGAGTCCAAAGCTAGCTTTCATCAGACCAATCTCCTTTCCATTCTTTTTTACCCCAGGGATTCCTTAGTCTTACGAGCATAACTTTACCAAGAATGTGGTGATTGATTTCTTTAAAGCTTCATTAATATTAAAAAATTTAGTTAACAGATAAAATATTTAAATACTGTTAAAAATATTTACCCTATTAAGCTGTAAGCATGAGAAGTTACTAGACCTAATCTGTCTGCTTATGATTTTGAAAGATCAGAGTTATCATTAGCAGCTGTAATTAAAAATCTGTTCTACTCTGAAAGAGCATCCATCAATATTGGCAACAGACTTTGATTCATTTATTAAATTGTATTTCCATTAACTTAAACATCTTCATATGTTAAAAAATTAGCAGTAGGAGCACCAGTAAGATCCCTCATTGCTTCATGACAATATCCACTTTCAATTTTTGCATAACTGTTAAATAATTTTGCCCAAGCTTTTTCAATGAGCAGAACCCATAATTCATTTCCATTTGCTTTAGTGAAAGCAGGTTTTTTATGGATACATGGGATGTGATCATCTACGTAGACAGCTTTCCAAGCACCATCATGACAAATTTTCACACAATAAATACCATATTTATTAGTTTTTCTCGTAATAAATAAGTTTAGTATTCTATGAGGTTCTTAAGCTAAACAAGACAAAGCAGAGAGAAAATAGCAATCTCCTAGCATACCTTATTGTATATCGTTTGGAGAAATAAGTTTCCCTAAGCCTACTCTACTTTAACTGACAGATTTAAATTTCTCAAACATACTATATGGTTAACCATTAAAAAATCCTACTGGTCTATACCACTATTTATTTAAAAATTTTAAAAGCATTAATAAAAAAATAATATTTTTTAATAAAATAACTTACTCCTAAATTTCTCCACTCATAATAACGTTTGCTACTTTAATCCTTAACTATAGAATCTTATGAAGGAGGGAAAGATGAATCAATAAATTCTTTATCGTTTATTTAGCAATCATAAAATTTTGTATAAAACTCCTCAATCCCTTCAATTTATTCATCTAAAATTTCAAAATAATCTTCACACTAACTGTTCAACATATAATTTTATTGGTTATTATTTTAGATTTAATTAATCTGTAAATTATTTTATTACCAATTATTGTTTACTACTTAAACTTAATCTTTAATGTTATTATTATTCATATTATTGTTATTTTTAATATTTTTTTTATCTTCAATGATTTTATTATTATTGTTATTCTAGATATTCACATTTTAATGAAATTAAGGTACCTAATTATTTGGAATTATTTAATTTTATTAATAAAATGGTATCGAAGGCGGATAATAAAAATTCGTATTAATATTTTAATTGTTTTAAAATATTCTCTAATTATTTTTATTATTTTATTGATGATTATTGTGATTTATTTTATTATTTATTATCATTGGAAAATTTATTATTTATATGTTACCATTTATATTTTAATTTTAGTAATATAAATTGGGAGGTGGTGGGAATGGTAAGACTTTATTCTTTTAAGAGTTTTACTACTTTTCTATCTAATTATAGTAGTTATCTTTCAGATTCATAAATTCTAAGAAGTCTTTTATATAAACATATTGTGAATTATCATCTGAAATAAGTGATTCCTTCAAAAACTACTGTTCTTATGCTGATAACTCAATTCCATAACTACCTAAAAAGAATACTAATTCTTAAAAGGATATTTTCTTAGATGGAAAGATATTCTTGATATCATTCAAATTTATAGCTTTTTTAATGTGTTATTCTTTTAAAAATCCTAATTTCTAGTTTAAACTTTCAAAGCTGTCTTCTGAAATCATTTTTTCATTTTCATTGAATATTACTTTATCTTTTTTACCAATTAAATTTTGTTTATTTTAATCTCTTTCATTTGCTTTATTTTCTTCTTCATCATCAGATTCTTCATTAATCAAGATAATATCATTAAATACTTTGTCTTAGTTTTATTAATTATTTTATTTATCATTTTATTAGCTTAAGTTATTTTGTAATTATTGATTATTAAGTTGAGCGTTTGGAAACAATTTACCAGGCGAATTACTATTTTAAACATTAGCAACATTAATAGGATTTAAAGAAGGATATTTGCTGCTAATTTAGTTAAAAACACTCTAGATAGAGGATATTTAATAATTATTGTTTTCATCCTTTGGAAACTATTGCAAAATAAATAATATTTATTCATCAGTAATATTTCCTTTTCTATCTTTTAAATATGAACTAAGCTAATCGGCATTTAAAAACTGTTTGCCTAAAGAATAATTTAATAAATCTCGCTAGAAAGACATAAAATTATTATTTGATTGATTGCTATAATTTTATTTAATACCTCTTAGTATTTTAAGGCAATCGCTTTCAATATTTTCACTCATAATTTTAAAAAATCCAAATAAATCTTTTTGATTTTTTTATTAAATTAAGAAATATAATTAATGTGCTTGAGATTGATTTTTGATCAGTTCAATAGTAAAATTAAAAGGATAATCAAAAATTACTTTAAAAAATAATAGACAAAGACTTGTCTACAATAAATTAATGTATAGAAATGTTCTTTCTGCTTATTTAGTCTTAGAAATTAACAGTAGTACAAGTTTTAATTAAATTATATTCACAAATCTAAAAATAAATAAAAAATTTAAAAGTATTTTAAATAAATTTATTAATCATTTGAAAAACAAATATTAAAAATGTATATGATATATATTTAAAGCTTATTAAATAAATATTCTGGAATTATTTTAGTATCTTTCATTAAATTTGTTAATTAAAACATATTATATAATTGATTTGCTTTTAATAAATTTCAAAATAAACACTCACTTCAACAAAAAATGTATCAATTTAATATGCTTGATAGACCAAATCAAATAAAAAAAACACCAATTTAGTTTTTACTCTGATGATTTATGATTATTTAAAAATCATATATTAAATAAAATATTCTTCTTGTCAAAGATATTGCATTTATAATATGTTATCCTTCATATAAAAACTTTTCAAATATTTGATAGCTCAAATAAGATTAAGAGTTTCATTTATTTTTATAAATTCTAGAAAAAAATAGATTGAAGAATATAGAAATATTTTTTTTCTGATCAGTAAGGTCTAAGAAATTAAAATAAATTTGAAAGCATTTATTTCAACAAAAAATGCATTATTTTTTTAAATAATTTAAATTTCTTATTACATTTGAGAAATATTTTGTAAAAACATACTTGAGAGCTTGTAACTATTTTTAAAATCTAGAATTAAATAAATTAAAAAATTGAATATTTTTCTAATACTAAATAAATGTGAGGTTATATGTAATATAAATTTCAAATTAAATATTGCAACAAAAAATGCATGGATTTTAACTCTAAAAAAATAATAGATTAAAATTAATTTAATTTAACATTTATATTGCTAAACAAAATCTTACTCAGTACTAATTGATATTTATAATAATATTTTTAAGTAAATTAAAGAATATTAATATTATTATATTTTGCTATTTAAAGATTTAGAAATATTAATTTTAACAAATAAATAATTATTTTAAAATTTATTTTTAAAACATCTTAAAAATATATAATTTATATAAATTAACTCAGATTATATTAATTTATTTATTTATTTATTTATTGTGAAATTAATTAGAGAAATAAAATATAAATTTATATTATGGTTTATTACTTTAGTTATTGATTGTAGAAAATTTGAAAACAAATAAATGAAAATATAAACAAAATATTTAGCAAAAATAAATATATGATCTCAAAATTGCATAAAATCTCAATCGAATTTAATCATAAATTCTCCACATAAACCCATATGATCACTAGGATATATTGTTTTATCAGTTTCTAAATGTTTATCACCAAATATATGAATATTTTATGGTTTAATTTAGTTACCTTTGAACCTATTATTTTTATATTATTAATTTGTTAATATAATAAAATTTAAAATAAATTAATTATTGATTTTATAATTTAATAAATATTTATTTTTCTAATCAATTAAAATTTATTTATGTTTTTAAAAATTATTTTTATAAAAAAAGAATTTTTATTTTTATTAAATTAAAAATACCATATATAATCAAAGCAGCCTTCTGGATCTGTATCCATATTCGGTGCTTATAAGCCTGTAGGAAATGTAATTACAGGTTCTTAACCATGAATTACTTAATAAGTTGACTTAAATCCCATTTCAGATAAATATTTATAGTTTTATTCTTCTTTAGGTGTCAAGTTAAAATCTCCACACAAGAATATGTTATCGCTTTAAAATTTGGTTATGTTATATAACCAAAGATGAATATTCTAAAGCTAATGATAACGAATCTACCAATCAGGTACTATGTGATGTAAGTGAGTATTGACTACCCAAAAGTAATTTGAAGGATCTCCATTTAAAGCAAATTTGATAGCATGGGCAACTCTAAATCCACTTAAATGCATCTTTTTATCTTCTAATATCTTTTAAATTTAAAATTATTAAAAATTAAAATTTAGGCATTTCAATTTAAAAACGTAAAAATGTTAGTCAGATAAATAATTAATTTTTTTTATTGATCAAATAATTATTTTACAGTCAAATTTTAATCGAAGAAATCCTTGTTAGCTAGTATAGTATTACCGTCTAATTTTGATTCTGGATCAGCACCAGGACGTATGTGGAACTTAAGCTAAGATTCAGCATGGAATTAGTGATAAAGACTTCTGTTTTTATCATCTTCTACTAAATGATCAACTTGATTATCCCCTAAAAATGATACTTCTTATAAGCCTAGATTAGAATATATTTAGAAACAAAATAATTTATAATTCAAAATTCCCTTCTTTAAATATATTTATTTACACATGATGTCACTTTATTCACCCTAAATGGTCTTCCTCAAAAATTCTTTCCTTTCATTGTATCTATCTAAAGTGAAAATATAAAATCCAATTACTTTTCAGAAATTACTTAAAAATGAAATACAATTAATAAATAAAACATATTTAAAATATTTTCTCTTTCTTTGTTAGCTTTAAATTAAAAAAGTAAAAAACTTACCTTATGTATTTCTAATATTAAAGGTAGAAAGAATTAGTTTAATTTCTTTTCTGATCATTTTTCTAAAAGAATTTATATATTTATTTAAACTAGTGATTTTTACAACAAAGTACAATTCTTTTCTGATAACTAAATAAATAAATAACTAACTAAATAATAAAAATTAATTAATTTTACGAATGCAAATTTTCTTATCTTAAAATACAAAAAAAGACACTAAACAAACTAGATTAAAAAAACCTTCAGTATAATTTGTTTACTCAATGTGAACTAATGGAATAGTACTATTAATTATTAAAGGTTAAATATATAAATTCATTAACATAGATTATTTAGTCCCAGCTTAGACATAATATTTTTTAAGTAATATTTATACTTGCTAAAGTGTGAATCCTTAATAAATTTTTGTACTTAGCATATTTTGTTAATTTAAACTTTTGAAAAATTATTTTTTATCATTTAATTTTACTAAATTATTGTTTTTTAATTTATTGATTTTTGTTATTAGAGATATTTGAAAAAATAGAAATATTTTATTTATTTATTAACAGTATTTAAATATGTATTTAAAATAAACAACATTAAAATGAGATTATTTATATATTATATATGTATAGAATATTTTTATATGCTTAATTGAAGAATATAATCTTGATACAAGCAAATTCTAAAGTTCTAGAACAATTTTTTTTGATAAAGTAATAATTTAGTATTTATATAAAGTAGAAAATCTATAATTTTGAAGTAGTAGCAATTGATTATTAATAAAGGAAGTATCAAGAATATCCAACAAACTACATATTTAGCATAAATTAGTCACAAGCTTCCTTTTTCTCATTGTTTCTATAAATTGGAGTTCTGCAATGTGGGCAATTTATTGTTTAGTCTTATTTCTTAAAATAGAGAGATTGCTATGAGTTTTAGTGAATTATATATTTAGACATACAGCTTGTGTGAAAAGCATGCTTGCATTTTAAAACTTCTATTTCATCATTGAGTTGGTTTAAGCTACAGAAACAAAAGCAGCAATCTTCGTTATAATAGAATTAAGGAGTAATCTCTTTGTTGTTAATAATTTTGAAATATGCATAAGTAATCCATGCAATCTTGTAGATTATATATAATGTGGTAGTTGATATCATGATTAATTCAAGCTTAAAGATTTAATCATATTATGCAGTTCTCATAAATTAGCAAACAAAGTCAACATAGTTTGAAATAATAGTAGCATAAATAAACTGAGCAATTTTATAAAAAGGAATAAATATTGTTTATGTCAAGTAGTTATTGAAGATGAGAGTATATGAGTAGCAGCCTCCTTATATGATAATATAGTAAAATGCATAGAATATGCTTAAAGTAAAATCAATAGCAAAAGAAGAAAATTAATAAATTATTGTTAAGCATATCATAAAGTAAATGATATAAATTAATGCGAAAACGCAAATATTATCTACTACAAGCATTATGGTTTGATAAGTAATTTTAATTCAAAAATATTTGAAGATTTTTGCTTGCTTGTTTTGTCTTCTTATAGTTTCTACCTTTATTTAAATAATTTATTCAATAAATTTGTTTTTTGATTTTCAATTCAAAAAAATTTTATCAGCTTTTTTTTTTAATTTATTTGAGTTTGTTTGTAATTTTATATTTGTAATTAATTTATAATTTTTAGATGAGCAGAATAATCAATTTATACTAAGCAATTACTGAAAATATTTCATCATGCTAACTAGTTACCTTATTTGAAATGCTGTATTAGTATGACATAATAATTTTTTAAACTTTCAATAGTCTAATTTCCAATCAATCATGTAGGATTGATTACATAGTCAATTAAAATAAAATCTATTAGTTATTTAAAAAACATAACATACTAGGATAATACTAATTAATTAAAATTCCAAAATTATTAATTGTTAAATAAATAAATAAATTATTTTATTATTTTTTAACTTTTAGCTTTTAAGGCAGCTGATAAGTTATTTCTAAAATTTAGTAGAGGAAATAAGAGTTTTTCTATTCTAATTTGAAGAAATAGAATTTATTGAAAAAAATTAAGACACTATATTTGGTAATGTGTCATATAAAAACAGCATTTATTTTCATAAAATTAAATTCTTACTAAATGTAAAGAAAAATTATGTGAATAGATGTATTTGTATTACATAATAATTTTTAAAACTTTCTAAAGTTAAATCAATAAATCATGTAAGAGCTTGTATTCAAAAAAACAAATTTTATTTGTTGCTTACTTGATTAAATTCATTTAGAAAGTACTTCTTTTGCTTTTGCTTGATGATAAAAATCAAAACGTTTATTTAAAATAAATAAATAAATTTTTTTGAATTTTTAAATCAGCCAAAAAAATAATTGTTTTGATGTAGTAGAATTTTCTTTCCTAATTTAAAGAAATAGAATTTGTTTAAAAATTATAAAATAATATTTTGTAATATGTCAATTATAATAAATAAATACATACATACAAACTCTTGCTACAATATTTATTTAAAAATTCACTTGATAGATAAAAAAGAAACTTACTTAAAAAATAATTTGTATTTTATTTATATTTACGCGAATTATAAAGTTTGATTTGTATTAAAAGTTATTCAACCCTGCATAAAATTTAGCAAGCAATAATAGTAAAAAGAAGAAATGAGCTACCAATAATAGAATTTAAGCTAAAGCAATTACTATAATTCTTAGTACTCTAATTTATCCAATAATTAAATGTAAGATCTATATTCAACACACTCAGATCCTTATAACTACCCACCTATGAATAGAAAAGACTTAATGAATTTACAAACCATTTGTAGAAATTAATTTTATATATTAAAGAATCTAAGTCATTATGCGATTTATAATATCATTTTAAAACTAAATAGAACCTTATGAAAATGGTTTTTATCACATTAAAAATGAAACTGTAAGGGACTACAACTTGAACACAAAAGATATAAGGGGTAAATAAATGTCTTTTTATTTTTATTTAGAATATGCATTTACATATAATTATTATTGATTTATATTAGAAATGTAGAAAAAAACTTTATTTATTTAAATAATATAATTTAATCATGAATAGGAGCATAGCCAAAATTCAAAATTTAAGAACTAAATAAACCTGATTTATTTAATGTTAATGATATTGATGGAGCTGTACCAAGACCTCATATTTAATTTACATAATACAATAAAGTTAGTCACATACTAGATCATGATGATATAAAAGGCTCTCATCCTAATATTAATAAATTTTATACTAAGAGAGAACCTTTCAATCCCTTAGAGCCATAATATAAGTTGCAAGAAGCTTAGTAAATAATTACAGATCCTCCAAAATTCTTGAGAGACACACTATACATAGATGTAAAATTTATTTTTATGAAATAAATTAATAATATTCTCCTTAAACGTTTTAAATTCACTTAGAGTTCATACAAAATTTTATTCTTCAAATATCATAGGATATTGATGGCACGAGAGCAAAAAAATAAGTATTAGCATATGATAAAAATTTACCTGAAATAGAAGGTGCATAATCTAAAAAAAAATTCTTACCTAAAGACTACGTTGATTCATTAGATGTAAGAGATATAAATTTGAAAAAATAGATAGAATTATCTAGATGTGTAAATCCACTTAATCCTACATATAAATGGTAATATGATGAAGCTAATCTTTAAAGTTAGGTACTAGGGGCCGTTGATGGATCAAATTCAAGATAGCTTCATAAAGAATTGAAATATCCATTTGATAAATATTCTTCTACCGACATTTAAGGTGCATAAGCTAGCTCTTTGATTAAAAAATATAACATGAATGTAATAAATTAATTTTCAAAATAATTTACTTAATTTTTGATTTACTGCATTAATAATTCTTTATAAATATTAAAATATTTTTTAATTAATTTAAATATATTTATACATAATAAATAATTAATATCAGCATAGATATGCCTACAGTAACTAAGATATAGAAGGAACACAGCCAGGTACTAAAAAGATGGGTATCTAAACCAATAGATGTCTTAATCCTCTTCGTCCAGATTATCAATTTTTAGGAAGAACAGAGGCTGATAATGCATACGGTGGCTTTTAATTTGAAAATTAAAAGTAATTTTTTACTCTAAAATTATATATATTTGGGTTAAATAACTATAATTTAATTAAAAAAATAGAAAACAGAATTAAAATTACCCAAGAAGTTAATTAGCTGCATCAGCTTCATAAAATTTGATTAGGACTAACTAGAATGTTATGCCATAAATTTAGCAATAACTACCACTGTAATTAAATATTTCATTTTATGACAAATTCTTATTTTTACCAAAATATTATTAGATCCTAAAGCTAATCTGTTTCCTAAATCAATCATAGAGAAGTGAATTAAATCCAAGCTTCCTAGCAGTAACCATTAAATCAACTGAGACAAAATTAATAATATTAGTAGCAGTAATAATAATAGTAGTAGTAATATATCCCTTCTAATGGCTATAATAATTAATAGCAACAGTTTTAAGACTATGACAATTAATAGTATAATTAGCAAATAGATTATTAATTACAACAAAATTAAATTCCCTAAGTGTATTACTAAAGTTAGAATAACAATTAGTAAGGTTATTAGAATAATAATTATTAAGTAAATTAGAATAACAACTTATAAGCAAATTAAAATTACAACTAATAAGGAAATCATCAAATTAACTAGTAAAATTAACAAGCTTATTAAGTTTAGAATGGTCAATATTATAATTGAGATTAAATAATACTCTAAATGTAAAATTAAATAGACAAAAAAAATTAATAAGATTTGTCTGTAAATAAAATTATTTAGTTTATTTCTTATTTACATTAAGATAGTTAAAAAGTAAATTTTAATAATGGTTAATGAATACGAAACTACAATTTTAAATTTATTTAATATTATGTTTTAGGAATATGCTTTAATAAATTATTATATTTTTTTGAATATTTAATATTTTTAATTTAAATTATAATTAATAAAATTACAAATTGAGAGAAAGAGAATTCAAATCATTAAAATAATAAGCAAAATAAACAAGCATAGTAGTTTTAGAATGGTTAATATTAAATAAGATTATTTATGCTAATTATTTAGTTTTTTCTTACTTTAAAATTAATAAATGCAAAATTTAATAATTATTAATAAATATCATTTTAATTAATTAAATATTATGTTTTAGGAATATGCTTTAATAAATTATTATATTTTTTTTTAGTTTGTTAGTTAATTAGTGAAATTAACTTTTAAAAAAATGTTTTTAATTAAAATTATAATTAATAAATTAACAAATTGAGAGAAAGATAATTTAAATTATCAAAATAATTAGCAAAATAAACAAGAATAGTAGTTTTAGAATGGTTAATATTAACTAAGATTAAACTGTCTTATTATTTAGTTTTTTCTTACTTTCATTAAGATTAATAAAAGCAAATTTTAATAATTATTATTTTAATTAATTAAATATTATGTTTTAGGAATATGAAAAAATAAATTATTATTTTTTTATTAGTTTGTTTATTAATTAGTGATTGAAATAATATTTTTAATTTAAATTATAATTAATTGATTAACAAATTCACAGATATAGAATTCAAGTAATCAAAATAATAAGTAAATAAATAAACAAGCATTGTAATTTTAGAATGGTTATTATTAACTAAGATTAAATAGTCTAATAATTTAGTTTTTTCTTACTTACATTAAAATAAATAAAAGGATATTTTAAAATAAATACAACACTAATAATTTTAGTTAATTAAATATTATGTTTTAGGAATATGTATAAATAAATTATCATTCATTTTATAAGTTTAGTTTATTATAAGTTATTGATATGAACTTTTGAAATATTATTTTTAATTTAAATTATAGTTAATTATTGAGAAATATAAAACTCAATCGAAATATAGAACTTCCTCTTAACTTAGTCTCTCTTCTTGAGGAATCAAGAATTTTTATATTTGAAGCTTTTTTAATTATTAAATCCATACCTAATTATTTTTAAAAATTATTATTTGTGTGTTTGTTAAAATTAAAAATAATTAAAATTACATCTGATCTCTTTAAGAAGATTTCATATTAATCATAAACTTTGAAAACTATTTCACTGTCGTTTATATTGATGTCCTTTTCTAAAATGATCTCTTCGAATACTTAATTCTTTATAAAATGAAATAATTTTATTTTATCAAATATAATTGATTATATTTGTTTACACATCTATTTTTTGATTGAGGGAATTTTTCTGGAGATTAAAGTAAATTGATCTGACCATCAAGTTTAGATTTTTCATCTTAGCCAAGCTACTTCTCAAAGTTAAATTTGGTTTACTTTAGATTATTATATAATTAAGTTCCAATATTTGAAGAAAACTCAGGTGATTCAAAACTAGATTTTATCATGTTAATTTAATTTTTATCATTTTAAGAATCTTTCTTTTACTTTTCACTATCTACTTTCTCAACATAATAAAATTGAAGATATGTTAAGACTATTTGATTTAGAAGGCTAAAAGCACTTGGAAGTTAACCTTGATGGAAATACTTATCAATCATAAAACAAGATTTTAAAATAAATACTTCGTGAATATATTTTAAGTTAAACTTAATTAGGTTAAAATAGACATTAGAAGAGTAATTTGAAAACGCTTATGAGCTAAGCATCTTCCTTAAACTTCCCATAATTCTAAAATTATTTATGTAATTATTATTATCATTTAAAATATTGGCTATTATATTTAAGAACTTCAAAATGTTAGTATAAATTTATTCTTATAAATGCAACTCTCTCTTTTCTTAATCATTCAAAATTTATCCACAAACTCCTTAATCTAATTACATATGCTCATAGAAAAGAATTATTCCTTGATACAAATTTTCTTTTTTAGCTAAACTTTACTCGAGTTATGAAAAATCTTACTTCTCTATAGTTTCCATTAACATGGTTCTTTTACCAAAGCCCTTTTATTGCACAAATAATAGAGTAAAAAAATAGTAAATAAAAAAATATTATCTTTAAGCTTACTTAAATTTGTTATTCATTGGAATTAAATAGATAGAACTTGAAATTGGTGCAATTGTAGAATTTTGTAAAAATATTATTTGCATTTTTATTCAATTATATTTTATATTAAGCTTCTTTAATCTCTTTGGTATAGTTCAAAAAATCTTATTTAACTTCTTACAGCTTTCTCCTTATTTTAATTTCATCTATTTTTTCTAAAAAGGCTTAATCTTTTTTCTAAACTTCTGCTTTTAAACGGGCTGAAATTTCTACTGGTTTATTAGGGTTCACCTTTGTTTAGGAGTTCTTGTAAAATAAGCAGCATGCATTGCAATTATTATCTTTTTTAATTTTAATTTATAAGATATTATTTTTTTGTATTTTACTTACCTTAATCTCCATAGCTTTGTTTGAATACCTCTTCTTCAGTTACTTTTGTAACAATACTGTCATTAAATTTATACCAGCATTACTTTTTGTCATCATATATAAAGCAGTAATAATGTCCAGTATCTGTAGATTAAAAGTTTATTTAATAAATAAAAGATTAATCAATTTTATAATTTACTTGCATATCCCTAGTGGATAAGAATTGAAAAGAGCTCATATTTAATAGTTTTATTTTAATTTTACCAATATTATTTTTAATCTTTAAGCTCTTTGATTTTCTTTTCTAAGACATCTTTATTTTTCTTTATTTGCAAATAATATTAATCCAAAGTTTATATCATTTATATCAGTTGCTATTTTTGACCTAATACTCCGACATCAACATTATCATTTTCATGTATAACCTATAGATATAAATATTATTCAAAAAAAACAAGCAAATTAAAGCTATTATTACATCGCTAATTATTTCTTCTATATCTATAAAATTATCTTATTTGTTGACTTGAGTCTAAAAATAAGATTTTATTAGATTCATAGCAGATAAAACTGGTAGACTACCACTGTTTCCTTCTTAATTTATATAATTATCGAATTTTGAAAGTTTATTCTCTAATGCAGTTAATTAGTTATCAATTGTTTCAATTTGTTTTTTTTATTCTTCAAACTCTTTGTCTTTACCTTATATATAGTTATCAATATATATTTCTTTATCAAATGTAAACTTTTTATTTAATTTTTCTGCACAATTTAATTCTTTGTTGTAGAAAATTCTATTTATATAGAAATTTAGTATCTTAGGGGCAGTTTTTATACTTAATGCTATATCTACTTTTTTCTTTAAAAAATAAAGTTAGATAATTTTTTTAATATTTTAATTATTTACCTGCTTTTTTATTATTACTGACTGAGTCAAATTATCAACTGGCTCTGGTTAATAGTCAGCTACTTAGTACTAGAAATATGAATTCAAAGCTGCATATAGGTCACCCATTTTAGCATCTAAATTAAAGATTCCTATAGGTATATCATGAACTTTAACTTCAATTGAATTATTCTCTTGAGAATAGATTGTTACTTTTTCTTCTCCAACTCCAAAGAATAACTCTGTTATTGGATTTTTTAGCTTTTTAGCCTTTTTTTTATTGCTTTCTTGCTTTTATAAAGAAAGCTACCTTTCTTGACTTTAACTCTATAATTATGATGAACTTAACTTATTAGACTCCTAAATAAGCTATGAGTTACATACTTAACTGCCTTTATTATTTTCAGAGTCAACAATAGTTGTACTCATACTAGATGCTTAATTATCAGTAAAAGTAGCTAAAGTCTATTAGGTATCATATATAATAAACTCTTCATCCATCATGTTAGATTCCTGTTTTTTAATTTAATCATTATTTACATTAGTTATACTGCTATTATTATTATTATTAGTATTATTATTATTATTATATTCATAGTTTTGTAATTTTATATTTTTTGAGTTAGTAAAAGTGCTACTATTTCCCCTCAACAAACTATTATTTTACAAGCGTAAATAACTTTTAAATAAATCTGCTGTATCGATTTCGCTTTCTTTCATAAATGATTGTTCTAAATATTCTAAAGTAGAATTTTAGAACTCCCAAAAATCATTCTCTTCGCCTTATTTATATATCTAATTAAATAACAAAAATTTAGTTTCCATAAACATAAATAATAAATAAAAATTAAAAATATTTTAGCAAGTTTTTTCTTCAAATTATATATATTATAAAGAGCAAATGCAATTTAATTAGAGTAGAAGAATTTCACATAAGGTAATTCATATCTCAAAATTATTATTCAAATAATTTTTACCTAACCACTTAATCCTTTGAGAACTTCAAAAAGATCAGTTGGATCAGTAAAGTTCTTCTGAGATTTAAGCATAGCTGCAAAAGTCAGTTAAAACTATTTGAGCATTTCGTTAAGCTTAGCTCTTTATTCAGGCACGTTTTCATTATTTTCAGAAAGTTCAAGTTTTAATATAGGATCTCTTAATTCACGAATATGATAAAGCGTTTGGAGAAATGAATTAAAGTAGCAAGCTAATTTATAAGCATTAACAAAAATTTTAAAACTATTATTTTATATTTAAAAATACTTCTTCCTAGATTTTAAAGTCCGATAGGATCTTCAGTCCTTAAATAATTTTCAGCATCTTAAATGCATGTTTCATTTTGATTCCTAATAGATAATTCGATAGCTTGTTGAATCATTTTCTCCTCTTCTTTTTACTATGATAACAATGACCTAAATATAATAATTAATTTTTATAAATATTTTGCTTTCTTCTTATAAAAAATATGGTAGTTTGTTTTTATATTTTGCCCTATAATAATTTTTACTAATTCTTCATTAAATGGTAAGAAATTTGATCAGGTCTGCAATTACTCCTTTACCATGCTTATATAACTTATTCTTCTGTAAAGCCTTACTTTGTAAATTATTAAATAATCTCCTATAAATGTTTATCGTCATACCGGTAACCTTCTTACCCAGCAAACATCATTTAATCTTTATTTTATTTTCTATCTTAACTATTACCCATTAAAAGAAAAATAAAGTTATTAGTATTTTAATTATATATATTAAATTTAATAGAATATATATTCAATTTTAGTGATTTAAAAATTAGTAAATTAATAAATCAAAGTATATGTATGTTTATTTAATTGCTGATATCAAAAATTGATTATTCTAATGTTAAAATAATTGATACTTATAAATCTTAGAAATAATTAGTATATTTTGATTATTGTATTTTTTAATTGGTTGCAGATTTATTTTCTATTTTTGGTTCATTTTTTTCTGATAAGATTAATCTATTTTAATTATGATTTCAAAATTAAATAATGTTCATAATTAATTTTTATGAATAAATGAAAACTTAATTTTTAAAGAAATTCTATTTTTAGAGATTTTAAATATTAATTACTTAAATATAAAATAATCTTTATAACATAGATTTATTTTATTTATTTAAATTAATAAAAATAAAACAAACAAGTTGGTGTTTGAAGTATTTTATTTTTAATAAATAATAATTTACTTATATTATTATTTTAATTAATTTATAATTTGTATCTTTATGATTTATTCAGCCAAAAGATTCTTTTCTCTCGCTAAAAAACCTAGAAATCCTAATCATAGGAGCATTTAAAAGTAAGACTTAGAGTACTTTTAATCTATTTTAAGCGAAAGTGAAATAATTACATCTGATTTATCCAAATATAATGTCGATTGGATGAGTAAATATCATGGAGATTCTAAATTAGTTCTCCTACCAAACTCTACTTAAAAAATTTCTTAAATACTTTCATATTGTAATACAAATATGCTTCCTGTTGTTCCTTAAAGCGGAAATACTGGCTTAGTTGGGGGTTCAGTACCACACTATGATGAAATTATTCTTTCCTTACAAAGATTAAATAAAATAATTGATTATGATACTAATAATGATATTGTTACCACTGAATCTGGAGTAATATTAGAAAATTTAAATTAATATCTTTCTTAATTTAATACTGAAGCTCCTTATGATTTAGGAGCTAAAGGAAGTTGCTTCGTTGGAGGCAATATAGCTACCCATGCTGGAGGTAATAATTTTAATTTTTATGGAATCAACAAAAAAATATCATTATTTGTAAAATATTTGCTTTAAGCAATAAATAAAATATCTATTTAGTATTTTAAAAAATTGAAAAAAGGATTTGAATTTATATTTAAAATAAAATGTTTTCTTTTATTAATATGATTCAGAAATTAAATATACATTTTTAACTTTAAAAGGAAAATATTTAGTAAAGCATGGACCTTTGAGAGGATATGTATTAGGGTTAGAAGTTGTCTTAGCTAATGGCTAAATAATGAATTTGTTAAATAAAAGTCGAAAAGACAATACTGGAATAGACTTGAAATAGATATTTATAGGGTCAGAAGGAAGTCTTGGAATCATAACAAAGGCTAATTTACTTTGTGTTAAAAAAGCCATAGAGAAAAATCTTTTATTTATCAAAACAAGCAGCTTTTAAAATATCTTATAAATACATAATATTGCAAAGAGCGAAATAGGTAAGAATTTGGCAGCTATTGAATGGATGGATAGCTATGCTTATAAAGCTGTGATGGAGAATATTAAGACAGCAAAAGATGTTTTTGACTCATAGAATAAGATTGATTAATCATATTATGTATTAATAGAAATAAACACTAATTTCAACAAAGACTTAGTTGTTGAATAATTTTATAATAGCTTATCTTAAGTAGAGGGTTTGGTTAGTGAGTGTGTTTTAGCACAGAATGACCATTAATTTGATGAACTTTGGAAAATACGTGAATTAGTAGGTTCGGCTTGCGGACATATTGGAAAAGTGTTTAAGTATGATATAAGCTTAAATACAGCTTAAATGGATGACATTACAAAGGATTTAAGATAAAAATGTATCGATTTAGGGTTTACTGTAGGCTATGGTCACATAGGAGATGGAAATTTACACATCAACATATCTTGCCTAGATAAGACAAAAGAGTAGTAACTTGAAAACTAAATTGAGCCATACATTTTTGAGTGGCTTTCAAAAAAAGGAGGATCAATAAGTGCTGAGCATGGTCTTGGATTAATGAAAGCAGATTATCTCCATCTATAAAAAAAGCCTGAAGTGATTGACTGCATGAAAAATATTAAAAAAATATTTGACCCAAATCTTATCTTAAATCCATACAAAATATTACCTGGTATCTGACTGAAGTATTGAAATAGAGAGATAAATTATATCTAGAACTGATTAAAATAGTATTTAGATGTTTTCTAATAATTTGATTTTTAATTGAATTTTAATAGGGTATTTATGATTAAATATTTCGATCTTTAATTAAAATAGAAATTTGTAAAAAATATTTTGTAAAAAACACACTATTTATTTGCAAATATTATTTTTATAAAAATATTATTCAATTTTTTAATAAAAAAATTCATAAATAGAAAATTGATAGTATGATTTTGGAAATATAAAAGTTTTTTCTCAACTTAAATTATATTTATAGTTAATTATTAATTAAATTAAATCATTTAAATTAAGATTCAAAAAAAATTAAAAATAATTTTTCTAATTAAATGAAACATTTAAATTCTAAGGAATCTGAAATTTTAAAGGTCGTTATAAGATTCTTAAGTATGAATAATCCTTCTTGTAATGTAATATAGGATTTAATTAAAAAAATGCATAATAATGATATGGATAAAGAGGAATTAGAGTAAGAACTTAATCAATTGGAACATGATATGAGAGAACATAAAGAATCTATTAAAATAGAAGTCTAGAATATTAAGAATAAAAATGGAAGGTAATTAGAAACTAGTAACTTTTTTAAGCAATCGAGAATACCATGCTCAAATCCGAGATTAAGAAAAGTTTCTAAAAACTAAAACTTCACTGTTTGCTTCAAGTCAAAAAATGATGCTATTAAGGGAATTGAATATATAAAATAGTATTATACATATGACATTATAGGATTTACAGAAAAGTCAAAATCTTATATTGAGCAGGAAGATAAGAATAAAAATGAATTTAGTTAATTCATTGAATAAATAATTTAAAATACCTTTAAAGCTGATACAAAAATTAATTAAATGGAAGAAATAACTCTTAACTCAAAAAGAAAATAAGAATAACTGATAACTTAATAACTTGTTACAAATGAACTAAAAGATCAAGTTTGTTTGCCTCTAAAGAAACTGAAAAAATAAGACACAGATTAAATTAATACTGATGATCTTCAAAGCAATAATTTGTAGAATATGTAAGTATGTTCTGAAGAAAATAAAATAGAACAAGAAAATAATTCAATTGATTAATCTTAAAATGAAATGACTGAGAATAATTTAAATTTATAAAACTGTGATTAAAATTAATAAAACTGTTAAGAAGACTAAGAAAATCACTAATAAAATGTACAAAATTGTTAAGAAAATAATTAATAAAATCAATAAATATTAGAAAAATAAGAAAAATGTGAAAAAAATGAGGAAAATTGTGAAAATGAAAATAATTAAGAAAAATAAGACAAATGTGAAAAAAATGAGGAAAATTGTGAAAATGAAAGTAATCAAGAAAAATAAGACAAATGTGAAAAAAATGAGGAAAATTGTGGACATAATCAAGATAAATAAGGCACATGTGAACATAATTAAGAGAATAATGAACTTAATTAAGATAACTCTGAGCATACTTAAGAAATAAAATCTCCTTAATACAGTTAACAAATTGAAGAATTCGATGATGATGAAGAAGAAGTAGAGGTTTAAGTATTTTCTTAGAGCAATTAGAATCTCAATAACTCTGAATAAATTCAAGTTGAAAATGATTCTTTGCAAGAAGAATAGCCTAAAAATATCAATTAATCATCAGAAATATGCCTTGATATTCCAAATAATCAACAATAAGAAAAAAACTTAGAAACATAAATTAATAAAATTGATAATGGTCAAGAAACTAATTCTCACTTATAAATAAAAGTATTGGATACATAAAATTTAAAAGAGATTTAGGTGGAAGTGCTAAGTGGCTAAAATTTGAATATGAGTAATTAGAATAAAGATGAAAAACTTCATCAAAAAACTGAATAAAAAAAATCTTAGTAGTCAACTAAATAGAATTAATAACCTAATTAATTAAAACAAGATTCTTAAAACAAAACTGATATAAAAAAAACTAATGGAGATAAATAAATAAACAAAAATGAGCAAAAAAAGTAATCACATTCTCAAAAGCATGATAAAGAAAAATCTTAATCCAATCATAATGATAAAAAGAAAGATACTAAAAAATCAAATAACAAAGATTAACATCAAAAAAGTTCATCTAAAAGCAATCCATAGCCACCTGAAAAGTAAAAAAGCATTAACAAACTAAAAGAACAAAAGAAGCATAATTAAAACAGATCCTAAAAGAAAACTAAAAAGAATTGAATGATATTAATTAAAATAATTAATCAAAAATTAAAATTGAAAATTAATTTGTTTTTAGTTTTTCTATTCATATTATTTGTTTATGTTCGAATTTAATTAATTACTATTTAAAAATGTTTACTTTTTTTTAAATTTAATATATTTTTTATTTAATTCATAAAATTTGATTTCAGCTAAAAATACATTTAACTAATAAGAAAATAGTAAAAATAAATATTTGAGCATTTAATATAATTAAATTAATATATCTAGTCTAATATAGTTATTTAGTTTGTTAGTTTGTTCGCTTATTAATTTACAAATTAATTAATTTATTAATTTTAATAATAGAATTCATTTTTGTTTATTTATACTTGTCATTGAGAAATATATACTGATTTCTCGATCGTATTACTTACTTAAGTATTAAAGTTTTCATCTATTTTTGACTTTGTTAGTTCAAAATCACTAAAATTGGATATTCTGTTATTCTAATTATTTGTGATTTAACTGCTAAACTATATAGGAGGTATTTAAGAACATTCTTATTGTTGATTGCAAACATTCTAATTTTAGGATGAGAGCTAATTTTAAGGAATAGAGGTTTCTCTAGATAGCTGATTTTCAGAAGTTAAATTTTTCGCAGTATTTAAACTATTCAGATTTCCAAAAGTTGGATTTTCAAATGAATTTCGAACTTAAATTGGCTAATATGAATTTTAATTTTACTGAATAGGGTATTCATACGAATTAACTACAGGAAAATTAAATTAATATCCTGTATTAGACATATAATTATTTTATTAGACGTTACTATTCAAATTAGACTCATTGTTACTTGTTTTAAGTTATGAATTCAGCTTTTGTAACAAATTTTGACTTAATTCTTTTTGTTGGTTTAATAAAAAGTTTTGAGTATTATTCTATGCATTTTAATTTATCAATTCATAAATCTAGTTTTATAATTTATTATTTTTAGTAACAAGATCATCCATTTCTTTTTGGTAAATCTAAAGAGAAATTTATTATTTCCTATTTTAGTTTTATTGCTCGTCAATCTAATTTAAAAATTATTTAGTTTATTTTTAATAAAAATACAATTAAAAGAAATGAAAATATTTTTATGTTAAATTTTACCTATTTTTGACAGCTTTCTAAATCCAAACTTCTGGTCTTTAGTAGTTGATAGACATTATTTAACTCTGTCTTTTGGTTATCAAATAGCTCTTATAATTATTTAACTTAGACCTTTAGTTAACCCTTTTAACTATATGCTTAGATGTTTTATTCTTCTAAATCCTAATTATTATTATTATCTTTATTAATATATGGATGGATAATAATATTATTTTACCTGCATTCTTTTTTTAATCATTTAATATGTTGCCTCTTTGGATTCTAACTTGATTTATTAATCTTAAATTTCTATATTTTTCTACTAGACAGTCATTTTCAAAAATGTTATTTCATTCTCTTAGTTTTTAGTGATAAGATTCATATCATCAATTTGTCTAAGCAAACTCTGAACCTATTCTTTTAGTTATTCTTTACTACTTTAATCAGGATTTATCTAAATCTATTTTTATTCATTAATTAACAAAAATATAATTAATAGTTTAAATTTACATGTTCTAAATAGTTGGATGCCTTCTCTGAAAGAAGTGATTGGTGAACTATTTCTAAATTATTATAACGCTCTTACCACAAAACTAGCTAGTTTTATTAATCTTTTAAAGTATTTTTAAGGTTTTCTACTTACAATATAAGCTATTTAACTTATTCAAAAGTATAAAGTTATCCATTCAATTGGCTCTCTGTGTTTCCCAGTATTAATTATTCAGAAGAAGCTCCTAAAAAAAGCAGTCTATTATCAGGATATAAATCAAGATTCTACATAGACTTTGAGGGTGAACTATTCAAACTTTTATAAACCTAATGTAACTAGCATTCGAGATCTTCAATTTTATAAAGTAGAGATTGATTTTCTTAATCCATTTTTTTCGTATCAAATTCATTTACTAAAGGAGTAACTGTTACTGCTGATTCAGCAGGAATTGATTTTATCAGTTAATAATTTTCAATAGAATTGTTTTTTTGAGTTGATTGTATAATAAAATTATCAGGTGATGTATTTAATTGTAACTTTGTTCTTTTAACATTTTCTTCAGTTTAATCATTTTATTAATTCAATATTTCTTCTTAACCTCTTTATTTCATAATTGAATTGATTATTTGTTACTTTTATTCTGCGTCATTTTTAGCTTGTAGCAAATCCAATTCCAGCTATTTTTTTACTTCAATCAAGTTGCCAATATCCGATTAATAATCCTTGCTTTTGTATTCTAATTCACGGATGTTTTCTTAAAGAACTTTGATCCTTATCGAAAATTCTTAGTTCTTAAGTCTTAGCTAGTTATTTTCAAATTCATATTTTGCATAGTTTTCTTTGGTATGTAGGTTATCATTTTATTAAGTAATCTAATTTGAGTTGTAGTCTTGATCATTTGGGTGGTTTGACTTATAATTTGAATCATCATTTCCAAGAGAAGAATATAAATTTTTCATTTTAGACATGACTTGTTCTTATTCTGATAGTATCCTACGAAGTTATTGGTTTTCCTTTTCTAATGATTAGCAGTTATCTCTTAAATCATCATTTTATTTCTCTAAGTTTCCAATTTTTTGTTTTAATGAATTCATCTCTTCCTCCTAATTTAATTTTTGTTTGTACTCATTATTTACCATTTTTTCATTCATAATAAATGATTAAATTTCTCTGTTATTATTATTTTAAGTAGAGTAATATGAAGTAGTTTAGCTTATGTAGGGAGGATTTTACTAGCTATTTGCTTATGAATTTTGGTTATTACTTGAATTATTTTAAGAGCTCATTATTGAATTTTAATTTCCTTAAGAATAAAAATTATTTTGTGCTACTGCACCATTGCTATTTAAAGAATAATTAGTGCTAGAACTACCTACGTTTTATAATTTCCTATCTATATTTTAAGAAGCTAATTGATTGTTAGATTGTTAATTATCTGCCTATGGTTATTTAGATTAGCTAGGAGATTATGAACTAGCAGAATTATGATTGTCAGTATTTTTTTTAGAGCTCTTTTTTGCACTGCTTGATGACTCACCTCTTTCAAAATTAGGAATTTAAGAATAAGTATTGCCTTTACTATCAGTCCTTTAAGGTAAGATGCAATTTAAGTGATTATTATTAACTGAAAAATATTATGTTTACTATTAATCATTATTTGTTTGATTTTACTTGCTTTTGACGATATTTAAATCATAAACAGATAGTCTTCTTTATTGGGTTGTATTTAATGAGCTATTATTTAAGTTTGAATTTTTCGATTAGCTTGGTGTATTGGCTTTTGATTTGTTTTTTTGATTTTAGGTTTAAGGTAAATCTAATCTATTATAGCTATTTTTTTTAGATATTTCTTAGAAGTTACTAATTAGTGTTTATTGCTAACCCTGTGATGATGGTTTGTTTTAATAATTTTTGTATTCTAACGATCCTGCTCTATTTATTTTTAATTATTCCTTATTTTGAGGCTACTCTTGATTTGTGCTTTTCTTCTTTTAAGATATATAAGCTTTTGATGCAGAAACATAAGTAAGAGGAGGAATATTCAAATTTTATAAGTGCTCATTGTTGATTTCATTTATATTCTGGCTTGGATCACATATCTGTCTAATTTAATTATTGAAATATTTAACAATTATGTTTTATTAAAAATGTTAATAATTTTACTTTATTATTTGATTTAATTATTTTTGTTTATGAATCCAATTTTCTTCATTGGCTTAAACATTTTGCATTTGCAACTGATTTTATTTTTGCTTGTATCCTGAATTAGAATTGCCTGAATTTTGATAGTTTTTATAGTTACTGCAAAAATCGCTTCCAATTTAAACTAATGAAGAATCAGTTAGTAACTATTTCTGTTAAGAGCTGTAATTACTGGTAGTCATAAGAGGATTTTTTGATTAAGGTGTATCTGCTTTTAATTATTATTTTGATAAACTTTTTTTCATTTTCTAGTTGTGTCCTAATCTTATATTTACAAAATTTCTATCTTTTATATTTTAGAAAATCGAATTGAATGAAAATTTTTTATTAGTTTACAAACATTCCAATGTTTCTTTGTAAATCATTTGATTTTTGTTGTCAATATTAATTAATTAATCAGTAAAATTTTTTCTGTTTGATTTCGTTAAAAAAATACAATCTTAATGTCTTTTTTAATGTTTGATATTTAGGAATTGAAAATTTAGTGTTTTAAGGATTTATGGAATTAATGTTTTTTTCTAATGGCATTTAATCTATTGTTCCTTAAATCGAAATGTTAATAACCATATATTTTTATTTATAAATTTACTCTTTTTAAAATATTCTTACTTGAACACAGACTTTAATAGAAAGCTAATATTAATTTGATCTATTTATATCAATCTTAATTGATTTATTACCATTAAATAAAATGAATAAGATTCGTATCTACTTTTAAACCAACAAACGATAACAAACATATAATTAATTATTTTAATCAACTTGTTTTTATGTAAAAATTAATAAATTAAATTTAAATAAATTTCATATTTAATTTTAATTTGTTTTATAAAATAAATAAAAAAGAGACATTCACTAAAATAATTATTTATGAAACCAAATAAGTAATTTATTTCATTAATTATGAGTAAATCTTGATTAATCAAATTTAAAATTCAAGAATGGATTAGAATCGCTTGAGTTAGAGACGTTCTGGAAAATATGCTCTTCAGTCAGCATCATATACTCATCTTAGCAAAATTCGATGAATTAGTTTGATATCTATTTAAGTTTTTACTCGAAGTCTATTTAATTTTTCTTTTACTGCTTTTTTAGCTCATCTTCCTCTTTACGGTTGATTACCACTTGTATGGAATCTATCAGCTCAACTATGTTTGAGAATTCCTTAATATTTTTCTTTGATCTAATTGCACTTACCTCCACCCATCTAAAAAATGAATATTTATTTATTAATAAAATATAACCTAAGATTTATCAATCATTACTTGATATCCTCTATTTCGTTTCTAGCGATTGCTTTAAAAATTTCATTTTCGTTTACTTTATCTGCTATGTAGTAGCAATGAGTATTTTATCTTTACTCATGCAGTAAGCATACCTATATATAAATCAATATTTTATGATTCAAGTAACCAAGTGATGGCATTTAAAATATCCTCCTTTCACAAAAACATTTTAAATTTGCTTAGGTTTTTGTAGATATATTAAGTATTCAAAGGAAATGAAAATATGCCTCATAAATAAATAAAATATGAAACAATTTTACATCTGGTATAATGTATTTAGCTACGTTAAATCCTATTTCTTCAACTGTCTCTCTAATAGCACAATCTAATGGAGTTTCATTATAATTTATCTAACCTTTAGGAAAGCTATACTTTTTAGAGAAAGCATTCTTAACTAAGATAAATATTTTAGTAAGATGTTGGAAAAATAGTTTTTAATAATATAAATAATGTACTAAGTAATAGCTTAGTCCTATCTTAATTAATGATGATACAACCATATCTTGGAATTTTCTTTTTATATTCATAAAACTCTTTTTTGATATCTTTTCCAGTATCTGGAATATGTCTTAAAAAAGGAGTAGCAACTTTTATAATATCTATAAACTCATCAAAGTCATCATGAGTCAATATTCTATTATTATTAATTTATAAAATCTCCTTTTTCTTAGCATAAAAATCTATATAATGCCAGAAAGCATCCTATTATTATTTAAAATAAAAGATTTAGAGTGATTGATGATGCTTCATAAGCAAAACGGACTTGCAATTTAAAGGCTATTCTTTAAAGTTATCTTTCGCATTCGGGAACATTAATAATAAATCTACTTTATTTTTAAATTTATTTCTTAAATTTTTAGCATTTTTAAATAAAAATGAGGTCATAATATATTTACCATAAAAGGTCTTAAATTATATAATTAGGGATATTATAAGAACTCATATTAGCTTAATCTAGTATAGTGTAATGTTAATAAATAAGTAAAATTTTATAGCTTTTGTTGTATGTTTATTTAATTATCTAAATGACAATAAATTTATAATAATTGTTTTCTATTAAGATACATATATATAGTTATCATCAGAATTTTTTATCTATTATTCTTCTTTTTAAATTAAAGGTTAATTCCCTATTATTTTATTTAGGAATTTAACTAATTGTTCTTTTAGATTTATAAGTTGGAATAATTAATATGATTTCTAGTTAGCTTCAGTGAATTAAGAGAAACTTATGCTATTAAATTTATTCAAAATATTTTATCTTACTGTAAAACTTGAATAAGAGACATTTTATTTACTCTTAATTTAAATAAATTCTAATCATTTATTTAAAGTGAAAATATTAGATTATTAAATTTTCTTATTTTTATCAATTTTAACTTATTCCAAATGTTAAATATCAACACAAATTTATTTAGAAAGGTATATTTAAAAGTAAAATATTTTACAATACGAAGTATATTTTAATATAAAGTTACATAAAGCAGTTTAATATAATTTTATTATAATTTATTTTAATGTTTTAGTTATTTATTTATTTAATTGTTAATTGGTTAATTAGTTTATTTATTGATTTTACAGCTTATCTATTTAATTTTCTAGATGGTTTTCTTGTCATTTATTTATTTTATATTTCTGATAATAGAAAGTAATAAATTTGCTTTGATTTTAATAAATCTTTTTAATAATATTCTTATCAGAAATTTAATTTTTTCAAATTTCTAAAGCTAACCCTTCATTTATGAAATGCTCATTTTCAATTTAGGGACTATCTTCTTCTTGAACTCTTTTAATAAATGAAGTAACTTCATCAACAAATCTATCTGGTTCTTTAGCATAAAGGAAATGTGCTGAGTTTTCGAACACAGTTACATCTCTTTGTAAATTAAAATCAAAAAATACGGAAGGGAAATCATTCTTAACTCTTTCTAAACTTGTAAATTTAGATTTTCCTCCGATAATAACTTTTCTAGGTCCTCTCCAAAAGCAGTCTTTAGTTTCATGGCTCAAAATATCGTTAAATGATCTTTCAAAGGCACTAAAATTTATACACCATTTTAATTGACCATTTGGTAATACTTGTATATTATTGAGCATAGTTTTTTGTAAAGACTCTTATTCAAATTTTGATTTGATATCTTCTTTGACTTAATTAATTGTTTTTCCATGAATATTGATAGATTTCATTTCTGTCATAAAGCGATACATTTGGTCTATAGGTCCAGATCCTGCAAAAGCATATGAGCTTGGCATGACATCTACAATAATAACTCCCTTTACTCTGTCGCTTAAGAAATTTGGGTAGTCATTTAGCGCAGCCATAATTGTACGGCCTCCCATGCTGTGCCCAAGCAAAATTAAATCTTTTAAGTCTTTCTTAGCTATATATTCAACTAAATCGTAGGCCATCTCTTCAAATGTTATTGTTTCTAAATGTTATGATAAGCCATGGTTACGAGCATCAAGTAAAGTTTAATTGGTAGTTTTTCTTAACTACTCTTTTTGAGCAACATTTAGGAAATTTTTTGAATTATCAAACAGACCATGAAGCCAAAGAGTATTTAATTTTGTATTGGCAGATTCAAGAGCTGGGATGTTATATTCTTTAAGCTTTGCAGCTTTGAATTTTAATGTTGAAAATTTAAAGGTGTTCAGAGCTAATCTCATTTCTTCAAGCTTAATTTTAATAATTTTTTTTTGCTACTATTTTATTTTTGATAAATAATGATTTATTTTTTTTATTAGATAAAAATATTATTTAAGCTGGGATATGCAGGAATTTTTATTGAAATTATCTAAGAAAACAATATTAATTTTTCTTGATTTTAATTTTGACAAGATTTATAATTCAATAATATGATACATCATAATTTTGCTTAATAATATTATCAAAGCTTAGATTAATTCAAAGAATATCAGTTGAAATTATTAATAAAAAAGAAAAAATAAATCTGTATGCAGCGTCAGATTTAACCCTATCTTTAATAATAACGATTATTAATTTTTATTTTTCCAAAGATTTTCAATTCTGCGTCTATTCATTAATTCTAGAAGCTTAAATTATCTAATATTTCAAAAATATGTAATAAGTAAAAAAAAAATTATGAAATAGTGAAACAAGTCTTTACATCAATATTTCCTTTTTATCTCTATTGTTTTAGTAAGCAACTGAAAGGCATGCATATTCAAGAATTAGAAAAATTTGGCCATCTTTTTATGGAATAATACTAAATTTAAAGTAGTAAATACTACTTTATTTATCATGATATCTTATTTTTAAGTTTATTTAAATCTTATTACATCTATATTATTCACTATTTAGTATTTCCACTATGTCACATATTAATACTTTATTTTTATAGCAATTTTTAAAAAAATATAAAAATTTAAATTTCTGACTTTTTATCAAATAAAGAAAGTATAATTTGGATATAAATTTACAATTTTACATGCATTTCTATGAGAATAGTAAGTATATTTTATCAAAATATATTTAAAAGCCTCTTGCCATTATTTTTAAATTTCTTCAAGCCCTGTAAATTTGTTTATAATATTATCTTTGATTTAAGAATCAATCAGAATTAATTTAATTGAATACATTTTTTACGTTTTAGATATTTTATTTAGTATTATTTAAGCTAAAAGTCAAAAGTATTACACAATATTGCCTAATATGAAGAAAATTTAAAAACACATTAATGAATTTAAATTTATTGCATATTAAATTTTTAATCGGTGTTATATAACAAAATTTATGCAGTATTTTAAGTAACAAAAGATTTTTTAGTAAAATGAGCATTTCGATTTAATAAAGTCTTGAAAGATAAAAAATTTACTATTAATAACATTATTATCAAATTTTTTTCATTAAACTTCATATTATTTGTATTGTTAAAAATAAATAACTATTTAAAAAAGTTTATTTTTAGAAGATTTAGAGTTATAATAGATAAATGAGAATTTATATTTAAAAAAAAATGAATGCTTTAATCAAGAGAAGAAATCTATTAAAATTTGTTTGCTCATGAAAATCTCAAATAATTAATTCTAGCCTCTTAATTTTTGATTAAGTTTAGAATCGTTGAAAGAAATATATTTTGGAAATCTAATTTAAATGTAATTTTGATTGTAATCAGGAAGAGTAAAATTTATTTATAATTATACATTTATTTACTTTGGCAATTTAATTAATTATCTTTCAATTCATTTTTTTACTTAAAATAAATCAAACATTTTGAAGTAAAAAATTTTTTATGGAAATAAAATAATTTATTGAAAAGAAATAGTAAAATTAATTTAAGAGATATCTATAACAATTAATATTAGAGCTAAAAAATAACTAGAAATATATATATATATTATTATGCAAATTAAATTAATTTGATGTTTTTAATATCATATATCAAATACTACTTAATCTATGAATTTTTTATTATAAGGCGAATTTTAATCTGAATCTACTTTTTAGATAAAAGATACTACTTCATTAATGAATTTCTCTTATTCAAATAGATAAAGGAAATGTCCAGAATTCTAAAATTCTATTACATCTTTATTTACATCGAAATCCACAAAGATTGATGGATAAGTTTTTGCTACAGATTCCATACTAGTAAATTTAGATTTTTTACCTATCATAATTTTTCTTGGCCCCTTCCAAAGACAGTCTTTAACTTCAAAACTCATTAAACTTTCAAAACTCTTTTCAATAGCCTAAAAATTAACGCACCATCTTAGCTAACCTGTTTATAAGACTTCTATGTTTGAAAGTATATTTGCTGCGATAACATCTGAGAAATTCGCTTTTACTTCTTTTTCAATCTATTCGAAGGATTTGTCAATTATATTAATTGATTTCATTTCCAATAAATAACGACTCATTTACTATATTGCAGGATCATTAATAGCGTATACACTTGGTAAAACATCAACAATAATTACTCCTTTTACTCTATCTAAAAGAAATGCTTGATGTTCTTGAAGAGCTGCTAAAATGGTACGACCTCCCATACTATGTCCAATTAAATATAAGTCTTTCATATCTCTATTTGCTATATATTCGACTGCATCATAAGCCATTTCTTTAAATGTATGTGTCTCAGTATGTTCAGATAAGCCATGGTTACGGCAATCTAATAAGATTTAGTTACTAATGCTCCTTATCTATTCATTTTAAGCTAAATTGAAAAAGTTTTTAGAGCTATCATACATCCCATGAAACCATATAATATTGTTCTTAACATTTTAATCTAAACAAGGATACTTATAATCTTTAAGCCTTGCAATTTTAGTAGAAAATCTAAATAGATTTACAAAGGATTTCATTTTTTTTTATGCCTTAATTTCTAATTACTTAAAATAATAAATTTTTTCTTAATCTTTCTTTAAGAAATAGTTAATCAAGAAAGAACAAAAAGAATAGATATTTTAACAATTAAAAAGAAAAAATAGAAGGATTTATTACTTATTTTTTTAACTTCTATAAAAAATTTTTAATTAATGAGTAGCTAGCATAAATAGCTTACTTATTTTTTTTTATTGATAAAATTAATATTTATTTTTTTTAAATTTTTATCTGATAACAGATCAATCAATCAATCAATATCTTATAAATTATTTATAGGTCATTTATGTATCAAAAAATTTTACAATAATATATAAGATATACAATCAAATGTCGTAAGTTAGGGATTCATCATAGTATTTTTTTTTGTATTATTAATTTTGCTAATCATTTTCTACTTATTATATAAATTATACTACTTGTTCAATGAATTTCTGAGGCTCCTTTATGTATGGGAAGTGTCCAGAATGTTCAAACTCCACTACATCTCTTTCATATTTGAAATCAGAAAAGATGGTAGGATATAATTCTTAGACTAGCTTCTTGCTTGTGTATCGAGATTTGTTTCCAATTAATATTTTTCTTGGTCCAGACCACATAACGTCCTTAATTTCGTGAGACATTACTTTATCAAAACTTTTCTCTATTATAGGAAAATTGTTTAACCACTTTACTTATCCGTTTTCTAAAACATCTAGATTAATAAGTATACTATTTGCTATTGGTTATTCAAACTTATTTCTAACTTACTATTCAATCTCCTAAAATGTCTTATCTTTTATATCTAAAGATTTGACTTCTTCTATATATCTATATACAGAATCAATTGGGAATATACCTTCTGTAGTGTAAGAACAAGGAATTGTATCTATAATTATTATGCCCTTTACTCTGTCTAATAAAAATTACTTATAATAGCTAAGTGAAGATAAAACTGTGCGGCCACCCATGCTATGACCTATAATATAGAGATTTTTCATATCTCTATTAGCCAAATATTCAATAAAATCATTGACCATGTCTTAAACAGTATAAACATCAGTGTGTTGTGAAAATCCATGATTTCTAGCATCTAATAAAGTTTGGTTTCCTAACTTTCTAATTTCTTCCTGCTCAGCGATGTTCAAAAAGTTTCTAGAGCTATCAAACATGCCATGCAACCAAATAATGTTATTATTTGATTTGCTATCAAGTGAAGGATATTTATAATCTTTTAATTAAGCTATGTTGGTATTACCAAATCTATAAGCATTCCTAAGGAGTTTCATGATATACAAATTTTGGTAACTTTCTTTAATTAATTATCGATTTTATTTATTATATAATAATATTTCAGATTTTTTTTTATAAGTATTTTTAGTGATTAAAATACGATAATCAAATTTAATTACTACAAAATTTGAAGAATCATAAAAATAAATAGATTCCATTTAAATAATCTAAATAAATTATAGTCCATCCCAGACAAGATTGACATAAAGTTAGTTACTGAAATAATCATTTGTTCCATATATTATTTTTTAATTAAAGAATGAAAGATTCCATAGTTTTCCCAAAGATTTTTTCCCTCCTATTTATTTTATTATTTGATGATATCTAATAATTTTCTTTTTATTTATAATGAATATTCATTAATTATTGTTATAATTTGAAAAAAATTAATACCATAGATTGGTTATCATAGTGCATAGTGCATATCAATATTTATAATATTTAGATGGTGATCCTATCAGGGAAGAACAATAATAAATACCAAAAAAAAACTGAATTATTTATATGGTAAAAAATAAATTTTTATAACTACCTTCAAATTCACTGAATAAAAAGTGCTCAATAAAGTTATAGAACCTGATAGCTTGTATTTATAAAATAATATTGGCTATCGTAGTGCATCTATGAGCTCATATTATATGGGAAGGATAATATTAATTACCCAAATTGTGAAAAAAATATTAGTAAAACTAATAAGAAACAAAAAGTAAGTTAATAAAATATTTGCTATTAATTATTTAAGATATTTAAGAAACAAACAAGCAAACAAACAAACAAATGAAACTAAATAAATGATAAGAGATATATATTTTTAGAATTTGAAAATTAAATTAAATTTTTTTATTTTTCTTTCTATTATTTAAAATAAAAATAAATTTATCTATAAATTCGATTGATCTTTTCTATGTTTTTATTACTCATAAAAACATTTTTATAGAATAAATTTTTTGATTTAAAATTAATCAATTGTTCAAGAGCATGAAAACGAAATGCCATATAAATAAAAATGATAAAAATATGGCAGATAAATTAACCTTTACAAGATCTTGGGTATATGACACAAAGCTATAATTCTTAAGAGTATCATATTCAGATTATGAAATTTAACGCTTAAAAAAGTAAATCGTTAAGAAGATGATTAAAAGCATAGCTAAGACTTCAGCCATTAAGATAATATAAATATTAAAGAAATCAGGGGTTGAGTGAAGCAAACTTACTAGTTTTTATGGACTGTAGTTAGTAGTTATAAAGGAAATAGCTATAAAGCTCACAGAAGAGGCAACATCAGTAATAAAGAATGAAACCAAAAATTAGATTAATGTTAATTTATTTTGCTAATAAATTTTTTTTTCATCATTAATGTGTTAAATTTCTCTTAAATCTATAATATGAGATGGACGAAAATCACTATTTTTCTATTTTCTTAAAGAAGACCTTGACTACATTGAAGCACGAAAAACATTTTCTACTTATTTTTAAACAGCTCTTTCAAGAAATATTTACTATATCCAAGGGACTACATAAAGGAAAATAATGATTGAAGAAACTTTAATTATTGATATGATATATGCCTAGCGTACAGATCTGGCCAATTCAAAATGAATACTTGCTTAGCTGACTGAGGTAAATATAAATACAACTGACCTAATAACTTTTTTACATATTTCTTATTAGCGACGAAGTATTGGCTAAACTCCTTTAAAGAAGAGTATTGAGATAACAAAATAAAAGATGCAAGCAGTAATATAGAAACCAATTTCTGATTCCTCCATTAGATAATTAATCAAAACATTTTAAAAAAGAATGATAGAAATAAAGACTATTGTTAAGCCTATAATAATATTATATGTAATTGCATATATATCTTCCTTTTAAATTTTCATCCAAAATTAAATTAAATCACGTATTTCTTCACTTTATTTTTGTTTTTGAAGGTCGATTTCCTTTTATTTTTTTATTTACTTTAATGATTGTCCCTAATTTGCTTATTGATTAATTAATGCCATAATATCAATATTTTCTGGATAATTTACCGACCCTTGCTTTTTCGCGAACTGAGTTATCGTTGTTGGATCTACTAAATTGGATTTTTTGCCTTCTTTAGTATTTGTTTAAGAAATTTATTTTTAACCTAAGAGTTGATTAATTGTTTAAGCACCATTATAAGTTATGCTGTTTCTAATTAATTAATCACTAGGTTTTATATTCACAAGTGTACCATTATTATTATTCTATCCGTTTTCAAGCATGGAGACTCTAAAATATTCTGCCATTGTATGAGCTTTAGTCACATTTCTATTCAATCCTATAGACATTTTATTTTCTAATTATATCAAGTCATTTTCAAACTCTCTATAAATTTATCCTAAATATTGATTCCTGTCAACATGTTAATTTTATTCATTTTTAGATAGATTTTCAATCCTTGAATACTCTTAATTTAAAATGAAATAATTTAATATTCCAATAATGTAAACCCAAAGAAATCTAAGAACAGATTAAATCAATAAAAAATTTCTTCTATCATCAAAAGAATGTACATATTGACCGTCTTCGTCTTTTTAAAATATACCACCTGAAGGCTAAATTTATACAAGCGCCACTTATTCTATGATAGGAGCATAAATAATTGTAGTTGCCAAGGTAAAAAACATAAGTTTAAAAGTAACTTACTTATAAACAGTCTTGAAATATTTCCATGTATAAAATGTATTTTTATTTATCTTCTATCTGTTAAATGAGGACTATTAAGACTTTGAAGATTCTAAAACTTTAATTTTAACAAATATAATTCTCTAAACAGCTATCAAAGTTAATTGCAACAAGATAGCACAAATGGGATATATTAAAAAACACAAGAGGTTTTAATTGCTGTATGAATTAGAAATAAAAAAGCTGATGATACTACAAACAACCCCAATAATTGCTATTACTACACATATATATCCCATCTTGAGAGTCCATAATCTTTCCTGATTATCTTTTAATGATATTTTTTTTTTGGTTCCATCTGATTTATTTATTTCACTTTTTCTAAGTGATTGATTCATTTAGCTACTATTATTTTATCCGCTACGAGCAGAATTTTAAACTTTATTTGCATTTGCTAAATTTTCTTTTGTGTTATTATATTGTTGTGTTGTTGTTGCATTTTTTGCAAAGCTATCATATTTTGTTGGCTGATCTTTTCCATTAACACTATTTCCCTAAGTATTTATAATTACATTTTTTTTTTTTTCAGTGTTAGTTTCTTCTATTTCATTAATGGTATTCAATAACCTTTTTTGAAAAAAAGTCAAATGCTTTTCCTTAAATTTCTCTTAGGCACATGTACCCATATAAATATCTTCCCCTGAGTCTCCATTTTTTTAGTTTATAGCATTCATTTTCATGGCTCTTATGTTAGGTGCATCCTTTAAGAATTCATCATTAGCTTAGTCATTAATTGTAAATTAAACAAATTTATTAGAATCTTTTCTATGAACTCCATTTAAACTTAGCTAAGTAGGAATTTAATTCCTATCTGTTACATCTACATTACCTTATTAAAATGGACTGATGTTTGTTTAAATAATTGGCTAATTTGCTATCTTTTATAACTCTTCATGAGTTAAAGATCCTTAATTACTCTAAGCTCTTAATAAAGGCGAAGATGGACCAACTGAAAAGGTTAATTGTTGCTTTTTCATTAATAATTGCTTAGCTTTTATTATAAATATAATCTTAAGCTATAATTTATAAATTGGCTAATCACTTTCACTTAGTAAATTTAAGTCTTTCTCTTTTAGCTATTTTATAAATTTCAATTATTTATTACCTACCTTGTATTATTTCGCTTTAAATTTTTTGGTACCTAATTTATATTATGCTCAATGCTTGATGATTTCTAAATAAGATGTAATTATTTTTATGGATATAATGAGAATCCTAAAATAATAAAAAATTTACTATTCAAGCTTCTAATAAATAATCTAGATTTAAAGATTATTTTAGTATGGGATAGTATCCAATCTAAATATTTAACTAACTCATAGTTAAATTAGAAGTTAAAGAAACAGGAATTTTTCACTGGTTAAACAAATTTATAATAATTTACGAATTATTGAGTGTTTGTTAAAATACTAAATACGTATGTTTACTGCTTTTTTGAGGAAATAAACGACAATCATATTTTATACTTGAATTGAATCTATATATTTTTAATTATATAAATGCTACAAATTTATCGAAAGTAAATATAATTTGTAAATAGGAATTAATAATAAGAATTATAAAATTTTTAAAATTGGCTTATTTAATTATTTCTAATAAACTAAATGATTAACACTCATTCATTTTGATTATTAATATATTTTATATTAAATTTTTAATAATTTACTACCATTTAATAATTAAATATTTCAATTAGGATGGTCTTTTTGATTAATTCAAAACTTCAATAATTTATTTTAACTTTATATTTTTTAAGATTTAGAAACTCATGAAATTTAAAATCTACTTAAAATATAAGGATGAATAGAATCAAAAATAAATAATACATATTTTATATTTTCTAAATGTTTCTCTTTTTATAATGAAAACATATAAATATTTTTAAAGTTAAAAATAAGATTGATAGTAAAATGAAATTTTAGAAAAACTTTAATTAAGATTATTTATTTGAATAAAAATTTGAAATTGTGTTATTCTAATTTTGCTCAAAAATTTTTTTAATTTTTAGAAAGATTAGTTAGCCAATAAATAAATTTATAATCTCTGCTTAAAAAGGTTTTCAATTAAAAAGTTAATCTAGTTAAACCTAACTAAATTGTTAGTTTAATATTTTTTTAAGATAAATAAATTTTAGCATAAATTTTCTAACTGTTGCTTAATATTTTTAAAATTATTTTTAGCCAAAAAATAAGCATTCCTTACTGACTTTATTACTAAAGCACACTAAGATATTAAAATGGTTAAGAAGAAAGTATATGCATATCTAAAATAATATTGCAAATAAAAATTATTTGAACTTTTGAATAATTACATAAAATAAAAAATTTATTGTTAATTGTTAATAAAGTTATTTATTTATTTATAAATTTCAAGTGAAATTAATTAAAAGAATATATAGATTTTTGTATTAATAAATATTTCTTTGTGTTTTTAACAAAATATTAATAACTTAATAAATGATATAAAAAAGGCTTTCCCTAACTAGCAGTATATTAATACTTTTTATTTTATCATTATTTTTGCAGTATTCATAAGCAAGCAACACTTTTGCTGTATTAAATTGTAGAGCTAATAAATGCTTTGACGACTTTTATGCTTGTCATTCAGATAAAGCTTGCTTAGATTAATATAATAGTTTGAATAAATGCATGCAAAGTGATTGTCTTTCTTCTAATAATAAGTAGATATAATGCTATAATGATTGTAAAAATAGTATTTCAAATCCTCACCTCTCTTCATATATTGCTTGCACAGATAGATTATGCAGCAACGAATCTTTCTTTAACACTTGCGGTGATTTTTATTAAAATCTCCTGAGAGAATAAAATAAAAATTCATAATCTTGGAAGAATTTTTCAAGTGAAGTAAATAAATGTGTGTCTAAAGCTTGTGGAAGTTATAAATCTAATAAGAAAGAGCTTTTACATTGCTAGCTAAAATAAACTGCTGAATGCTCGAAATACACTCTAAACTCCTTCAGACATATCAGCTTCTTAAATAATTTCTATGAATGCTCTTCAGATGAAATCGCTAGCAGTTTAGGAGAAGGATAAGGTTTTGTAAGTAAAGTTCTAGGGATTTTCGGTCTCTGAAAAATAGAAGAAATGATTATTAATTTTAATATTTCTAAAAAATGTAAAATATATATTTTATTATTGTAAAAAAATATTTTATTTTTAAGTATTTCTGTAGTTTTTTATCACAAACATAAACAAATTAATAAAGATTTTATTATAAATTTATTACTTTAAATAAAAAGTAGATATTTTTGTTAAATAATTCTAATTAGAAATAATAATTTTTAATACTAAAAAAATAATTTAATTCTTTAAATAAAAAAATTTTATTTTTAATTTAATAAAAATATCAAATTATATTTTAAATTAATTAAATAAAAATATATCTTTAAAATTTAGATAATCATGGGGGGTTGGGGTTGGGGTTGGGGTTGGGGTTGGGGTTGGGGTTGGGGTTGGGGTTGGGGTTGGGGTTGGGGTTGGGGTTGGGGTTGGGGTTGGGGTTGGGGTTGGGGTTGGGGTTGGGGTTGGGGTTGGGGTTGGGGTTGGGGTTGGGGTTGGGGTTGGGGTTGGGGTTGGGGTTGGGGTTGGGGTTGGGGTTGGGGTTGGGGTTGGGGTTGGGGTTGGGGTTGGGGTTGGGGTTGGGGTTGGGGTTGGGGTTGGGGTTGGGGTTGGGGTTGGGGTTGGGGTTGGGGTTGGGGTTGGGGTTGGGGTTGGGGTTGGGGTTGGGGTTGGGGTTGGGGTTGGGGTTGGGGTTGGGGTTGGGGTTGGGGTTGGGGTTGGGGTTGGGGTTGGGGTTGGGGTTGGGGTTGGGGTTGGGGTTGGGGTTGGGGTTGGGGTTGGGGTTGGGGTTGGGGTTGGGGTTGGGGTTGGGGTTGGGGTTGGGGTTGGGGTTGGGGTTGGGGTTGGGGTTGGGGTTGGGGTTGGGGTTGGGG